GCACCAATTAAAAAGATACGGTCGCATGCACCAATTAAAAAGATACGGTCGCATTCAATTATTACGAGGTAAAAAGTTAAAAACGAGGTTTCGATGTAAGGTTTAAAGGTATAAAGCTGGCTAGCTGGCCAATTAAATAGCTATTATACAAGGCTATTTAATAACTTAGTACCTAATGTATATAAAAGTGGCAGGTTTAGCGGGATTGTCATAAAAGATACATGCGCGGCCAGGTAAATTGTATGGGAAATACATGTAATACTTGTGCGATACCTGCTTATCCCGCTATTCATGCGATTATGCGGGATATATTAAAAAGGTGGGTTTAAAAGTGACTACTACTGAAATACCATTACTACTGAAATAGCAATACTCTTTTTCTTTTCCTTCATCGTAAAACTTCTGATGCTAAGTATGAGTAAGGTAAGGTACATACGCTGCTGCGATTGGTTGGACATGGACACTAGATGGGTGAAAGTTTAGACCTCGAAAACTTTGTTAGGCTCTCTGTCAGTGGGCTTTAAAGGTGGCTGGTGGCCCGTGGCATGAAGCCCGGGGATAGATCTAGATTAGCTCCACTAGAAAACGGCGGTAAGAAAACGTGCGCTAAAGGTAAGAGAAGGTACGTACCTACCTAAAAGAACTATTCTATTTTCGGTATATAGACCCTTCATACCCCTGTAGATAAAGGGAGAAAACTTTTCGAGGGGTAACATTAAGTCGATAAGGCCAACATTTTTTCAAAATCCCATCCCGTTTTCTTTTAACTCCATACATCCATACATCCATACATCAAAAAAGTAAGACGCTGGCTCACCGTCAAAGTTTTCAGCGCCCACGATCGAGGGCATTTCGGGCAGTTCAGCTGACCCTTTATTAAATTTTGCGGCGTCATTTGCCTCATCGTTTTTTTTTTAACAAGTTGGGTGCTTTCCTTTTTCTTTCTGCCCAATTCGTTAAGAACGAGCGCTCACGATGCCTCATCAAGTGTCGCCCCCGATTATGATTTCTAAGGCGGGCGCCCCTCCCCCGCCGTCGCAACAAGATGTTTCATCAATTCTCGATACCATCTTTAACGCCAAAACCTCTGCCGCTTCGGTCGACGCCTCTTATGGACTCTGCGAACTCCTGTTAAACACTGTAGGCTTTCGGGGTTTACATGATTACGGTGTATTGGCAGAAGTCAAGAAAGCCGCATCTGATAAGAAGAGTGGATTACGAAGGGAGGGTGCCCAGAATCTTCTCGGTGCCCTCTTCGAGAAGTTCCCTCCTCGGCAACCGCTGAGTGAAGTTGTGTTCTTAATTCAGGATGGCGGTCTCGTCTCCGTTGCTCTAGACGCTTTAGCCGATAAGGGCACAGTGGTCCGCGATGCTGCGCAATACGGACTCGATGCGCTCTTTGGCCATTTAAGTGCCGAGGCCATGGTCGTTGGCTTGTTACCCGCGCTCGTAACTTACCTGTCGAAGAAGACTGGAAAGTGGCAGGGTACGGTTGGCGCCTTGAAGCTGATGCAGAGGATGGCCGATAAAGCAAAGATGGAAATCGGTTGCACCAAAGAACAAGCTCAAGAGAAGGATACCCTCAGAGAGGCTATGGGCGAAAAGCTGGCTCGCTTGATTCCCATAGTTGAGGGCAACATGCACGACCTCAAATCCGAAGTCGAGAAGCAAGCACTCGTCACGATGCAATCTCTCACCACCCTCCTATCTAACGACGATGTCGCTCCTAGGATTCCCCTTCTTGTCGACACTATGCACCACCCTTCCACCCAGACCCTTCAAAAGGCCATCCACGCTCTTTCGCAGACGACCTTCGTCGCTATCGTGACATCACCTGTTCTCGCTCTGCTTACTCCCTTCCTTGAGCGAACCCTTAACAACCCCAGCACCGCTCAAGAGGTACTACGACAAACTGTCGTGATCACCGAAAACTTGACTAAGCTGGTCCATGATCCTATTGAGGCACGCACATTTTTGCCAAAGCTTCAGCCAGGTATCAAAAATGTGGTTGGTCGTGCACCGCTCCCAGAGGTGCGCGAGCTGGCTACCAGGGCTTTGGATGTCATGGATAAAGCTATGGGCAACGATGAAGCTGTGGTAGAGAGAACCTCGGCAGATGACGTTGCTAAGGTTCTGGACTCCGAGATCAAGAAAAACGGAGGACTCTCAGGCGACTTGGATTTTTATAAACTAGCTCGCCCTTACATCTGCGAGATGGTAGCCGAGGATGCCAATCATCGTCAAATTGATCGAATTCCAGCTAGAATCGCCCCCTATCTTAAAGATATAATGCATAAAGAGGGTGCCAACGATACTGTCGCTTCCAGCGTCTACGAGTTCTATGTTGCCGAGGACCATCGCAAGTACGGCGTACCGGAGAAGGAGGACGATGGCGAGACCGAGATTGTTAACGCAGACTTCTCCCTGGCCTACGGTGGCATGCTTCTTCTTTCCCACACTAATCTTCGATTATTGAAGGGACACCGATATGGTCTTTGTGGTCGCAACGGCGCCGGAAAGTCTACACTGATGAAGAGTATTGCTGGTGGCAAGCTGGAAGGCTTCCCACCCCAGGATGTCCTCCGTACCTGTTACGTCGAGCATAACCAAGGTGAAGACGCCGATATTAGCATTCTAGATTTCATGGTCAAAGATCCAACAATCGCATCCGAGGGCAGAGAACGAATTTCCGAAGTCTTAGCTGAATTCGGTTTCACGGCAGGTCCTGAGGGTAGACAGTCTCAAAAAGTTGGCTCTCTGTCAGGAGGGTGGAAGATGAAGCTCGCTCTTGCTCGAGCAATGTTGCAAAAAGCTGATGTTCTATTACTTGACGAACCTACCAATCATCTCGATGTCGCCAACATTGCCTGGCTGGAAAACTACCTGAAGAGCCACACAGACATCACCAGCTTGATTGTTTCCCACGATTCTAGTTTCCTGGACAACGTAACAACTGACATCTACCACTATGAACCTGGGAAGAAGCTTGGTCATTTCAAAGGAAACCTCTCTGACTTCGTAAAGATTCGGCCCGAAGCCAAGGCTTACTACACCCTTTCCGCCTCCAATGTTCAGTTCAAGTTTCCTCCTCCGGGTATCTTGTCAGGTGTCAAGTCTCAGACGCGGGCGATCATCCGAATGACTGGGGTTTCTTTCCAATATCCTAAAGCGCCCAAACCATCGCTCTCAGACGTCTCGTGCCAGCTGACTCTTTCTTCCCGTGTCGCCGTGATCGGACCGAACGGTGCTGGAAAATCAACCCTGATCAAGCTGTTGACAGGTGAGGTGGTTCCGACCAGCGGAAAAGTTGAGAAGCACCCTAACCTACGAATTGGTTACATTAAGCAGCATGCTCTCGAACACGTTGAGATGCATCTCGAGAAGACGCCAAATCAGTACTTGCAGTGGCGTTACGCAAACGGGGACGACAGAGAGGTGTTTCTGAAGCAGACCCGTATTCTTTCAGATAAGGACCGAGAACAGATGGATAAGCTAATTGACCTCGGTGATGGAAAGGGCGGGCGACAGATTGAAGCTCTGGTCGGTCGTCAGAAGTACAAGAAAACATTTCAATATGAGGTGTAAGTTTACCGTTATTGTTCTTCTCTTGAAGACAGCCACTAACAATTTACAGGAAATGGAGAGCATGGCTACCAAAATTCAACTCGCAAGTCTCTCGGGAAACCCTCTCGGAATGGGGCTTTGATAAGCTTGTACAAGAGTTCGACGATCACGAGGCGTCTCGTGAAGGCTTAGGTTACCGAGAGCTTCAACCTACGGTCATCTCCAAGCATTTTGAGGACCTCGGTCTCGACCCCGAGATTGCCAACCACAACGAAATTGGTAGTTTATCTGGAGGTCAGAAAGTTAAGGTCGTTATCGCCGGTGCGATGTGGAACAACCCTCATTTGCTCGTTCTTGACGAACCTACTAACTTCTTGGATCGCGATTCTCTTGGTGGTCTTGCGGTAGCCATCCGAGACTTTAAGGGTGGTGTGGTCATGATCTCTCACAACGAAGAGTTCGTCGGTGCTCTGGCTAATGAACAGTGGCACATAAATGACGGACGGATGGTCTTGAAGGGTAACGCTTCGATTGCTATGGATCGCTTTGAAGACAGTAAACCAAGCAGCGGTCTTACAAGCGGTATCACCAGTGGAGTTAACAGCACAGCAGCTAGCAGTGCAGTAAGCAGCGCTGTCAACAGCGGTACGGAGGATAATAGCCCATTGAAGTTCAAGGCTAAGAAGAAGAGGAAGAAGACCAAGAAGGAGCTCAAGGAGCAGGAGGTGCGAAGGAGACTACGCCATATCGAGTGGCTCAACAGCCCCAAGGGTACACCACACCCAGCTGATACGGATGATGAGGAGTAAGAGGCGGCCATCTCTTTTAAGATGGTATCTTTGATGAATTCTTTTACGCACGTCGGTCTAGAGGCTGGTGACTTTCATTCATATTCAAGAACTTGGTCCTTCGTAAACGAGGGCTTTTGATAGAGTTTTGCGTTGCTTGGGAAATTGGCATTATAATCGACGACGCATTGACGTGTCCCGTACAGGCGTTTCATATAGACGGACAGGGGAATGGCATGATAGATAGAATGAGGGGCTCGCATTCGCATAGTTCGATCCTAGAGCATGATGCCGAATAGATACGACACATACATAAGTCATGAGAGATGTTTATTAGACCCTTTGCCGTGGCTCATGTGAAGTGTTCCTTATGTGCTTATAACAGGTGTTTGCTTCGGAGGGCTGAGACTTTTATCTGGGAGGAATAGTTTGGGACTACTTAGTTACGAATCGTACTAAGATGGCTCTTTACATCTGGGACGAACTTATCCTATATAGAATTCCCCGGCTATTTCATAGAATGGTACACATTTTCGTGCGCAACGAGAGAAAATCGATGATGTTTCCTATTTGCTCTACTTGCTTGGGATACTCGAACTCTATAGAACTTTACTAAACCCTTAAGAGTAGTCTTTTTTATACATAGAAGCCATTCAACACAATCCCTAGGTAGGTAGTTAACTCTCGGAAGCAAGCATATCCTAGGTAGATTCACAATACGCGCCATCCAACGACTAAACCCCCCTTCTTATTGGCCAGCCCTTTCTATGTAGACCCGGGGAGAGGCTCAAATGGTGGGAGTCGCTAATTGGCTTAGGGTAATACATAAGAATTTCGCACGCGCTTACCGTACTAAGGTAAGTTAGGTAAGGTAAGGTGTCATTCTTTCTTTCCACTCTCGTGTCCGACGCCAGAGCGAGAGTAAATTTAGATAGTAGATGGATTTCAAATATAGGCGTGTCCGGCGGCGGCTTCTTTCGCGTCGTTCGTTGGGGACGCTATGGCGAGAGGGAAATTGGAGGCCCGCATGGCACAATGGTACTGCGTCGCACTAGTAATGCGGAGATCCCTGGTTCGATTCCAGGTGTGGGCATATATATTTCGTGAGATATGAGTTATTCCTCTTCTTCTAGAGTTTTTTTTTTTCTTTTTCTTTTTGCTTCTTACATTCTTTCCTTGTCTTTGTGGGGTATATCGGGGCGATTCGGCCTAAACTGTAGATAGAAATGTATATTCACTTCATCTACTCCCATATGGTGTCCCCGTCATCGGGTAGCTGGTCCACCATCTCATCCTCCCGCGCGCCGGCAACTAAGCGGTCGATGTTCTGCCGTACGCTTAGCCTTATATACGGCGTGCCCGTTCCCTTCGCGTAGCCGCCGCCTTGGCCTTGGATATTGGAAGCGCCGCCTTTCGCGTAATGGTGGCTGAATAGGGGTGGTTGTACCGTGAGGCAGACGGGAGCGGATTCTCCGCGCTCGTGAGCAACCCCGGTATTATCTTTTACCCTTGGATTCAGACGAGATTTGTTCTCGACAGTATACTTCCCCTCGCACCATTTCTGCAGCATCAAGTCCCATTGGGTATCGTAGTGGTCATCGAATTGCGATAGAAGCTTGCGGGCTCCTTGGTGACTGACGGCGTAGGCTAGGGTGCAGACGTTCCCGCTGGACGCGTGGACGACGCGGGTATGCGGCGGGTATAGTTCGCCGAGTTTGTCGTTTAGGGCAAATGGATGGGGCTTGAGATGTTTTGGGGCTGGGACCGTCTTGTCCCTCGGGATTTCGATTCTCAGTGGTGATATGGGAGATTGGCTATGGGGGAAATCAGCACCGCAGTGGCCCAGCCATAAAACATCCCAATCATCCCCGTATATGGTTTGGTGAGTCCCATTATCAGTGCCTGCCTCCGGGGATAGTTGTATTGTGTTTGATTCATAATTGTGTATTGCTGCTTTACCCCTTCTCCCTAGCATCGAGGACGGAGCAAAGTTGAGCAACTCAGTTCTATGTTTACCAGACTTAGACTCTTTTAACCAAGTCCTCGAGGCCAAAGCGAAAGTCCGAAGTTGCGACTTTAGACGTACATCCCAGTCTATATCGTCCTCTAAAATGAGCGCACTTGTTAGATTCTCCCTTATAATTGATTGAAGCGCATTCATATGCGACCTCCAGGACCCTTTCGCCCCGGATGACGAGTGTATTCCTCTACGAAGAGGCACATCACGGCCCGAAACCTGGCTGCCCGATACGCCGTCAATCCAAGTGAAAGTGAGGTTGCTGACGGCACCTGCTAAAGCCATAGCATGTCGGCGATCTTTCCGCGACGGCAGGTTAATAACGAAGATTTTTGAGAACTTGAGACTTCATTAGGTCCAATTCCAATAGATATAAGAGGTATAAGAAGAAGATGAGATCTTACACCTAGCGTATCATTAAACACATCCTCTTTCTCGACCAGGTTCCAACTTCTAAAGCTCCTCGGCTTGTCAGTGACCAGGAATGTCCGCCAGTATATGTAGAGGAGAGGGGCAAAAAAGCAAACGGTCGCGATAGCTCTACGGTAGGGCGGCATCGCGCGCGAAGGTTGAGGGAGAATCACATGTTATGTTTTCTCATCTTACTTCAATCTGACGAATGGCTAGATATATTGCTAATTGAAAGTTGGTATTCATAGGTGATGTGCCAAGACCTTTAATGTGGCCTTGACAGCTTTATATTATGCGGCTCTTTTATCAGAGTTGGTTCGCGGTTAAAGGACCGGCTAAATTACATTACATTATCTTATGTTACTTATGTTGTAGTGACTCTTTATAAGAAGCTTCTTCAACCTCATTTTCATGTCACGTACGAAGGTCCGGGCCAAAAGTCTTGCACATGTGGAGGACCCTAGCACCGTATTCGAACGTCATCCCTTTCTATTAATACTGTATTAGCCACCTGCTAAGATAAAATTTGGATAGTGGCCCGTACGCTAAGTTTAGGTGGCCTACCACTATATTTATAGCGTCATTAGCCACTATAGCTTAAGTAATACCGTGCGGTCTTTTTTCAACTCACACGTGGTTTGCCAAGACTAGATGTGCAAGACTTTTGGCCCGGATCTTCGTAATAGGTAACCTAATAACCAATCACCCTTTCTATCATAATTCAATTTCGTATGTTCGATTATATCGTCTTCCCCCTGCGCTTCTCTTTCCCTCCTCCATTCCGTGTGATACCTAGCTTATCAAATACTTGGCTAGGTATTGCATCTGGCAGTATGCGTCTTGAATGGTGGGAAGTATGGCTTGGCTTATCTGACGCGGTCGGGTTTGGGGCAATTGTACAATCTCAATCCATGGATCGGGACGTGGCCATTCCTTCATGCTAAGCCAATTGGAGTGAATAATACGAAGAGACCTCGCGCAATCGCGATAGGAAGCCGGGCATTATCAGAGCCTGCTTCTGGTATGTAAGGCGCGGTGTATATAATTGGAAGAGAAAGCGACACGCGACACGCGACAACGCCACGCTACCTGCAGGTACCTAATGTATTCCATACTTTTGACGAAACCTGGCTGACGAAACCTGGTTGACGAAATCTGAAAGACGACACCCAGGTCCATGTGGTGCAGAACATTATGACATATCCAATAAAACTGTACCATGGGTGTATTTTTGCATCTCGAATTGGCGGTAGGCTCTCGGCCTGCTTAGCCAGTGTCAGCAGTCAGACATTATCAGTATATATATCTGGCTATTCCTCTCTGTGAAAATAAAGGGATTTCCAAGCAGTTACTACTTGTCACCATCGTCGTTGTTGATTGAAAGAACCCCACGTCCTACCCCTGATCCGAGATATAGTAGCTCATTGTCGTACGGCCTATGGCTAGTAGGACACGCAAGATTCCCTCAGGGGATTGGGAGCGTCACAAGGAGACTATTCTAAGCCTCTACCTTACTTCTGACTTCCCTGGGGATGAATTGGTTCAGGCTATGGAAAAGGACCACGGGTTCGTTGCTACGTAAGGCCATCACTCTTATCACTTTTCTATCCTATCTGATTGTGTTCATACAGTATATCGCAATTCGAAGCCCAACTACGAGTTTGGAACGCTCGTAAGAATCTGAAGAAAGACCAATGGGAAGTGATCTTGCCAAAGATTGACAATCTATCTTCTCGCGACATTCAGGCCAGAGTAATGATAGCAGGTCACCCTGTTTCAACAGAGAGAATCCGTCGAGCCAAACGCTACTTCAAGGGTGATCATCATCCTCGGAAGCGACGCCGGGTTGAAGAGCGTCCGGGCCGAGCGACAAACAATGTCGGCGAAGGCGTTGCCATCGAAGTTCAGGACTCCGACGGCAATTGGACTCCATACATAGATGTAGACGGTGAAGATAATCCCTCTCAGCAGCCACTGGTAGGCATCGATGAAATACAGGAGTTCAATGAGCAGGAGGTTCAAGTCGAAAACCACTCTGCTCAAGTTGTCCCATGCCCCGACCGCGTTGAGTCCCTGACGCTTCCAGATATACTTCCGGAATTATCATCATCCCATACTATGAACCTCATCACTTACGATCAGTTCACAAATGTCGAAGATCAAATATTTGCGCAGACTATGAGTTTTCAAGGACGAGTTGCACAGTCGCCGATGCGCTTTGAGCCTGACGTTAACGTTGCGGGCCCAGCCTTGGAGTTCGAAAATTTCGAGCTGCAGTTGGATGATACGGCTCAATTTTCTTTTTGGTCAATGTTCTTAAAGGATTTGCCTTTTGAACGATTTGAGCGTGGCTTGTTGTCAAAAGGTCTTCAGCTTATGCACTCTCCGCCCGACTGCCGATTACTATCCGGGCCTGGGAACCGGGCGATGATGTTCCTCTTAGAGGCCGTCACTGCTATGACGAATGCTAATGGGAAGTCTGTCAACGCAAACGCTGCCGATGCCAGACTTACCCTACAAACTTTGGACACACTTCTTCCAAACCAGCAGCTAGATTATGGGAATAATGAAGTGACCAGCCTCTCACAGAAAGGTTCCGAGGTTGAAATGTGTCGGATACTTCTATTCTCGGCTGCGAATGGGTTTAGTGGTATGAAGGGTATACCGCTCGAAGTCTTACCTAAATTCCTTGAGCATAATAGCAACGTTATCAAGCTATTACCACGCCTATTCCACGATAAGCCAAATCACGTTACAAAGGCTCTTGCAGAAAATCTATTTCCTACGTGGATAGAATCCGGAGACTATATGGCAATCAGACTCGTCCTCAAAACAGGCTTAGTAGACGTTAACAAAATATGCTGCTTCGTTGAAGGTGAAAAGTATACGCCCCTTGAGCGACTTGCCAAGCTTCAGAATCTACGAGCAATTCACGAGTTGCTCCAATTCAAAGTTGATGTAAACCGAAAATTTTCCAATGGCAATATATACAGCACGGGGGCCTTGGAGCATTTGATAGAGGTATTCCAAGGGGAAACCTTTGATGCTCGTTGTCATAGTACTTTCCCCCAAGACTGGCTCGATACGGTAGATGCCTTAATACGGGCGGGGGCGGAAGTGCAGGTACTTCTCGTTCGAAGGGCACTCCAAGGGTTTGTTCAAATGGACCTTGCTAAGAAGCTCTTAAATGGGCTCAAACCGGCGCAGCATTCCGACTTTATATCCGAAGATTACTACGGTGGATCTCATGGGCTAGACTTGATCGCACGAAATTTTACGGATGAAGAGGCCGAAAAAGCGTTCACCAAGATAGTATTTGACGACTGCGAGCGGAGTGGCTGCAAACAATGTTTGAGCCGGTACCCGAAGGAAATAAATTGGGCAATCTGCACTGGTGCTAGTCGTGGCTACATCCAACTTGTGCGATCCTATTTCCAATATGCTGAAGATTCCGCTGCAGTACTCGCTGCAGCAATTGAGGGTGGTTGTGACGAACTTGTCGAATTCCTTCTTACCCAGAACCCCGACATGCATCCTACTTATAACTATAACCCGAGATCTAATATTATATACCAAACACCACTATCTAGCGCAATAGAAGCAGAAAATGCTACTCTAGTGAGAGAGCTAGAGAGTAGGGGCGCCTTAGAGCACCTTGACAAGGAAGATGAATATCGGCATTATTGGTATGAGTTCTCTGCTGCGCTATCTGCTGCTGCTGGTGTGGGAAACTTGGGGTATATGAAGAAGCTACTGGCGCTCTGTCCCAAAATTGAAAGTTACGGACTAGACGAGGCGTTAAAACATGCGCGCGAAAATAATCGAGAGGGCGTTGTGCAATTCTTACTTGATGCGGGAGTCTCACCCTCCGGAATACACCGACCTGAACCAATCTCGGAACGTTTCATTCGAGCATACGGCAACAAGTCGCTTTTGTCTAACCTAATTTCTGACTACCCAGACTTTGCGATAGGTCGTGAGGGGAAATGCGATGTACTCAGAAAAGATCTGGAGTCAGGGAATATGGACATGCTTAATTTCTTTATTGAGCAGTCTGTAATTATCGATAGAAAGTTCTTGACTGATTGCTTACGAATTGCAGTTGAGCAACGAAACGGTACAATGCTTCGCCGTTTACTCGAATTAGGCGCAGATATATTCGACGAAGACTTCAAAGATTCTATATTCTGTACCCCGCATATCGATATGCTACGGATATTGTTTGAGCGTGCTTCATCACTGAGGACTTGCATCCCTTTATTTGGAACGCGGGCTCTCGTGAATGCTATTGAAACAAGCGTCGATAGCGTTGAGGTTTTGGACTTATTCATTAACTGTAAAGCCACCGACTTAAAGTCCACGATCGCGCGTTGGAGGGTTGGAGAAAACGAGTGGTCCCCTCTAGGGGCAGCTATTGTGAAGGAAGCAGAGAGTCGTTCAATCGACTTCCCGTTGACCGGACGGCTCCTTGATGCAAACTGCGATATCAATGGGGTCGTATATATTGATAAAGACAAAGATAGGTTTTATCAATTTCTGACGCCACTCTTGGTGGCAATCGAGATGAAGAATCAACCCCTAGTCCGATTCCTTATAGGTCGCGGCGCCCAAGTCAATAAAAAAGCCACTGGAGGAATTAGAAGAACGCCTATTCAAGCTGCTGCAGAGAAGGGAAGTCTTGATATGGTAAAATTACTCCTTCGAAATGGTGCGGACGTTAACAACGAACCGGCAACTTTCGACGGTAGAACGGCGCTGCAATGTGCAGCTATGAGCGGAAATTGCAACATCGCCGCCTTATTGCTGGATTACTCCGCGAAAATATCTGCTCTTCCGTCTCCATTTGGTGGACGGTGGCCCATCGAAGCGGCAGCTGAGAATGGTCGACTTGACATGATCGAATTCCTCTGGAACGTCCTCTGGAATGCGAGCGGCATTGGTTTCCCGGTGGAGCAATGCCGCAAGGCGATACGACTTGCGAAGGAAAATGGCTATTTCGCATGCGCTGACTTAATACGGGAACTTGCCGTTTCTAATGGAATCATGCTTACGCTCGAAGGATCTGAATAGGGGTGACATGTCCTGTTTGGCTATCCATGATGTCGATCTCAAGCCCACATACTATTTACCCCTTAACACCTCATTGGGATTTCCTGCTGTTGCAAAGATCCAAACTAAACAATAGCGAAGGAGATGCCATGAGAATCAATCTGCAAGTCTCTAAGCATTCATAAGCTACGCTAACGATCCATATCCCAATTACCCCTCAAGAGCCTGCACAACCTGCGCCCAGTCCTCCGAAATATAAGCCCCAGGGACCTGGCCATCGAACAAGCTAGCCATAACCACACGATCAGCCTGCTCGCCCTGCCAAGGCTCCCGCCCATGCTGCGCAATGATATTATCGTACACCAGGACATCGCCCCGCTGCCACTTATGCAGCACGCGGATCTCGTCCGTGATCCTCGCCAGCGCAGCCAGATACTCCTCCGGGATCGGCGTCCCGTCCCCGAACAGCTGCTGCGTGACGTTCCGCCCGGAAGCCGCGTTGACCCGCGCGTTCTTGTAGTACGCGGCCAGCCCGGTGAACAGCGTGGGCAGATCCGTGCCGGGCTGCGTGCGGATCGCGGGGAGGCGGTGGGTCAGGACGACGCCGCTGCCGCCGTCGCCGTCGTCGTCGTCGATCCATTCCCACGTGGTGTACTTGCCGCGGCCGTACCGCGCGATCTGCGCCTCGATCTTAGCGCGCTGAGTCGCTTCGTCGTCGCCGTCCCGGATCTCCTTTCCGAAAGCCTGCTTGAGCGTCGAGCCGCCCGCGTATTGCCTGCCGGTCTTGTACGTGACTCTGCTGAGGATGCCCTTCTCCGCGAGCTGGGCGATGAAGTCGGGGATTTCCTGCTGCGCGCGGCGGAAGAGCTCGACGGAGGAGGAGATAGGGGTTTCCCCGCCTTGGCTGGGGACTCTGTGGCCGTAGAAGAATATGTACTCCGGGGCGTGGGGGACCTGGGGGGATTCGTTGTGGTTGTAGATTAGGACTTCCTTGGGCGATTCGTTGGCTGGGGCTACGTTGGGCGCGAGGAGCGGCCTGTCTACGACGATGCCGATGATTTCGTCTGCTTGGTGTTAGTGGGTTTGGGTTCGTTTTCCTTTCGGGGGTTAAATCCGGAGTACCGGAATAACGACATATATAACGATGAGAGTTGTTTAAGACATACTGCGACGGCGTTAGCTTTTATACATCATGATAAAATTTTAGAGAGCCCAAGATACATACCGTGGTTTATAACCAAAGGCATGGGCAAATCTGCTAAAGTCGTTCGCATCGTGAATTGGCAGACCCCTGAACAGTAGAGTTCCGTGAACAGCCAACTTCTTAGTCAATACTCCACCCTGTGCTTGGAGGTATTTCACCGTTTCAATAACGGTGTCGAGGTCGGGCACCGCATCGCTAGGAGTTGATGGCCGTAGGGCGAGAGGGATCACAGTGCCTTCCGGATGGGGCGGTCCGAGGACACGCTGATTGCTCGACGGGAGATCAAATTGTTCGAAGGCTAGCAACGGAGAAGCTATCTTCTCGGGCTCGAACGACTGTATCGTCGCTTGCTTTAGCGCGGTAGCCATGATGATATAAATTTATTTAAATTGCGCCTCATGTGAATATTCAATGTTACCTATAATTTATACCCAATCTTCGGAAGCTAATCTAGCTTTAATAATCGTGTAGATATAGCAGTTATAACACGGCGATAAAGCTTATACTAGGCCAGTATCGCCGCTGATAGCATCAACCTATCATGCCATATCCTGCCTCTCCTATACCCCTCGATTTCTAGACTAAAATCACGTCATTGCTTGGGAGGACAATGAAACCATGCATATTTGGCGTTAAGGTAGCATTGCGAACTATCAATACCGATAACCCCGCGTCTCATTATACTAGAACTTCTATTAGACGTCAAGCACATGGGAGAAGCACCACGTCTGCTTAGGGGCTGACACAACATACATACGCCACATACCCTGTTTAGCGAGCACGTCAGAGGTATAGAAACTCGCGTATGTTTTGTGATAAACTCAATGGGGAAATGTCTGGAGCGAGGGTTATCGTTGAGATATCTCCGACTTCAAAGTGATAACATTGACATCAACTTCTAAATAATATATATATTCACAAGCTTTTATGCTGACCTAAGGGACATTCCTAGATATTTGAATTAACTATACGTATAAACTTGGTTTATACTATTTCGTCTAACACATTCATTACTTTTTTAGCCGGCATCAGTCGCAATGTCCGGGGAGTCAATCATCGCCAAGGATGGGCTCAATATATCTACTCCAACCTCCGTCAAAGTCGTAAACGAGGACGGCATCCCACCGAAATCAGATAAAATCCCATTCTTCAGGAGCACTCTATTCCAGATTCTTGTGGTAGGTATATGCGCCTTCTCCGCACCCGGAATATGGACTGCCATGAACGGCCTCGGCGTAGGCGGATCGCAGAGCCCGGACCTCGTCAACGCCGCCAACGCGCTGCTCTACGCGTTCATGACGGTGACCTGTTTTGGCGGGCCGTGGTTGACGAATGCGATTGGGTTCCGCTGGACTCTTTCCATAGGGACCCTTGGATATCCCCTGTACGCGGCCGGGCTGTACGTCAATAATCGATGGGGCAATGTATGGTTTGTCTACGTCGGCGCCGTTGCGTGCGGCATCAGCGCGGGTTTCTTCTGGAGCGTGGAGGGGGCTATCTCGACGGGATATCCGGAGCATCACAAGCGAGGCCGTTACATCGCGACGTGGTTTACCTTCCGCAACTTTGGGAATGTTATCGGGGGCGCCATCTCGCTAGGTCTGAATGTCAACGTGAACCATCGCGGTCAAGTGGGATACCAAACCTATCTGGCTTTTATCGCTATCCAATGCCTCGGGTGTCTCCTTGCTCTTCTCCTTTCTAACCCCGACAAGGTGCAGAGAGATGATGGGACCCGCATCGAAGCGCCTAGGGGACTTCATTGGCGCACTGAGCTCCGCGAGATGTGGAGGCTGATGAGGAGCAAGTCAATCTTACTCTTGACGCCCCTTTTCTGGTACTTCGGCTGGACCCAGGCGTACCCGGGGACATACCTGGCAACATACTTCACAGTTCGATCGAGAGCCCTCGGCAGTTTCATGTCTGCTATCGTCGGCACTCTGGCTACTTGGCTGGGCGGCACGCTGGTCGACATTCACTGGACGAAGAAGAGGCAGACTCGTGCTATTAGCACATACGTCCTGATCGCCGGGCTTAACAGCGCGACGTGGATCTGGGCAGTATACATCCAGAACGAATATCGCCACACGCTTCCCGTCCTCGACTGGGGCAATCAAGCCGAGTTTGGGCGTGGCTTCGGCGTGTACATGTTTGAGCGGCTCAGCGCGGGACTGGTCGAGAATTACATCTATTGGTGTATCAGCAACTTGTCGGATTCTCCAGGCGACCAGATCAGATATAGCTCTTTGCTTCGGGGGATCGAAACGGCTGGTGTCGCGATAGGGTTCGGTATCCAGGCCGTTCCTACAGCGCTTATTGCTACGGCTAGCATTAACCTTGGGCTCTGGTTCGTTGCGTTGCCGTTTAGTTATTATGCTACTTTGAGGGTGGTGAAGAAGTTTAATGAGCTGGATAAGAAGCGCGATGAGAATATTGATGTTGAGACGACACATGCGTGATACTTTTTGAGGGTATATACAATCATAGTATAGTTGTCTAGTTTTAGGTAATTATTATCTCCTGTCTTGAAGTCATCCAGACCTTTACTAGCATATTTATAGCGCACTGTGTACGTTGATCACTTGCCGGCACTACAACTTTTTACGTAGGTAGGTACCTATTACTTTAGATTGTGATTCCCTAGATTATGGTGACATCGTTGTTATTGGTTATTATTAGGATTACAGGATTAGGATCTAGCTATTGTTTATATATGCGTATTGCAGGCAGTGACTGCCTCATTTACAATGAGTGCCTTAGTCACTAGTTGCTAGGGATCCACAAGATCGTGAACCATCACGTCGCAGTTACCTTTCCAAATCGCCCCTTCTTCAAAAGCCACACTTTCCCTACAAATCCGCGCCTTCCTCAGGCCGTATCCGGGCCCAATTTTTACCTCCTATTTTAACCTTGTGTTGATTCTAAGCTTTCTATCCTTCTACAACAACGCCCTTTCCTCTTGGTTTTATTCGAGTCAGTCACCGAAAGCCAGCCAGGGTTGAACTATCTGTCAACAATCGTGCCTGAACTGCACGTATCGTCGCTAAACCCGAGTGGCACGCAGATATATTCCCTAGGCACCTATCACACTTCACCATTATTCATCTAATCCACGAAAATGGCTGAATCATCATTTCACTACTCCTCCGTTCCTCAGCTAAATGGCGAAGACAACTTGAAAGCCTGGAAATATAGCATCCACCAATACTGCATCTATTACGATCTTGAGGGCTTTTTACTGGGTACCGAACCTGAACCCCAAGATGCTTGCGAAGCTTCAAGATGGCGCAAACGACGCGCACATTGCATGGTCATTCTTGCTTATTCTCTGAGGAACCCAGAAATAACAGGACAACTTAAAATAGCCGGCTGGAAGACGCATGAAAGAGACCCCAAGGTTGTGTACGACCTTGTTCTATCAACTATCCCGAAATTATGGGAACACCTCATCCCCCAACTCTTTAACCAGCTCATGGATCTCAAAGTGGATGCCGTCACATCATTGCATGCTTATACCATCAAATTTCAAGAGATCACAGACCGACTGCAGCAATTGGGTCTGCCTGTTGACGATAGGGTAAAGATGCTTATGGTTATGAGACAAGTCAAATCTCATTATCCTAGCTGGCATACTCGTGTCGAAGGAGACTTTCAAAAGGGCACCTTAACGTGGGAATCGCTCAATCTTGAGATCATCAATAGAGGATATATTTCAAGCGCTTGACAACTCGAGAAAGCCGCCAAGATATCAAAGAGAGGAGTGAGATGATTTTCGCATAATAAGCCACCACTTGTAGAATGGACAGAATGGATTAGGTAGCACGGTTATCCCACAATAGGACCATTCCAATAGGCCGACAGGCATATATTACCAGATGACCTACTTCATGAGATTTCCATATCACTCAAGTAGCTGCCTAATACGAAGATTATTTCATCTAGGTTAGCATATTGCGTCCTCTCCATGCAGCAGAAATAAATATAACAGTAGATAAGAGTTATACGAAGCTCAGCGCTATTAAGTACAGAAGCATATAATCCCCAAGAACTCCCACGATGCTTTATCCTCCGTACCAGGCAATTCAGCGATAACTGGCAGATTGAGGTTGTGCGGACTTGTCTGGGGAACATGCCCGGTGCGATGTAGCACAGCTTACCTACCTAGTACTAACTCTTAAGGCAGAGTATTTCTATTCTTTATTACTATTTTGATCAGCATTTTATATCAGTACCTAGGTAGATAGATACCTACGATCGTTCGGAATTAGTTGTCCAAGTATGATAGTAGTGGACCACTGGAGACCGGACGGAACCTCTCCTAAATAAGAGCGAGCATGAGAAAAGAGGGGGGGTTCTCGGACAACATCATTCAAGTGTTATAATCAGTTTCATGCTTTAGAGCCGAAGCAAACATTGATACTTCTCAATAACGCCCAACTCGCCCAAAGTCATAATAATCTAGCATCATAATCCCATATGGAGAGATCAGTCCCTGCAGGCAGCCATGGAACATAACCTCTCGGGAGCAACTCCTGCACCTTGGGATTTCGCGCGCGGACTATCGATACTCTGGCGAGGGTCTAGAATAAATCGCTCTAGTGGTTAACTCTAGAAGCCGAGGGACTTCCGCACCAACAAAGCGAACACTAGAAGCCCACACATACGTATAAGAACAGCCATCAAACCGTCTAGCCAAGAATGTCATGAAATATCATTATTCATTATGCAACCTCTATCAGATACCCATCATTAATCATACCAAAACTCTATGCGGGCTTAACAAATGCCCTAATCATGCGTCATAAGCGGTAGTAGGCCGAATAATATAGACCTCGCCAACAAGAATGGCACAACCGACAACCATAGAAATCGTGATAATCGGGAGGTTCACGCGGGCGAAATCGAGCCTTCGGACACGGATGTGCTTCCTGGCGAGGATGTCGCGCCAGAGGAGGCCGGCTAGAGATGCGCTGAAGGCTGTGCTGAATGCGCCGTAGTTGACGCCGAGCGCCATGCTATTGCGTATTAGTTAGCGGTGAGCAGTACGTGAGGTAGATGGAGATAGGGGTTGAATGTTGTCTGGCGCTTGGTAAACGGGTATAAATCACACCAAACGTTCCACGAGATAAAGATACGTACCTGTAAACCGTAGCCCAAAAAGTCCGGTTGGAGATGGGTGTGTTATTGGCTTGATGAATCTTCTGCCACGCCTGGATTACGCGGGAGAGAAGGATGGTGGTACCAATGTTGGTTCCCGCAAACTAAACCGGGCTCAGGGGTTAGCCGATCAAGATCAGATACTGAGGTAAATATCAGGTACCTAATAAATGAAGTTGTTTGAAAACTTACGTTGCAAAGTATCACGGAAAGAAATCCCATCCCGCCAACACTGCCGATCGTCCCCGTCTTATTCACCCAATGGTTCCAGCCGTAAGCAAATACGGGCACCCAACCTTTCGTAACCAAAGCTTGCACGAGGACAAACATGGAGAAGGCAAAGGGGACGAGTGCGAAGGGTAGATGGCTCATAACTACCGCTGCCGTTGGGAATGTCTCCTGCGCCCATCTATAACCGTCTATAGTTAGCGATACTAGCGTCGCTTTTTCATTTTCTTGGTGGATTGAGACGCTGTAACGGGGTTGCTTTTCCGTATCCACCTCTCGTTCGAATGGAATTCGGCTCTTTTCACTTATATCTCCGCTCAGTATCCCCCCAGATGGCGTCGATGAGTCTGCATGGATTGGTCTCTGGTTTCCGCCAGGCGTATTCGTCGCGCTAGTAGGGCAACCCTCGTGTAATTGGACCTCCTCACTCGGCAGCTTTATACTAGCTTTCTCGGCTCCTATAGTGATCTCGTCATCTGTGTTTGAACCGGCTAGGCTAGCGCGGGATCTGATACCACCGGTAGTGTCATGCTGGTTCTGAGATTTGGTATCCAGAGAACGGCTGTGTGACGTGCTAGGTTGAGTATCGACACCACCACTTTGCTGCTCTTGCTCTGGGTTGTGACTCGAAGTCATCCCCTCCAGTTCTTGGATTTCCCTAGCAAGTCGCTCGGCCCGAGCTCGTTCGATATCACGTCGGCCATCACGGGCGATCTTTCGTGTCTCTCCGCGATGAATCCATCCAAATGTAATGTCCCAACAAAACATGACAAACGCAGCTGGCAGAGTCACGTAAAAGACAGGGTGTTCACCGGTGCTCTGACTGGCGGCATTAATCGCAAGGATAGTGATAAGTGTTGCAGCCATGATGACGGCTCCAAATGCTGCGCCGCCCTTATCCAGGAAGGGGTTCATGATCTCTTCTAAAGATAGCAACTTGCTTTGTTCGCTGTTTGACGGACCATCCTCTTGTTCCTCGGCATTTCCCCTGGCATGGGGAATGTTAGGATTAACAGGTTTTTTAGCTTTTGCCTCTTCCGAAAGCTCATGCATCTGGATTGAGAGAGGGATAAGGGTTTCATCCGCGAATACGATGTAAAGGAGGAAGGGGAAAAGTACAATTGCTGTGATAACGACAGGGACGATCATATTGGCGGTGTAATCGATAAACCTGATATTGAAAGCGCCCGCGAGAACAAGATTGGTAGGATTAGATGACACCAAAATTGCCGATGCAATGTTCGCTACGGCAAATTGGGCGAAAATCCACGCTCTGGGATGTACGATGTTGCTCGAGACCCGGGTCATGTACGCAAGGAAGGCCGTGCCAGATAGGATGATGGGATCGTTGCCAATAAAGGTGCCAAGGCTAAAGAAGAAGGCATACAGGTAAAAAAAGAGCCTGTGGCCAAACTTCCCTCCTTTTTGGAGCACCTTAAACGCGAGGTATCTGATAAGACCAGAAGCATCGATAGAGATGGCGATATACGCCAGCGTTATGAAAAAGGCCATGATGTCGATGGGCGAGATGTGGTTAGCACCAATGGTACCACCGTACACCTCCTCTCGGCCAATTGCTAGAATAGCTAGCAGAAAGAGATCCGCTATCAGAGGCGCCGTCACAAAGTTCATGGGGAACCTAAGCCGTACGAAATGCCTAGCTATACCATGTTTCTCCTCGTCGCGATCATTATCAAGGCCAGCCTCATATTGAGAGCCTTTTTGCCGTGGGCCTATCACTCGCAAAGCAACTAGAGCATTCAGTATGGCATTTGAAATTGCCCGAGGGATGTACAATGGGATATGAAAGGGGAAAAGCACAATGATATCTGCGTGGTAGTGTAAGTAGATTGATCGAAAATGTCGTATGCTTGGGTAGATTTCGTACTTACTAGTGATGACGAAAACCACGAGGGTAACGATCGATCTCCATTCTCGAATTATATTAGTATCAAGATCGATATCGATATCGCCGAGGTCCTCAGCCATTTTGACAGTTTTTTTTTCGGAAAGGCTAGTTGATTTGTCTTGGCAAAAACTTCGTGTTCCCGTAGTATTATATCCCAATTAAATCCCAAAGATATATTGCGATATTACCCAGGAAGATTCCTTAGGAGAAAAGGAGTATGCAATCCCACTAGACATAGCCTAACATGTATATATAATGTTTTTAAAACGAAACCCTCCTTAACGCGTACATTCTGTGACGATGGGGATTTAAGACTGACGAGATTGAAGCGGTCTGAATTAGATATCTTTGGGCGGTGGGGTTAGACGGTAGAATATCTGATGGAGGCTGAAAATGGCCAAGACACTCGGGTACCTGAAAATAAAATTGTACACACCTCCACAGAACTAATTACTATTACATATATGCGTGACTCTCCTCTTCAAAACAAATGGTATCTACGAACGAGTATTAAGACAAAAGGTAAGAGAGTGAAAAAAGGGCTATGACAATGGTTGAATATTAGAAGCTATGATAGAGGCTTACTATCAGCCGCTCGTTCTAGTCAAGTTCTTCCAGTTAGGCTCTTTGTCACTGTGGCTGTGTCTGTCGAATAATAATTTAATCACGCTAGCTATGCAATTGTATGTATTGTAGTGTATAAAATCAGGGTTATGCGAATGCGGGTATCCCTATTTGCCAATCGGGATCGGGAAATGAAGCGATTGGTGTAACGCGATTAGCGGCATCCAAGAAAGGAAGGATGCGGAGAAGATCCAGTAAAACATGGTGGATTCCGGGGTTAGGCCCGCTTTATCATCCCTATTCTGTGGTTCGGTCTAGGAAGTGCGTCATTCCGTAGTCAGGTGTCTCACCTTCTAAGCGGCCCTAAGCCTTAAAGAATCCTACATCGCACAATACCTACAATACAAACGATAACCACCAAATAGTCGCCGGCTTATTATGTACCTACTCGTTCGTATTCATAAATGTATGATAATCAAAATGAGATGGGATTGAGGCTGAACAAAATCGCCCTCGGTGGCCCAGAACCGATCCGGGGCGGTGCTCGTTGGTGTTGGCGTTGGCGTTGGCGACGTATTCTAATTCAGCTGACGGGATCTTGCTTACTTTGACCATACCTACCTACATATACTTACTTGGCTGTTTGGGCAATATTGGATTACCTGTGATCATTTTACGCGTTCGTTTCGTTAGCCCTACGTTTTAGAACTGCGAGGCGATCGATGCATTTGAAGACTTATTCTGCCACTTCCACGCTTTATATCTATCTGTCCTAGCTCCTAGCCAGACTACCTACAAAACAACGCAGTGAAATAAATGTTCGAGATGGGACATTTCTCATTTGCAATCCCTCCATACCCCCCCGTACGAATGTGATTAGCACGTCTGTTTACTCCTTTTGGAGTCGTCTTTCCTAGGTCATGCCAGCGCTTCCTTCGACCTTGCTGCTGAATACCGTTGCCGGTCGAAACGTAACGCTCGAATCTGCTATTTCCCTGGCTTCTAATGCTACCAATGCTACTAACACAGACGAAATTGCCCAGGTCATCTGCGCCTGGCCGGTGTCAGGGCAGTATGGACCGGGATCGAGGGTCTTGTAAGTTGCCCTACTCGTTTGTACACAGCTCTCTATACCATTATCATTAAGTCATTATAACAAACTGATGATTGATATCTTTATAGATACTATGTCCTTGTAGCAGCTTGTGTCTTTGCTCGAAAAGCAGAGTGGCTTAGAAACGCCTGTCTAGCAGCTGCGTGTAAGTACCCAGCCCTCTACTCTTGTCGTTTGTCTATTACAGTAACCCGAAGCACTTATACAACACAATGTATACGAGAAATAGTAACTAATACGACGAATTATAGTGATTTTCCCTGCCGTCGCAGCTCTTCATGGCATTGTTCTCGCCTCGGTGCACGTAGATAGTAAGTGTTTCGAACGTCAAGCCAAAGCTTTACAACAATTAGCTAATAGCGCTTTACCTTAGCTGCCGTTGATATGGACATCTATGGGGCCTTTCAGTTTTGCTCGATTGGGATCCTAGCGGCTCCATTGTCAGTCAGGATATCTCGAACCTATTTCGAAAACCCTGGCCGGAACATAATCTTTCTTTGGACTGGCATTGTTCTTGCCGGTAAGCTTCATGTACTTCCATTACGGGTTTCGGGATATACGCTTACGAACGAAGGTCTACTCAGTTTGACAGTCGAGTTCTTTCGGATCACAACATCACCTTGCACGCACGACGAGTCGGGTCATCCTATCCCTCTTCATGACCCTAAGAATTTCCCCTACGAGAATGCCTCTTGTAACCTCACCTGCTCCATCGAGAAAGGGCCCCAGTCTCCCCTACGGCAAGGAGCTACGAATGAAATCTATGTCATACCAGCACCGAACAGACTCGCCTTCAACGCCGTTACGCTTCTCGCAGCAGCTTGCTGTATTCCCGCTGTCCTCTCGCTCGTGTCAATGTGGAATAAAATCCTTGAGATCAACTGGAAGTCAAGGTTCGGCCCAGCAAAAGGGGACCAGCTGATAGAAGGGTAAGAATATCTTAATAATCTATTTCCATCATTTAACCTATAGATAGTACATGTCGTCACGAAATAGGCACCTAATTATCATTAGCTTGGATTACCTATATATAACCTTTCCTCCCTTCAAGGATATCCGTTACTAACAATAAGTGCTACTAATAGGACGAATGGTGCCACCGTCGCGGCGATGAGTAAAGTCAATCACCACGTCAGGCTTTTCTTAAGCACACTAGAGGTTCCTCTATTCAGCGCTGCAGTAATCGCAATCATCATATTCGGCGAATTGAACTTCTTCAGCCCCGAAGTCTCATACCAGACTGAACCAATGGGTAGCATAGGTATGTGTTAATGGGCATTCGTAGCTAGTTCGAAATGCTGATAGTCATGTTCACAGGACAGGTTAGCAACCAACTATCTTCATCCCAACTCACTCTATGACTTCTTCCCATCCTTAAGACTGTCATAGAATTCTCAATCTTACCCGGGACATTTTACTAATTGCGGCACTCTGAATAGTGGGCACCCCTTGTCGGTACCGGACTTGCTGCGTTAGGGTCTCTTTATATGCTTCTAGCGGTAGATATAGAAGCTACGAAGAGAGGCGCGAACCTGTCGGATCCTATTCATCACTTCGATGACGGACAACATCCCACTAGACCCAGGGCCAGCTCTTCTCTACATAGCGGGGGTATTGAAATCACGCACTGTGATGACATTACCCATCCGGAGCATGACTTAAGAAGCTCTCCATCTATGCAAGATATGAACGGTGGTCTTTTCATTAGTTCCTCTCACTCCGTCGCCGCCCCGAGTACAGCCCACGTTCGGTCCAGCTCTTCAAACAGCGGAAGAGAAACCTCAACCGAAATTGCGCCCACCGAAAGTCGGCCATCTATGCACGACATAGGCAACAGGCGTAAAGTGTACAATACGCTGCTGGTCGTTAGCAATTACCTAGGCACAGCATCACATGATCGGTTCGACGATTCCGAGTTTAAGCACGGGAAAGCAATAGACTTCCCCGAGATCCCGGCGGAAGATAAGCGAAACCCGGACCTAGCTCGGGTTAGGGAGGCTTATAATCATCATCGCAACGACGACGAGAGCGCTAGCATACGGCCGTCGAGAGCAGGTAGCTTCGCCGGTAGTATTTCCTCTAGATATAGTATTGAAGGTAGTCCGACGATGACACGAGCAATATCAGCTCCACACCCACCCTCCCCCGTATCACGTTCATCATCACCGTCGCCTTCGACACGTGGAGTCCAGCACTCGAATACCTTACCGGCCGGCCAGAGCTCATTCGACGTACAATATCAAGACGCGTCATCGTCTGCCGGACAAACCAGAGGCAGGCCAAGACAACGACGGGACACGCTAGAGGTCCCGGTGGTCCATCCTAGTTCCTCGCGGGCCATGCAACCCTCTTCGCCAGCTGCGTCCGTTACTACTATAACCAATAGCCAGGGCTCTCCTGCAATTGTTATATCGCCTGATCCCGATACCGGCTCTACTATAGACGATATCCCTGTCCTCAACTCCCCTACCATTCGACCGAGCGAGCTAGACCCAGCACCGCAACCGAAAGCCTCACCCTACCATGAAAGGGGTACTTTCTTGGAGGGACGCTTACAAAAATCTTACGAACAAACTGAAGAAAGACTTAAACCTATGGTTGGACGCATCAAAATTCCACGACTACCTATCTTAATAGACCCCTCCGAGACGTCGTCTACATAGAACGATCGGGGCTTCTCAAATTACGGAATAAGACGGCCTACAGAAATACCCAAGTCTCATGTAACTACTGGATTTCGCTTTCATTTATTTAGTATATTGGTCTACTATAACGATAGGCTCCATTCGTGTTACGAATTGGATAACCCCAGACCCGCCTTGCCGACTCAACTAGGCAGTTTACGATCATAATGACGAGAAGAACATATTGGAATGTAATGCTATATTGTATATAAACGGTACCTTTACGAGGTGTTTTGGACATTTTGCCCATTTTGATGGAAATAGATTACATCGGCCCTAGAGATAGGAGTAAACCGACGACATATTAGGTACATAAGTTAAGAATGGCGAGGTGGTATATAGAGCAAGGTGTTTAGCGTATTACTTTAAATGTATCTAACTTATTCGCAAATGTTACTAACGTAATAAATCCACAACCCAGAGCTTCCAGTAGCGCATGCAGTTTTACCCCTTAATAAACCCAACTACCCATCAACACTAACACAACGATAAATTGAGACGGAAGATATATAAATTGAATATCCTTCCCGAGCCTTAAGCCATCTGCTTTACCTTCTTAGCTACCATTCTTTGACTAATGCCAAGTCAACATAGTTAGGGGCTTTACCTACCCCTGAATCAAGTCCAACATATTCATATCACAAGTACCTAGATCACACAAGGCCGACCAATTCCTAAACATTTTTTTTGTCTTGTTCCAAATCCTAGCGCTAGGGAAGCGCATTTATCTAAGTTATGTAGGTAGGTATCTATCTTATCGGAAGAGTCTGACTCTGTAATAACTTCTTGACCTCCTCGACCAAATTCTCTCTCGAGACAAGCTGTCCCTGGTCTTTCTCGTCCTTCTCGCCTTCTTTGCCACCCTTCCCGGTTCCTAAAACCTTTAATCGCACCTTGCCCTCTGCAAGCTCGTCCTGACCTAAGATAATGCCGAGCGGCACTTCTTCGGCAGCCTTGAACTGTTGTGGTAGACGGGGCTTGACCTTGGCGCTGAATTCGGCGCGGATGCCGGCTTCCCATAGCTGTCGCGCGATCGACATACGCTCTAGCAGCAGGCCGTTGAACTCCTTGCCACCGAACGCCATGACGTATACGTCGACCTGACGCGAGCGGCCTTCATTCTCGCCGCGCCGCGCTTTGAGGATAGTGAAAATGCGGTCGACGCCGAACGAGATGCCCACGCAGGGGATCTGCTTCTTGCCGTACATGCCAACAAGGTTGTCATATCGGCCACCTGCAGCGATACTACCTACGGCAGAAGCGTCTGCATTCTTGGATGACTTCTCCGGATATCGTGTGCCGTCCTTGTCCTTTGTATCGGCCGGTTTTTGGATGACCTCGAAGATCAGCCCTGTGTAGTAGTCCAGGCCTCGCGCCAGCGACAGGTCGAACGAGACGTTATCGAAGGTGCCTAGTGCTTTAGAATAAGAAGATAGGAGATCCATATCGGCAAGTCCAGCTTTTATCTCCTCATTGGCCGAAAGGTTCGGGTCGGCCTTAATAAACTCTATCATTTCGTCAATGGTACCGCGGTTCAGTACGAACACTCCAATTTTGTCGGCGACCTCCTCGGGGAGACCCTTTTGCTCAACCATTTCTTTCTTAACGACGTCCCAGGGTTCCTTATCCAACTTATCTACCGCTGAGCTAATTGGGCGTATCTTGTCTGCGGGAACACCTGCGACGGAAAATATGCCGTCTAGGATTCGTCTGTGGTTGGTCTTGATGGTAATGTCGAGCCCGAGGGCATTGAATGTTTCGACGATGACACGTAATATCTCTGCGTCGGGTATTATGGGGTCGTAGGCTCCGGCGATGTCGAAGTCGCACTGGTAGAACTCGCGCATCCTGCCTCGGGCGATGGCCGGCTGGTCGCGACGGTAGACCTTAGCGATCTGGTAACGCTTGATTTGCTGAACATTGTTCATAGCTAGCCAACGGGCGAAAGGCACTGTTAGATCGTAGCGTAGGGCGCATAGCTCGCCGCCCTGATCTTCGAGGTTATATATCAGACGGGCCTCCTCGCCATATTTGCCAGCCAGAATTTCCTTTAATTCGAATACGGGGGTGTCGAGGGGAGTGCCGCCGTGGAGTTTGAATATATTGCTGATGGTCTCACTGGATACTAGATTAACAAACGGGCGGTGTAAATGGTGACGGGCGAAACGTACAAGACGTGATCTCGTAGGAGAAGGTCTGCGCCCGACCAGTCGCGTGTACCCTTGGGCGCCTTCAGGGATATCTTGGCCTCTTTAGAAGCCATGTCGCCAGTTCCGGCAGAGGGGGGATATTGGTGGACAGACGATTGACACAACAGACTTGAAGGGCTAAAGAATGTTCTGGTGGTAAATGATGGTGATCTGAGCCAAGTAGAAGTTATTAGCCTATTCCCTCTGTAGAGCGCACGCAGCATTGCTTGGTGTGCCCCGCGTCGTATAGCCCGAAAAAAAAAGAGCGATTGAGGAGGGATGACTCAATGAGAGTTACCTCACTAACGTGGGGTTATACAGTTATCATGTGACATAAGGGACGTATCTGATATCGATAAGATATATCTACAGAGATGCGTACCTAGGTACCCACCTAACTTACATACAGTCGACAGCTCTTACCCCTGTCGAATCGATAATGTATAGAATGCAGGAACCAGGGGCTATCGATAACACATAATAAAATGGAGCTTCAGTTCGTAGAGCTGGTGGTACGATCATATCCTGCAATTGAACAACATCCATCAAGGAGATCATGCCAAAAGTTCCTCGGTTGAGTTGTGAACTAGCTATGTGATGATATATTCACTCAACTAGAAAGTGGTAGGGTAGGATATATATAAAATGGCGGCCAAAGATCTCGTTCAATGGATCGATGAATTCAGCATCCTCATACGAGGATTTCCGTACGTTTCTAGGTCTTCAATATTACCCCTTCTTCACGGCTATCTCATAACGACTCATATACAGGATCAAAGACTTCGCCTTCGCTGCGTTCCCCGTCATATTTGCCGTAGTTGGTGGTCTAATACTCTACAACACCCATACCGACTACTGGGATAAACCCAAGCGATACACCGTCCCAGCTCCCAAGAAACCCGACGAGCTCAAGATCCTCGACAATCCTACCATCAAGGTTTCCGGTACAACGGCCATTCAATGTTACGCCCCAGCCACAGGCCAATTCCTCGGCTTCGTCAACCCCTCCACGCCCGACGGCATCGATCGTGCCATTGCCCAGTCAGCAGCGGCACAGAAGCAATGGGCCAAGACCACGTTTAGCGAGCGGAGGAAGGTGTTGCGTACCATGTTGCAACATGTACTTGATAATCAGGAACAAATATGCCAAGTAAGCTCTTTAGATTCGGGTAAGACCATGCTAGATGCTCAGCTGGGCGAGATCATGGTCACGGCCGAGAAGCTAGAATGGACTATCAAGCACGGCGAGAAGGCCCTGCGTCCGAGCCGACGTCCGACAAATCTACTCATGGCGTATAAGAAGAATACGGTTCAATACGAACCCTTAGGTGTCGTGGCGGCTCTGGTCAGTTGGAATTACCCCTTTCATAATATGATAGGTCCTATGATCAGTGCTATCTTTGCCGGAAATGGTATTGTTGTGAAAGTTAGCGAGCAGACGTGCTGGAGCGCCGCGTATTACACGAGCATTGTAAGGGGCGCACTAGTAGCACATGGTCACGATCCCCAGCTGATACAGACCGTCGTCTGCTGGCCTCAAACTGCTGGACATTTAACGAGTCATCCTGGCATCAGTCATCTTACTTTTATCGGCAGCCGACCCGTATGCCACCATGTTGCCTCCAGCGCAGCCAAGAGCCTCATCCCCTTAGTCGCAGAGCTTGGTGGTAAAGATGCTGCTATTGTACTCGACTCAGCGGAATCCGACCTTAAGCGGATCGTTGAGACTCTACTACGTGGAACCTTCCAGGCCTCGGGACAGAACTGCATCGGTATCGAGCGAATTATTGCCGCACCTGGTGTTTACGACAAACTTGTAGCTATGCTCGGACCCCGCGTCAAAGCTCTCCGCCTCGGCCTCGACAAAGATGTCGGTGCCATGGTATCGGATGCCTCATTCACACGACTCGAGAACCTGGTCAAAGACGCCGTAGCCAACGGTGCACGACTCCTCGCCGGTGGCACTCGATACATACATCCTGACCACCCCAAGGGTTTCTACTTCCAGCCGACTCTCCTTGTCGACGTAACGCCCGACATGGCGATCGCGAATGAAGAGTGTTTCGGACCGATCATGACGATCCTTCGGTCCCCCTCGCCCAGCGCTGCAGAACTCTTACGTCTGGCCAATGCCCCCGACTTCGGCCTTGGCGCCTCAGTCTACGGGCGAGACTCAGACCCAATCTTGAAAGAAGTCGTCCACGGCGTGCGCGCAGGCGGCGTAGCCGTCAATGACTTTGCGGTGTTTTACGCTGTACAATTACCATTCGGCGGCGTCGGCGGCTCGGGATACGGACGCTTCGCAGCCGAGGAGGGATTGCGGGGCCTGTGTAATCTGAAGAGCATATGCGAGGACCGGTTCGCCTTCCTAGGGATACGGACGTCTATCCCGCCGCCCGTGCAGTATCCCGTCGGGAGCCAGGAGCGCGGATGGAGATTCGCGAAGGGTGTTGTGGGGGTTGGGTATGCGCTTACGCTGGGGGGAAAGGTGAAGGGTGTGTTAGATATTCTGAGGAATATGTAGGGTGGGGCGGAAACGATTATGAAGAGGAGACAAAGATGAGAAATGAAGATATGAAGAGGCGGGCAGGGGAGCTTGTATAGAGTGAGCCATCTGCATACATTACCTACTTAGATACCCCCAAGAGGTACCTACCTATGCACCTACCATATATAATGTTAATCGCATATAATCTGAATCCTCCTTCGTGACGGCGTTTAGGGTGTAGTAATTCGCTTCTGTTTTATTACTTCCGTTGATAACGTAGTATACGTGAAATATAACGGCGAGGTAAGACAGCATGCAGTGTAAGGCACCTTGTGTAGCAAGTAAACAATGCATTGGTATCGAAGTATCTACCTAGCCCTTCCCTTCGGAGAACTTCTCCTAAGTCCATTTATTTCTTGCCATCCTTCGTTTTACCTTTTCCTTTTCATTACTCCTTTAGTAGGGTATAAATCTACCAACCACCTCGCCATTCCTCAGAACTCCACTCCTACAATAGCATTCATACATACCTAGGTACTTTTTTATCTAGTTATTCCCTTATAAACACACTTATGCACCTAAAGTAGCGCGTGAACTGCAACTACCTACCTACAAGGAGGACCAGGACCCCTTATATGTAGGTAGGTACCTAATCCTTACAGCGCCCTCGCAACCATACATACACCCACCCCATCGTCTACGCAGCCGGAGCAACAAGCCTCCGCTGGATCTTCACCAAATTGCCAAAATCGAGCTTCTTCGCGTCCTCCGCCGGGGGCATATGCTCGCCGGACGCGATGCACAGCACGCGCATGCGCTCGTCGTATCGCAGGCCGGTGAGGAGTTTGGGCGTGATGAGGAAGTACTGGCTCGTGTGCTCGCGACACGCGATCTCGACCATGCGCTCGTGCACCATGCGCTCGTTGCGCGGGTCCATGCCCTGGTTGATCTCGTCGACGACGCGGAAGGGTGCCTGCGCCATGCTCTGCAGCGCCATGAGGTAGAAGATGGTGGAGACGGCGCGCTCGCCGCCGGATTGGCGGTGTTGGTTTAGTTGTTGGAGGGTTTCGTTTTCGCTGCATGGACGTGGGGTGTTAGTATACCTTCTAGTTATCTTCTTTAGAGGGGGAAGAGGTAAGCTTACCGGAATTTGACCTTGATCTCGATGGCCCACTGCTCAAAGTCCTCGTCCTTGTGAATGCCGACCTCGCCCGCGCAGTTGATCTGCTCGAAGTTGTAGCTAAAGGCATCGTTGATCTTGCCGACAACGTCGTCGACGCCGGGCTCCCATTGCTCCATGACTTGCTTGATCTTCCTGACATACGTTTCGAGCTTCGCGTTCAGCTCCTCCTTCTTGCGCGTCAGCTCTTGGATATCCTGCGCGCGCTTCTCGTACTGTCGTAGGATCGCGGGGTCGACCCCGTGAATCAGCTCGAGTTTAGTAGACTCGGCGCCGATCTCGAGATCGACTTCCTCCGCGGTTTTATCCTCCGCTAAGCCGGTCAGGTAAGCGAGTCGGTCATCGCCACCGTCGTCAACGGCTTCTTCTACTTTACGCTTGGCATCAATTGCTGCCTCTTTCAACCTCAGCATCTCGGCTTTGGCGTTTTTGATCTCGTCTCTCTTCTCATCAAGCTGTTGCTTGATATTGGAGTTTTGTTCTTCCAAACCTTTGACATCCGACTCGGCTTCAATAAGGCGGATCTGAGCCTCTAGCAATGCTTGGTGGGCATCGCGGATCTGAGGAAGCTGTTCTTTATGTTTCAGAACGGACCGAGCCTTCTCGATAACGAGCTGGTCCTCTTGGGCGCTATATTCAAATATTCGCTTTCGACATTCTAGAAGGTCTTTCTGCGTGTTTTCTAGGGCTCTCTTCTCCGTTGCTATATTTTTTGTTAGTCAGTGCTGCTATTCGTTGGGCAGTATCTACTTACCGATTTTATCTCCAAGCGTTGCATATAGCGTGGCAGCTTTCTGCAACTCGTTCTTCTCTCTCCTAAGTACGTCCTGTGGCGTTGTTAGAATCGCGAGCTATATATACATACATGGGTTAACAGAGGTTACTCACTATTTGTTGGCGGGTCGGCTCTACAGCCTCGTCTAGTTCTGCGATACGTCTCTTAATTTCATGTCCCTGTGCTCGTATCTCCCGTAACTCTTCATTCGCTTCGTCAATACGTCTTTGCAGCGCATTTCTTTCAGCCTGGTCAACAGGTTGGTTTGTCCAGAACTGGCCCTGCTGAACTTTTCTCGTAGAAGTTGAGACTGCATTGGCATATTCCCTGCGCCTCGTAATACGATACGTAAAGGGGCCAGAGGCCCAACTGGCTATCCCCTGACAGCTTGCTATCAGTTCATATTGCTCATTACTGATATCCCGAAGAGCAACTCCGGAGGTGTGTAGCCTCCTCTCGGAACAGAGCATCGCGAGAACTGGCTCCGGGCCTTCTAGATACTCAATGGCGTATGCGTCAAGACCCATCTCGCGAATTTGTTCCTTAGGAATGACCGGTCGAAATGAGGAGAACTCGCTACCACAAGTCCTGATTGTTACTGAAATGCCTAGCTTATTAAAGAACTGTGCGCTTAGCTTTTTGTGGTCGTTACGAGTTTGGCAGGTGAAGCAAAAGAAGTCATCCCTAGAGATGAGCGACTGGATTTGATCCGAATACTGCGGATTTGTGATGGAACAGTTGAGCATTGGCGGACCAAAGACCTCCTTCTCGAACTCATTTTGATTCTCTCGGAGCCATTCCCAACCTTTCGCAGCATCTTGGTGGACTTTTTTCAAATGAACAAGTTTCTGACCCTCTTGAGAGTTTAGAGCTTCCAAGTCCTTTTCGTATTGTTCCCTCTCTTGATTCTTCCGAGAATTTTTATCCTTCAGATCGTCGAGTTGACTACGTAATGTACGTTTCTCTGCTTCATTTTCACGCAGTATATGCTCTTGTTGTCGCTAGGTGTGTAAATCAGCAATAGAAAACTATGGGGGATAAGGATATTATCACTTACAATTTTCTGATTCCAATCAGAAGCAACAAACTCCGGGGGCTTGTTCTGCAATTTAGCCTCGAGATCCGTAATCGTCCTGCGTATTTTTGCGAGATCATTTCGCTTGGAGTTATGAGACCCTTCCTCTGCAACCTTCTTGTTTTGAATATGCTTTATCTGTTCTTCTTGGGCCTCGATATTCTGCAAAAGTCGATCGCATGCAGCCTCAGCATTCTTCAACGCATTCTTTCGCTCCCCGACTACGGCTTCGATTCGTTGCCGATATTCCTGCTTTCGATTGACAGCCTGTAGGGCAGGTCCACACGCTTCTTCCAGCTCCTGTAGCCTCTTGACCGCATCTTTGCTCCTTTGTTTCGCGTCGCTTACTATGCGACGAAGGTTATTATATTCAGCAATGGCACGGGCATTATGGAGGTCTTTGATCCTCTTCTGGATCGCTTCTCTTTCGCGAAGTCTATCTACGTCGGCCTGCGATCCCTGTTGGCGTGTCTCGTGGCCTTTCAAAGTCTCGGCGCAGGCGTCAAGTCTACTTTTGACCTCTTTATGCTTCTTATGTAGCTCCTTCAGTTGGTTGTGCCAAATGATCATCTGTTCGGGTGCAGCAGCTCGTAGGGTCTCGTGGAGAAGTTGTATAGGAGTAAGACCGGCAAACTCGGCCACCCTATCCTGGGGCAGGAATTGACATAGGTTGTCGATTTGAATGCGCAAATCACTCGTAAGGGTTTTAACAGCAGTATGCGTACTCTCTTTCCCATTGATCCACCACTTCGTCTTGTTATCCTCCTTCCGAATCTGTAGGCGGATTACATGGTTGGATAGCTCGCCCGGTCGGCCTTGTAGTTCAATCTCGACAATAGCGGTGTCTTTTCCATGCTTTACAAACTCTCCCACGTTGCTCGCCCGGCCGAGATGTTTTGGGTGGAAACCTAACCCAAGGCATATGGCACAGACCAGTGAACTCTTGCCAGTACCGTTTGGACCAATGACCATGTTGAGATTCGGGCCTGGATTGAACACGGCATGTTCGTAGGTGACAAAATCCTCGACCAAAACCCTGACTATAGCACCAGTTTGGAATTCCCCTGTGCTATTCTCATGGGGGAGGCCCGACGGCGAGCTCGATCTCTTAATCCGTCTCTGTCGCGAAACGCCCTGCTTGCTTTGATCATCTCCATCTTCATCTGATAAAGCGCCATTTGTATCACGCCTCTGCCGTTTTGGTGATTCCGCTACTGAAGACTGTTCATCGTTCTCTTCTTCGAAGCGGGCTCTCGATCGACGGCGGGGTTCTAGAGACGGCATGATTGAGAATAGGTAGTTAGATAATCGGGAAACCGGGCTTGATTTCGAGAGGATGTCGGGGTGATCGGATTAAGAGGTCATTTCAGAGGAATGCGCTTATATTGGGGGTTCGGTATCTAAATTCTGGTGGAAGGTCGACTTCATTAGATTAATAGTAGCCGAAGTGTTTGTGTGATAAAATCCATAAGCTGAAGACGCGGTTTGCTGTACTACGTAAAAACGGACGCGTTCTGCTAGTGGGGGACAAGAAGGGCACTTAAACTTGAATAAGAAATTACCCAATTAGGCAGTATATGTGGGTACTTTTTTTTTGACAGCTTAGGTACTTGGGTACATATGTATAATCCAGGTCGGAGACTGGGGTTCCTGCGGCTCGAATTTATCCACTAAGCTGATCCCTGTAATTCCAACGACACTTCGTGCCTTCAGCTTCCAGCTTGCAGCTTAACTTGGACCTAGTAGATATCTACCTTATAGGTATACCTTATATATATTCCTAAGCCTGATCCCAAGGCCTAGACATACAATTGAATATTGTTTCAAAATGCTCTCAATATTTCTTTTTCATATCCCATCTTACTAGAACTCTATAATCAATGGTTGCTACACTTGTTTGTTATTCTGATGCATACACGTCCTTGCCGTTTCCATGACTACTGGATGAAGCCGATATGTAGCATTTGATACACGTAGTTACCTTTCCTTCTCTCACCTTACCCATCTTTAGTTTAGTCTAATTCTAGTTGCTAGGTGATGCTTGCTAAGATATGCATTACGCTATGTGGTCTCCGCTGAGAATATGCAGCATTGGTGTAGAAGGTGGCAGGTGGGGGAGATATCGTACTTGCGATGGATGCAAGTGCATGCATTACCTTAGGTAAGGTACCTAACCTAAGGTATCTGTACCGGGAATTGAACAGCTGTAGAAAAGAACAACACCAAGGCAACGGTTTTGACAGCTTTTAGGAATGTTACCCCGGAAATCATACGCATCACTACGGTAGAAGGTGGGTAGCTTACGGTGTCTTAGAGGTACGACTCCATCAAATCCGAATCGCATTCCTCAACTTAACCTACATTCTCCCCATACTTCGCGCACCACTTCTCAGCTTGAGCAGAATATTCTGAATATTCTGCCAACTTATCCGAGGCTCACTTTCTTTTACCCAAACTACATTCAACCTCATTTTCTCAAGCGCTACTGCACTGCACTGCACAAAGTCTTTTATCACCTTCCAAGACTTGAGAAGTCAGACTTCAGACTTCAGACTTGCATCTATTTGGCAGAACTTGACACGCTTGTTGTTTTTGGTTCGCCTGGTGCGAAGTCGTTCCTATTACTACGCACTCTCATCTTTCTATCTCATCACTCTCTTGTTTCTTCTCTTGTTTCTCATCTTCATGCGCATTACTACATCATCAAATCCTTTCCCTTCCCCCAGTTTGTTGTGCTCCAAGCAGAGCTACACACTATAACCTACTATTGTTTAATGCGCATTATCCTTCCTATTGGCCGCCTTAAATCCAATTAGGATAGATATGGTCTAAGTATCTCTTCGACATGGCGGATTATCGTGGACCGACCTCTCGGTCCTCCCGCGCCCCGTTGGGTGATGCGACTGCTCGCATAAACAATACATCCTCGACGCATTCAACCAAATCATCTCAAGCTCAGGTTCCTCAATTTAACCCTCTTAGAGCTCATCCCACCAATTCGGTGCGCCAACATGCTGGCTCAGACCCAAGTGCTACTTCGAAGCATGGCGACCCGCGAGCGCCTACTAAGACCAATTCTCGCGCCTCAGTGATTCCGCAGAATACTACAGACAACAAGCGACACTCACAAGCTTCAACTACCACGGTGACAACCTCTGGTGGTGAGCGCCGTAAAACTCACATCGGGCCGTGGAAACTGGGGAAGACTTTGGGTAATGGTTCGGCCGCCCGGGTTCGGTTGGTAAGACATAATGTTACGAATCAGCTTGCCGCCGTAAAGATCCTCTCTAGAAACGGCAATTCAATGATGCAACCAGGCAGCATAGCCGCCCTCGACAAATGGGATCGCACTCGCGCAGAGTACAAGTCCGAGAATCGAATCCCGTTCGTTATCGAAAGGGAAGTGGCTATTATGAAGCTAATCGACCATCCGAATATCGTGAAGCTCTACGATATCTGGGAGAACCGGTCGGAAATGTACGTATAACTTCGAGGATTGTAAGACTCAGTTACTAATATTAGAAACAGCTATCTTGTACTCGAGTACGTAGAACAAGGGGACCTCTACAGTTACCTTGCTAGAGCTGGCCCACTAGCCGAGGACGAAACAATGTATTTCTTCCGTCAGATACTTGATGCTTTGGAATATGTTCACTCTTTCAACATATGCCACCGTGATCTAAAGCCGGAGAACATACTTCTCACCAAGGACTTCCGGATCAAGATTACCGACTTCGGTATGTCCGCCATGCATCAAGGCCCAAACCACTTATTGAAAACGGCCTGTGGAAGTCCGCACTATGCTGCTCCTGAACTCATGAACCGTAACTACTACCGGGGTGACAAAACAGATATTTGGAGTCTCGGAGTCATACTGTATGCTTGCATGTGTAATGTTCTCCCCTTTGAGGATGACAATGTTCATCTACTGCTTGCGAAAATCAGAAGGGGCCAGTACCATATGCCCTCTTTCATCGGCCGCGAAGCTCGGGACCTAATTGGCAGACTGCTAACGTTAAATCCGGACGAGCGCATATCCATTCGGGAGATTTGGCAGCATCCTTTACTTCGTCGGTATGACTACTTGGACAATCTCAACAACGGAGACCGTGCCCATGGTTATACGCGGGATGCACGATACGACCCGGTGCCAGCCGACGAGCTTGATATGCAGACTCTAAGGCAGTTGAAGTCCGTGTGGCATACGTTTGATGAAAAGCAGCTAGCATCGAAGCTAGTAAGCCCCGAGTAAGTTTAACTAATACCAAGCGACTCTCGCTCTGCTAACTTAAATTACAGACGCAACGAGTTCAAGACGTTCTACTGGCTCCTCTACAGCTATAGGGAGAAGAGATTGGAAAACTACGGTACAGAGTTAACGTATTCCGCGAGCGATTACCACCATCTACAGCCCCCGAACTGGAAGAAAAAGTATACCACTTTGGATTTTCCGTCCAAGAATGGACGATCTATGTCACGATTCACCGTTATCTCTAATATCGCCACTGATGAGAATGGTGAGCCTCTGGAGAGAGCTTCTATAGATTGCGGTGCCACCATCCAAAGCTACGATCCATACAAATCCTCCCGTGTTCTGGATGATGTCGTGGCCAGCCAGGCGAAGATCGTAATCCACCGCAACGGCACCACGTCTACGCGAAACTCGCAAGCCCCAAGCATACGCAGTAGGTCAGCCAGGACCAACTCCACGTATTCACGACGTGGAACGGGTGGAAAGCACATGAAAGCTCCGCCTACTCTACGTGGCTCACGGCGTTCTCTGAATTCAATACAAAGTGGCGAGGAGATTTCATATAAGCGGTCTGCCTCACGTCGCAAACGCCGAGTTGACTTCTCGCGTGCGCATAGACAATTAGCTAGTCAAAGCGAAGCAGAATGTAGTCCCACCAATGTCACGGTACACAGCACCACCTATGGCCAAATTCCCTCAACCCCGACCGGTTCCAATAAGAAGAAGAGGTTGTCTAAGAATCGCGAAGGAACTCGATCAGGTACACAGCTCTCTGAAATGTCCCAAGCTAAAGACGATGGTTTGTGCTGGAACGAGGAGCTACGCCAATTCAGCAATACCATCGCAAAAGACTGTGATGATGCCTTCAATAGTACCCTCCTAAGTCAAGAGTCTTACCTAGGCGAGTCTTCATTTTCAGAGACGAAAACTATCTTGACTTCTACCAGCACTCCGACCCCGGCCATTCAAGGAGCAGGAGAAATGAGATTTAACACACAGCCACGGGAGTCGTGGCCGTTGCCGACGGCTCCTAAAGATTTGGACGTGCATAGATATGCAACAGCGAAGAGAACCGATCAGGTTAATGGCGGTATACTCGACTCCGCGGGGCAAGGCTGCAAGATGGTTTCGCAACGCAGTCGACCTGGTCAGTCTGGTAGGCCCTTTGAGCAGGCAGGAGCAGAGCGTAGAATCGTATCGGCTCCTATCTACTCACAGTACAGCACGCAATGGGGTAAAGATAAAATACCCTTACCGGCTATTAATGAGGGTGCGAAGGAAGATGACTCGTTCGAAGATGGAGATAGACTGCGAGTCGTTTCCGCGCCTGCCGAGTCTTCACCGGCTCGTCATGTACTAGCTGAGGAGGCTGCGGGCTTGGAACACCTGGCCCAAACTGTGGACACAATACGCCTAGTCGATTCTCCATCTAATCGGCGTCGAAAAATCACCGTCCCAGTCGATTCCAATAGCCGCAAGGAGTTATCCCAGGGCGTGAAAGAGATTCCACAGGTGCGACAAGGACTTACCCTTCGCCAGCAGTATGTAGAGGATGAGATAAGAACACCCAGTTCCAACGAGCCCTCTGACGAGCCTGTCATGCCTACTATGCGAGCTAGAACGGATTCTACTACCACCATCAAGAAGAAATCGTCGTGGTTCAAGCGCAGCTCTAAGGAAAAATTCGAATCGTCGGATGGCTCCAATTGGGGGAACGTTGATGCCCTCAACCACACGGAAACTAACACATCGGCCAATCCAGCTGCGCAGCCAGTGAAGAAGAGGAGTTTTCCCTTCGCCTTCTGGCGTGGTAACAAAGAGCAATCCCAGTTCAAAGTTTCGCTTGCGGGTAAGCTCATCCGTAACCACCAACGGGACTATGGAAACTAATTGCAAATATAGGTCCTGAGGTTAATGATTCCTCTAACCCCGAGCCTCCTCGAGCATCTAGTCGTTCGTCTCATCGGCTTCAGACTAAGAAATCGCAGGAGAAATCCGGAGGCCGCAATATCGAGCCCCAGCAGAACTGGCTGGCTCGCTTGTTCCGGGTTAAACCTGCAACCAGATACATTTGCTTCTCAATCCCCCGTCGCCATGTGAGACAAGAAATTGTCATTTTGCTGAAAGGATGGCGTCGTCACGGTATGAGGGATATCGTGGTTGACAAGGAACGTAACCTTGTCTTTGCACGAGTTGGTAGTAAGAATGGTAAGTGCTATACCCAGCCTCTTCTATACAAGAGCAGTAACTAACCGTTTCCTATTCACAGATCTCGAATTGAAGGAAACTTCCTTCGCAGCGGAGATCATGACGGTCATCGAACACGGCAGACGTAATCAGCTCTGCATTGTTCGATTCACGCAAGAACGTGGGGCTGCCTCTACGTTTAATAAGGTGATAGATGCGATGGACGGCATCTTCCTCACGCGCGGTCTACTCATCGTCGACAAGTATAAGACCAAGATGATGATCAAGACACTTAATTCGTGACGTCGCCTTGCTAATTTTCTTTTCCATCCCTATTAGGGATATGAACATGCATCAACTTCAAGGAGTTTCAGGCTACATCGGAGTTACAACAGAGGGTCTTCTCCTTTGCATCCTTCGCATCTGTTGATGAATAGCTTGGATGCTTTGGGAATAAATTCCTGGAATACGTAGCTGCAAGGGATCTGGATACGGCACTGTTTGTTTTACCATGTCGGAACACAGAAAAATCTCTAGGCACTACGATCATGTTTCTTGTTTTGTTCAGTCTTTTGTTTTCTACTTTCTACTTTCTACAAGAAATGGGGAGGGGTGGCGGTTGAGCACGGATTGCCAATGGGCGAACTCCTCCTTATGCTACACGAAGCTACGGTACTGGTTGTACTTAATCATGGCTCTGGTTGGAACAAAATCTGCTTTCATAATCCATAATTCGCATCAGTCGTTTGTAAGTACTGAAATGCGATTCTCTACGAGCTAGGTAGTTTGTTTCTTTTCGATTCTGAGATGGTCGTCCCCCCTTTTCACCCTCCTGTGTATTAATAGTTCTTGTTGAGTTTGCACTTTATTAATACGTGTACATAATACATATCCCTTTACGTAAGGGATACGGAAGTACAATTCAATAGACGTTCTCATCTCATTTCATTTTATCGCGTTCGGGTGTTTCCGGACCGCATCTTCTATAGCAGGGATAGGTGAATAAAAAATGGTCGAATGGAACTACATAGTAACTGGCTTACTACCTTTAATTTTGGTTGCCGGCTAAGTTATGTGGGGTAATCTGTATGTAATGAAGTGCTGTTGAGGTAATCTGTAAATAGCATCACTCAAAAAAAATATTGAGCGTTTTTTTGTAGCAATTTTATCTTTCCTCCTTTCTTTTACAATTCCTGCCTACTAAAACATACACTATCCTCACCTACGGGTATGTAAGTTTAACCCGACCTTTCACAAGATCACCTGCAATTACCGCTTCTCGTACCCGTCAGCTGACGTACCATGACCAATTGGCAGCTTCCGTCTTTGAATTGATCTCGGGGAAGCTACTGTGCGCCGTAAAACATGCTGCGATCGGCAGGAGCTGCGGCCTGCGGCCAAGCTAGAAACCTATTTGGGCCGAGGACTGCTCCTCGGCTTTTTTGCACATGCAATGGCATCTCCACATCGTCAAATGTCGCCTCGAGATCTCTCCGTACCAGTTATATCTCTAGCAAACCTACGCATTCCCTACAATTCCAAAGAAACCTACATGCGACGTCGATAAGAATGGCCGAAAATGTGAGAATCGAGAGCGATGCCTTTGGCGAAGTCCAAGTCCCCGCCGACAAGTACTGGGGAGCTCAAACTCAGCGATCCCTCTCCAACTTTCGCATCAACCAGCCTCAAGATCGAATGCCCCCTCCGATTATCAGAGCATTCGGTATCCTGAAGGGCGCTGCGGCCACCGTCAATATGCGGTACGGACTTGGTATGCCACAATCTTTCACGGAGCGCATTGTTCCCTAACTACGCTATGGCGGGGTATTGGCTTACACGATGCGACTATATTATTATAGATGAGAAGATCGGCAAGGCCATCCAGCAAGCTGCCGCCGAGGTGGCTGACCTCAAGCTCATCGACCACTTCCCCCTCGTCGTCTGGCAGACCGGTTCGGGTACTCAGTCCAACATGAACGCCAACGAAGTTATCTCGAACCGAGCTATTGAGATCCTCGGAGGTGTCAAGGGCTCCAAGAAGCCGGTCCACCCGAACGACCATGTCAACCGTTCCGCCTCTTCGAACGATACCTTTCCCACCGTCATGCATATCGCCGCCGTTCTCGAGTTCGAAGGCGAGCTCTTACCTGCTTTGAAGAGCCTCCGAGACGCGCTACAGAAGAAGGTTGACGATTTCAACGCCAGGAACATCATCAAGATTGGACGAACACATCTTCAGGATGCCACACCTCTTACTTTGGCGCAAGAGTTCTCGGGATACGTTGCTCAGCTAGACTTTGGTATTAAGCGAGTCGAGAGCTCTATACCGGACCTAAGACTACTTGCTCAAGGCGGAACTGCCGTCGGTACGGGAATCAACACCTATGAAGGCTTCGCTGAGGCGATCGCCGAGGAAGTCAGCAAGATGACAGGAACCGAGTTTAAGACAGCACCGAACAAGTTCGAGGCTCTCGCTGCGCATGACGCTATTGTTCAGGCCTCAGGTTCTCTCAACACCATAGCTGCGTCTCTTACCAAGATTGCTCAAGACATCCGATATCTTGGCAGCGGCCCTCGTTGCGGTCTAGGTGAGCTGATCCTGCCGGAGAACGAGCCGGGTTCCAGTATCATGCCCGGCAAGGTCAACCCTACTCAATGTGAGGCCTTGACTATGGTTTGCGCTCAAGTCATGGGTAACCACTTAGCCACAACCATCGGCGGCATGAACGGCCAGTTCGAGCTCAACGTCTACAAGCCCCTTATCATCCGAAACCTGCTACACAGTGTGAGAATCCTAGCCGATGGCATGCGTTCGTTCGAGAAAAACCTTGTTGAGGGTCTGGAAGCCAACGAGGAGAGAATTTCCAACATTATGAAGGAATCGTAAGTTAATTCAACAATGGCCCCCTAAATGAATATTTACTAATAACTGCTGCTTTTAGACTTATGCTGGTTACCTGCCTCAACCCCAAGATCGGTTACGATATGGCTTCCAAGGTCGCCAAGAACGCACACAAGAAGGGCCTGAATCTAAAGGAGAGCGCACTGGAACTTAATGCCCTGACGCCGGAGGAGTTTGACGCCCTCGTCAAGCCAGAGCTCATGATCGGGCCCAAGCCTTACAAGAGTTAGGTACACCAGATAGTTGAGCCCGTGGTACACTACGTCCAAGCCGAGCTTGATGCGATTGAGAAGAAGGCGTTGGCTTACCACCAAAAACACCACCAGTCTTCTTCTTCTTCTTAATGAGTCCCTGCGCAGGTATTTACTAAGTAACGCATCGCTTTATGTCGTATTAGCAGCACTAGCCTACACCTAGTCGAGTCTTCTCAAATTACCTATAGTGACCTCGGACTTGTATACATTATAGCATCTTGTACATAAATAGAATAAAGAGTAAACTGTTCTTAATAGTCTTGTCTTATTGACTACTTGCATATAAAAACCTAAATGTGAGGTCCTGTCTGATATATATGTTAGGTACTTACCTAATTAAGTGGTCGAAGAAGAGTTTGGCTGTTGCATGCTTCTGACACTATTCATCGCGATGACCCAGAGTTGACATCAAGTTCTCCTTCTAAGTTTCGATACTGCCACAAGATAGGTACCTACCTAAGGCAAATATATACGCTTATCCAGTAGTACCTGTGTTTTGCTTATACTTCCATGCTTACAGTTTCCCTACGAAGTTGCAATACACCTGCTCTGTTCATTCGAGAGGTTGTAACAGGCAGGTACCTACCTATGTACCAGGCAACTACGTCTATCCTTATGCCACTAACATCCATATCATGCGAGGTTGCCTTGGTACATTCAGAGATGGGTGGAAGGCATGTCGTTGGAAAGTGCGACAGATAGGTACTACTACGAAGGCATATAAAACTGACGCTCGCATGTCTAATTCTACTTTTACTTCTTACAACAACACAATATTTTATTTTCTCTCGCTCTACCTTAGGTACTTGAGTCGTCCACTATGACTCAGGGCTTAGAGTCTACACAGTTCTAATACTATAACACATCCATTCAATAACTACCTAACTAAGCAATGATAATATTCAGAATCACCTTTCAATAACTTTCATCGCCTCTTACGATTTAATCACAACAACGCAGCAAGAAGAACACCATCGAACTAAATAGGGTACTATTAACAACATTATTCGCCTATTCATTCAACTGCGACCGTTCTGAGAAGCTCTCAGAACTGGACAAGACAGTGGTGTCTAAAAACACCATCCCATCAGCAACCCCCTTAACCACTCAATAATCCTAAGGTTTGAACGAGAAATCAGCATCGGGTGATGAGTTCACCACGTCGGCAGCCAAGATGATCTTCTGGGATCGTCGAGCGACGGATAACTTCCTCGATCTTATCAGGCAAGATAAGATCGATATTGGAGGGCTTAAACCTCTAGTAAAAATGCACCGGATCCGCGTGGCACCACAGCCAGAGTCCGCCTGCAGCCGAGTCCTAGTTATCTGGGACTCGCCTCAAGTAGTCGATATGGAGGTTTTGGAGCCCCTCTTCCACTCCGAGATCGAATTCCAGATCGACGACATTGAGCAGTGGATGTGGCGCGGCGAGCGGAGGCTCGAGATCCGCTTCGGCTCGTATAGAGCCCAGGCTGCCCGCGCAGAGCAGATGCTAGATTACAACAGCTGTCAGAGAGCTAAACCTGGAGAGATTCGGTAAGTGATGTCCTCGCCCATAATGTATCACGTTGCTACTTCATATTTAACTCGAGTCAATTTTACAGATCATACAGCACTACCTGTCGAAAAGACCGTTGACAGCTGATTTCAGCACGACGAAGCATCACTCGAAGAAGACGAAGAAGACGAGGAAGACGAGGAATACACGAGGATTCAGGAAGCTCCAGAGGCTTCAAGAATAGTACCATGACAACAAGGACGTTCCTATTAACCAGGCCACGTCTAGGCGCTGATGTTTATTTATGGTGTAAGGGTAGCTTAACACTCTGGAGCATGCCAAATTATGTAAACAATTAAGAAAATACTCAGCGCCTAGCTAAGCTTAGTACCCGCAAGTTCTATTGCTTCATAGATAGGAAATAGCTTGTGTCCACGCCAATGAATATCGTAAAGAGTATTTAAGATATAGTAGTTAGACCTCAAAGCCAAATATACGTATATGAATATCAGCTTGTAGCTCTTTCGTTAGCTTGAATCCGGCGTTTCCCGCTTGGGGCCCCTGCTATTTTCTTCCCAAGTAGTAGGTAGGTAAGAGGTAGGCAGCCAGCTTATACAGCTACTCAACTCTCTCTCTCCGTTACAGTAAGTAAATCGCTAAGCATTGCAGTAGTATTGAGTACGTAGCGGGTGATAGCTGGTATCACGATAATTCAAAGCAAACTAGGTAGATTCTTAGCTAGAACTGGGTTCGGGTACTCTCGGCAACTCAGGCGATCTAGGACCTCGAATTGGCTGGCATCCGACCTCGGCAGCCGGGAGCATCGCAGTTTCGGTACTTCGGGAGTTCCAGGTTGACTACGTCACTCTAGCCGCCCGTTTTCTTTATGCAAAGCGTCCAATGGCGTTGCTATTTACCATCCCGTATCTTCGGAACTCCATACATGGAGGGTTGGATCTGGCTAGATTCTTATTATCAAAGGTATGTATCTTTTTACTATGTATCTAACGCAATGCACGTTCCTATCATTTCGAGATATCCCCGAGAAGAGGAGCTCAATTAAGCAGCGATATCGCTATATAATATAGTAACTCTTAGTTATCGTGATTTGAATGTGTTTCTTCAGTTAGGTAATTTGAGCGTAAAGATAAGATAAATATTGTAATATTGGAGAATTAATGCCGTCATGATCAACAACTTGAGAATCTCCAATTGACGATAAAAACGGTTCCTTATGAGCGGCGGGCAGATGGACTTACCCCTTTACGGCATAACGAACCAATAAGCGCTCGTTATTAGTTAAGTTGTTAGTGAAGCTTACCGTTTTTAACTGGGATGTGGGGAAGAGAAGCTGGGGAATACTGGACCAATGATATAATGTGACATTCATGAAGACCAGGGGTTAAAGCTCTAAACTTACCTCCGTTCCATTTGTAATAAAGCTTCCCCGGCTTTACATGTGAAGAGATCTATATACCTACATACCTTGTAGTACACCAGTACAAAGAACTACCTAAGGCTTCGAACATACCGATAACTACTCGTATGTAACTACACTTTCTAGTTACGTCTTTGTAGCATCTAGAACTAGAGTCAGAGTTCTTGACGGCTTCGTGGAGTCACGGAGTAGCATCTTCCCCCACACTTTCACAAGCTTCATACCTAAGTAGGCATCCTAAGTATTCCTCCCCATCTTCATCGGCTACATCAACATCGCGTAGCCAGTCATCTACCCTCCTTCCAGCCGAGCATAGTCGGGGAGCGACTTGTCGAAGTCGCCTCATGTCGTAGTTTACGCACCTAGGTAAGAAAGTAGTCCCAAACTAGTAACAATTCATCTACGTATACATACCTACAGTTACCGTCTGTATTGTACATAAGTTTGAGAAACCCCTCCCTTTGGCAAGGGGAATCTCAACTTTAAAGCGGTTACATACCTTGGCTTTTACACACTATCTTCTACCCGAACTTGTCGCCGCCGCTTCTTATAACCGTGAGAACCCGCTGTTATCTGCCCTGTAGCCGTATTGCCGCTAATCCTTTCGGATACCAGGCTAGACAAAGGCCTTTATATATTACTGCCAGCTTCTCTTCGTACTCTGCCTAGCTCTTTATAGATATTTTCTAACTTACTCAATATACCCCCATCAACTCTATTAAATATTAACCAAAACAAGCCTCCTCGTCGGAACTCAAGATCCGAGGCAATTGACTATATACTCTAACGGAGCGAATCTCGAAGTCGCTATTCAGAACACAAAGGATATATAATCATGGCAACCACCGACAGCATCCTGCAAGGTGTATCCATCTCTGGCGCTGTGCAGCCAGAGCATAAAAAGATCCTAACACCACAGGCGTTGGCCTTCCTAGCACTACTCCACCGATCCTTCAATGGCACTCGCAAGACACTACTAGAGCGTCGCGTCGCACGTCAAGCTGAGATCGATAAAGGCAACTTACCAGATTTCCTACCCGAGACAAGACACATCCGTGAGAATCCGACATGGAAAGGCGCGCCACCGGCTCCGGGTCTTGTCGACCGAAGAGTAGAGATCACGGGCCCTACCGACCGCAAGATGGTCGTAAATGCGCTGAACTCAGATGTATGGACTTATATGGCGGATTTCGAAGGTAAGTAATAGTGGGAGTAATAATGATGTCAGGGGGTGAAGAGCCATTGGTCGATCAATCGACTAACACCAACGCCAGACTCAAGCGCCCCGACGTGGGACAACATGATCAACGGCCAAGTAAACTTGTACGACGCCGTGCGACGGCAGGTTGACTTCAAGCAAGGCGCGAAAGAGTACAAGCTACGAACAGATCGCGTGCTCCCCACACTGATCGTGCGGCCGCGAGGATGGCATCTCGACGAGAAGCACGTCACAGTAGACGGAGAGCCGATCTCAGGCTCTCTATTCGACTTCGGCCTGTACTTCTTCCACAACGCGCAGGAGTCCGTCAAGCAGGGCTTCGGCCCGTACTTCTACCTACCCAAGATGGAGTCGCATCTAGAAGCGCGTCTCTGGAACGACGTATTCAACCTAGCGCAGGACTCGGTCGGCGTCCCGCGCGGCACGATCCGCGGGACGGTCCTCATCGAGACGATCCTAGCCGCCTTCGAGATGGACGAGATCATCTACGAGCTGCGCGACCACAGCTCGGGGCTCAACTGCGGCCGCTGGGACTACATCTTCAGCACCATCAAGAAGTTCCGCCAGAACAGCGGGTTCGTCCTGCCGGACCGCAGCGCGGTTACCATGACGGTCCCGTTCATGGACGCGTATGTCAAGTTGCTGATTCAGACGTGCCATAAGCGTGGTGTCCATGCTATGGGCGGCATGGCGGCGCAGATCCCGATTAAGGACGACAAGGAGGCGAATGATAAGGCGATGGAGGGCGTGAGGGCTGATAAGCTGCGGGAGGTGCGCGCTGGTCATGACGGGTATGTCTTTTGTCTTTATTCCCCCCTTTCTTTTTTTCGTGGATATGGTAAAGCTGATGTTGTTTCTTTTCTTAGTACCTGGGTAGCACACCCGGCTCTAGCATCTATTGCCTCCGAAATTTTCAACAAGCACATGCCGACGCCGAACCAGCTGTTCCGGCGACGCGAGGACGTTAAAATCGGTCAAAATGACTTGCTCAACATGAACGTCCCCGGCAAGATCACCGAGGAAGGTATCCGGAAGAACTTGAACATCGGCCTGGGTTACATGGAGGCTTGGATCCGCGGCGTCGGCTGCGTGCCTATCAACTACCTGATGTAAGCGAACCAACCCTCCCCTCCCCCCTTTTCTCACTACTTCCGCCTACCTACCACGTACCTAAAGCACACACTAACCCAACGCAACTAAAACAGGGAGGACGCCGCCACAGCCGAAGTTTCCCGCTCGCAGCTCTGGCAATGGGTGCGCCACGGGGTGACCACGGCCGAGGGCAAGAAAGTCGACAAGGCGTACGCGCTGAAGCTCCTAAAGGAGCAGACGGACCAGCTCGCCGCCAACGCGCCCAAGGGCAACAAGTTCGGCCTCGCGTCGCAGTACTTCGCGGGCCAGATCACGGGCGAGGACTACGCGGACTTTTTGACGAGTCTGCTGTACGACGAGATTACTGCGGTGGGGAATGCGGCGCCTGCTAGTAAGCTGTGAGGTGAGATTGATGGGGATGGGATATGGTGTGGTTGATATAATGGAGAGGATGAAAAACGCGCTGTGAGGTATCGTATCGTAATGTGACGGGACGGCGTCTTGTATGTATGCTATTACGAAGGGTATGATATTTTAAAAATGCGTGGTTTGCGCGTCCGTTTGCAATTGATTCTCGTCTGGCATGGACTTGGACCTTTGCGTGAGATATGTGCATTTGTTTCCTTGTAAGTCGGGTGTACGATACTTAGAATTGGTCCTGTCTCTTTGGTCTTGTGCATGGTTTCCGGTGTGGCTTATGAGAGAGGCATTATAGGAGAGACGCTGTTTCTATGATCTCGTCTAGAGAATTACTTAATATACTGATAGGTCTATTTATTTCGACCTTCTATAAGTGGTTGTTTTGGATTAATAATCTCAAGTATTACTTCTTAATGCCTACTAATAGGGGTATCTATCTACTAACTAACTAACAACTAATTATTCATATCGAGGAAGGTTTTCTTGTCACCGGCTATTCGTCTTGCAAGCCACAAAGTCATTTATATAGTACGAACTGTTCTTGCTCTCTAAAATTCCCTGGCGCTTAATAGCGATACTAGGGCATGGCGTTCTAATACCAGAGAAAATGTGGTAGGCAAAGTTGCACTGGAGCTGGGATACTATGGAAAGGATCTGATATGACGCTGGGAAGATAATATAACTACGTTAAATACGTTCGTTATACGAAGAAAATACTAGTAAATACTAGCCTTCGTAATAGATAAAGTCTTGAGAACTTATTACACGGACTGGGATATTAAAATATTAACTCCTCGGTGTCGATAGGTGAGCTACTACCGTGAATGGGTGCTGAAGTGCTCGAATATACTATCCCAATGACATCTTCTATACTGTGCATAGAAGGTAACAATTATCGTAATTATGAGAAGTGACGTCACCATCTACCTCATCCTCAATGGCGTGCTGAGACTTTCCTCGTCAACGGTAACGCTTTGTAACACAACGGGAACTAAAATATATATCGTCTCCTCATATCACGGTTACTCAACATACACAACTCCTATTCAATCCCATTCAATCCTGTTCAATCCTGTTCAATCCTATTCAATATCATACCAAAATCTACAATGACTTCTGTACTGATCGTTGGCGCTACCAGAGGCTTGGGGGCCGCGCTGGTGAAAGAATATGCTTCGAATCCCGAGACGCTCACATATGCGACCACACGATCTGATGCTGTACCCAGCGGATTCCCGGATAGCATTAAGTGGCTCTCTGGAATTGACCTTACTGACCAACATGTCGGGGACAATCTCTCCAGTCAGCTCAAAGGAGAGAAGCCTCTAGACGTCGTAGTAAGTTGTATACGCTGATTTTGCAATACTATATGGCCAACCTTACTACTTGTAGATCATCAACGCTGGGCGATTCATGACCGAAGACTTTTCCAAGTCCGGAGGGCCGAGCTGGAATGACGAATTGACCATGTATACCATTAGTTCTATCGCACCGCTATTCATTGTGCATCGTCTCGTGCACAACGACCGCCTAAAGGCTGGATCCAAGATAATCTTGGTTTCTAGCGAGGCCGGAAGTATCACCCTACGGCATGAGAAAGAAGGCGGCGGCAATTACGCGCACCACGCAAGCAAGGCTGCGTTGAACATGGGCGGAAAGCTTCTCAGTATCGACCTCAAGGAAAAAGGCATCATTGTCAGCATCGTACACCCGGGTTTCATGCGCACCGAGATGACCAAAGGTGTCGGTTTTGACAAGCATTGGGACGAAGGCGGTGGTAAGTAATCGGAATCTAAGACATTACATGTAGTAAAGCTAAAACATGTGACATCTAGCCGTGACTCCTGAAGTAGCCGCGAAGAGTCTCGTGGAGTGGACAGAGAAGTTAGATATTAGCAAATCTGGGGAATACTGGGCTCCCCGTGGTCCACGTAAGGCTAGAACCTATGAACTAAACTGCTTTTGCCGCTGACTATTTTTGAATAATAGGCGATATTGGAATGGCCGAGACGGTGCTTGGGAAGAACCTTGAGACTCCTCTGAAGCTGCCCTGGTAACGTGAAAAGCTTCGAAGGCTTATTGATGTCAATGCGCATCTGTCGATCCGGCGGCTAAGCCTTTACGTTGGAGTTTGGTGAACTTGGCTTTGAACTCAAAGGATACCTTGTGATAGAGTTGGCTCTTCTTACTCGTCGCTTCAGCTTCAGCTTCATGATGGTATGCAGACTAAACTCTAGTTTACCCTAGCAAGTAGATCTTAATAGAGCCCGAGATTTAATTACTCCGGTTTCCTTTGATGAGATATTATGGCGTGGCCTGCCTGCCTGCGTGGATATGGAAAAGGGGCAAGCGATAAAAAGAGGAGATCGGCGTTTAGCATGCTGGCATGTAGATGGCAGAGATGAGAGATGGCAGGACTACCCCACAGATATGCCAAGGGATTAAATTCGAACGTTATGGGGGCATCTTTTTCGGCTACGCGGGCTAAGAGGTAGATTAATGTACCAATGTACCTCAGTGTAGCAAGCAAGGTACCATGTATTGACTTGGCATGGCAAACTCGGAAAAGGGGTCTCGAACCAGGTTTACTGCAACTGGCGTCCAGTTAATGTTTAGTCGCATAAAAAATGCACGAGTTGGTAACCAGTCACGCCTCATCCAGAACAACCTTTAATTAACACATAACACATAATACATATATGTACAGCTGATATATGTACCTAGTAGTATATTGATTCCTATCTAGGCCTGCTACTTTGTCGACCACCCATGCCTCGACGCTACTTTAGGTACTTTACCTGCATTCGATCTTTGCCGAGTTATACATTAGGTACATATTAAGTGGACTACCAATAGATTTGCCAGTGGGTCATAGTAGCAGTGTTACACGTGCGATGGTGTATGGACATATTCTTATTAGCAGATGTATTAGCAGATTACACTACACCGAATACTGGACCAGGGGTAATCCGCCCTTGGGATAAAACGAATAGCCTTTCTCTTTGGGCCGTGAGAAATTAAATGTCTGTAGTCTAATGTTTGGTATATGTATGTATTAGTCTTATTGGCATATCTTATTGGTATAAACAAGCAGGACTCCTCAACGTCGAAATCATGGGATTCATCGCTAGAGCTAGGAGGAATTAGTCGACGATCGAGAACTGAGAAGCCCCTTGCGGAAGCCAATTACCAGCATGACCTATATTATATGGTATTAAGCATTAAGCTTAAGGCCTGGGCCATTAAGCTATTACTATCAGGCACTTACATAATTAAAGAGAGAGGTTAGATACCCGGAAGAATGCTTGGCGACCTCAAGGTAGAATAGCCATCATCATGTATGTACTGTCACCGCTTGTCGCCCAACCGGCTTCGACTACGGAACGCTGCGCTCCTTTAATCCATCCCTTCGCCCCCTTCGCCCTTTCTCGCATCCTAATTGAAATATGAAGCGACGCTGTCCTTTTCTGTATTATGTGTCCTGTAGGTAGGATTGTTGAGATTCGATACGAGTTACAGGTTACAGCGCTTACAGTGCCCTTTTAGGTAGGTCCTAACTGGGTTTACTGTCTTCGCCTAGCGCCTTCTAGCTATAGTAGAGGTTACCTTCATATTGCGTACAGGCGTTAGGTTATGTTAAGTACTCTGTACATAATGTTCTATTAACCATATTAGCTGATTAGCTATTCCAATTTAGTATTTGCACCAGACCAGGTCATACTAGGATACCTGGAATAGTGTACTGTGGTAGTTATTGCGCACCTGTTGCTCTTTACGAACTCCACTAACCCAATTTCGATAATGTTGTAATAATATAAGGCAGCTGAATATAAGGTTAGCCCACACCTCGGTCCTTAAACTCGATTGATGAAGCTCTTTTTGTCCTTTTCCGAGTTTCAATTGCAATTGCATTGAATTGTAATTCTTTCGTCTTTCAACAAAAAGAAAGCGTCTACATACAACACCAATTATTAATACGGACGGGTTTGTAAGACGGGTTGAACTGCCCCGCTAGCTTCTGTTTCGTCGATCTCTAACCGATATTCCCCTTGTCATCCTGTCAGCCTGTCAGAAAGGAACCAGGACAAAACCCCCATCCTAAATCAATTAGAGTCCACAGTCCACAGCGCGGGATACAGTACCCTTCCAACCTTAACCCTTCCACTTATTTTAGCACCGTCCCTGAGTTAATAGGGGTCTTCTTTCGAGCGCAATCGACCCGGAGCAAAGGGGGGTTAAAGAAAAAAAAAAAGAAAAAAGAAAAAAAGAGAGGAGAATGCTAAGGAGCTAAACCAAGGAAAATCTCGTCACCCGACCTCAAAGGAAAGAGGACCGACAGCATTTAATCGAATATTTACCAACTACCGACGGTAGCACAACCTCGCAACCTCCTCACCTGCATTGCCGCAAGCTTTGGAGCTGCGAGTTTAGACTTCGAAAATATACTTGGTGCAACAGGAAATCGAGAATCTGCGACCTGACTCGCCCTCGTCACATTGGTACTAAACATCTGAACGGGCGCCATCATTTTCTACTCGCATTTCCATCTAGGTTCCTTGCATGAAGCAGAACAGCCTAACGCGCGTTGCCGTAACAAACATCTAAATCATTTCCACAGCACCTATCCGTTCTCGACCCACGAGCTTGACCACCACCACCACCATCACCACCGTTATTACCTACCACCAAACCCCAAATTTCAACTCGTTCAGCCTTCACTTTCTAGCGCTTGTCGCATTTTCATACCTAAGCTTACCTATCAATTCGATTGGTATCTGGTATCTTATTAATCTTTCTATTTATCCCGAAGGCGCCGCGCCGCGTCACGGTTTCAAGCAGTAATAAAACGTCATCGCTTCGTCACGGGCAAACTTGGCGAATATTGCCATCTCCTATCTCCCATTGCCCATTTCTCCCTGAAGATCGCTGTCCATCTCTTCTACCCCTGACACACCACCTACACCCACGCAGCCACGCCAAAGTTTCCTGCAAAGCCCGGGTTGCGCTATCGCACAAGTTTATTTCGAACCCCTAACCGAACCAACTATTGGTTGACAAAGTAGGAATTCTGTCAATCAGCGTCCGTGAGAGAGTATTTCTAACCCTCGACCACAGCTACGGGGCAGTATCCCCTGCGAGATACGGAGAACCTGCACCAGAATAAAACAAGGAAACAAGGAAATTTAAACACAATGTCCACTCAATCGGCAGACCTACTAGGTAAGTAAAAAAGAAAGCAAGATAATGCAATGCTTAGCTTCGCCGCCCCCTTTTTTTCATCCTATTATTATTATTTCTTTTTCTTACCTATATTATTTTATACTGCCTGACTGCCTGACTGGCCCATAAAGGAGGTTTAAGATCCAAGTTGGTCGCGATCCACTTTACGGGACCAAGTCGCCTGTCCTGTTTCATTTGTAGAGATTGTTGTTTCACAATTGCCTATCACAGTCGTCACTCCCATTATAGTGAATCTGCAGTGAACCGGACTAGCTAATCATCTCTTCTGTTTGCTATTCAATAGGTCTTTTTGATAATCAGGGCAATCGCGAGTCCACCCAATCGCCTGGTCTGACTCTTAATCTTTCGTCAAACAACCCCTTTCGCAACCGTGCGGCCTCGCCTAACAGTTTGGTCTCCCCTCCTCGTTCTCCATTTGATGACCCTCCTCCCCGACCTACTTCGAGAAATCCTTTCCTCGATAATCCATCTACCAGCACTGCAACTGCGAATTCGTCCGCCAAGATGTCATCAGCTAAGGAGCATAAGTCTTTCACCGCCGAGGATCTATTTGTAAGTCGCTCACAATGCACGAATGATAGTTTACTAGCTGTCGTCCACCGTGCAGGCTGCTAATGTTAATTTTTATAGGATAACTTGACGCTTGACGATGGTAGTAGGGATGCGAAAACCCGACCGGCTCCTACCGGACCACCTCGTGGCGAAAACAACCCTCCCCGTGGTCGCGGTGGGCCACCTTCGTCTCACAGGCCAACCCGGTCGCAAGAAGAAGCTCTAAAAGCTCGTCGAATGCATAGCGCCTCGAACGGGGGAGAGAAAAGCCTCTCTGGGAAACAGACGGACCGTCGCCCTCGTCGCAATAGCGATTCTTCCATGATTGAGAAGCCGTTGACGGAGGAGGAAAAGAAAGCGCGCGAGCTACGACGCAAAGAGCGCGAGCGACGCCATCGCGAGGGCAAGGATAAACCGAAAACAGCCCGAAAAATCGATATCATCGATCAGCTTGATGCTACGAGCATTTACGGAACAGGACGTAAGTATTCACGGTGTCGAGCTTCTCTGACTCATATACTGATTGGCCTTACCTAGTATTTCATCACGATGGTCCGTTTGATGCATGCAACCCGCACCGAAATCGTAAGGGCAGTCGTCGTGCGCCCATGCAGGCGTTTGCCAAAGATTCTGCCAATAATTCTCTCGGAGGTTCGGGTCCTATAAATAGTCGGCCTGATCATTTGCAGTTCATGGGCCAAGAGCCTCATGACGTCTCTAACATGTATGGGAACGCTGCTAGAGATAGGCCTGGAGGAAGCAAGGGCGAGGCTACCCTGTTCGATCCTAAGCAGGCAAATGAATTCGTCGTTGGTGAAGAGACATTGGGACTCGGATCTTCAACCTTCTTGGAAGGTACCCCGGCGGCACGTGCTGCGATCCAGCGCAACCAAGCTGAGACGGCGCAAGAGGTCTTGGAGCAGGGACTGGGCAGAAAGAAGTCGGTGGTGCAGCGTTTCCGAAGCATCAAGCGCGCCCCGCGCGAGCCTCGCGAATTCAACCCGGATGGTGACCGCTACACTCCTAGGACCGGCGATATTCCTACTAGCAGTAGCACTGGTGAAAGGAACCCGTTCTTTGCAGAGTTCGACGGCAAGGCAGAGGAGCGTATCTCTGTCAAGCGTAAAGATTCGGATTCGACATCTCCCGTGACGCCGCCGGTGCCTAGTCTTGAGCGCCGAGGGACCACTGATGGAACAGATGGCAATGGGTTTATGTCGCGTGTCAAGAGCTTGAAAGGAGGGCGACGACCGCGACCAGAGGTTCCCAACAGAGACGTTCCGCCTGCCTCCGGTGTGGCAATGTGAGCTGCGTAAGAATTGGTGCACTATAGTGCTAAGAAATATTTTTCATGAGGCAACCGGTATTAGTAGCTACGTCTTCAAGCTAAGGTTGTCTTGGTAGATGTTTTGAACGGTGGCGGAGCTTTGTTACACTTGGAGTTCACGTATTCAGTGGGACAAAGCTTATGGATGAATATGGTTCCGACACTTTCCTCTTGAAAATACGCAAGGTCAATATGTCTGGGAGACGGAACGTGGGGAAAGCTGTTAGGAGCTAGTCAGCTACAACATGGACATGGACACTCACTTTATAGGCCTCGGCTTCGTGTCAGGATAGGTAGTTTCTTGAGTTTCTCCTAAATTCCTATGGGTAGGGGAGAGGTAGCAAGTCTAGGTAATCTGTGAGCATAACTAGCGGAAGTGGTAAAGGCGCAATGGAAGACGGAGAGATACTGCCGGCGGTCCCTAGGTGAAATTCATGCAGATTGAATTGAGCAAGTAAGAGGCTCGACTATGCGGTGGTGCGTACTGTTGATATCGGAAATATGCTGTGTTAAGGATTATGACATTCGCTGTAAAGTATCTCCACTTCGGAGCACCTTCATAATATAATTATAGACTTCGTGGTGCGACTAGAAATTCGTCATTCATTAATATTCCGTGATTAAATAATTTGCTAACTATGAAAACTTCTAAGAGAAACCTAATGTGAACAATTGCTCAACTTATATTATCCTGAATTTGAATTCAATAAGACCAGGACCTTTTCCAGGTCATTAATTAACTCAAATTAATTTTATCCATTCCTCAGCTTCTTAGGTAACTTCTCTTTCGCAACCTAACTTGAGAGAAAATATAAAGTGGCTGAGTAATGCGGAAACATGGACCAAGATGTCGACGAGGGGCCACCGGCCTCACAGGCTAGCTCCCACTTCCCGTTACTAGAACCCATCTCGGGCGCGACGCTATATGAACTCGAGTCAGCGCGTCGCGAGACTCTCAGGCGTCGCGGACGAGTGCGAACCGGCTGCGCCGAGGTGGATGACGCGGTGCTGCTGGGCGGCTTGGAGCGCGGGTCCGTTGTGGGGGTCAGTGCTGAGGATGTCGAGTTCGGGCTTTTGGTGAGTTTGCTAAACGCGCCCCCGGGTTCTATCTACTACGGTAAAGATTGGGGGTTGGATTGACGGTCAGTACGGGATAGGTCGGACTACAGACCGTGGCGCATACGATGGTGTTTGAGGGTGCGGGTGCAAGGAAGCAGAGAGCGGCTATCGTTACTACGTTGACGCCGGCGGCGATACTCCCGGCGCTAAGGGACGTTATTAGAGCACAGGTTCAGGCTGGTTTGGGCCCGACGGCGAATCAGAAGCAGGAGGTTGTGAATGCGGAGGTGAGACGCTGTCTTGAGCGGATTTCTGTCTCGAGGGTTTTTGATGTCGAGGGCTTGTGGGAGGTTCTTGGCGAGCTTGAGACGCCGCCTCCTCTTGGGCGTGATGCTGCTCCGGAGGAAGAGGAAGAAGAGGTGGCTTCTGCTGCGGCTGCGGCTGTTGTTGAAGACAAAAAGCATTCGGCTCACGCTGAGTCGCCGGGTTCATTCCCGCCAGGTATGTCGGAAGAAGAGGATAAGGACGAGGTAGTAAAGGACGTTCCTTCACCACCGCCGCCCAAGATGAAGCGGATGGAAGTGGCAGACAGCGAAGACGAAGAAGAGCTAAGCTTATCACCACCGTCTCTACCAGAACAACAACAACCATCCGCACCACCTCTCCCATCCTCTCCTCCGAAACCACCCTCGTCTCCTTCTCCTTCCCCTCCCACGGCACAAACCACTACTGCAAACCCAGCACCTACAAGCAACCAAGAGAAGCCATCGCACATCCCAGACCTAATCCTCATAACGCATTTCTCAGCCCTCCTCGCAAACCTCTTCACCCGCTCCGCAGACAACAAGGCCGGCGCACATAGCACCCTGCACCTACTATCCTCGCACCTGCGGTATCTAGCCCGGTCGGCTGACGGGCCGCTTGTTATGCTTCTCAACAGCACTACTGCTACTCCTGCATCTACATCTACATCCGCATCCACCGGCAGCACATCTGTTTCTGCCGGTCCCTCTTCTCATGTACCACAAAACCCTGCTCCAGCAGCAACAGCGAAAGACCGCTCTTCTTTGGAACCTACGCTCCGCTCTATCTTCCTTCCCGTGCCTGGACTAGGAGCAGCAGGGGGAAGACGGCAGAGCAAACCCGCGTTCGGCGCTACGTTCGCGCAGTTCCTCGACTTGCATGTGCTGTGCACGCGGGTGCCGCGGACGCGAGCCGATGCGGAGGCGTTGGCGTTGGCTGTGGGGACGTCCGGGCTGGTGAGGTGGTGTTGGGTTGTGGAGGTTTTGCTTGATGAGTTGGGGGTGGAGATATATAGGGATAGCGACGAGGGCGAGAGTGAGAGTGAGAGTAAGAATATGGATGGTGGTAGTGGTAATGGTAATGGAAGGATATGGAGGAGTCGAGAGCAGCGATGGGGTGCTGTGGATGTTCGTGGGAGGGTTAGGCTTGTTGATGCGATTTTGGGGGGGTAGGGGTAAAGGTGAGGATGGGAAACCTGGAAGGGCTGTTGAGATACTTGGAGTGGTAGTTTTGTTGTTGTACCTATTTGTCTAAACCAAACCAAACCAAACCAAATCTTCACAAGCCTACCTAAACTAAGATGATGCTCGTGTGGAAACTGAACCTAATGAATGTCGCTTTCAATGCGTAATTCTGCATACATACATGTTCATCAATAAGCGTTACTCTAACACTCTTTTCCCCTCTAATTTTCATAATATAGAGAGGCGTTTCTACCAAACATGCTTTTCCCTTTTCCCGTTCGTATACCTAGGTAGGTACCTACTCATCGAAGGAACACCAAACCCTTTCCAGATCCCCAGTTTCACCTCACACCTACCTACAACTCACCAACACCCTCCTCCCCAGCCTCGCCCCCGACAACACCCTTCTTAACAAAAGGCTCTAACCTCTCAACCAACTCCTCAACACTAATCTCGCCCTCGACCTCCCCGTCCCAGGCGCCCTTGTGGTGGTTACGCGGCGGAACCAAGATGTGGTCGACGACCTGCAACACGCCATTCCGGGCGAGGCCGTCTTGGATCGCGACACCGACGTGTCCGTTAACTTTGATAGTGATAAACCCGTACCAGCGCGTGATATCCACCGCGAGATGCGCGTCGTCAAGCAGAGTCGGGAGGTCGAGGTGGTAGTGCTTAGCAGCGCCCTTCGTCTCAGCACCATCTTCCTCCTCCTTCTTCTCGGCCGCGTCAGCAGCGCCGGCGGTATACGCTAAATCCAGGCTCGGCGCGAAACCCGCGGCTTTCTTCTGGCCGTAGTACGCGTCCGAGTACAGCGTCTCGTTGGCCACGATGTGGTATTCCAGAAGCGCGCGTAGGTAGTGCAGGCCCTTGCCGGTGTTGAACAGGAAGGCGTTGGCGGCGGGTCCGAGGCGCTGGAAGGCCGTGTTGGTGGGCGCGAAGAGTGTTAGGCCGGTTAGCTTGTCATGGTGGTGCGCGTCTTCGTCGCCGTGGTGGTGTTTGAGTCCTGTCTTCTCGGCTGCGAGCTCGAGAGTGGAGAATTTGCTTGGGAAGAGGGAGATTAATACTTTGGCGGGGGGTGGCGGGACTAGGATGTTGTCGACGCCGTGGAGGACGCCGTTGGCGGTGCGCTGGATAGGGGAGGGGTGTTAGTATGGGTTTGGAATAGGGGGTGGAGGATGTTTAGGGGGAAGAGAAGGGATGGGAAAGGAGAGGGACGTACCAGGTTTGCGTAGACGATCTTGCTGAAGAAGTTCAGCTTCACGCCGAATAACCCGACACTAACCCGTAGTCGCTGAGGGCGTCCACCAAGCGCCTCCTCTTCTAAGGCAGTCGGCAGGGTGTGGTGGGCGAGCACACGGCCGGCGGGGTAGAAGCCGGGAACGACGTGGTACTTGATCAACTTCTCGATGAACTCCTTAGGCGGCTTATGATCTTTGGGAACCTTTTCGAAAGCGCGATTCGTAGGGACGAAGGCGGTGATGTTAGCCGAGGTGCTGTTAAGCTTGTCGACTAGGTCGGGGTAATCATCGACCAGAGCCGCGAACTCCTTGGTGTAGTTGGAGGCCTTGATGACTTGGTACACGGTCAGATTCGTGGCGTGCCATCGTCCGTGTCCGTGCCCCGGGACGGCGTAGTCGGAGGGGGCGAGGAATTCGGTAATCTCGGATCCGACTTCGAACTCCACTCTGGGGAGCGAGCTGCTCAGCTTGCTGGCCTGCTTCTCGAGAGCGTCGAGGGCAGTCTCGAAAGTGTTTTCCACAGATGAGAGGAAGTCGTTAAGGCTATGGGTGCGGTCCCACCATGACGATACGGGCTTCTCTGCCTGCTGCTGCTGCTCGGGCTCTAAGACGAGCTGCTGAGCGGTGGCTTCATCGGGGACCACGAATGCGGCGGCTGTGGCCGCGAGGGGCAATAGAGTAGTTGAATATCTCATCTTGACGATAAATAATAGCCCCTAGACAGGCAATTGGGAAGTTCGGGATCTACGGAAGTGGCCAAATTATATATGTCTAGCTCTGAAGTCCGGGACTTATGTATGAATTGAGGTCTTTTATTATGATTGATGTCTGACGGCTACTGACGTCAAGCCTGTGCAGCGGAAGTCGTCAAGAAACTCGAGATACAAACGGCCCGGAATTAATCGTGGTCTACACGCAATTGGGGATGATAAGAAAGGAAAGGAAAGAAGACGAAGAAGAAACAGTCAGATATGTACTCGACTCTAATACATACCTACCTCTCGTCTCTTAGTGCCTTACTCTATTAGGCAGGGCTTTTCAATCGCGGCGTAAGGTGATTTCTCCTTATGTTCACGTCATGACTGCTGGCTGAAAGACGCCTTACGTATTACGTTTTATGGCGGGTTGTTTCTTATTGGTAGCTCGGCCGAGTCTAGGCGGGATGAGAACTTGATATCCCTGTTACGGTTGACCAGACTAACAACTGTGCCAAAATGAAAAAAATAATCGCATACTAAACTAAAGTTGGTAGGAGGTCACTTGCCACAATTTAGAAAATATTCAATATATACTTCCAAACCTCATTACGGCTTATTATAATAGACATATTGATTTAACCAGTATAACCTAGGAGATTAAACAATATACACTTCAATAACTTTACCATTTCAACAGTTACAGCATTATAATTGGTACCATTCTATAGCCCCAATTAATGCGAAAACAATAATTCAAGTTGCATTTAAATCGGCCTCTTCGTTGTTGTGTTATAGTAAAATCAAATAGCGCTTGTCTGAAAAGGGAAGCACGTGACACCCTTTACAAGCACCTTTTTTCAATTAAGCTCCGATTACTTTAATAGCAATATAATACTCAATACTCATCGCATAAGAATGCAACTTAGACCATTAGTTTCGCATGAATTGGGGCTATTAAATAGTACTAATTCTAATATTGTCATTGTTGAAATAGTAAAATTATTTGAATGTATAAATATGTAGATGTGGTAGTTGAAATTGAATTGAATTGAATGAGAGGTATTACCAGGCGGGCTGTGTGTGATTTAGCCAATAGGAGGGCTCGCATGTGGTTGAGAGGCGTTGTATACCTACCTAGGTAGAATTGTATAGTGCATGTCCAAGTAGAATGAACATGAGGTACAAAAAGATACTAGGAAAATTGTATGGTGGGATACGTACCTGTGGTTTACCCTAGTGTTGCTCCTTTTTAAAGCATATAATATATAATGCTATAAGGTATGTATTTACAAAGAATGATTCATTTTTCCTATATAAAATGCGAAGTACCGTAATAAATCGAGCTAATTGCACTAACCTGTGGCTAACTACCCTTTTAAGCTAAGTTCGCATAATTTTTTTCATTTTGGCACAGTTGTTAGTCTGGTCAACCGTACCTGTCGCGGAATTTGAGAGATCGGTCAGTTGGCGATCCCGTTTCCCGATTAGACGTCTTATTGGTTGCTTTCCCATGGGAAATTCCATGTTGGGTATGGCTCTACTTTCTAGGCAACAAGTTTCGAGTGTTGAGTCTTCATTGGTCAATGTTGACGGAGCTGTTAAGACAAGTAGCTACCCCTATGTATAACCTACCTACAGGTGTAAATAAAATTGTTTTTGAACTTGTACTTTGCTTGGGTGTCTAATACAACAAAGCAAACACAGTATTCTTATTGAAAACTTTGACAGCTTCTTTAATGTTTTTTTTATCGTTGGGCAGTTTGAAAACCATTGTTTCTCCAATGCTTCTGATCTTTAACTGATTGTAAGGTACTGTGTGACACAACAATGTGTTAATTTGCATAGCAGATTCGCTTCCTGTCTATCCTCACTGTCTAACTTATACACACGTATATATACGCCCTCGTCCTGTAATAGGTAGGTAATCTTGCTGATTTAACGATCAAACCAGACTTCTATTCATTAATAAATACTTCTTTTCTTCCAAGTTCAATCTTAAAATAACTACCTAAAATACCAAATCTCCAGATTTCATAATGGACAACCCATACCTTCAACAAATCCCACAATCAGGGATACACACCATGCCTGACCAGCCTCAGTTTTCGGATGACGAAAAAAAGCGTTACTCGGAATGGGCCACACCGCTCACGCGTGTCGCGATGGGCCTTGCACACTTGTTACCGGAAGTCGACGGCGCAGCGCTTGTCGAGTTCATCGAATTTCCAAAGATATGGCTGGCTTTATCTAAGTTTAAAAGTGAATACTGGTCACTCTCCGAATATGACGACCCGCACCGGTTTATCAGCAGCTATGATCTTAGGAAAGCCGCGGTTAGCTTCCAACTTTCTCCCGTAGTCGACTCCCCGGATGTCAAACTCAGAAGCCTACGCCCAACGCTAGCGCACCATCATATCGCGAACTTCATGCGAGAAGTATTCGCTTGGACCGTACTGGAGAGAGCCGATTTGGCGATTCGGCGGTATTTACTGCCAGGGCGTAAATACCAACTTCCTATTCTAATTGGTACGCTTGCGGCTTATTTATTTGTTTCCGCCAACAATCCTATGTATGGAAACCTCGTAGAGGGGCCCTCCGGCTCATCGTCACAGAGGCAAAAGCTGCCGGTGTATCCGGAATGGCGGGCCCGTCACAATCCCAACGACCCGGAAGCTTCTCGGCGTCTCCTATACTTATTTCATGAGAGTCGCGATCGTCATCGCGTACGGCAGGAGTATAGTGAGGCTGGGTGGTTGGAGATCGTGATGCGACGATTGGAGCCAGAATTCTTACGTATTCAAAACAGAGAAGAAGAAAAAGAAAACTACGCAGACCGTAGGAAGGTGAGTCAGAGTGATGTTGACGACTTTCTTAACACCTTCACCTAGGCTCCCGTATTCATGGGCATACCTTCGATCTATTAATACATACACATCTCTCCCACGCCGCCGAGAGAAATAATACATATCATACCTATTTAGGACTTGACCTAGTTAAATATTATTCTAACTAGATATTTTATAATAAAAGTTGTGTTTACTCCTTACGTATAAGATGACTGACTACCTGCACATGCCATGGTGAGAAATTTGCATGCCTTCAAGTGTAATCGTAAAATATCAACTGTGAGATAGGGTTTATAAGAACGACGTCCTAATGCCCCCTTCGTCGATTATATAATCAATTTAAATATACATAATTATAAATTACTATTGGAACAGTTTGCGTTGATAGGTGGTATATAACAAAGCTTCTCGGATATTCATGACTTTCAACAGCTGGATTTATGGAATTCGGGTACTTTTCTACTATCTTCAATAGTTAGATTTGTTAAACAGGTTTGGGGTTATTGGTCTATTAGTTTATAAGTGCTCTTACTTATGAAGAGTGATACTTTAAGTTATTATGACGTGTACTTTAAAGATATAGAAATAAATTGTTTCCTTGTAAGGGATTCTAAACCTAAGCTATGAAGACTAATGACTACATAATCGCAGAATCCTTTATACTAGATATTTCGTCTTGAATTCTAACAAAGACTGAAAGACAAAAACATATCCCGAACCACACAACTCAAATAGTCTCACTTCTAGCTCACTTTATCCTGCATGAGGAAGAGAGAAAATGTTGCTTATGCTCGACAATAAATTGGATCTGCTTCGATATTCCGGTCGTTCCATGTTCAACAGTCGCGCGCCGGGTGATTCCAGTATAAAGGACATAAAGTCTCTAGGCATATAGTACCAGCGCTAGCTATCGCATCTCGCGTCTTCTGCGCTCGTTCAAGCCGATAAAAGATTAATTCGACTTTGAGAATTACTGGAGAAGGTAAGTACCTTCTTATAGGTTCGGAAATACTTCGAATAAATCTAGAAAATATTGTTACCGCGAAGTCTCTTGACGTTATAAAATTAATTATAAACGCGTCTCCCCTGTATAGGTTTCGCGCGAACAGTCCAGAACGTAGTGCAATAAGCTCTCATGTAATGGTAGGCCATATAGAAATGGCCATGGTCAGCCCAGTTAGGACCCCATGAGTTCCGAATGATAAATAAGCTATTCTGTGGTTTGTAACCAACTGCTAGGAATGCATGCCAGTCGTCTGCATATTTATCGCTCTTTGGGTTTTCTGGCACTTCTATAATAACATTGATTATTAGATGAGAGAAAAACTTGGGCTTAATTATATACATACGCATTTGATAGCCGTTGGATGCATTGAGGTTTTTCTTGTAAAGCCAATCGCGCACGCTCATTGAAAATATAAAGGGAAACCCGCTATCGAGACAATGTATGAGATTATTGTGTAGGTTCTCGGTGTTAATCGGCTCATATGTTGCAGTATTCTGAATGGCAAAGCGTCTCGCTTGTTCATTGGGCTCGGTTGCTGCCATGGCATCAGGAGGGAATCTACCGGTCCTCCGATTACTTCTACTGGGTATATAAGGCCAAAGATCTTCAGAACAGACACCTTTTTCCAGAACACGGAGAGCATCCTCAGTAGAAGTACCGTCATTGAAGTCGGTGGCTCTGTGGTATATATTTCCGGGACTCTGTGAATTCAAGCGGGCATAGTACCAAATAAATAGCCTGGAAGGGGTAAAATAGATTTGACCTGCCTTTCTAATCAAAAATTCAAATGCGCCGGCTACGGCATGAGAAGCACAGCTGTTCATTTCCAGTTGGTTATAGGCCACTGAAAGATGTGGCCGAAGGTCAACACCCAAGCTTAAACGGGGGTTTACGGGGATTCTAGGAGGGGGTCTCATAACATAAGTCCCTGGAACGAAGTCGTTTATATAAGGATTTGGATGGGTATTTGGATGGGTATTTGGATGCCTAGGATATGCTCTTGATCTTGATATATCATACAAGTCATTCGCATCCTGCTATGTAGGTAGGTTAGTCTCTTGCCTTGGATGATTATATCACTAGCTTTAATGCTTACTTCCTGATTGAAATCTCTGTCAACCCGATTTTCAAACCTATCCCAGCGTTGTTTACCGAAAACAGGGGGAGCTTGCTGGCTATAATTACCACGCTGTGAGAAACTATGCATACATTATCAGGGCGGTATCACTCACTTGGATACCTGGAAATAGCTTTGCTCGCTACTTTTAGATCCAGGTATTATTGTTTGGCCCCCGGGCAAGACTCTTGGAGCCCAGCGGATTTTTCGGTTTATATCGGTTGCCGGGTTGCCCGGATTGGCACATTGAAAAGTTTTGCACATTGTTTTGGAGATGATTACCTATGAGATGATGGGAATATAATGATGATAACAGAGGTCGGACTCGAGGTAATTATTATAGATATTTATATTACTTCGGTATTGAGGTCTTCGGTATCGAGGTAGTTGTCAAGACTCTAGATGAGACATCTAGAACAAAAGATACCTCCCGTATGTATAGGGTGACCACTGATTTGCGTACGTTAGTTAGGTTTGGAGTTTCTCGCGGAACAACCTGGTTCTTTCTATATCTTCTAGGATCGTCTCGTAAAATCAACTTCTTTCTTGATGGATGGGGTAACATGTGTATTCAGCTTTGGCTACAACTCACTCGAGGGTGCGAGATGCATACAAAGTTCTATATATAAGATACTGTCTCACATTAGCAGCACAGCTTATAGCTGTTTCGTTTTCTAGGGATAGTTGATATTGGTATCATAAACCCAGATATATAATTACTGGTAAAGTGAGGCTACTGTGCCTGGAGTGCCTTCTGTCCAATACGAATAGATCCTCGTTGCGCATCGTGTCCTTCTGAAATTCATTCATTGCTTGGTCTAAGAGAGTTGCTGCTATATGGCGAACGTGGACCTTGGGCAGGCCTATGAGAATGCGATCGGCCGTCTTTGACACGTTCACGAATATGCTCGTCTTTCCCTCCGCTTCGACGAGTCCTGGCTTAGCGACGCATGCTTCCACCGCGCGTTTAGACTGTTGCGCATATGCGAGAATGCGCGACGATTTAGCAAATTCATACAACCTTAGATAATACAATCGTAACTTAGACATACGCGCATTAAGCAGTAATCACTTAGCACCCAAGCCTCCTTCGAGGGATCACGCTCACTATTCACTCTACTAATGTATATGAAGCGAAATGGTTTCCTGGTTCCATGATCACGATTCAGTTCCGAGATTGTCTCGATGCCTTCGATAAGCGTAGTCGCGGCAGATGGTACAAGCTCTCTTCCATGGCATCATTTTCAACTACGAGGGGGTCACAGCGATAGTCCTAGTATGGTAGAGAAGTTATTAATAAACGCTTGCGACGAGAATGGCAACAGTACCTAGGTACCTCTAATAGATAGGTAGTCAACGGAGATAAAGAGGGATGGATGGCCCAAGATTTGATCGGTGAGGAAGCTGAAGGTGACTTGCTGAGTTGGATAGAAAAGGGGTAAAATGAGGGTACGACGCATTTTGTGAAGTGCAGACAGCCCCCCCCCGTCCCCTACGTCGGGTAGCATGGACGGGGTAGTGCGTGTTCACCATTCACGCTGTCTTCCGTACTACAAGAATCATTCAGAGACGTAAATTCACTTTGACACTGGAGCACCTCTGACAACTAAGGGCAAAGGGTAATTGACAATTCAAGTCACAACTTTCAGCCAAGCATCCCCCAGCCCCCAGCCTCCTCTTGTGTTCCCATCTAATCTAACTTAAACTTGGGCCAAAGCTGGGTGGCGGCGGCGTAAGCCACCATTTCGGCATCTTTCCGGCCCTCCAGGATTGTGTCTACCTTCGAAATCTGTTTGGCAATGATGTCCTCGCGGCAGAATGGATAGTCGGTGCCGAACAGTACGTGCCCTGGTGCCGCAAAGTCAAGGGATAAACGTAGGGGCTCGTCATATCCAGCGAGAGCGGTGTCGTAGTAGAAGTGTCTCGCCTCTTCGAGGAACTCGTCAGCTGTTTTCTCCGTGGCGCCGAAGGCTGCGCCTAGTTGGGCAATGCGGTTGGCTACGTATGGTAGGGTGCCACCTCCATGCGGTAAGATGACTTTGCACGCAGGATGCGTTTTCATGGTGTTAGTGGTAATCAGATGCGCTGCGGTACGAGTGGTCTCGTGCGTCCAGTCGAATATCGGCTTTGCCAAGGGTACCGGTTCTTGAATCGCCTCGCTTGCGGTCTCGAATCCTGGATGAATCGCGACTACGGCTGCGAGACGGTCTAATTCATCCCACACAGATCGGAAGTCCTGATGCCCAAGATACTTTCCGCCGTAGCTCGTTAATAGGCTCACTCCTTCCGCCTTCAGACCTTCAAGAGCATAACGAATCTCTTGAATGCAAGTCTCGCTATCCTCGGGAGAGGGCAAAGTTGCGAAGAACCCAAATCTTCCTGGGTATTGCTGACATAGATCGGCTGCATATTCGTTCATCCTGCGACAAAAAGCAGCCACTTCCCGGGAATCGCTACTGATGCTTGTCGCTGGAGCTCCCATGGACAGGATGGATACTGAGATATTGTGCCGATCCATGAAGTCCAGACTTTTCTCTGGACTCCATGGCGGTAATCGCAGGCCTTGACCGACGAGGGTAGGATTTTCGCCCCCTACTTTAGGTATTTGAAATCTCATTAGAATTCCACCCCTAGTGCTGTAGCCTCTACCGCCATCTCAATGGGACTCACCCTTTCTAAATTCCGGTGGTACAATGTGATGATGAACATCAATCTTAAAAGTTGCCATTTTTAAACTGTGCTAGGAATACAGGCGAGTAATGGATGAAGAAGCTGGATAAAACTTTGGATAGCCCCGAAGAAAATAGTCGGAAGAGGCGGCTTAATATAGAAGTCTACCTCTTATCTGGATCATCCTCAGCCTCAAACACTCAACGCCACCCAGCCCAATACGGTCGAGTATCTGTCTGGTAGATCTTTAGGTTCAGTATGCCCTGCATAACAATGTATCGCCCCCCCACGACGGGTGGCGGCCATGGTCACACACCGTCGTTGAACCTAATAAGTTCTACCTATGAGTCTCAGACACCTGAATACAGGCAGATAAGATTTTAACGTATTGTATTTTATATTAGCAACCCCTATAAAATCTAAGCTAATATAGTGATTTATTCAGTCCATACCAGCAATATTCCAAACTCAAATCCGTATACAATGTAAGCAAACTAGGTAATTTTAACTAGATGCTAGTGCCCTTTCTCGTATATACCAAAAGAGAGTAAAAGTAGAAGCAGGTCCAAAAAGGCCGATGAAAACTGGAAGGAGTGGGATACAGTAGAGCCAGCTTGTTCCTATTATACCGACACTGTTAAGATCTAAGAAGGAATAGATCAACCATAAAAAGGAGCTTGTGAAGAAAGACATATGATCAGCTTGAAATATTTTTTGAACAAAGGGAATAAACTCCGACGGCGCTTCTGATGTAGGTACGAAGATAGTCGCCAGAGAATATGGCGAGGAGAGTAGCGTATATCCCCAAACACCAGTGGATATTATACCCGCCACTGCAAGGAGACTTTTAGGGGATGCGAAGCAGGGGTTAGATAACAGCGGTTTGGTAAGTCCGGAAAGTAGGACATTGGCAAGACCAATGTAGAGAGGGCTCATCTGCCAGGCCCAAGTCCAATAATGTCGTGTAGCTAGCTCTGGTGCTAGACACATAGCGAAGACTTCGGAGGTGTGGAATAAGAAGATAAGTAAGAACACAAGCCCACTAGCTCGATTCCAGACACCTCGATCTCGAGCCGGCATTCGAGCTAGATCGGATGCAGTAGGCCCAAAAGTCAAGGACAGGAAATAAAAGATCGGAGCTACTGATCCTATACCTAGGAATTGCCCAGCAACCGTAAATATAGTCGGGCTAGAAAACTTCCATTAACCACTTCCCGCTCATCATGTCTCATAGCAACTCAACTCACAAATACGCCGGGGTATAAGCGTATCCGACACGGTAGGATTCTAAAATCCATATCGCATAAATTGGCCCAAGGTCGGTGAGGAAAGAGAAAATTTGCCACCAAGCCACAGGGTCGTATCCGAACGTCGAAGCCGAGAAGGTCGCCATCCCGCCGCGAAAGATGTCATCAAGGAACTTTATGCCATGGAAGTTGTCTATTATGGGAATCTTCCCGCCGTCCCATTCAATCACTCCAGAATCGGCGAATGGCTGTTGAAACGCCACTATTGTATTCGGGTCCATGATACGCAAGCACCAAGCTGAGATAAAGAGGAACGGCACTGATACGACAGCACGCCGGAGCCTGGTCCCGGCGGACGCCATGATTGAGAATACCAGATATTAAAGGGTTGGTACAATGGGATAATCGACAGTAACACATGCAAGAAAGTAGAAATTGGGAATAAAACTCGAGAATCCTATTCCTATTTCGAACAACTAGGACGACCGCAGTTTACATAGTTTTCGGACTCGGATACTACAGCGTCCGCAGACTATGTTTAGGGAGTTGACGCTCGGACCAGAACTATGCATCTACCCCTTGTAATTCTTGGTATAATCGGGGGAATAATAATGTTCTCTGATAAATAAGCAGAAAACACGGAAATGTCCTAAGCCCACGATGATCCATGAAGCCTTTCCGCTGGATTTCAGCCAAGTCCGCGGATGCTACTTATCCGCCAAGTATGAATTCGACTTGCTAGCAGGGAATTTGGGGCACATTAATACACCAGGCAGAGCTATCCTTACGTTCACGAAGAATAATATTCATGATAGGTTACTTGTTACGATGGTGTGGCGTAGCACACCAAACCCTACATATAAATTCTACGAAGTACCTAAACGCTTATTCATAATGCCTTATGATATATTCGCCCTATCTATATCTGTGCCCGCTAAAGTGTGAAAGTAAGACCTCATCCGATTCGCTATACCAATAACTCCGTATTGGCGGACGGCTCTCGGATTCGGCCACGACATCGGATACGGCGGAACGGCTTCAACGGATATGACGCGGGATAACTGAACGTATCATCCCATGAAAGGTTTTATTCTACACAAGGACCGTAGCTCTTATTCGCAACCCGACGCCTGAGGTCTGTATCCACACTCAAACCCCTATTTCCTCCATCCCATCAGCGACTCTTTTGTCGGTATGCTCGGCCTCGAGTTGCTTATCGACGTTGTTCTGGACCTTATCCTGGACCTCTTTGCCTTCGAAGATGAACGAGAGCTCTTCCAAAGTTCTGTTATATGTCTCCGGGAATAAGAAGTATACGGTCGCAACTTCGAATAGAATCCACACACAATAAACCAAGTAATATTTCCATCTGATCCGGTCTAATGCTACTGGATTCACGTATGTGTTGAAGAAGACAGCGAACCTGACCGTTAGTTGCTCAACCGCGATCCCTTTAGCTCGTTGCTGGTATGGAAATATTTCAACCACTATCCCGCTTCAGTCAGCAATCATCACATGAAACCGCTCCTAATTTAGTATGATGACCTGCTTCACAAGGCGAACAGGTGAGTGCAACAAGGAGTAGTAATAAACCACTTACAGTAAGTATATGCTAGCGCATTCCAGCCTAGATTGTAGAACTAGCGAGCATGTCAGCCGTAATAGCGAACAAAAGAGGCCGAGGGTTAACTCACGGGGGAGTATGCGAAAATGAACACTAGAACTGCTATTGCGGCAGACGATGTATTCTCGATAGCAAACCGCGCCGAAGCCACCGTCCAGACGCTATAAACGACGGCTGTGCCAATCGTACAAATCAAGAACCCAATACGACGACGTAATAGAGGTGCGACGATGGCTACGGGGACAGCGTTTATCAAACCCCAGCATGTGTTGCTCAAGATGACTTTCTGAACAGTGCGATTATCCGTGATCCCGACAAGATTTAGAATTTTCTTCACTGGGATACGTTAGGAAGACATTATAGATGATCGTGAACCCTCTCAGCGACAAAGAAAGTCGAGGTACGGAAATTGGAAGAGACAGCATGTATGTTTGTCGATCCGAGGGTTATTTTCACTTACTACTTGACCGTTAGTGTTGCTAGACAACAAATAGGGGAAGCTTGCAGAACTGAATGGAGGAACACACGAACCTGTAAAAGCTAAGAAGCCCATTGCCACTCCATTGGGTAAAGAATCCGACTATTGCAGCAAGTAAAAATCTGCGTCTCATCGGGGGATCGCTGCAATATAAAGTCAGTATATACGCGAGACGAACGCAAGATGGCTGCGTACCGGAAAACATCAGCCCACACGAACGCCTTAGCTGTCTCCCTCTCTTGAGCAATGGTGCTTTGGATCTGGGCAAATTCGAGGCGTACGAACTCTTCGCCATTGTCCCCTTCACTGTGGTACTTCTGAAGAATCGCGTATGCCTCATCACTCCGATCGACCGAGATCAAATATCGCGGACTCTCGGGGCAAAATGGCAGGGATAATATCTGGCACAAGCTTGGAACCAGCTGTAGAATAGAGGGTAACCTCCAAGACCAGGTACTAGTCATTTGGAAAGTCCCGTAGGTGACACCAGCCGCGACAATAGCCCCCACGTGCCAAGAAGAAGTAAAGAGGGAGGTCATAGTCGGTCTCTCCTTTTCATACGCTAGCTCTCCAACAAGCGCGGAAGCGTTAACGATGGCCAGGGGGATACCAAATCCGAGCACCCAGCGAGACGCAAGAAACATATCGCTGTTTTGGGAACCCGTCTATAAAGGTAGCGTTTAATATTTCATCGTGTTTTCGCACCCCTACCAAGGTGAAGTGAAAGGAAGAAAGGGGCGGAAATACCTGGAGTCCAGCACCTAAGCATAAGACTATCGATCCTACAAGTATGGACCAACGGCGCCCAAGATACTGGGAAATGGTGGGAATAAAAGGTACTGCCATCAGGGCTCCGAGGGAATACATGGCATTTAAAAGACCAAGTCGGCCCTCTGTAGGATTGTCGAAGTCTCCGGCTTGTTAGCTAAGAGTCGCTCCAGGGCACGTACGGGGGGTCCTCATACATGTAACCCAAGCCTCCACAGCCTGGAGGGAGTTCATCATCGAGGAGTCGAACCCGGATGTCCATTCGACGCCCATCGCGGCTGGGATCAGTATCTGCATGTAAATGTTAGAAAGGGACGTAGACTTTACAAGGATCCGCATTGGCGTGGGTATTTCACAATAATTGACTGTGAATTACCATCATAACATTGCGCAAACCAGGATGGATGTAGACTACCCAATGGCGCCGAACCATCTAATGGGAGTTAGGTACTAACAAGATAAAGTGCTCTTAGGTTCGGCTTCTGATACCATTTCTTCGTATCCGCCTTCGCAATATTAGCCAAACGAGGGTCGACATGATGTTCTTTAGCCCCAATGATAGCCATCGCGACAAGATCTCAACGTGAAGCCGTAGCAAAGTTGGTAAAGCCGAATTGGAGAACTGACATGCGAGAGCGTCGGTACCTAGTCCCTTATTATAACAAGTCGGGTTGGTCGTGTCTACGCCGCCTGACAATCTGGGAACGGGGACCGAGTATCCGCATCTGATCTTAATACCTAGCGAATATTTAGCCGTCCATCTACGGGGACCGGGTAAGGTAAGGCCATATATAATTACGCGAAAGCCTGGGAATCTTACACAAGTTGGGCGAGTTTAAAATGGCATGCCATATACTACTGCAAAACGAATTAAAAAGGGGCCCTTATTAGTGGATGTATTCTTGAAAATACTACTTTGCTATACACCTATACTACGGGCCGACTGGCAAGGGTTGGCGTGGCTTACGAATTGGAGAAGCATACATGTGTAGACTGATTTTCGCCATTTAGTCGGCGTTGGGGTAATGGTAAAAGATGGATGGGGAAAGTAAGTAAAATATTACACAGAATAAGAGCGAGTATGCCATTTGTCTCAGGCTGTCGCTCACCAGCGAATCAGAAGCTTCACATGGTTATACTTACCTACATTAACCCCTATGTTGTGATTGCCTAACTCTATTAAATATCTATAGGCAGTGATTTAGGCCCCTTATGCACATACCCCTTTTAACACGGCTAGGTAATACACAATACCTTCACTCTATACTCGCCATCTTTCAAAATATCTTACGAAACGTTAGTAGCAGAATTTCAGGCCCAATTTCATCGGGAAGAGCAGTCTCTTTCAAGTTTTATGAAAAGATAATGGGAAAAGCGCATGAAACAGATCATAGGTAATCGACAAGGAAACCAGACGACTAACGAAGGAAGAAAGAGATGCCGCTATAGAATTGGGTATACGGCTTAGTGAGGGAAGTGAGAAGAGAACCCAAGCATCAATACGCAAACCTGAAGACTCGCCCGCAGAGATGGAGTATTGGATTCGCAAGTTAAAAGATGTCTATGAAAGTACGTAAAAAGACGTGATATTATGCTATAACTACCTGGTTGAGAAAGTACTAAGTCTCCTTCTAGGTTTCCTATTAACGAGTTCGATGTATGGATTGATAGCTTAACCTGCCTTAAACCTAACCTGACCTAACTTGGGTAGACTATAAATGTTTTATTCGTATAACAGTTATATAAATTAAAGGTATACGTACCTGTTATATCTTATTTTTGATGTAATATGATTGGTGTATTTCCTATGGGTGATGTAGCTGGGGCTGTATCTTTATAAGGGTTAGGTACTTCAGCCAGTTCGAAGATATTCCGCATCGTGAGAGTGGGTGACGCGGGGCCGACTTTATCATAGGGGTATTTTGGTTTACTCCGATACCGGTGAATCCCTATAAAAGGATTTACCAAGGTCAGGAGCTAGTAATCACATACCCAGTTATTATTATATAGAACGGTATACATAGAAGAAAGAGTCACTTTATACCCACAATCGAAGCGAGTTGTGAGAAAGGAATTACCAGACATCAACTCCGAAGGCCAATCCGTCCGATTTATTAACAGCAATGTGGTGGCAGTTACATCCTTGAGAAGAACAGCCCATCGCAGTAGTAAAGCTCGGAGTCTCGCTTTGGATCGGGTAAATCAACACCATAGAATATCACGCAGATAGACACGTGAATCCGGTATCCTCTCTGTTAACGTATGTTAAATATTTTTTGTACCGACCACCTTAATAGATTTTAGACGAATCAATGTCGCTTTAGAAGACCATGTACCTAACTCAAGTCTCAAGGAGGAGCCTATCGACGATCCATTATATCAATATGATGACGGACCGCATGATGACCCACTATCGGTGACCTACCGAGCATATTTACCCCTCATCTTGTCCTATTCCTATTAAGTATTAAAGGACCTTGTCGTCCCTCTAGGTTTTCGTGCGGAATTTTCTTAAATCTCTCATCGATATTTACTTCGATTTCTAATAACTAAGCTCAAGCTCAAAGCTCGAAAGTTTCACACATCACCGACAGATTATCTCACTGGTATGGTCTTAGGAAGCACCTGCCATCATGGAGCTATCTCAGTATCAAGGTAACGTTGGACAAACGCATGGCGGGTGCTCGATGTTGTTCGATCCAGTTATAGCTTTCTCCTCTAAATACCTAGGTACCTACCTACCTACGTATTGAGGAGTGAGTATAACTGGAGAGAGGCATCAGGGCTGAGATTACACCGTTCAAACTTGATCTGGATAATTCCAGCGAAAAGGACATGCTGCTTTCCCTCCCCCTGTTAGTCTGAGCAGCTTAGTATTAACTGTAGCAGTTTCTGATCCATCATGTCTACCGACAAGATTACCTTCTTGACCAACTGGCAAGCATGAAGAGATCTACTAGAGATGAGCATTCACTAACGCCAGTAGGCACGCCACGCCGTATCACGCCCCCCTTTACCTCGCTCAGGCCAAAGGGTACTTCAAAGACGAGGGCATCAAGGTTGCTCTTCTCGAGCCCAACGACCCGAGTGTATGCTCTAGAAATGTTGCATCATGCGTAGATTCAGTGCTCATATCGTATAGGATGTCACCGAAATCATCGGCACCGGAAAGGTCGATCTCGGCTTCAAGGCTATGATCCACACTCTTGCCGTAAGACGCCATCGGATAATCGATTAGGTTAATCTAAGCTAAGAATCGTTGTATAGGCGAAAGCCCGTAACTTCCCAGTCCTGTCTATCGGATCGCTACTCGACGAGCCTTTCACGGGTGTCGTGTATCTTAAGGATAGCGGTATTACCCCTGACTTCACGACTCTCAAGGGAAAGCGAATCGGTTACGTAGGCGAATTTGGAAAGGTGCCTACTTCATATATTCATTTCGCTCTGTAGCCTTGCATTAACTGGCCGTGCAGATCCAAATTGATGAGCTTACCTCTCACTACGGCATGACCCCAGCTGACTACACTGCTGTCCGTTGCGGTATGAATGTCTCCAAGGCCATCATCAAGGGAGAGATCGATGCCGGTATCGGTCTAGAGAACGTCCAGATGGTCGAGCTCGAAGAGTGGCTCGCCGCCCAAGGTCGTCCCAAGAGCGACGTCCAGATGCTGCGCATTGACCAGCTAGCCGAGCTAGGCTGCTGCTGCTTCTGCACTATCCTGTACATCGGTAACGAGAAGTTCTTGTCCGAGAACCCGGAAAAAGTCCGCGCATTCATGCGCGCAGTCAAGCGCGCGACCGACTTCGTCATCGCAGAGCCGGAGAAGGCGTACGCCGAATACGTCGAGTTCAAGCCTATCATGGGTACCGAACTGAACCGCAAGATCTTCGAGCGCTCGTTCGCCTACTTCTCCAGGGACCTTAAGAACGTCCATCGAGACTGGGAGAAGGTCACCAAGTACGGCAAGCGCCTGGGTGTCCTAGACCAGAACTTCCAGCCCAACTACACCAACTCGTTCTTGTCCTGGTCCCTCGATGGCGAGTCTTCCGACCCGACTGGAGATCAGAAGCGCATGGCAGAGCTGCAGAAGGATGTTGCTTCTAAGGGTGGTTTCCACCGTTTGGAGATCAAGGGCACCGCTGTTCAGGCTTAAGGAGGCCAGGTTTACTCACGATATTATTACTACATGCCCAGGAAAGTCGTTTCTCGCGTAGATACACTCCTTAGGTAACCAGAAAGCCCTTGGACACTCCTTGAATATGTCGCAACTGGATAGTTACTCTATACATGAATAGTAACATAAATTTGGGCAATCCTTCTTGGCATAACTAGTCGATGTGGATTGCTTTGTACGATGAACCGTAAAGTGCCAATCGTTGATGTCTTTTACGCGTATAAATCCCGATGGGTGAATGGGACAAGCTCTAAGTACCTAACGTAAAAGGGAGAACAAACAGAAACTCATTGGCCCTCCCCAGCTTATCAGCTTATTCATAGCCGTGTCATAAACATGCCAAGATCCAGGCCAAGATCCAGTCTAAGATTGACCTGTGTCAATCATGTACAATACGTGTACTCTACGGCACGGTGCAGATAATGATAAATACCTACACATACCTACCTGGTACCTAATCCCGTCTCGTTGCCCGTAGTCCATAGCCAAGTCCATACACTATCCCCATTCCGGTCGCGCCTCGCATCATCATCATCGTCATTAATCCATCCCATCAGCCCATTAATCCATCAAACATCCGCTTCTTCTCCCTCCAGCCTCTAGCCTCGAGTCAATCAATCAACAAGCTCTAATTAGCGTATGTAAATATGGCTGACTGCGGACTACCATTTCCCGTCGTCTGCATCCAATGCGGCCGGGGCGTTGGCCTCTGCGGTATCAAGATCATCGGTAAGTTGAACACTGACCCTACATAGAAACGACTTATTCGTAAACAAATATTATCCATCTCACATACCTAAGGTATTGACCTCACATGAACAGGCCCAACTATTGGCTTCTGTGTCGCTGTGCTAGCCGCGGTTATCTGCTGGCCCATCGCACTCCTGTTCTGCTGCTTCACAGAGACGGGAAAGAAGTAAGTTTAATATTATACGAATTGCTTCTTATTAGGCCGTTTAACTCACGAGTAACCTCTCCAGGTGGTTTTGGAAACCGTGCGACATAAATGCGCAAGTATCAGACATGTTTCCCATCTGACCAGCGAGGAAAAGCCGTAAGCCCTCAGCGTTATGATACCTACTTGTGTTCCTTAGGTTCACGGCTGAACCGAGGCATTCAATTGCGGCCACAATGGATCCTTACGAAAATCGATGGGGTTTGTTAAGTAGTTCGAGGGTGAAGCAATGAGTGGGATCGCCAGCAAGCAAGCACCCAGCGATGAGATGGAGATTTTTAATGATAATGCGACTTCTTAAGTCAAGGTAGATAACTCAAGAGATATTAAATTAATTCAAGGCTAGCCAATGTAGTCCACATTCGGATTTAGCTGTCTGCTGTCAAACCACCCCTGGACAGGATGACTGCCTACGTCACATTAGAGATTACACGTATTCTTATTCCTGTCTAGCAGAAGTTATAGGCATAAATACGCTTCGTTTTGGTTTAAAATTCTGGCAATAAACTAGTTTAACAGAGATAATCAGGCATAGTGTTGAACGCACACTTATAGCTACAAGCATTCAAAGCCATGATATCGAAACCGCCAGTGAATATAATATGTTGACTACACTCAGACGTAAACCAACCCAACTACTTTGCTCAATGTATCACAATTGATGGCATAGGTCTCTTGCTTCACGACAAACATTTATTTTTCCTAGTTACCTACCTAATATTGTATCAGAAACTAGTGCGAATCATCAACTATACAAGTCTTCTAAGGATTACTTCTCCACAACGTCTTATACTCTGATTGAAAAGAATCATTATCTTCTTAAAGAGGACAACTAAAGTAAGATGATAACTCTATAACTACCTAGCACAATATACAACTACAGTTTCGAGTTTCGGGCATTAAGAGAATATAGCATATTAACTACCTCTTAGTTCAGAGCAGACGCTGTCTCCGGGTGCGACTCATACTTGATTTCTCTAGCCTCGAGAAAAGTTCCCACGGCCAAGAACTGAGGCGTTAATGAAAACGGATAATTTCGTCCTTATATATATATGTACAGGCAAGTATATACCTAGGTATATATAAGACTATACTGTTCGCATGATTGTCAAAATTTTCGGAGGCGATAGACTTGATATGGCGATGCCAACCTCGTGGAGGAAACTCCGTCTCAGTTACCTATTCACTCGGATATGCCGAATCTAGTATTCCCGCAACGACGAGGGAGCCCGTCTGCTTCCGAAAGCGGACATAGTCGGTTGTCCTGACTCGTGAACCGGCACGTGTCAGGTACAAATAATCAGGGGCCCGAAAATAGAGCAAAATTTTGAGCTCCTATCCGAAGCCGTCTGACTCGGAAACTGGAGACGCGCCCACTAGGAGACAAACCTCCGCCCGCCAAAACCGTGGAAGATGGTCCGTAGCAGACAGCCGAGATGTTTCAACTAATGTGAGATGACAGACTGACATGATTCAAATCTAGGTACCCGCCGTGCTGGGCTGTAGTCAGTGGTCTGACATAGATGAGGTGTTAATTAATGGCGTATCGGGATTCAGCGTCTCGAAAATGACTATAAGACGGGCAGAACCCGTCGAGGACATGCAACTTTTTTTCTTTGCTTCCTCGTCATCACACTCGTTGTCGTTCATTCTCTAAACACATTCTCTAGACAACCAGTCATTTCGGATTAGCAAGTCATTCTTTACTTGCTGCCTCTCCTTGCCATACTGGCATCCATCCGTTCCTTTCAACGATTAAGAAAGTGGATATAACTGCGTTTTCTCGACTCGAGAACTCACTCTTTAACGCCTCGACGGCTAGAGTTATAAGACGATCTCAACGGCCAATTTGACCCTTTGAGATCTTCCCATCGTATCGACATTCTCATACAACTATACTATCGTTACAATTATACTATCATTACAAATACACTATCATTACAACTACACTATCACTACAACTATACTATCATTAAAACACCAGCCAAAATGGGTTCCTTCACCAAGACCCTCGCAGTCCTATCCTGCGTCGCGAGCTACGCCGTTGCCCTCAGCGGCGACATGACCTACTACACGCCCGGCCTCGGATCCTGCGGCCAGACGAACTCGGAAACGGACATGGTAGTCGCGCTATCGCCCGCCCAGTTCGCCGCGGATTCCCAGGCCTGCGGTAAGCAGATCCAAATCCACATGGGCGGCAAGTCCGCGCTCGCCACCGTCGTCGACAAGTGCCCCGGCTGCAGCGAGAACTCCATCGACGTCTCGCCTGCCGTCTTCGAGTCCCTCGCGCCTCTGACCGTTGGCCGCACCCAGATTGAGTGGGACTACGCTACGTAAGGTGGGTTGGTCCCCATCACACAACAACTCACGGTTTAGGGGGAAAGGGGGGTGGTGAAGTTATAAAGCAAAAGGCGAACAGGTTTCGCAGCTTTAGACGGAGTGGAGGTTACCTAATTATACATTGCTTTTTTGCCGGGGGAACAGAGCGAATGTGTTCCGTGGCTATGCCGGACATAGACCTTCGCAGCACGATTCAGATGCACATGGATGAAAACGGGAAATATACTGAAAACGACAAACATGATGGATATACCGCACCGCGCTGGACTCGAAGGTGCTGCTTTTTTATAGGGAATGAACAGACTCCAAATACACTCACCCCTGGCGGGTAGTTTTCCTTTAATCTCAGCTCCAATCTCTTGTCGTGAACCCAGCCGATGTAGAACTAGACGCATACAAGAAAAAGCTATTTTAATTGGAAGTCAAGTACCTAATCTATATGACTCGACGTTGCGTTTCGTTAAGAGACGAGATCTTGCCTTTTGCTGAAATGGCGTAGGTTAACTAGTAGTATTGTGATTGAACATTGCCCCTTATTCATTCAGTATTAAAATGCTCTAAAGCGCCCCTGAGTTATTCCGTACTGACCGAGGACAAGGAAAATCAGAGATAATACTAAAATGAGTCCGAAAACAAAAGACGTCCAACTGGGATTTTAATTCTTTTCAAAAAGAATGGGCTTCATAGTGTCGAAGAAGGGCTGTGGATAAATTCTTGTCTTCTCGGCAGTACCAATACCAATAGAGGGTACACCAAACACATATACTAGATACAGTAGTCGGGGGAAAACCTCAGAGAATGAACGCTATCTCCTTTACTTATATTGAATTACGACTGAAGAACAGATATTAGAACCTTCGGGTTTCTTAAAGATGAATAACTTTTAGTCATTTCACGAATTCGTACATGTCACTATAACAGAGTCCAAGAGATAGTGTGTGAAAGCATAAAAATCTCAATTCATAATATTGTGATGATACAAGTCCAGCTTCAATGGCAAACCACGCCATCATACATCCGCTCCATTGACGCCCGCCTGTGTACCCAAATTCCATTTTAATCCGGAACACCTACGGAGAAAGCCTAATCCGCTTCCTGCCACCTAGTTCCGTCATTTCTCTTTCCCGTTTTGATGTGGTAGTCACCGATAATACAAAGTTTTGTGTTGGTGTCTGTTCTCCAGGGACGCTTGATAATCCGAGTCTAGAGTCTGGCGAGGAGGCTATAGTGGCCTCCTCCGATACTAATAATTTCCGTTCTTCGACAGTGATTGCCCATAGTAATGTGAGCAATACCTCTCGCGACGGTAAGCTGGTGCCGTCTGGCCACGTCTGCGGTCCACGGCTCTGATCGCCCTTGATACCCGGGGATCCAACTGCCAGCTCCTCGACTCGGTCATCGCGTCCCTTCTCAGACACCAACCGCAATAACCCCATCGTCGCATCCTTGAGCGGACGCGCCAAGATGGGGCTGCTGGTTAAGAGCTTCTGAAGGGTTTTGATTCTCAGAGTCGAAGAGGCTGAAGGCTGGGTCCGGGTGTTCTTGGACAACCGAGTCGCTTCCCGCGGTCGCGCCTGGAGCTGCGCCGCTGACGTCGTCGGTGCTGAGGAATTGGTCGAAGTCGAAATCTGGAAATTGGGGGGTCGAGTTACCAGCCAGATTATTGTACTCAAAATCGAGGGGGTCGGATGAAGGACTAAATTGGCCTTGAACGCTCCACGAATCAATATCAAAGGGTGTCGAAAGGCTGAAAGCATCACCGAAGAGGCCATCAGTAGCGTTTGAAGCTGTAGTAAGAGTGACAGCACTGGAGGCGACGGTTGTCGCGAGGCCTTCCACGACTGCGGAACTTCCACCGACGGACACTGCTGGCCGCACAACACCGCTGCTGGATGTTGTGTCTCGTCGGAAGTAGTCGCAGAAGCGGGGACCGTCGCGACCTCTTCAGTCGTCGACGTTTCGGGAATTGTGTCATCAGGGACAGGGGTTAATTCGGGGGATAGAGAGGCAGGATCGACAGTGCCGTCCTGCTCGGGCATGAGGATAAAGTCATTGATCATGCCGGACTTGTCTTGTGCCGTGCCATCTTGAGATGAACCAAATAACGGCTGAGATAAAGTCAGGGGAGAAGGCTGAAAGCCATCTAAAGGGGACGAGCTACGGCTGACGCCAGATCCTCGTCGGAGTTTATTTAATTCATCCATCAACATTTCATTCGTCTTCTGCTGGTTGCGCAGAAGCTCTTCTAGCTGGTGATTCCTCTGTTCTAAGGCCTCCACCTCTTGACGCTTACGTTCCCGAGAAGACTGGGCAGCACGGCGATTCCTGAGGACTCGCTCGACTCGTCGTTGTTCTTTCTCATCTTCGGTCTTTGCCCGTTTCCTGTTCTATGTTAGCCGAATATGCTTCTTACTTATCCGGTTATAAGCGAGTAATCATACCTCGGGGGTAGGTTTGTCTTAGGCTCTGGGAGGACTTGGCCCCACGACTTCCGCTTCTTGACCGGCTTCTTTTCGGAACTCTCAGGAGCCGGCGACGGGGTAGATTGTATTGTGGCCGAGTCCGCAAACCCCTCCTCCACAAACGATTGAGGAGTCATGACGCTCTCCAAGGGGTTTAATGTAGAAGGCGTAGCGAATAGAGAGGGATACGCGTCGCCAGGTACTGACATAAGAGACTCTGCAGGAGAGGTCTCAAACTTGACTTGAGGAGTCGACGTCGTGGTTTGTTGACTTTCCCAGGTAGTAGCCATCTTATTAGTTTGGTTTGGCTGTTGATAGGAGGACTTTAGGTCTTCTGATTGCGTAAACTGGATGCAAGCCGGATGCAAGCTAATTTCTCTAGTAGCTTGCTCCGGAATTTTAAGATCAAGCAAGGCTGTAGCCGCAGAAGATAATAATAATGAATTAAAGCTGAAAGTAGAGAGGTGCCGTCCTAATTCCTCAATACAAATAACAGCAGGTTCACCTCTGCCAGCGCATTGTCTAGCAGTAGCTAGGGTACAAGGGTACGTGAGTGACTCAGGCTAGGCTACCGAGGCTACCGAGTCAGGTGAATGATAGTAGGCAGTAGCGGTAAGAAAGCAATAAGGACACGGTGGCCACTGGCCTTGAAGTTAATTATATTATGATTGGTGGAATGGTGGATTGTTAGGTGGTGAATGTGCTTGGTTTGGTAGTGAGTATTAGCGACTGAGCAGGATGGGGAGACAAGCGCCTCTCTTTATGTTCAACGTGTCCTGTTAGTAAGGAGGTGGGTTGAGTGCCTGAGGCAGAAATCGCCCCCTGTTAATTCTCGGATGTGTCAGCCATCAGTGGGGCCATGGAAGGGCTACGTACCACCCCCCTGCGCTAGTTTCTGTGTTGTGCTGTGCACCTTCCCATGTCTGGTTCTGTGCGACAAGGATGAGTGCCTGAGGCAGAAATCGCCCCCTGTTAATTCTCGGATGTGTCAGCCATCAGTGGGGCCATGGAAGGGCTACGTACCACCCCCCTGCGCTAGTTTCTGTGTTGTGCTGTGCACCTTCCCATGTCTGGTTCTGTGCGACAAGGATTAGGATTTCGGGGGCAAGAGAGAATGCCAGGGGTTGATAGATCTGAACAAGGCAAGTGGATCTGTGGTACCAAGCCACCGAGACGAATTAGAACTCCTTACCGCCAAGTACCGCCGGCCCTCTCGTGCCTGTGCCCTTCCCACCGTTGAACTGGCAGACTGGAACTTCCCTTTTCCCTTCAGTTCCATCTAATATCTAATATTTAGGTCTAAGGTCTATCATCCGGCCCGGCGCGGTATTAGTACCTAGTATTGGTAGCCCGGAGCCTCGTGTTACATCCCTTTTCGAAATTGTCCAGCTCTCACATTCAATTAATCAATTTACTCAAATCGTTAACGAAACCTTACCGGAAGTGTTTGCCTCTTACAGCATCAGTCTCTCTTATCTGAGTATGCATTCTAAGCAGAATAGAATATCCACCTCAAGTACCGTAATGCATCAGAAATGGGGATTATTGTGTTGTCAAACTATCTATCCTATCTCGTCATTCTACATTGCAGTAGTCGAATCCCCCTGACGAAACTCAAGAGCTTGATCCTCTCAGCCTCTGGCTTTTCAACGCCATCTCCACCAATCGAAGCCTATTTGGAAAGGCTCCATGGCTTAGGGTGGTTATTATTAGCAACCCACCTGGGTGGGCTGGGAGGACGTGTTGGCCCCAATTCATTGTTAACCCGCCGCTGACTTGCAGCTTGCTGCCGCTCAGAACCCTAACTCTCACAAAAGGACAATTGTTGGATTATGTTATTTCATGACGTAGAAATATGACACGGAATTTACACTACACCACCATCGAATTTAGATCGATTGGGGATTTGACGAGAATAAGGTTCACGAGCGCACTGGAAAGCTTCCACGAAATCCGTACCTTAGGTACCTAAGTTAAAGTACATGTTAATAACTTTCAAAGTGATTTGAGTAAATCCAGCACAAACTAGAGCAAATGCCCAGTTCATTCGGCTTGCTATGGTTAAGGCAAACCCAAAAGCGGCCTCCGAGAAGAAGAATTTGGAAGACTAATCTATTTACAATTAATCGACATCTGGGGTATTAGCCTGTATTGCTGCCGAACCAAAATGGCCGGCGAACCGCGGCGGGATGACTACCGAAGCCGTCTGTACAACTTAGTATCACAATTTGACAGTAGATGATCCGGGGAAGAACCAAGCTCTACGACTACAAGGTTTTAGTTGGACCAATGGGATGGGATGTTTGCTAGGAAAACGGCAATCTCTTGCCATGTGGCGTTCTAGACATCCGTGAGAATTTCTATGTTGGCAGAAGAAGATGCGGCACATGCGACACGCTAACGAGGCCGGGTGAAAAGCCGTTGTTAGTAGTCTTTGAGGCCATCGCCAACGGGAACGCTCGCTCCTCGACCTACGACCAACATGAAGATTAGGTTCAGTCTATATCTATTAAGATTTACTATATTTATGTTGTCATACGGGCTAGACCTAAATGCTTTTATTTGGTCTAAGATCTAAAATCCCATGATCCTTCACTACAACATACTCCCTTACTTCCAGTTAAAATTCCATCATTTAAGAATTACCAATAACCACATTCAAATCTCCCTATGATTTGTTATAGTGTAAGACGGGCTTGATTGTATAAGGTAAGGATTACTTGCTTACACAGAGACATACTCATTAAAATTGCCCCTTTCTACTATATTTACTAAAATAGGGAGGCCGATAGCTTATCGCTCATCGTCTTACCTGCTCTCTATCGTCTTGCCTATTTTGTAGTAAACCGCCGAGAAACAAAAGGTCTCGACGGCTGTCTAGTCTCAGCGAAGCCGCAAATCTACTAAGTAATACATGCATGGTCACATAAGGGGTTCTATAATTACTACACCGAAAAGACCGTTGATCGTACATAAGTCGATGAATCGTATATTGTCACTATGTACAGATTTTAACATATTTAGACTATTATGGTGCTCTATGATAGTTGCATTCGCCTGCTAGGGCTGATGAAGGATTCGCCAACCCTTACGCCTCATCATACTCAGCCCCCTCGCCCCCTCGCAGCCGCTCACCCGCATCAGATTGCTTCAATTTTTAGTATTATCGTGCGATGCTAGTTTCAATCTGAAATTACCAACCCAGTAACTACGAGGCATTATGTAGCATGTAGAAGTTCGTCGGCAGTGGGAATAGAAGATAAACGGCCGATAATGAAACATAGTAAAGAAACCTTCCGCCAATAACTTTTCGATTCCATGAGTTCCAGACACCTTCCGCTTCAAATTGCGCATCCGAAATTCCGCCCGCCAGCCCGCACGGATATTCTTTGAATCCCCGTTTTCTAATCGAGCGTAGTGTGGACCGGGGGCCATCCAAACAAATATGGATTTCGAATTCGCAATCTTCCCCGCAAATCCGATTTAATAAACCAGCAGATCGGGACGGAGGCGCAACATCGCTCTACATTATGTACAACATCTATGTAAATCGAGTGGGAATTAATTACATGGGAATTACTATTCAAGATCGGACTCCCGATCTAACCGAATATATAATTGTGAGAGCGCACAATTCATGTGGAGATGGTTGAGCAATTAGCGGTGCATCTCTGATTCTCTCCTATGCGTACCTGTATATTAGGTACTTGATGTATTGTACGTATTAACCTACTCCAAGGATAGGTACCTAAGACATACGTGTATTTTACTATGCCCTCCAAGACAAGATCATTAGGTAGTTCACATAGCGTACACTATATGTATAAGCACGAATCGTTCGAAGGTCAAACCACTAGATTCAAAGTAAGTCCTAGACGACGAGTCTTACACGACGCCTGTTTCAGGAAATTGTGGGCAGACCCAGAGGTTCTGGCCCCCCTTCTGAATGGTGGCCCTCCTTTTGAATGATTCGCCCCAAGCACCAATCAGGATGTTGTCCGTCCGCCCTCCCCTTTTCCCCCTACCGCCTCCCGATAGGGGTCGGACATCAACACACGGGACTCAAAACGAGACCGTATTTGAACACGAGGCCCTCCTTGATTACGCAATACAGCCTGCTAGTTGTGATACCTTCTATCGTGTCATTTCGTTAATACATACATTAGGTACCTAGTATTATACCGCATTAGTTTTACCGCTAAAATAAGGACATGATAATGAAGGTTGCGACACATGGTTCCATCCTTATGATGATCTAGAAAATCATTTACATAATGATATGTAAGGAGAATTATAATGCGAGGACTTGCCTATCTCGTTCTTATGCGTCCCAATATTTGTTTTACGCCTCACGTCATGTCTTAAGCTGACGACAGACCGGCCGATATACTAGTTCTTATTTGAAACTTCGCGATGGTCCAATCGCATCGAAGCATTGTATAATCTTAGTTATCATACATAGTGGTGATGGTCTGAAGGTAGCCTACATATTCAAGTGTGTGCGCAAATAATAAGTATTGATAATCCGACTTACGAACATTGAGCCGTATTGGGCATTTTATTATCAACTATTACGAGTACTACTGCGTATTCGTGTTAGAATGATTTGCTCAATCTACATCCATTACTGGATAGAGACAGACCAAAGCCATAACCAATCATGTTATAGTCTTATAAAGGGAGCATAGATATATGTAAAGAGACGATAATATCCCAATAGTTCCCTTTCCATGTCAACGAGCGAATATCCCTCCCTTGCCAAAAGAGTTGTTCATCTGCATTATATTATCGTGGTTTGTTTCGTAGAAACTGGGCTCCCTTGAGCGGTTTGCAATTTGAAGCAATGGTCTCAGAGTCCTTTGAAATCTTGCTTGCTGATTACAAGTGGACTCATTAATCAGCAATGATAGTACATAGTAGTCCAAATATGTAAATCAACAGTCAGAAGTATATTGTTTATGAACCATTGTCTGATTTACGTGAGCTTGCTTTCGTGAATCAGGGAAAGGCGAAAGGCGCAGGTGAAATGTTATCGATAAACCGTGGCTGAGAACACTAGAATTTGGGGCTTGGAAGTTCGAGCCCTTTCTAAGATACAATTCGCTTGTACCTTATCATCACTGCGAAATCTACAAAGTGCGTCATTCGCTGACTTCCATTTGCCCCCACCACCAGGAAACGCCGCGCCAGACCCGTGAACCGCAACTTCGTCCATCCTAATCACCACGAACCATCTCGACGACCTGTCCTAGCCTCCCTAGGCGTTTCAATATCTAGATTAACGGCCGACCGAAAACTCTAATCCAATTAAATCAACAACAGCCCTTCCTTTGCCATCGATCTTCAACCCACAATCAACATGTCCAACCGACAACTCGCCCGCGACATGCAAGTCGAATTCCAGGCTCGCGTACGACCTCCCCGTCTCATCCTCCTAACATCACCACATATCGGAAACTAACATGTACTCTCCTCGTATAGTTCCAAGCGAAGCAAGCCCGCCGCGAAGCACAAAAGGCCGCGAAGCAGGACCCGCTGCTCAAGAAGCAAATCCAGGACCTGCTGAAGAAGGGCGATACGGCCAAGGCCTATCAAAAGGCCAAGATGCTACTTTCCAAGCAGGCCCTCGCTCAGCAGATGGACCAGATGGCCGACATGGCAGAGCTTAGCGTCGCCCAGATCCAGGCCAATAATGCCATGAACCGCATGACGAACATGATGGGCCAGTCCTCGCGTACCATGACCGCTGCTCAACGCAACATGAATCCCGAGCGCGTACGTTTCTTCCCCTTTCCAATTATCACTTTTCTCCGCCAAGATAAAAATGCAAAATTGCTAACATTATCCCGGAATCCTAGACCTTAATGACGCTCGAGCAATTCAAGCAGCAGAACGAGGAATACGCCGTCAACAACGGCATCTACCAAGACGCCATCTCGCAGACGACATCGCAACAAGTCTCCGAGGACTCAGTATACGAACTCCTCGGCAAGCTTGCCGACGACGCCGGCGTCCAGCTCAACTCCGAACTCAACTCCGCACAACCCAGCCGGGCCGAACCCGCGCTCCCCCAGACCGCAGAGCCGACCGCCGAGGAAGAGGACGCCCTGCAGCAGCGCCTCCGCGCTTTAAGGGCTTAGAAAGCAGCTGACAGCGGAAGCCGGGGCAAGGACGGCGATGGACATAGTGGGGATGACGACGAGCAGGAGGGAGTTCCGCAGGGGGCGGCGTGAGCATATGAACGAACATATGCGTAGCCAGATGACGAAAGGAGAGAGCGGTATTGATATCTATCTGATTGAGTGCGGGGTGGCAGACTTTGCTTAGCATCACGACATAAGGGTCCAGTTCGGCGTTCCGGTTATGGTGCCTTTTCTCCTTTTATACGTAGGTACTGCAATGCCTATTGATGTTGAATAGAGCTTATTTACAAGCATCAGGTTGGGATTCCTATGCGCTGAAGTCGTAGAATTTTGGTCCTTGTTTGCTCTTTTGTTGTGCATCCTTGTTAGTAAATACTGCTACTAGAGCCTCTCTTCCTGAGCGTGCGTGTTTTTTCGATGATATTACGTAGATATTTCCCCCTTCATTGCGTAACGACTAGTAGACTATGCTTACTTAGGCTACGTCTTTGAATATTTACCATGGCAGAGGACTTAAGATAGCCCAAAAATAAAATATAAACTTACAGAATCTAAAGTGACATCTTGCTCTGTAATTCCGATTTGGTAAACAACCTGCATTATTGTTAATTACCTTACGAGCATTTAATCAAATTACTATCTATAATTCGTCTCCAAGATCTACTTTCGCTTTGGAAAAAAAAAATATTAAATCATAAACCTAGTAAATAAGAAAAAAAAAACAAAAAACAAAAAAGCTCAGCCCCAGGTTCGAATCCCCTCGGATAGGGGCAGGGGATTCGAACCCAGGACCTACGAAAAACCGGCTTCGTTAGGTATCTGCTGTCAAGTCACGTTTGGGAAGAACGGTTCAGCATAAGACACCACAGTGGGGTTTTCTCTGGCCTCAAGTCGCCCGGGCGGGGGGCGTCGGTTGAGATTCTGTCTGCACTTGGGATATATAAGCTTTACTTCGAGGCAGGTACTTGGGCAGGTGTATCTCGTTGCCTAGGTAGGTAGGTACCCTAGGTACTTAGGTAGGTTTCTGCCAGTGGTCATGTCGATAGGTACGTGCTACTTTGCTGCTAGATACCTGATGTGAAGCTATTCCGCACTGAAGCTACACGTGTATTGTACCTTAGGTACCTAGGTAGGTAGGTAAAACAGGTACTTAATAACGCTGACTAGCCGAAGGGAATGCATTCCCGTGATCCCATTATTTATTGCTTAGGTTACGCAACTCATGCAGACTTGACAGTGACTCCTGTACCATTTATATAAGACAATCACCGAATCTATCTATATAAGCAGCTCTCGTATGTAAATTCAGGTAGGTTAAACAAAATAATATCATGTCATCAATAGGAGTTATCAACATTAGGAAATAATCCAGCACTGAGAAATATGGCATTGACAAGTCTTGCTACGCGTGGCCATGACCCTAACTACTCCTAACGCTACATGACTTACGTTATAATCCTGATTATCCTTAGTTAGAATGCCGCGAAGAGGAAAAAAAAGCATTGAGCAAATAATAAATTTTATTTCATACAAATATCATAGCCATCATCTCGGTCATACCCCATTGCTTTCTATAGATGATATAACACGAACATGTGCAACTCAAACTAGTCCTTCCACACCTTGGATAACTCGGACGTCAAGATCCTCATCTCTACCTAGAGAGGTAGTAAAATAACTACATGTACAAGCTAGCAACGGCGGTGATATCCCTCTTGATCATCTCCTGCGCGGTCTGCATCTTCTGATACAACTCCGGGTCGCCGATAATCCTAGCCGCGTTTTTGACCTCGCGACACGTCTCGTCTAGTCGCGTGATGGTACGCACGATGGTACCCTCGAGTACGTCCGTCAGGTCTGTAATGTTTTTAAAGCTCATGCCGCGTGCCCACTCATATACTACCTCCATAAGACCGAAGCGAGGACGCGATACAAAGTCGTTGCTATCCTCTGCGCTCTGTATGACTTGGTGTTCCGTTTGTACGGTATTGACTTTCTCGCTGATCTCAATAATCGTCTTCATGCCGCGCTCTAGGCTGCCTGTAAGGTTAGGGACTGACTCTGTCTTCTCCTGGAACACGAAGGCAGAGAGGAGAGCGGCTATTTCGGCTGGCTCGTAGTCCGCGAGGACGTTGTCAAGGATAAGTTCGGTGAGAACAAGTTCATCAGCCGAGTGGATTTCGCATGCGACTTTTCCCTTGAGTTGAATACGAGTATCATCGTCGATGAAAGAAAGATCCTTTAGGACTTGAATGCGCTGTTCATAGTCGGGAAGCAGCTGAAGGTTTTGATCTGCGAGAGCTGAGCGGAGGGACGAAATGTGCTCCTTGATAAGCCACTGATCATGGCACATGGCGAACTAATGTCTTTATTTAGCCTTGAACAGTCATGATGGGTAAAATAGGATAACTTACGTGCTTCAAAAAGTTCCGACAGTACGTTGTAGCGGAGTTTCTGATAATCACTTCTTCCTGTCGGCGCTTCTCGATAATCTCCTGCAGCTGTAAACTTTTGATCTTTGCGAAGCTAATCTCGTTCCACATGTCGGTCTCCCAGGTTTTACAGATAGTTAACATCCGTTCTCTTGCTCTTTGGCGTGGTTCACCCGGTTCGAAATAATCTGGCACGATCCCGGTAGTAAGTTTTCCGGTCAGACACTCAATATCGCTAAGCGGTACGTGGACAGTCTTCCCAGCCATGGATCTCTTGTTGCGTGGGAGAGGCGAAAATAGCCGTCGGAATATGTCAACAAAAGGTAGCAGATCAGTTGAGTTACGAGTCTCGCGCTCGGTTTTGATCTCGAAGACGTGGACGGTTGGTTGGCCACCTGAGGTTTTCGTGCTAACGCCGTTTGACAAGAGGATACCCGGAGTTCTCACGCCATCTTTATTCCATACGACAAGTCTTGACGGTGCAAAAAGCTTCTTCCCAATCGGGATAGATAGGAGGCCTTTATATAGCTCCTGCGTTAGTTGCTTGTAGTTCATTGATGCTTGGAGGCATTGTTCTAGAGACTCGTCGCAAATGTTACACGCCTCTCGTTTTACTTTAGCTAGATCAGCTTCTGATAATTTGACAGCTTTCTCATGCTCTGGAAGTAGTTGCTGAGTGGCGTGCTCGGAGAAGCTGCGCTTAATCATTTCTTCGATCTTCAACGCCTCCACTCTCAACAAGTTCAGAATCATATTGTAGGTCAATCTGAACTGGGACCTCAGCTTGCTAGGCGGATCCAGTATCATTTTCTGAAGATCGGCTACAGGTGGCGCTTCATCCATACTGCCAGGAGGCACGATAATGACAGACCCAACGGGATCAAGTCCACGACGGCCAGCTCTGCCAGCCATTTGAGTGTATTCGCCCGGGAGAAGATTCCGAAACGAGTGACCATCATGCTTTCGATAACCGGAAAACACTACAGTCCTGGTTGGAAGATTCAGACCCATGGCAAAAGTCTCTGTTGCGAAGAGCACCTTGACTAGGGTCTGGGCAAATAAAATCTCGACGATTTCCTTGACGATTGGCAATAGACCGCCATGATGCACGGCGATACCTCGACTTAGGAGTTCTCGCAGGCGAATAATCTGAGGTAGAACTCGATCCTCGGGCCGTAGACGTGCTATCGACTTTTGAATAATCATATGAATATGGCTCTTCTCCTGAGCAGTCGTGAAGTCTTGGTTGCTCAATGCGTCTGCATTTTCCTCGCACCTTTTCTTGGAAAAGACGAATATACATGCGGGCAACAGGTTAGACTTCTTAAGGAATTGCACAAGGTGAACCCATAGGTTCTTGTCCTGGTTGGCAGACGAAAAGCCTCCTGGCCTCCCGGCACGACCCATATGTCCGGGCGCATGACCAGCTCTCTGGGGACCTCCTCGGCCTCTTTGCTGACCACCGCCACGCTGGCCGCCGCGTTGTTGGCCACCACGCTGAGGACCTCCTCTTTGGTTGCCTCGCTGATTGCTACCGCCGCGGGCAGCTGGAGCTGGGAGAAGTTTATCTTTTCCGCGCAGCGCTTGGTCCGCTTCCTTCCACCCCCTCTCGAGGAATTTCTTTTCGTGGTCAACAATCTTGTGGATATTCTTGCCAGCCCACAGATAATGTTCCAAAGGCACAGGCCGCTTCGGCGTTGAGATGACGTATATATCCTTCTTCTTGGTCCTACCAACCCAGGAGGCAAATTCGTACGTATTAGGGACAGTCGCAGATAGTAGGATAAGTGAAACATGCTCTGGAAGCATGATGATGACTTCCTCCCAGACTACGCCACGCTCGAAATCATTCACATAGTGAACCTCATCAAAAATGACAAATTCGACATCTCGAATCAGATCGGCACCTCTATACAGCATACTCCTTAAAATCTCGGTGGTCATAATTAAACAGCTTGCCTCAGGATTGATCTGGACGTCTCCTGTTAAGATACCAACTTCGTCAAAGGTTTGTCGGAAATCGCGAAATTTCTGGTTGCTTAGGGCTTTAATCGGTGATGTATAGATAGCTTTGGTCATATGTTTCGCAGCTAGGGCGATGGCATACTCAGCTACTACCGTCTTGCCGGCCGACGTATGCGCAGCGACAAACACAGAATCGCCACCCTCGAGATGATATATAGCTTCTTTCTGGAATGTGTCAAGCTCGAATGGCCACTCTCTGGCCATGTCTGGGACAAGGTCTTTGAAATTGGGAATATCGCGGTTGATGTCCACCATATGTGCCCATTCTCGGCCAGCTTTTCTTGCTTTGGCTGATGAAAGGTTACCGTGTGGCTCTAAAGCTGGGAATTCGACGGGCAGCAGCGAGTCAATATCTTCTGAATCCTCCTCGTCAATTTCCTCTTCGATGCCATTGGTGTCTGCGTGTCCGTTGGTATCTTCAGCCTCGGGGCCTTGCTCGGGTTCCTGGTCAAGTTCGGCTTCGATCGCTTTTGCTTCTTTCTCGTCTACCTTGGATTTCTTTTTGCTAAAATCGATTCCCCTTTCCAAGCCAGGGGCCACTTCGAGAAGGCCACCCTCGGTGCCCAGCTTGATAACTCGTTCTAGCTTATTCTGAGTACCGGTAGCGCTAGGAAGTAACATCTGGTCTTCGATAGCAGCGGTTGCTTCAACACCATCGAGTCCACCGGGTGCGAAGGGGAAGAAACCAGCAGCTCCACGCACGAAGTCGGCACGGCCGCCGGGTTTACGCATAAGCGAAGTCGAGTTCTTAGCCGTGGCACTATTTGCAGGTATAGTAACATTCTTGTATCCTGTCACCCTACCCTCGAGACCTTGACGTTGAAAGCGTGTGACGGTTCGAGTCTGAGTGGGTGCAATGCGAAATAACTCGGTAAGATCGGTCGGGCTGTCCCATCTTTGCTGTAATTTGTTAAGCCATTCGGCAGAGAACTTGTTGGAGGGAGTTAGGAATTTCTGTTCGAGCTCTGCTTTTAACACAGTTGGATCTTGCTTGAATCGCTTGCGGGGACCTTGTTGGAAGAGAATATCATCAATGGTCGTATCGTCGCTGATGTGAAGCTTTTGAATAGCTTCCAGCAGGTCCGGAGACGCCATTCTTCTTTGAACCGACAACTTGAAGTTAAAGAAGCAAAGGCTCCAAACAGTCGCTAAATGACGTTTACGATGTGTGAAGTTAGTAGGTTCAATGTGTGGTGGGTTAGTGGGTTAGTGGGTTGGTGGGTTGGTGGGCTGGTGGGATATGGCAGTAATCAACTGAACGGACCGTTTTAGCTGTCGTAGTGCCCGACGAGTTTTATCGATAAGGATTGGTATCTACACCTCAGATTCAGTTATGACAGGTCAAAGAGTTCATCTTATGAATTGATGCCATTTTGTTGAACTGGTCTTGTATTCAGGAGCGTTGATAAATCTAAAAGGACTACGGGACCCTGCTTCTTTATATAATTGGCCCTTGGGGCCTCGTTCCTTCCTTAGATGCCTCAATAGTTATTTCAGTGACTCACAACTAGCTTTAATCATAAAAAACAAGTGATTCTCGGACATACACTACACTCTCTGAAATAATGTTAGTTTTTCGGACGTGCACGATATAAAATAGGGCTTCAAATTCTGAATAGAATAACGCCCTTTAAAGCATCTTAACTATTATACCAGGGTTTTATAGCATAAAATAACTACTTTGAAATAATGTTTTTAGAAAACTATAACGACCTCTTAAGGTGGCAATAGATATACGCTTTAGGATCTTAACGAAGTAGCTTTAGGGGTCCGCTGAATAACATTATTTCAGGGGGCGTACTGTACTATAAATGAGAATTAAGTTTATTGTTGTCAGTTATGATTTACCTAGGTACTCGTAGCATCACTAGACTGAAACCAAAAAGTATCACCTATTATTAAAGATAGTGCTCGGGCTCTTAGTCGAGCATTATCAAAAGCCATTGGTTTTTGTTTAGATATTAACACTCATTACGTATAATAAAAAACAGCCCCTTAGACGCCCTTGCATGCATCATTATACAATACATAAATCATACCCAGTCCAAGTTTCGGCCTCTCACCACAATCCATCCATCTCTGCCATAGCTTCCTCTTCGTCTGCATCTGCCGCACTTTGGTTTACTTCCTTTGCTTCTTTAGGCGTCGAATCTATAGGCTGCTTTGTTTGCCCCTGATTTTCCGCTTCTGCCATTAGTGCGTCTAGATCATCTTCTTCATCCATGTCCATGCTAGGTTGTGCCGGTTTGGCCGTAGGTTTAGAAATTTGCTTTGGGGGCTCATGATAAGCTTCGGCTTCAGCCATCAATGCGTCCAAGTCATCCTCTTCTGGCTCGTCATTCGATTGACTGGGTTTCCCACTACCGTTACCAAAAACGGAAGTGGGCTTCGTACGTTGTGCTTCTTCCTCTGCCATTAGCGCGTCTAGATCATCTTCGTCAGGCTCGTCCCCATTTCCGAATAGGGATGCGCTTGCTGGCCTTGTGCTAGCGCTTCCGCTTCCAATTAATGATTTACTTGCGGGTTGTGTTGTCCTCGATGGTTGTGGTGTAGCTCCGTATATATCATCATCGTCATCAGGCACATCATCTCGTATAGGCGTATGCGCCCTTTCACTTCCCCGATCCTGGAATATAGGAGCAATCCTGGCAGGAAACACTGCGGGTGCACGCTCCTCTGGTTGGTCGTGAGAATCGCCAAAGAGGTCATCGTCGTCTCCGTCGAGTCCTGCCGGTTTTGGTTTTCCTTCCTCGATCCACTCCATACGCTTCATCCGCATATATTTCTTATGGCCTGCTTTCTCTGCCATAGCCGCAGCGTCTAAGAACTTGGCCTTGGGAAATAAGTCGTCGAACCATAACTGATAAAAGGAGAGAAGTCTAGCGGCGTCAGAAAACTGGACTATTGTTAGCTACCATTTATCGGTCCTATATAAGAATATAGCATATTCGTACTTCGTGTCCTTTCCCTTTAAACTTCAAATCTCGAGCTTTTCTTCGTAACCTCGGGATTCCTTTATCGGATAGTAATCTATATTTGATAAGCCTATATCATTCCTAGTAATGCCCGGATGCTTGTGAGTAATACGAACCTGCCTTCATCTAGTTTGACAATTGGGGCTCTAACTTTCTTTTGTACGGCTACAGCCTCGTCAATTCCTAGCCCGGTAGCGTCTTTACGCTTCTTAGACTGCGCGGCGTCGTTGCTGGGGGCTTCGTCTCCGGAATCGGCGAAGGGATCATCGTCGACGTCGTAATTATCTATATCGGTATTTGCTGGTCGTTTTAGTGTCGATGACGGTTTCTGTGCTCCTCGTGAGGCCATTTTCGCGGTATTGATATTATGTTGAAGTTGTGACTTCGTAAATACTAGAATCAAGCCCCAAGACGCGTCTCATAAATGAAAAGACGCGATTTAACGTGGGGTCTTTTTAGTAAAGTTAAATTGAATTTCGGATGACGGAGCTGGAGAGGTACGTACCTAGGTATCTAGGTACTGTAAGTGCCCAAGTTGGTCAGGGCGCATTACCATACCAAGTTCGGCTGGTTGTTATTAACCGTTTAATAATTGTAAACCGTCTTTTTACAGTTACACTTTTCTAAATATTTAAGATGATAAATGTTAATAAATATTAACGTTTAACACGCTTTTAATAACATTTTAAATCTAAACGTTTAAAAAGGCTTAAAATATTTAAATATATTAATACTTTAAATATTTTAAATCATTCGAATCATTTAAACGTTTAAAAAACTTTTAACTTTATTTTTTTCCAATTGCTTTTATTAATTTACCGGAGCTTTAATACGTTTTTAAAAGCGTATTTAAGTAATAAAAAACCTATTTAATTACTATATTAAGTTCGGTTAATTATTATTAACCGTTTAATAATTATAAACCGTTTTTTTATAATTACACTTTTTTAAATATTTAAAATGATAAATGTTAATAAATATTAACGTTTAATATACTTTTAATAACATTTTAAATTTAAACGTTTAAAAAGGCTTAAAATATTCGAATATATTAATACTTTAAATATTTTAAATCATTTAAATCATTTAAACGTTTAAAAAACTTTCGACTTTATTTTTTTTTAATTACTTTTATCGATTTACCGAAGTTTTAATACGTTTTTAAAAGCGTACTTAAGTAATAAAAAGCTTACTTAATTACTTATTAAATTTTTAAAAGCGTACTTAAATAATAAAGAATTATTTATATAAAAGCTTTTTTTTTTTTTAAAAACAATTTTTTTTTTTTTCTTTTTAAATCTTTAAACTTTAATTAATTAACTAGTTAATTAACCAATTAACCAATTAATTAACCAACCAATTAATTAAATTAAATTAAATTATTATAATTAAAATTTAAAACTTAAAATTTAAAATTTAAAAATTATTATAACTTTATAACTTTATAATTTTATTATATAATATTATAACATTATAAAATTATAAAATCTTTAATAATTTAAATTATAATTTTATTATTTTTAATTATATTTATACATTTATTTATATATATATATATTTTATATCTTTTTTTATTAATTTTTATAACTTTCGTAATTTTTTCGTTTTTTTTTATAAATACGTAAACATTTAAAAAATTAAATACTTTATTAAATTTTAATAATTTAAAAATATAAATATTTAAAATATTTTTAAATAATTTAAATTTTTTTAAACATTTATTAAAATTATTTAACGTTTAAAAAATTAAAATTTTATTAATAAAAAAAATTTTAAATAATGAAAAAATAATAAATTAACGGTTTATTAAAATTAACCGAATTTAATATAATACTTATTAAGTCTTTAAAAGCATATTTAAATAATAAAAAATCGTTTATATAAAAGCTTTTTTTTTTTTTAAAAACAATTTTTTTTTTTTTTTTTTTAAATTTTTAAACTTTAATTAATTAATTAACTAACTAGTTAATTAACTAACCAACCAACCAGTTAATTAATTAAATTAAATTAAACCATTATAATTAAAATTTAAAATTTAAAATTTAAAACTTAAAAATTATTATAACTTTATAACTTTATAACTTTATTATATAATATTATAATATTATAAAATTATAAAATTTTTAATAACTTAAATTATAATTTTATTATTTTTAATTATATTTATACGTTTATTTATATATATATATATTTTATATCTTTTTTTATTAACTTTCATAATTTTTGTAATTTTTTTATTTTTTTTTATAAATATATAAACGTTTAAAAAATTAAATATTTTATTAAATTTTAATAATTTAAAAATATAAATATTTAAAATACTTTTAAATAATTTAAATTTTTTTAAATATTTATTAAAATTATTTAACATTTAAAAAATTAAAATTTCATTAATAAAAAAAATTTTAAATGGTAAAAAAACGGTGAATTAACGGTTTATTAAAACCAGCCAAATTTGGTATGGTATTAAGAAATATGAACTTTATACATTCGTTAGTTATCTTCCGAAGAAGTCCCGCTTACCTCATCCATCTCCCAGACCTCGCGATTTCGAAGCTCTCATAATTGCAGTTAACAACCATCGAATATACGAAGATATTATACCCAAGCTTTCGGGGAGTCCAATTCCACTCCGCGAGAATGGCGAACCCTCCGCAGCAGACGTATATCCCCAGCAAAATCGTCAAGTCCGACTACCCCGTATGTACCGCTACCAATTGGCTTGTAGATATCTCGCTAATTCGAATTCTAATTTAGCTCATCGACAATGACCCGTACGTATATCGACCTCGAAGCTCCGAGGCAACGCCTGGCGGTGGAATGAATATCTAGCTAATATGAGTGCGATGATGTTTTAGACATTTCAAGAGGGTGGTAGGCTATGCCCGAACATCAGACTACGTGCACGGCGCCGTAGCCGCGGCGGCAGGTCCGGGCTTGCTCTGGACGATGGAGAAATTCGCACCTTCGCACGTTGGCCGGGGCGGGTTTGCGAGAGCCATGCGCTTGGCTGGAGTAATTGGAGTGATGGGTGGATTCTTATATTTCTACCAGCGATCGAGTCGTACGTTTTAGTGCCCATTATTCTATCCGGAAGAATATTCCCACTGACATAATGCGCTGCTGCGTATAGTACGGTTCTACGGCATGTCGGAGAACGCCCGTGAAGTGGAGATGGACATGCGGGAGATGGTGGACAAAGTCAAAGCGGGCGAGCCACTATACGGCGAGAGCAGACTGTCACCGCACATGCAGGGCGTCGCGGCCCGCCAGTCGCGATATTCCGCCCTTTTCACTGCAGTGCTGCCCTGGTTTAACTTCGTCAACCACAGCCAGCACGGTGTCGACACAGCAAAGTACTACCGACAAGCAGAGCAGGAGCTAGAGGCTGAGCGTCTCGGTAAGAGCAGTTCGTAAACGCAACGGTCACAGCTGTGAAGAAAAAAAAGCTCCTATTACGTGTACATATACCGACGTTTATCAGCTACTGAGTAGCCGGACCTCAAGGAGACTGAAATTCAGCAAGAAATGCAAAGTTCAAGATCTTTTTTTATGCTGCATATCTACTAGATGCTGTTCGTCGAAGCTATGGGGATATTATATATATAAAGGAGGGGCGATGTACCAAGACGCGAATTACCCCGTGGTTCGACTCGGTGTCCTAAGATATACCCTAGGTGAGGTATCCTGGTATGTACCTATATACAGGTAGACAAGCCGCCGTTGCGTCCGTCCAGATCTAAGTATACGGAGTTGAGTAATTAGATGCCTTGACTTATTTAGGGATAAATCATGAGGGCCAACTCGAAGGATTTATTCCTGAAAGGTCTTCCTCAAGTAGCCCCAGCATATGATTACCCCCAGAAAACCAATCCCCCAGCTGCGCTGTCTGTGCCATGGATCTGGCCTGATCATCAGCACTAGTCAAATCAAAATTGGCTGGGCCATCTTCCATAGGCATGAAGCCCAGTTGACTCAAGTACATGTTAAACTCGTTGCCTACGGGTACCATGTCCTGGTCAATGGGCTGTTGCGCCTTAGCCTCAATATATAACTGAGCGATGTTATATAGCACCTGGCATAATTGGTGTAGCTTGTTGATTGACTCTGATAAGTCGCACGCTGCCTCTAGCGACTGTACAAAGTGTGCTAGGAGCTGTAAATCTTCCGCACTTGATGTTTCGATCACCAAACAAAAAATGACGATGAATGGGATGAATGGCGCATAGAGAATCGTCCTTTTTGTATGTGGTATTTAGTTAATAGTAGGAACTTGGGCAAATGGGTAGGTGGCAACTAGTTCTCACCAGTGAATATATACAATCTTTAACGATTGCTCATCCATCATCTCCATGGCTTCTTGGTGACATGCCATGGCTGCCCGAGCCGAGTCAATGCATTCATCTGCAAAGGTGCGTGAGCGGGTTCCTGTGGGTGGCATGGCACGGTATGTAAGGGCTAATGACGAAAGATACGACTATATTGAGTTAGTAATAATCTCTCTAGGATGTCTAATCGATAGATATATCTCTTGAGGGTAGAGCTCCTTATACGGTCTCGTTTAGAAGTGCTAACTCTTGGGATGATTCGGGGATATAAGAGACTTCGTGTTACATACAACTTCGTCCGATTTTAACAATATGGCAAACATACGGCCCTCGGCGGCATCGGTCGCGCTGAATTCGGAGAATAGCGCTAGACTTTTTACCATCAGGTGTTTTTGCTCTGAAGTTAGAATGCCGACTTGCTCGGCACGGTACGTCTCGGACTGCCGCAAGGCGCCGGGGCTGTATAAGCGCTCGTATATGCGGCCCTGTATCTGTGCATGCTTAATCCACAGCGTCATGACCTCGTTTCCGGGGTACGTTGCTGCCCTGGTCTCAGGAACAATATGCGGTAGCGAAATATCATAGTCCTGCAGGATGGAGGCTCGACCTATTCGCAGCGACAGCCCCTTATCTAACATGTACGTACACCAAAATAGTAGTGACTTGTCCGCCTTCTTCTGTGGGCTGTCGTCTTTCATACTGTGGACTTGATGGAGGCCCAGCGTCCGGCACATATGCGCAGCCCGCTCCGCTAGAAGCCATGCTAGGGATGGACGTGAGATATCAATCGAGAAACTCGACTTTTAACACTACTACGTTAGCCTGGAGATTGATTCACTGACATATTATGAAGATTTCACTTCTACTTGGAAAGCAGCAGACTCACCGCCATGAGTAACGCTTCGATATTTTCTAACGTCGCCGGCATAAGGAGATTGAGGTGAGATAGTACTGTGTCTAAGTTCTTTTGGCACATATTAAAGTATCGGTCGGCTTCGGCTTTCTCTTCGGGGGTTTTCGCACTCAATTTGACTTCGAAGAACACGTACGCAAGACCGGAGTTCACCAGGATAAACGTCGCGTCCGTGATGTCTTCCGTGTTAAAGTAGACACGCCGACATTGATCAGTGAAATGCTCCACGTCTATGAAGCAGTATATGACAGCAAGCATCATTGGCAATGGACCATCTACAATAAATGTTGAGTGAGCTACAGGGATCTCATAGAGCGTCTTGGGTAGGTACATACGTTTCATATCTCGAAGCGTTTGCGCCACAATTTCCATTGGGGGTAAAGGTAGCTCTCGTAAAGCGGTTCTGGAATGTTGCTTCTGGCCAGGCATGCGAAACTCGTGGAAGGACGACACGGCACGCCGATTTTCCTGCATCTTTACGATCTGCCGCAGAGAAGATAAAGCTGCATCAATCTTGGAGTTACCACCTTGTTGCTCTAACGGTGTTCCTTGCACGGCATGCTCGAGAAACTCGCTCGCAAACGCCGTATGTGCGGCTAGCGACGAGTTGCCCTCGAAATTCCCCGCATCCTCAGGATCAAATACCGTGCTAGCTGTATCATCTCGACTACTTAGAGACAATGGGGTTAGCTTTTCAAATTGTCGTCGTGTAGAGCTCTCGGCAGAGGACGTAGATGCCGATATTGGGCTTAGATTCCGCAGAAGCGTCTCGATACCACTTAGCCGTTCCTCTATTAAGTCGATCTTTCGCTCACTAAGGGGGAATCGAATGTCTGTTATTAAGTGTTCCCTCATTTATTGAAGGCTATGTCAGGAAGACTAATATCCTGCTTACTATTGGCTGGAAATTAACACTCGTTGTCGCGGTTCCTTAGGCTTTTGGCCAGCTCCCGTGGAACTGCATGACCTCTTGGCGCTTCGACAATTGGAACATGGCGACTCCTTGTCACAACGTATCTACCAACACGGATTTACGTATTAATACATAAGTTTAATAGCTTCATGAGGGAGATGATAGGAGAGGCGGGCAGCGGTAGGGTAGAATCCTCACCTTCCTAAGTCTGCATTGGTCACACTATGGTGGGAATGTTACTTAGCCATCAGGTCTCAGTCAAAAGTTAACGATAGTATCACAATAAGACAAGCTTAATTGAGCATAACGGAGCCGACGGGGTCCGGATATTCCCACTTACTGCTCGGCGAGGTATAGGTGACCCTGGACCACCGGCCTCGGACGCCTCGGGGTCCATGGTGGCGTTTTTAATAAATTATTCCTCTTGAGCTAGATGCAAGTTGATATAATCATATGCGGGGTGCCACAGAACAATAAGCTGTGTGACGATTGAAAGATACGTCTTGCTGCCGGATTTAAGTTGACATTCTGTTTTTGCTTAGGCGGTCTGCTTTAACATCGGCTTCCGCGGATCCCGGAAGGATGTTTTAAAAGCGTGGTCTGATAATCTGGTTAGCATTAGTTTATATTTCTAGGAATATTTATGATTTATAGCACGGTACCAATCCAATCAGATGAAGCACTACATTTCAATATAAAATCTTGTTGGAATTGCTGATGTTTGTCAACTCGTCCCCAACCCGTATTGGTAGCTATTGTCTATCGGCAAGGAGGAAACATGCAATAACGAGATATATGTACTAGGTTATTCGTATTTTTAAGGAACCTCATAAGCAACTTTATATAAATAAGAAAATGTAATGTTTTACTCTCTATGTCAACCCTAGAGTTCAAATGTGAAGGAGTGGAAGCTAGTGAATCTGATAGGCTTCATCTTAGTGGATTAGGTACGTCTTTGGGTATTATTACGTAACTCCTATTAGCTAAGGTAGTACCTGATCCTTATCGATTTCTACATGCAATTCAAGTCGTCGCATTCTCGAACTTCCCTACCTATCGTTTTGTATTGGTCCGTATTTAAACAGGATTCGATTTTTTATATTCAGCCTGCACCAGTAGAACGATACGGAAGTAAAATGACTTGCAAACGAAAGCGCCTGGAGACCGACATCGCGTCTAGAGTAGCTATATCGAAGCGATCTCGTCATACCACAGAGGCCGATCTATTGTCGCCGTTATCTGACGAACTCCTCATACGCATCCTCACCCTTTTACCTCTTCCGGATCTCTTAAACACCGCTCCCGTATCGCAGCGCTTTTATCACCTATCCGGCGACTCCCAGCTATGGAAACGTCTATACTATTCGCGCTTCGTCCTACCCCGCGCCCTTCGCATTCCGGGATTCCGGGATGGTTCCGCTAGAGAAGGCAAGCTACACTACTCCTCCCGCAAAGCAGTATGGGCAGATGGAAGAAGAGGAGGCTGGGCAGATATACACATTGGAGATTTGGACGACAGTTCGAGGGACTGGAAGAAACAATATAAGCTGCGCCATAACTGGTCCAAGGGAAAATGCGCCGTCGAAGAGTTGCAGCTTAGACAAGAACTTCCCTTACCCGCAACAAGTCTATCGCATAAAGTCCTTGTAAAAGTTACCGAGGGTATCGCGATAACAGTAGATGCCACGACAGGACTACGAGCGTGGGACTTGAAGACGAAGCAACTCTTGGCGCAGATTAGTCTAAGAGAAGTTGACTCAGGAGCTGCTCCAAGTTGCATTGCAATAGACGACCAAAAGATCCATCAACAAATTCTAGAAATTGCCATAGGTTTTGTAGATGGGGGATTTGGGGTTTGGGCATTAGACGTGAAAGAAAAGAAGATCCTACCGAGATACCGGCACAAGAAATCCAGCAATGGTGAATTAGTCGGAATTGCTTTTTCTTATCCATACCTTTTAACAGCAACTAAATCCGTACTCATATCTATGTATACATTCGACGGCCCCAATAAGATGGATCTCTCCAGCACTCCGGAATCTACTAGAGAAGTCAATGATTACGTGCGGGATGTCGAAAACAAACCCGGGCAAGACTCACGAAGGATAGAGCAAGATCCCAAGATGGTGACACTTCAAGCACCCTACCTACTTACATCACTCAAATCGCATACTTCGAGAACCCCTTTAGCACTATCCATCCGGAAGACAACTAGTAGTATCATAGCTTCGATTGTTTATACCTTTTCGACGCTTCAAGGGTGGTCCTTAGGCATACAGGATTTACACTTACGCCCTCCTACATCCCGATCAAAACACACGTCGGATATAATAACAACTCGATTGGCATACACGTTACCAGTCTGGAATAGTTCTTCCCATTTTCCATCAACGTCGACATCGCCAGCCCTACCATCTTCACATCAAGATAACGGAGCAATACATGGACCTATCAACTTATGTTATACACATCCTTATCTACTCGCGACCCTTCCAGATAATACGTTAATCCTATATCTCTGCACATCAAATGCCACTTCTTTGTCGATATCACCTGGTATCCGGCTTTGGGGACACACCTCCGGCATAAGCGATGCCGAAATAACGGCACGCGGAAAAGCGGTTAGCGTTAGCTCACGCGGCGAAGAGATTAGAGTCTGGGAACTTGAAGGGAGGGCACACGGCAAGAGTATCGAAGTGCGCCCAACTACTAGACCTACTACCAATGATAAAGAAGGAACAGATGACCCTGCTATCATCGATGCTACGACTGTCGAGTGGGATGATCGGCGGAATTGGGTCGGTTTCGACGACGAGATGGTTATTGTTCTTAAAGAATCAAGGGGGCGAGAGAGCCTAATGGTTTACGACTTTACGTAGCGTATAAGGCGACATGTAATAAATACCGCAAGTGAAGAGACCCAACCTGGGTCGAGGTATGAATAGTCGTTAAGTATTCGTATATTGGACCAACGCATGCTGTCAAAATACTTCATAAGTGCAATACGACCAGCCAAAGTACTTGTAGATGATGTTCCAGCAACATATGAGCTGGTAAGATCCAGCCAGTTGGGTACCTACCTAAGATAACGAAGTCCTGAGTTCCGGGACTCATGAAACTTTCGGTACATAATACAGATACTGTCACCTCAGCCAGCCAGTTCTACGATACGAAAGATAGACTATTCGGCTATGAAGGTTGGCAATGCGCCATTCAACCTGAGTATCACGAGAAATTTAAGTATTTCAAATTTTCGTGGATGCTGTATTGAAGCTATCCACACTCCTACTCACGATCACACCGATGATCTTGGACTCCACCTACACCGGCCTTCCGGATGAACACGACCGTTAATACTATGAGCACGGTAAAACAGCCGAGGTGAGGCATGAAGCATGCTCATATCATGCCCAAGGCCCTCTACTATATTCTCGCTACCGATCCATGAGCTTATTCGCGCCGAGCACAACTAGTACGCCGAATGGCGAAAGCCAAGGTAGGGAGGTGACGGATACCCGATCCGTCCCTGGCTGTAAGTCTACTCTCGTCGTTCAAGTGCTCGGAACGGCGCCCCATATTTCAACAGGACATTTGCTCGGCTGGGTAGAGTCTCACGCTAATATGATAACACCGAAAAGGGCGACAGCGCTATTAGTTGGTAATGCTTAGGGATAAGCCTTAGCTTTCGGCAGAATTATCCAAGGGGAATTCTATATTTTCGAGCCATCCAAATTTTCCAACGCACTCTGTCGAATTATGCTCGCGGCGACAACGGGGAGGTGGAATCGCGGATTTAACCTATATAGCCTAAAGTCGTCGTATTAATCCTATATGAACTATGATCACATTGTGCGCCGGACATTATATGAACCCACAGGAAAGCCTCCAATTCGGTCCCGCGATGCGACCTTCCCCGGACTCAGGCATGCCGATATATTTAAACGTATGGGGAATCGAACTGTTGTCTGTCAGATTTGTCATGCTTGTATTCCAATCGGTTGCCTCCTGAGCCACCACCTGATGGAAGTTTCATATCTAGCGTGTTGGGTACAGCCTCGATTTGGCCGAAGCGGCAAGCGTCCAAGGTCTTCTACGCGCTGTGGAGTTCGTAGTCACAGGCCAACCGCCGAATATTGTTTCGCCGAGTTCGACTACCGGTCCGCCAGGCCGTGTTGTAGGTTTCCCACACACTCGCCTAGCTGGACGGAAATGCTCGGGTGCATCTGTGGCCTATACTCATGCGCTCGGGAATTATTTGCTCAAGTTAATATCGCGCCGTCGAGTTGGAGTGCTTCTAATCATAGCACCAACCCCGGCGGCCGAGCATGGGCAAGTGCCGCACCCACCGGGAGAGGTCGTGGACCAGCATCAGGGTGGTCTAGACTAAACCAGATCGTGGAGATATAATGTTGCGTTGCCCCTATCCTAGCCTGGTGTGAATCTGGTTGTTCTCCAGCACGATCAGCATAAATACTACCGTGTCTCGCTGATTGCCAAGGCCTACGACTATCCATCCTCCGTCCTCATAGCAAGCATCACCGAGCCTTACGTATTCTGGTATCAAGATGCTCTTCTCACTTCCCCTTCTCCTCGCGCCGGCCCTGGTCGCCGCCCACGGCGCCGTGACAAGTTACGAAATTGGCGGAAAGATATACGAGGGCTACCAAGGATTTTCTCCCGTCGCGGGAGCTCAGATCATCCAAAGACAATGGCCCGACTACAACCCGATCATGACCGTCACCGACCCCAAGATGACCTGCAACGGCGGTACCTCAGCGCCCCTCGCCGCCGAAGTCGCGGCCGGTGAGAACGTCACTGCGATTTGGAAGCAGTGGACCCACGAGCAGGGCCCCGTGATGGTATGGCTCTACAGCTGTGACGGCGAATTCACCGCCTGCGACGGCAAGAGCAAGAAGTGGTTCAAGATCGACGAGTTGGGGCTATGGGGCAACGTCTTGAACAGCAACAACTGGGGAACTGCGGTCGTCTTCAAGGACCTAAAGTACTCCAGCCGAATTCCCAAGACCCTCAAGCCCGGCAACTACCTCATCCGCCACGAGCTGCTCGCTCTCCACCAAGCCAACACTCCTCAGTTCTACCCCGAGTGTGCGCAGATCACGGTTACCGGCTCCGGTACCGCCACTCCCCCGGCCAACCTCCTAACCTCCATCCCCGCGTATGCCGCTCAGTCCGACCCCGGTATCATGGTAAGCAGTCGATCCGATCTTTCTGGGTATACTTGAGAATTAACAAAAGCTAGGTTGACATCTACCAGGGTGGTGGCACTTCGTACAAGACCCCTGGTCCCGCTGTGTGGACTGGTTAAATAACGCCATGACATGACAAGACCTTGACAATGAATAATGTATGGCTAGGTGGCGGAAACTTGTATATTTCAAAGGCTGTTTAATGATTGATACTTTGGAATATACCTATTACCTTCATGCCTACCAATTTCTTCTCCGTGTGATTTGCTGTTGGTGTGATATTCGAACAGACTATCAAATTTTAAGGCGGTAGAATAAATGCGTACTGCCAAAATGAAACCAGTATCGAGCTGCTAAAACCTTTATTACTCCGAATATCAAGTCTTATATATTTAATTAGTACTGCCACAATTTTTTCAACCAATCAGATACTTAGAATCGCCCCGCAGTTTGCGACTTTTCCCTTTGCCATTCTATCGCATAACGTTTGCAAAAGGTGCAAATGGTATAGAAAGGTCATGCAAAACGAGCTCTATCCAACGATACCAATTATCAAAAGTTTTATCCAAAAGTGAAGCAATTCAATTGATTCTACAAAAAATTCATCGGACGTGCGCTGAGGTGTGGCTAGCCAATCAGAGGCCAGATCTATTTGTGGCGTGAGTTTTGCGCATGATGAACCCCCCTTTTCCTCCTCTTTCCCCCGTCCGCGTTTGAGCGGACGGGCAACGTCACTAGTTATGAATACTAAGAGCATTTCGTTTCTACGCCACATCTGTCAATATTGCACGATAGTAATAAAATAAAACTAGTGACAACAACATCAGTCACAAATAAAATAAAAACCAAGCGAACCTAAACTGACAGCAGTCGGACTCTGGGGAAGACCCCAGAAAGGGAAAAAGCAAAAAGTTTGGCGGTACTGGGAATCGAACCCAGGTCTACACGGTATCAGTATATTTGTACATCCACAACGTGTTGTACTATCCACTATACTATACCACCCTTGCTGGTGAAATGGAATGTGGAATTTGAGCCTATAATGTAAACTAGTACGCCCCCAGCTGGTCGCAGCAGGCCGATGTTTAACCGATAGAATTTCGAAACTGAGGACGGGAAAACATCAAAGTTGATTCTATGATTCTCGAGCAGCCAGGTTTCGGATGTTAAAATAAATGTTGTAACCAGCATCGGCATTCGCTATTAATATCGCTTACTATTTCAAATCGCTACTTTGTCTCTAGTAACTATAAAAATTTCAAGACATCGATCAGTTGTCTCCCTCGCTAAACAATACCTTGTCCTCCACAACCGCGAACAGTTTCGCACTCTCGCCCAGTAAATTTACGACGAAGGAGGTAATCTTAAAAAGCTACCATTGTCGACCCTACGTACAAGCCATGACTTCTTTTCTTTGGCCAATACGAAGAACTGCTGGTTCTCTTGAAAGCTTCTACCCCCGGTCTCGGGTAAAAATAACCAAATGAGCATTCCTGCGAAATAATTGGTAGCGGCAAACACGAAGAACAAATGGAATTTCAAGTTGTTGAAGCCAATCGGTGTGAGGATCGTAATAATGAAGTTGGCAAGCCCCCATACGACCACGCTGATGGCACCACCCTGCGCCCGCGCCTTGTCCGAATATATCTCGGTTGGAATCAACCAAACGGTCGTTAACTAGGACGCTCCAAATATGGCCGTTGACCCTACGAGAGTTATGGCGCCCATAGACGATTTAAATGAATCGTCGTTTGTGAGAAGGTTCATCGCGATAAGGCCTAGAAGGCCGAAGCAGATCATCAACCCACAACTACCTCCCAGCATTAGTTTCCTGCGTCCATATTTGTCGACTGAATTCGTGGTGGCAACCATGACAAAAAAGTAAAATATGTAATTTCCGAGGGTTGCATACTCTGCTATCCATGACGACAGTCCTAGAAGTTGAAATATTTGCGAACCATAGACTGAGATTGCCCCGGCGCCTGTCAAGGCCTGGCAGAACTGGACCATTATCGTAATCATGTTGGGGTGAAACCGGCCAGGTCCACAGCATAGCATGTTGACGAGACATCCCGCTGTTTCATCAATTTCTTCTTGTCGGACTTCTTGGAGTTCTTCAAGCTTGTGGTCTGCCTGGTCATCCCCATAAAGGCTTGCAAGTACCATATGAGCATCATCCATCCTGCTTTTACTTACTAACCAGCGTGGGGACTCCGGTAGTTTGTCCATGAACAACAGAAGTACTACGGGGAAAGTCTGCATGAACAATATAGGCATCCTCTAGGCCCAGCTGTTGGTCTTCAGCCAACGGGAGAAGCAGATGTTCAATGCAAACGCCCCTAGTAGCCCTCCAATGTTTGCTCGAAACTCTTTCGCCACTATGAAGGTTAGTTGTCAGCAAGTATCAATGAAGTTTAGGGTTAAACAGGGTTGCATTAATTGGAAATTCTTAGAACAGTAAGATGTAAACGATTGGAAGGGGTGTAGCTGAAGGAATGTTCTCACAAGCGGTACCACGGGCATTGCCCTCAGAAAGTTCGGAGCTGTAGACGGGAATTACTGTATCGACGCCGCCAATCCCTATCCCGAGCACGATCCGTCCGACTAGCATGACCCAGAAGGCACAACCGTTCCATGTTTCGTCTATATATGGCGAAGTTATCCCAGGAATGAGCATCAAGATACCCCCAACAATAGTTATGCCGAGTGAAAGGCGAATTGACAGTTTCCGGCCGCATCTGTCAGCGAAAAACGACGCTATTATGGCGCCTCCTACGCATCTAAGGTAGTAAATGGCGACAATAACCCCGACGAGGGGGGATTCTCTTGATATATTCATGGTGCGGAGATAGGATGTGTTCGTGTTGACGAGGGACATCATGCCCTGGTCATACCCGTATAGAGCGATGGCTACGCACGAGAAGCGTTCCACGAGTTGCTGAAGCGCCCACCTCCATGGTAGATATTCCTTCAGGCGCTCTGCTAAGTTACGAGGCATGTTGGTCTTGTGCGAAAGCTTGGAATTCGGACTGGTTCTCGGTTTGCGGTAAGGGTATTGTAAAGCTATGTGAACGATTGTTCTGTCAAAGATGCGTGGGCTACGTCGCTGTGATTTATAAACGAACGTGGGAAGCGTAAGGGGAAATATAGAATTATTAATGGCAAAATTGTGATATGTGATGGCGGCGAAATAAATCTGCCCTTGAAAGATAGTTGTATTTTGGTAGTTATGATTTTGGGGTCGTTAACTAACTCGGACTCTCCAGGTGAAGTTGTTAGGAATAGAGGTGGGAACCTTTGAAGGCTACGTGTGATGGAAGTCGGGTATTTACACGCTCTTACTATTACTGCTTCGTTGACGACTGGTCGTAACTGCTATAAAGACGTATGATATCATTTTAGGTATATACACGAGCCTTCCACAAACGTTGGTATGATATATTAGAATTTCCATAGTCCTTTCCGAATGATTCATGTCCTAGGCTTTCCTGCTTCTACCCCTAACTAATCTCTCGAGGCAACGACGATTTACCTAGGAGAAACTAAAGCATTTATAGGGATTGCAATCGTTTAAATGAATAAAAAAGATAACAGGCTTTTATAAAGTATTTTGGAACATACATTGCTAGGTACTATTAAACTGCAGGGCTAGCTGTTTAAACCCTTCTCTCGTAACTGGCTCCGGATCTGGTCAGGTATTGACCTAATTATTAAGCATAACTATAGAAATAAAGGCTTCCTTGTAAACGTCTTGCCTAGGTAGGTATTTCTCAAAGAGCTCATTGTTGCCTTCCTCCAGAAGCCGACTGCAGTCTCGATTCTCCTATCCAGAAAAGTGAAGGGTGGGCGTACGTAGCTACCTAACGTACCAATTGTCCCCATCACACATCATGTTATATTGCTCAACATAGTCGACGACAGGGATGTACATCTAGCCTACTTCCTCCTCTTCGTGACATGTAACACAATCTTCCCAAAATGCGACGGGAAACCCCGAGTCAGGATTGCCATCAACGAAACCTATTTCTCTCGCTTCATCTTGAGACAGTGGCGAGGAGTCTTTCCTTAGAAGCTTGACCATACCCCATGCATCCGGCCGAGAGTTTCCAGGCATAGATCGTCTACTACGAGGCAGTAATTATACCGCGTACCGGAAATATGGTGCAGCTCGTTATCCAGCCCCTCGGTCCGGTTGCGCCCTAGCTCCTCTGTCGCCCACTACGTAAATTTCTCTTGGACTTCGTTGGACTTGAGGCCTCTGAACTTGGTTAGATTATCCATGATGGCAAGGCTATGGTGGGAAAGTAAATCATCACGACCTTGTAACCTAAGACCTTCTCTTATGGCCGTTTCGATGCATGCTAGCATCCGCCGCCATGCCGCATCATCGGACAACAGGAAACCTATTCTATGATAAATGAAAACTAAGCTACCTAACCAATGCTGCCAGTTTGAATCCTCAATCGCTCAATGTCGTAACTAAGTCGGGCGGTAGTCTAAGCTAGCGGCACTAGGCCGTTGTTTATATAGGTTTTACCCAGACGTAATGTGGTGTAAGACTCCTTTGCCAACCCAGTGACAAGCCTTGAACGGAATAGGGTTGTACTTCTTGCAGCAATGATGGGAGCCATTGCAAGAGTAGGTAGCCAGACTTTAATCCAATAATATTGACTTCTCCCAAGTGAAACTATCTATTGCAATCACCGCCAAAACTCCTCCACATGCAGTTGATCATGCCAGAGTTCTTTGGACAGCAGATTATTCTGCCGTATAAATTGTCCGACTACAACGGATTTACAAATGGAATCGAGGTGTCGGGTCGAACTTCTCGGCTTTATGGTTTAGATATGCCGTTTGCATCGGTGTCTAAAGGTCGTACTAGGTTTCCCTTTTCGCAATAACCATAAGATGTAAATGAAATAAACTGTAAAGAGCTAGAGAAGTTAGAAGTAGGTAATAGTAGTTACCTAGGGTATCTCTAACAATTTGAGAAACCCTACCTTAGGTTACCTGAGGTAGGCACCTTAGACAGGTAGACTTAGCTCACTGTATTGCGTAATAAGTTGGGTGTTTATGGAAGGCGCGGTTTCTTAATTGCACGTAGCACCTGAGATTCAACCTGAAATTGAGGCAACAACCAACTGTTATGCACTTGCACCTCCTATTCGTATTGCTACGCTAGTATTACATAATCAGCTGAGTGTTTGATTTCTCTACCTCTGTTCGTAACTCAGCTCCAACTTAAACTTGATCAACACACTATTACACGCATTTGGATTTTTGGTATCTACACCTACCTAACTAATCGGTAAATATTTCAGAAGTTTCTATAAAGATCTGGTAGAGCTCACAAGTAGCTTGACGAAATTGACGGAGACATCAACCAATCTGTGCGAAGCACAGAAAGACAATCTAGCAGCCAAGCAAAGATCTCTAACAGCCCCCAAGACACCAGCAAAACCTTCGCCAAAACCATCCAAGCCTTCGCCCAAAACCTATATACCCAAAGAGGTATGTATAACTGTTAACTCTCGAAGCTAGCTTAGAGTTCCTCGCAGAAGGAAGAAATTATTTTCTTACTTCTTGCTCCACTTCATGACGATATATTAACTGCCTTTTAGTATCCACGTAATATATAGCAAAGAACAATGAGCTCAATGCCAAAGTCGAGGGCCTTCATATTGGGCTATACCAGATCCTCCACGGGCGGGCGGCCAAGCAAGAGAAGACGAGGCAGAAGCTCGCTGAGCGTGTATTGGATTGCATATCGTTCGTCCCTGACTAGTTTCTACCTGCCACCTAATGCCCTGTGTATTGGGTTACTATCAGCAACACTTATACGCCATACGACGCTATCGTTGTGGTGCGATTGCCATAGAAAGGTATACACTCCATTATCAACATACACAACACAACATCCTTAACTTATATCGTCGTAGACAGATACAATTGTACCCAAACGGGCTTTTGCAAGCGTCAAAGGGCATGATTCCCGAATTGTCTGACGAGACAACGATGATGGTGGAAACCGTAACCAAAGCAATATATTTGAATCATGCTCAGACAACATCTCGGTCTATACGACGTCGTCGAACGACAAGATGAACAAAGTCGTCGTTCGAAACGACAGAGACTCCAACATCGTCATTGCCAAGAATAGCTTGATGGGCCACCTCAGACCTCCCTAACAAGGCCATCGTGAACAACAAATCGACGATCGTGCACCACATCTAGCACTACGCAAACCACCAAGAAAAGAGACTGAATCTAGAATTCTTGGTTCCGCAGGTGACTTCATCGCCTCCAAGACAGACCAGTCTCGAAAACACCCTATTGGCGTCGCGATCTATGATGATCCCAAGGACCCCGAAATCTGCAAGAAGTTCTCCGCCCGGACCATATAATTTGAAGACATCTTCATTGACAAAAGCTCCCAAGATTCCAAGGCTCCCGACCCCGGATTTCGACGACAGAAGCCATAGTAATTATGATATGTCGGACCATCGATTCTGCGAATGTTGCGGGGATGATGGTAGTTCCTGCACCACGGCAAAGATGGAAAAACGAGGTATGTCTCTCTCATCCCATTGCCAGGCCGATCGTCGGCTATCTCCGCAATTACTTCGTCCAAATTCGGTATGCTAACAAGCCTTAGTATTCGAGGCAAAAGCTTATATCGCACATAAGGACTCACTTGCTCGCTAAAAGAAGGATTTTCTAGTTTGTCCTCGGTATGAGACAACCTAGCCAATGGCCGCGTGGAAATGCCATACAGGTTTAAGGCCTTTATAAACAACATATTCGGCCCAAACGCTCGGGCGAAGCTATTTTCCCCTCTAAACAGCCTACTACTCGACACAAACGTTAAAAAAACCCTAAACAAAAGCCATATCGTAATTATCCCGGACGTCCCTACCTAACCATACTCACCATGCCTTAATACGAACGTGGAATATAACCAAGCCTAATGGCCCTGATTCGGACTCGCTTCACAATGGGGATGATCATCATATGCACGACGTGCAACAAAACGATGACGATGGTGCTGAACAAAGTACTAACGCAACAACGAATGGTAGAGGCATTACAGAACAGCGTACCTCGAAAGGACAGCCATATCTAAAAGTGTCATTTGGGAATAAGTTTATGAACAACAAAGACCCTCATTACTTTGCCTCGACGTTTATCAAGGCGGACACATTGACGGAACAACGATACATTCAGCTATTGGACTGTCCAAGGCAGGCTCCGGCAGGATTTCAAGTGAAAAAAAAGCTGCTTGGAGAGCAACCGACATCCCAGTAATTGACGAATGTAGCATGATGAACGGAGCAGATTTATACCAAGTACACTTGCAACTTCAAAAGCTAAAGGATAAATTCGAAGAAGACTTTGGCGGTGTACCCATCGTTGTTCTATGCGGCGACTTCTATCAGTTCGACCCAGTTCAGGGAACATCAATGCTATACCCAGGGAGAGCGACCAGCAAGAAAACATACGAAAAAACGGGCGACATGTTCGAAATGAAAAACAAAAACCAAATGTTGGGTTACCAGCTTTGGGAAAAATTCACTACAGTTGTCATCCTAGATCAACAGATGAGGACAGCAGATAGCGAATTTGCTGGTCTTCTTACAAGGTTGAGACATGGCGTTCAAAGAGAAGAAGACGCCGACACGTTGAACGCGAGGATAGCAGAGTTGAACGAAATTACACTGGACGTTGATTGCAAGGCTGTCAGGGTATAGTGGGTTAGGGTGGCTACAGGGGTCTATACGAGTATATAAGAGGCGCGAAGCGCCCTCGTCAGGTTAGAAAGGCCAGGCGTTACTAAGTTCAATACAATTACTACTTGGTCTATCTACCCTAGACATTCACTCCATGCTTGATTCACCTCACTAGGGCATCCAATCCTGACAAAGGCCATTACTCCATTGAACGCAATGAGGTACGCGATGAATTTGCAAGCAACAATTGCATTTGCTAAAAGACGTAAACAAAAAGTTTACATCTTCCTGTCCCGTCATACATTCAAAGGTGAGGCAAACGATAAAGGCGACGTGATGCGAGAAGCATTCGATACTATGGACAATTCGAATTTCAAGATACCAGCTTATTTACTATTGACGGAAGACATGCCTGTGGGATTAAGATAGATACCTAGTTAGAACTTACTCTTCTAGTCGTATATATACTACTATAACTACCTACCTACCTATACAATACCATCATCGACACAGTGGCAGGTACCCAATTCAGCCCCATAGTTAAGGAGCCCCTCGATATTTTGATTATTGTAATATTCTTATCATCAACTGGGGTTGTCCGCTAAAGTCAGTATACGTTGCACCCTTTTAATGTTGGTCAGATCGAGGGGTTAAGGACTAGGACAAGCGACGTTGCACTATTTGCAACAAAACGGCTAGGCATATTTTAGGAGGTATCATGTGCTTGTAAACTTTGGGGGTTTCTGAGGGGATTCAAGCTACGAGGTCTGATTCGTTGCCCCCCTCATCTTTTACCCCTGCAGCTTGCGGCCACTATGCATGATATACAGATCTATTCAACCAATTATATTTTCTAATTGCATGTTGCTTAGCCGCTTGCTCAACGTTAGTCGATCATATTACCGAAAGCTATAGTCATGGACTTATAGGGGGATGGTCGTGTCCGTGGGGATCGCGATGCAATTCGAGAACTCAGAGTTTGAATGTTAGTTCCCTGTACAACTATTTCGCTATGTACCTAACAAATCCGCAGGACCATTAGCTAAGGTTTCTTAGGGTATTTCTAGGGAAGTTTCATTATTATCATTAATATCGCTTGCGAGGTTATCGTGATGCTCAATATGAAGATGACAAGACAAGACCGAGACAAGGCTCGATGTGCTAAACGACACTTCCACGTCCCATTTAATTTACCCCCACAGAATCTATGAACGCTTCCGGCCTGGCGGCCATATCTCCTTTATATGTCATAAGATATCCTTTTCCTCCAGCCGGCATTAACTCGTCAAAGGTCCCCATCGCCATAATGGCGTCGTTGGACAAATCACTTGCCCTTTGTCATTTCTCGTGTCCATTTGCTTATGACCCCCTAACCACCTACCCGACGTACCAGCGAACCACATGGCCTGAACATTCCATCGTACCCTCCGCCTGTACCTTTCCGTCGTGTTGGCCCGCATACCTCTTGATGACCTCGTCGATGACATCTACAATATCCTGGTTATGCATTGAAAACTCAAACTCTGTGCTGTCCCCGTCTGTTTCCCGGGAGATACCGAATTCGCAAGGACCTAGATATAGGTTGTCGCGATAGCCCGCCGGTCTATCTGTGAAGTCCACACCCCAGTCGCCGGCATCCCCTAATACGCCTTGGCAAGTTTGTTGGCAGTCTGAAGACGAGGGCGCTGATGTTGATAAGGTGCCGGTTTTGTCTGTGTATGACAGGGTGTTGCAGTATCCCGCAATAGACTTGTCGCCGGCGCAGGCATTTTGCCTTTGTATTAGCGGAGAAGGAATGCCTACCGCGAGGGCGGCGAAGAGGGCTGACAGCAAGAAGATTGAGTAGAACATATTGTCTCAAGCTCTGAGTTCTCGTAAACTCATGGTATTGTCACTCGCGATGCTTTGGCTAGTGTAGTTGCCGCCATGATGAAAGAGTGAGTTGGATGGCGGTTGGGTGAGAAGTGATGTGATGTTATATGTATGCTGAATTATAATAGATGTGCCGAGTCGATATGCTCGTTACTACTCTGACAGGCCCAATCGCGCATGTGACGTGACGAGCGAGATCGTCGCAGTGTGATAGACCGACAGAGGTGGACTTCCACATCACAAACTTGGCCAATCAGGTCGTCATACTGCCATTGTAATCCGGTGAACCAAAAGACGAAAATCAATTAATCCCAACTAGGTAAACGTTGGTTGTGTTTAGGTACCCAATAACGACATGTTGTTGCTTCAATGTTGGCTTGTTGGCCTGTGGTTAGGTATAGTGTAAGTGGGAATAGAAAGTACCAACTCATGAACCCATCGAATCCTCTCCCATGATTTGGACTCAACCCGGGATGATTTATCCGAGTCGTTACCGAGATGCGCCGACGTCTCTAGTATACCGTTTATAGAACGAGTGAATCCACATCAAATTCCTGATGGAAGAATAAATGTTTCTGGTTTAAATCTCCATGGGCTAATCGTATTATCTGTCTGAAGTAGTGTGCTCCCGATTCCATTATAAACACGCTAGGCCGGTTCGTTCGTGTCATAGAGTGGGATTCTTCGTCGGCCTATTAATCGTTGAGTTGAACTAGGACGTAGAAAGGCGAAGTCGTGTGTGAAAACAGGCATTTAACACTAATAGTTGTATTAATAAGTGACTTTTCATTGTATATATGAAGAACTTACTGGTATTCTCAATCCATTCCAAGGCCCCTATGAGTATGACCTATCGTAACTGAGACTCGAGCTTAGTCTTATACTTATGTCGCCTTCGTAGCCAGTTCTAACTCCGTAGCGTCCTTTTCACACTGTCCGCATGACGGCTCTTGAATGATCTTGAGTATATCGCAGCCGGATTTATTGCAAGGAAGTCGAGTTTCGTATGGCTTACAGCCGCAACGATAGGTAATTATAAGCTTGCACATTTTATTGGTTGGTTGTGATATTCAGTATTTTGGTGATTGCGATTTTCTCTAGATTCTTCTGGCTGAATGGGTGATTTAAGGAAACTTTCTAGAACGGCCTGGGAATTAGATATAGGTACTGCTTATATAGTTGAAGAGGTCGTCCTGATGACGAAGCAATCTGTTGTACTTCAAACTTCAAACGGGTTAAGCTTCTGTAAAAGCTCGAGCACCCATAAGCTTTGACTGGCGTCAGTTTTATTGAAGCCACAGACCTTCTATTGATGCGCCATAGAGAAGTCAAAATTGATTGCTATGACCTAAAATGGCAGGTACTTTTTCTACCTCAGCGAAGTAACTGGGCGTAACCAAGTCTCCATAGAACCCAGACAATCCGGAAGTTCAAACGGGTATCTGCAGGTTTCGTGCTTTCTCATACCCATCATTTACCCATCATTTTGATCAGCTCGTGGTAACAGAGGTTGTACAAGATCTCCCACAGGTCATCAGTGCCAACGATTGCACCGAGGCAGACGCGGACGCCTCATCTTTGACGTCTGCATTTGCATTCCCTTACACGTCAGTATGTGCAGACGGCTATCGAGGCAATAGTTTGCGATTGGACCATCTTGTTTCTTCTCCTGCCGACTCCCGCGAGATGAAGATATGTGCACAGCCCTGTCCCTCGTCCACTAGTCGTTTGACCTTCAAGTCCGAGGGCTCGGCGTCGGACCGTCTGATCGATGAGCTGGGTCGCTCAGGCCAGGCCTTGAGTGATTTCGACTTACGGTGATGCCATTCGTACCACGCCAACGCTAACGTAACTATGACACTCGAAGGAGAAACTTAGACAGAGACGGTGTCACCGAAAACGTATATCATTTTCCCTCGACGTTCAATTTTCGAGCACGGGACCCTTATCTCCATAGATCGGATCTTTCTCGAACCATGGTAAGTTTTTAATACCCTGTACCTTGGCCTCTTCGTCCTTCTTGCCGTAGCACATATCCCAGTGGTAGCCCTTAGGGTAGGAACCCACCATCTCAAATCCACCTGTAAGATCTTCTAGTAGCCTATGCCCGACACCGGCCGGTACGACTAACACGTCGCCCTTCTCAACCTCTTTCTCCACCTTGCCGGGATTGCCTTCGCCGCCGAAGCAGAGCTTCGCCTTTCCGTTACTAACGCACAATACTTCGTGCGTGGTGGAGTGGAAGTGAGTGGTGGAATACATTGTAAAACGCCACTGAGGCTCCACAACGCCAACCGATGTGAGATGTGACTCTATGGCAGATGCGGTAAGAGCTGAGGGAGAAAAAGCCTCGTGATAGTGTAATAGCGGTTTGTTCTGGATGCTAGTATTGGGGATAAGTCCGTGCGCAGGAATAAAGTGACGAGATACACGAAGTGAGGTTAAAGGCGTGGGAGTTAATTTTTGGATCATGATGATGATGAACTATGGTCGATGATGCGTAAAAATGTGTAGAATGAGGTTTGCAGTAAATAAATTTTGATGTCTATCGACAACTCTCCTCTCTCTGTTAATATTTGAATTAATATTTGGACAAGCAAAATGTCAATTCGACGTCATCAATACGTACTCCTATTTCCCCCTATTTTCCCAATGACACTTTTAATGCATAAATATCACTTAATGCATCTTACTCAAACATCTTGTCTTAAAGACTTAGTTAAGCACAACAACAATCTAATAAAATTGCAAAGCTGATAATATCGAACTTAACCAGAAACTACAATAGGATTCATCATATCGCTTTCTAATAAGAAGCAAACGCTGATAATAGAACATGATCATCGGTCGATTGCAACGTTGGACTGCGTGGGCTCCGTGTCTCGGTCTCCTCGGCGCCCGCCGTAGGCTCAGCTACTCAATCGTCACGCCAAGAAGCCAATCAGACCAGGGTTAAGGAATTGAGAAACCCGAACATTACCTAAACTCCGTAGGGGATGGAGACCGATCACCAGCCTTCATGAACTTCATTTTACCACTACTTCGCGGAGATAGCTTCTAGCAGTAATGCGAGAGGCACCGGCGTATGGATTAAATGACTTTAATCCTCAAGGCCAATGCTCTTCAATGGGGCATAGACGTAGACTTAGAACGAAGACAAGTAGTACATATACCCGGGTGTTTACCCTATTTTCTTTGCGATGTGTTCATCACGAAGTAAAAACTAGATTTCAATATACATTTACAGGCGGCATCAATAGTATATTTTAGAAACATACCACGGCTTTTGAGTTTTGACACTGAGATGGCTTACGAAAGGTCCATTATCATCACTGGCGGGACGGTGAATCTAGGCTACTATACCGCGCTACAGATTGCCAAGGCACATCCCGAATACCTAATCATCGTCTCATCACGATCAGACCGCGAGCATGCCGCGGATACCATCAACGAGACCCTCGGCCAAAAAAATGTGGTCTACATCCCACTGGATCTCTCAAGCCTACAGAGTGTACGGACTTTTGCTGAAGACTGGGCATCGAAGAAATATCCCCCTATACAGGCCTTAGTTTTCAACGCGGCCATACAACATCCCGGACCTCTAGTTAAAACTGTTGACGGCCTCGAATCAACTTTCGGCGTTAATCACGTTGGTCATGCTTTACTCTTCCACCTCCTGTGTCCTTACCTCGCCCACAAGGCTCGGGTGGTTGTCGTTTCCAGCGGGACTCACGACCCAGATCAGGTTACTGGTGGCATGCCCAAACCAAACTATATAAGTGCCGAGGAGATGGCACATCCCACATCCGCCTCGATTAATAACCCGGGCCTCCAGCGGTACGCTGAAAGCAAGCTCGTGAACATACTATGGACGTACGCGCTCGACCGCCGTCTGAAACAGCGTGTTCCGGAGCGAGAGATTACCGTGAATGCTTTTGACCCAGGTCTAATGCCCGGCACCGGATTGGCGCGCGAACACAATGCATTTCTCCGGTTCCTCTGGAAACACGTCCTTCCAAGGATTATTTTACTTCTCAGGGTTATCTTCGTCCCGAATATCCATCATCCGAATGAATCTGCGGCTTCGCTAACGCGCCTTGCGGTTGGCTCGGATCTTGAAGGCGAAAGTGGCAAGTACTTTGAAGGTGCAAAAGTTATTAGGAGTAGCAAGGATAGCTATGATGAGGTTAAACAAGATGATGTTTGGCAATGGACAGTGAAGTATCTTGCGAAGGGGGACGAGGAACGGGAACGCTTCGAACAGCTGAAATAGTTCAGCACTAATTTGTTATTATTTTCCATTCCGTATCTCACATCTAGACCTTATGTAACATTAAACCGATATGACGGAACGTGGAAATATACTCAGGGGTATTTCTTTAAATATAACGTACCTACCTACCTATATAAATGTAATTAACATTAGACTTAACTTCAATCATAATTAAAAATTACCTATCACCGGAAATAACATACGAGTACATCATTTTCCCAGCGCGACGATGATATATTAGGTAGTTTTAATCAGCCCACAGCTTGCTCCAAGAACTTGAAGACCCTAGCCAGACTACTATGAAGGTCTCCTGTAGACTCATTAAGAATATCGATATCTGCCGGGGTTTCCATAACGTCGAAGCCATGGCCTTGGCCTTTAACAATCTCCAGCAAGACTTTAACTCCCAAGCCCTCAAGAGCCTTTGCTACGCCGCGACTCAACTCCACGTCAACGGCGACGTCCGCGTCTCCATGTAGTAATACTGTAGGAGGAAACTCTCGGCGAAGCCCAAACGAGGCGGGAAATAGCTGCCGAAACTCATCGGGGATAGCGTCAACACCGCGTTCGTTGATCTTCTGTGCTAAACCCCGTACATCCGTTAAAATGTCTGGGTATAGCGCTGCCTCATGCAGTGCTTTTATCCAAGTATATCTCTCATCCGTTGCTCTATCCTGCGGGAACGCATAACCGTCAATTTCAGCCGCCTTTGCTCTGACGGAATATATATGTTCTACAACAGATTCCAAATTATCGACCGGTGAAGTTAACGGTTGTCCCGGCTTAACGTATCGTGGGCCCGCAGGATCAAGCATGCCGTATATCGGAAGGAGAGCCGTAACCGGCGGTGACTGTGGATGAGCCGCTGTGGCGAGCGCAAGGTAGCCACCGGCGCTGGAACCGGCAACGATCAGTCGGTCCGACCGAGCAAAGTGGTCCCGTATCCAGTTGGTGGCGTCGACAGCATCTTGGAGAATGTCAAGACCATTGGTCTCCGGCATCAAGCGGTACGACGGCGTGGCGTATGCCCAGCCGCGTCGGTGGCAGGCATTGATCAGCCAGTGCGGTGGAAACGTAGTCTTCTCACCAATTACCTATAGGTGCTCGTTAGTTATTATCTTGACGATGGGTGGTATCAGCTAGTTACGAGATAGCCACCGTGAAAGTGGATGAGAGCGGTCCCGGAGTCAGGGTTATACCCTTCAGGAGCATGCACATCGATCGTCAAGGACAAGCTTCCTGCAACTTTATACACGCTGGTTGATTTTTGGATTCGAGTTCCCATTATTAGCTACGCTGTTTGACAAAAGTGATATTTGCTACTCTCGGGACACGCGGAACAAATACTAACTAGCCGTTCAAGGGGGAAATAACTTGTAACATAGGTACGGTCCCAACCCTAGAAGGAGATACTGGAATTGGATTTCTTTATCAGAGTAAGCTTACCTTACATATAATTCCCTTTCAAAGATAACTGAGGGGCCATCGGCAGAAGAATGAGACGACAATATTAGCTAACCCCCATATGTTCCGCTTTTATCCTAACAGCGTGTAAATTGATTGGCTACTCGGGAATTCCCCTCCTCCCTTTGTATACCTGTTCTGTAACCCTTCTGCTCGGCTCCAGGCTGGATGTTCGGGAATCGGTTTACACTCCGGCAGGTTACTAATATATCTCCAAGAATAACTAGCATTACCTATGGCGAGCTCGTATATAGAAGGATTACCGCGGAGAATGCCCACAATAGTGTTTCATGGGCTGCCATGATTCCTAGTGTTGGGGTATACTTGATCCAATTACGAGTCATGTTTACAGTTATTATAGGGGCAGTGATTGGATTAGATAATTCGCCAATTCTGACATCAGTAGTTTCTTGGAAAGCTTCACAGTAAATCTGTCTGGTTCGGAGTTTACCCCCAGCGCTACTTATTCGACTACATCATGCTGTGTGAATCGTTTAGGTACCTCCTACGATAATTTATTGGAGACAAGTAGTATCTTTCGTTCAATATAAACCATCGGTAGGAACTGAAGATCCCTCTTACTTTCAATATGCCTATGATGATAAAAACGGATCTATCTCACATAATGGACTACTTGAAAACTTATACTGGATCAAACGCAGCTTTCGTAGCAGCAACCATTTTATTGTCTTTCCTTACCATATATGTGATCTATCAAAGATTTTTTCATCCGCTGTCCAAGTATCCTGGGCCATTTCTTGCCTCTCTCACGAACGGATGGAATGGTTATTATATCTACAAGCTGACCCAGCATGAACAACTTCTCAATGCGCATATCAAATATGGCCCTGTTGTAAGGATTGGACCTAATGCCCTACACTTCTGGAACGCGGAAGCTATATCTCCAATTTACAAGTCAGGGAGACAGATGGCCAAGACAGAATTTTACGATGGCTTCACTGCATTTAAGCCAAATTTGTTCGGCGGCAGGGATGAAGATGTTAGTTGCTCAAATTCTTTACTTGAAATAAGGTAGATATAGGCTTATTTAGACGCTGCTGTACTAATTTGAGATAGATACACTCCCTACGCCGAAGACAGCTATCACATGGATTCTCGCAAGCTTCCATATGGAAGATGGAGCCATTGATTGATGGCCAGATGGAGATACTCGCTGAGAAGCTGAAGAAACTAGCCCAGAAGCAGGAGATATTCGATTTCAAACACCTAATATCGTTTTATGTATTCGATATCCTAGGCGATGTTGCTTTTGGTCGCTCCTTCAATACTCAAATAAGCGAGGTAGCCCCTGAGATCCCAGCTATCAGCGACCATATTCTTCTCTCGAGTCTCCTCGGCACCTTTCCGTTTCGTTCTTTCTTCAGGAGCATCATTCCTATGCTGCCTATCCCCAGGCTCCGCCAGTTAATAGAGAGCAGAGGTAAACTTAAGGAGACCTGCGCCGACTGTGTGGAAACGAGGAGACGACAGTCATCTTCTAGCCGTTTGGATCTAATGCAGCACCTGTTGGACGCTAAGGATCCAGAGACCGGAGCCAAGCTAACAGACCTAGAGATCAATTCGGAGGCGTGGGCAATGCTGTGAGTTATATTAACATTCCGTAGAAGGGGGACATAGGGAATAACCTTGGCAGAATTGCTGGATCCCATTCGACCTCGGGGAGTCTAAGCCTGTTGTTCTGGCACTTGCTTCACGACGATCAAGCTTTGAAACGAGTCGATAAAGAAATTCGAGACACTCTTGGCGACCTTCCAGACGATAGGGTTTCCTATCCTATTAAGGGCCTCGAGTCCTCGCTAAGCTATACTGGGGCCTGTATCCAAGAGAGCTTTAGAATAAGTCCTGTTTTCACCATGTGCTTGTGGCGGCGCGTTCTCGACCCCGGAGGAGTTGATATAGATGGCTATCACATTCCGCAAAACGTTAGTTTAAAAGAACCACTTGGCTCGATTAGGACAGCGTCTAATTACTTTCTTTGGCAGACCAACGTATCTATTTCGAATTTCGCACTACATCACAATCCCAAAATCTGGGGACCGGATACGGAAGACTTCTCACCCGAGCGATTCCTCGAAGCCGGCGGAAAGACGATGGCGAATAATCTCCTCCCATTTAGTATCGGGCACCGTATGTGCATCGGGAAACACCTGGCCATGACGAATATTTGGAAGACGTTGACTGCATTAATCAATAAGTTTGAGTTTCACCCAGTATCCGCAGAACGACGGGTTGAGATGGAAAGTTCGGGCATTGGAGAGATGAAAGGGCCGTTTCTTTGCACAGTGACGATGAAACGCTGAGCCGTCGAAAGGATACGACATATTTAACAAGGATGAAGCGTGTAAACTAAGAGTAACGTGTCATGATGGTATCTCAACTAAGATTGTCAACAAAAATCTTCTAGTTACGGCCTTAATTGGTTTATTAGCCACCTAATATGATACTAGAAAGTCTCCTGTCCCATATTTACGGCCTCAAAACGTAGAATTAGATCTGCTAGATGGCTCATATCCGACTTATCTAGCTTCTGTTGCGGGATACAAAAGCCAGAGTCTGGAAGGAGGCTGCCAGAAGGATATGGATATGGATTTATTTCCGAATTGGCCGTGTTTAGTTGAAGCCTTGCCAACGCAGCGAATTCGGGTGCCTGTTGCATAAATAGTCCCTCTCCTGAGCACGTATCTATGCGTATATTGCATGCCTGCAATCGGTACATATTCCACTCCCAGATGTCCTCCCATCTATATATTGCCTTAAGGAGTGGCTGAGTATCAGATGGAGCGAAAACTGATAGTGTTCGTTGATGGTATACCAAAGCAAGAAGAGCTATAAGAACCGATTAGCTTATATTACCTACCTCGATGATTATCCCTTAATATAGACATCATATCTTGGCGGAGGTTACTTTACCATTGACAGCTACGAACAAGCTTAAAGAGCTCGTTGGAAGAACGGCTTCGTAGTTAAACATGCTATCAGGGGTAGTTGTTAGGAGACGTAATGCCTCAACTAAGGTGAGCACGCGCGGCGAAAGATATCCAAGGCGTGTCAATTCGAAGAATTCCGACGCAGTAGCAGCCTGGAAGTAGACTTCTAGACATGGCAGCTCATTCGTCATTTCTTGAAGCGCCATTCTAGGGACGCAGTTATGAAATGTCAAAAAGCCACAGTCGAGGAGGAACGCGTATGACACGATTCTTGGGCGAAGTTAAGTTACATTCGGATCTTTGAATATGGAATAATAGCATGAACTTACCTGATTAACTCTTCGCGACGAATAAATTTCTTCCATCTAACTTCGTCCGGGTCTTCTAGTGATAGGTCGTGCTTATGGGTAGCATGGGGGATACCAAGGGACCTAACAGCCTATAGATAATCAATACCTCATCAACAGTAGAGCCTAGTGAAGTCACTTACCGATACCAGAGCAGTAAACCTATGGCGCCTAATCCTCTGCTTAGCAACTTCGTTGCCTTCCCATTTCTGCATGATGCAGATGAAATACGCAGCTTGAAAAGTGGCGACGGCCCCCGAATTATGGACCTCATCAACATCCTTATATCCTTCACAATCAAAGATCTTGGAACTGAAGATAGCATTCTCCGCACTATCAAGCAAAAGTCTCCCCTGTTCTCTATGGTGTGGAAATGGTGACATGACTGCTCCTAACAGAATCATGGCCGTTATTAGGAGAGGATGAGCAAAGGCGAGGTTGAAGGACGAGCGGTGAACGATTGGACAGTGTGGGTACCACCGTTCCCAGAAAATTGCAAGTAGTTTTGGCATTTCTTCGATAGAGAAGAGATTGTTGGCAGCCGATGTTATTTGAGAGAAATTAATGTTGGCGGGATGAGCTGTGCCTGTGCCTGTGGTCCGCGTAGCAGACTCAAGGAGTCGACATATCCCTGCACCCTTGGAAATGTACACGGTCCCGTAACTGAATACGCCTACAAGACTCTGCGGTTGCATAGATGGCCTTTTGTAATTATATGAGCTGTTCACCCCCGTAGTGCGAGTGAAGTTTAACAAGAATTGGAGACGTATGGGACGTTGGATCCCTTGTGGAGGATGTTCTGCCGCCGGCATGAGCGTAGTTAGATCTCCGACATAAGGCATTCCACCGCTATGCCCGTAGTCTATGCCAAAGAATGGCAAATCAATAAATTCGGTACCGATGTTGAGTTGTTCGGCAGCAGAGGTGAGGACTTCAGAACCCGCGCGAGCTTCGACCACTGGGGAGCCGCGTCTATAGATGCATTGCTTTCTCCTCTCTGCACATTCAAGACATGGCATTCGAAGGTCGCATGCTCTCTTGAGAGTCGTACAGCTTTCACAGGCCCGTTTCCGCCTGCCAGCTTGAATAGCCGGAGGCATGTCCACGCCACGCTGGACTCTAAGAGAACATGACTTATAGTGTCTCCTTAAAGCATCCCTATAGTTATGTTTAAGTCAATAGTTTAGCTCTAGTTTCAAGTGGACTCGCAGGAATATCCAACCCTCGTTTGAATTTAGCAGTACAGAATTCGCATGCAAAGCTACGATCTGCAGTGTCTATCGCTTTTTATTAGCAGCAGGCTATAGAGGTACATTATTTTATGGGCAAGCAAATAGACATACGAGCTGTAGCCGCATGTCTTTTAAGATGTTCATGCCGACGAAAAGTTGTCAAACATGTATTGCACTTGAAGGTCTTGGCAGCGTTTAGCTCCGGCATTGGTAACGCATTTCCTTCAGGCCTCGTTTCTACAATTTAAACCTTATAGTGTGATATAACTCGTTTATGAAATACCTGGGATATTGGTTTCATAAATGATATTCCCAAATTCGTTGTTGGACGATGTTTTGAGCGCCTATTGTGGCTTGTAATAACCGAAATGCATTAACGTTTAGTATCGAGATGTCAACTATTTCGTCACAACGACCATAGGGGACTTCGAGAAGAAAAGGCCAAGGCCACCCGATAATTCCGGTTCTCCTTTTCCGTGCACTAAAGTCCCAACTGCATATTTTTAGAACACCACTAAGCCGTTAGAGGTACAGCGTACCGGAGCTGACAGGAGCTAGACAAGGTCTAAATGGCCCTAAACCGATATTTAGAATAAAGTTATGGGGCAGAGCTGCTCTCCCAGTCAAAAGAGAAAATTAATGGCCGGGTCTTAGCATTTGACCTCCTTGAATGATTAAAGTAAAACACATGATAAAATGATCATGATAAACATAAAAAAATTATCTTGAACAATATTAAAAGACAAAGAGTTAGATTATGATTTTTCTTATTTTTTATGACCGTGTTTCGTGTTTATTTTTGACTATATTGTGTGGTGTTGAATTTGAGGTGAAATGCCAAGACCCGGCCATTAATTTTCGCTCCAGGCTGTCTCCACGACCCCGCTGCCCCGCTGCCCCGCTATCCCTCTGTACATACGAACGAAGGTGCACATCGACCAACAGGTAAAGCCTCTTCAAAAGCGTTGTCATAAAGTTACATCATTTCGGACTTGAACTTGGGGTCAATTCTCATGTTAATCTCTTTCTTTCAATGTATTGCTAACACGATGATAAGAGCAACCGACGCGCTATCTTATAAGAGAAATAGCTAACCTGGTTCGAGCTGTCGAGCTTAGGTGACGCCTTGCGTTTAGTTTAGGTCCGGAGGGGTTCACAAGAACTCCTAATCAAGTACCCAAGCACCTCTACTTTGGGTCGGCAAAAGCCTTAGATGGCCACCTACATATTTTTATCATCTTATAGAAAGCCGCCTAAACATATACAAGTTACTGTTAGTTAATGACTTATAACTATTCAGGAGAAACATGCTTTCCTATTAACGCATACACACAACAATACACCTAAACAACTTAGATTGATGAGAGATTAAACAACAGTATAACACACCAACAGTAATATTCAGCCAAATCATCCACCCATAAATACTAGGAGTATACCTAATTAGCTACTGTTTGGCGATAAACTCATTCTTCAAAAGATGAAAAGCACCGGATTTCCATTCTTCTGTTCCTCTAAGTACTGAGGTTTGAGATCAAGGAGCACTTCTCCACAGCTGTTACATACACAATGCGATGGGAACACGACGCTCTGAGACCCCATCCGAGTTGCCAAGCTCGCCACGGCCAGCCGTGCAAACCAGTTCCCGTAGACACTCACAGCACCTATTTCACCTTCTATGAGATTATTGTTGCATAACAACAGTTGGTCCCACGTGGTTATAGCCTTAAGCTGAACTCCAAACTCCTGAACAAGCAGCTGGCCGGGATATTTATGATCATGCTCGCGTTGACAGTGACAATCCGATACAATATCTAGGTCGGGGCTTTCGAACCCTTTCAATATATCAAGGTCAGCAATCCACCTAGACCCATCATAAACGGATATAAGCGCCTCGCGGATCAGGACGTCCGCATCGACAGCACCGGGAGCACTCGCGAGAGGGAATTTGTATTCTGTACACCTTAGATGCAAGGATGTTTGAGTGAGACAGTCTTGTGGTATCCCATCAAAGGTTTCGACTCCCCCAAATCTTTCTCGCGTCGGATCCACCTGTAACATTTGCGGGCTCGGTGGTGGGATGAGCATTACTACCCCGGGATATCCAATATTGCCAATTATTCGTCGGATCCCTTTTAATACGGGAAGACCGGAGTGATCTTGGAGCGTGGGGTCTTGAAGAAGCGCCTCAGAGGCATAGATAGAATTACCCGCTGCCATGGCCATAACCGGTTCAAGATGATCAGGGTGTATATTGTGCACCCCGGACTCCATCATAGCAAGACACGAAAACTTAGTTGACCGCCATAATTTTGGCTCACCCTCTTCCGGCAAACAGTCCCATATGTTGGTAGCCCAGTGAGATAGGCCGAGTGGCTGCTTCAGGATGCCAACAGAAATCGTCGCCCCTGGTAAGTCGTCATAGAGCTCGCATGCAGCAGATACAGCTGTCAAAGATCTGAAGATTGTGTCACAGGAATGATTTTCTCCCTCGAGGGACAGTGAATAGTCCATAATACCACTATATGGAATATCCTTCAGATATTCCCTTAATAGTAATGGATCCAAAGTACCCGACTGGAAGACTTCTATAAGCCGAGATAAGCTGAATTTCGGTATCTCCACCCTCAATCCATCCATAATGAATAGTCCAGCTATTCCATTTGATTGAATTGACCGGAAAGTAAGTTCCTGGCCAAGGGCGTTTGAGCTATATGAAGATTTATCGTCATAGTCTAGCTCGTCTTGCATTTGCAGCTCATCTAGTGAAACCACAAGCTCGTTGGACTTATCGACAAACGCACAGGGAGGGTCATGCCACCTAAATTTACTACCAGGTTGGACGAGTTGAGTGTAATAATTCATATCCAAAGTGCTCCTCGTTGAAAGCCAATAAAAATCTTCGCCTGTCGCCCCAGATAGTGACACGCAGTCTCGAGAATTCATGCAGCGCGAGCTATCTAAGCCAGGAAAATGGCTGAGACATAAGCATAGGGAAGTGCATTTGAATCCTAGCTTTCTGCACGAGCAGCGGTCATCACAAGCATGCCTCTTTTCATGACAGTCGCAATCGGGAGAGGATAAACCAATGCTAGTTTCTCCTATGTTAGCTATGTTGTCAAGCTCAATATTATCCAGATTGTCCGAAATCTCACGGTATCTTTGATATAGAGGATCCTTAGTGCGGTCGATATGGACCCAGCGAATATGCCTTTCTGCTATTTGTAATTTCCCATCCCTAGATCGTTTCCCAGTGATAGTCGGCACTGGGATTGCAGTAGTCAATTCCCAGCTCCCGTCTAATGAAGCTCCGAGCTCGGATACCCCAACGGCAATGGGGCATGGAGGGCGGCTAGCGATGATGCAACTGTTACGAGGAAAATTGCAGTCTTTAGCAAGTTGACGAAGTAGGGCTATATATACTTCTAGATCAAGGTTTTCCGTGGCCCACTTTGTATATAACTGAAATATCAAGTATGGATTTGATAGCCCAAACATTGGGACATTTCCGTGGCGGTTTTCGTCGAGAAATTTTCGGCCTCGTCGCCTGCCAAATTCAATATGATGAAGGGCAAAATCCCTATGAATTCCGACAGATGACTGAAAGCTTCGCGCTGCATCGATAAGTAAAGCTATCCCACTAAGACTGTCGTGGCAATCCAAGTCGTCAGCACTTTCGTCCAGTTGTAAAGCTTTCCCTAGTGCAATAAAACATTCAGCGACTTCCGAGATATCGGTTGACGCCGGTATACCCCAATTCGCCAGTAGACTGCCGAAGGTAACGAAGCGTAACTCGCGAACGCTGATTCTATCACTATCCTCTGAAGAGGACTTCTTAATAACGATTGGATCCCCGTAATATCGTAAGTGAGAAAGAGAGACCGACCAACTGACGCCAGTTTGATCTTCGTCTTTCTGTTCAAGCCCAAGAGTGATTACACCCCCAGTTTCCACGAGGCTATCATCAAATTTAACGTAGCAATTTGGGGAAAACACGCTCAGGTCCGGGTAGATGTGCCACGACATAAGTCCAAGAAGAATCGACCCATTCGTTATGTTCCGTGGTTTGCCCTGGATTATATCCTGGATTGTTTCCATTGTCGTAATCCAGTTTTGAATAATGCCCCTGTAAGGCGCGTCAGAGCTTCGGATCGACGGAACATTTTTTATGATAAGCTTCAGTTGTATATATTCACGCTCTTTGATGTGGTTCGCAGCCTCAAGCCAGGCGCGCGCGCTGGCATCCCATGAAGCCAAATCATCTCTTAGGATTTGGCGGCCCAGCTCCCCAGAGAAGATAGCCGCCCTTCCCAGTATTTGGTTAGGATCTGAGTTCTCTTCAATCTCCTTCAGCCTGGATTCGACTAATTGAACCCAAATTGCTGTTGCCTCGGCGCTCGAAAACATTCGCGCCAGCAAGCAGGCCAGTAAATGCAAGGCAATTGTGCTATTTCCTGATGAGACCGCTGCATATATAGAGGTACCATCGACCCCTGCATATTGCTCGAATGGTCCATATTCACCAGGCTTCACTATCGTCAGCTCGTTATATATAATTTGAACTCTCAGGTAGCGCTTTAACTTGGAGCCCATGAGATCTCACCTTTACTTCAAACTGGGGCGATCTTGCAATTTCTGAGACCCTTGTCCCATACTTGGAGGCGAGAATATCGATGTTAGGAATGATTGGCTCAAATAAGGCTCCCAGTCTGCGAGCTGTTATATGTTGCTGTCCACACTCGGCATTCTTCCGTCTATGGTGGGAGAGAGCCTTGCCCAAGCCTTCGTATTGCTGAGGAACTTCAACCTTGATAAGAGCGAAATCCGCATGAGCATTTAAGAACGCTACGGTATTCTCGTTCTTCGCGGAAAATACGGAGGCGTCGAGCTGCGAATTCAAGGCCATTTTCAATATTCACTCTCTAGCAGAGCATACTAAATTAAAAAGAGAGAAGGGAAAGAGTTGATAAAGTCAGGCTCTAGTTTAGATATACTAACCCTGACGACCGCTTATTTCGGCGCTTTCATGTCCCCCATTCAGGATAACACCCATACACAACCATATATATGTAGGCTAGCGTTGGAGTATTCTCTAATTGGCTTGCGGCCATCATCTACAAGTTCAGCCCAGGTAGTGTAACCGATCATACATGCCGGTAGTTATGTTATAAGCAATCCATATTCCTCAGCCTGCTTCTGATTATACGTACACAATTTATACTGTACTAGTGTTTCCCTGTTTGTCCTCTTAGGTATCAGTCCGCTCAACTGGGGGAGGGTTGCATTCAAAAGCGTAAGCTATTGTCAGATGATAAGGATTACGATAGGTATATGACGTGATAAGGGGTCTAAGATCTAGCTTGAAGCTATCTACCAGCTAGTCATTCAATATGTTGTATATATAAGGGGACCTTGGTTCCCTTTTAGATTCAGGAAAGGGTAGGCGTTAGTAGTATTCCGAAATATATACCATATGAGCTATTCACCAGCTAGTCACCTGTCACTCCGTAGTGGTGATATACCAAGGGCAGCCTCTGACAGCTATGGTTGATATCAAATTGTAGTACATCGTATATCAAGTAGTATCAGCAAAAGCTATCTATGCCGTGATAATCATTATGTCATCCGACAGACTTGTTAAAGCATTTCATACATGGAATTCGTATTAAAAGGCATATTAACCAAATTGCTTATGTCATTAATATTTCGTAATAATCTATAGTACCTATGTTTGATCTATTATACAATTAGGAGGTAGTCTATAGAAATTTCCCCTGTGAAAGTATATTAGGTACATTCGACATAAAATTGTATAATTCAACTTACGATAACATTGCTCTATTTCGTGGGCTGACACCCAAGCTTAATAGGAAAATGCGGCCTTAGAGAAGACATAGAACTATCATACTTGACATATAATAGGAAAAGGGCTTGGTTTCAAAGAATAGGTACTTAGGTTAGTAGAAGATATTACAGGCCAGTGGCAATGCATCAAAGAGTTACATCTATTAGAATTATAGACAAGACGTACGGGACAACGGATTACCCCAAGTATGTACAGCCCTAGGCCCTTCAAATAGCTCCTTAGAATTAATGCTATATTGAAATTATTATCACTACTCCTATGTTATTGGGCGATGCTTAGCATATGGCAATGATAATATAACTTGATCACACAGTCCGTTGCCATAACCGTTAGAATAAGCAAGTCTCTTATAAGCGAATCGAATAATTATCAAGTAAAGAGATATCTATCTTAAGATCCGATATCAGCTATCAGATCATACCCAGCATCTTGATTATGCGCGTGGGTAGATTATCCGAGTCAGCTCATTGGGTCTAGAAGCGCAACGAACGATTACGCAACTTTCTTGCCGAGCACGTCAACGCCGCTTGCAGGGTCCCGCAGCAACACCGCGTAATCATGGTAGGGATAACATAGCACGGAAGACCTCTAAAATCAACACTCTTGATGGGCTTCGGGCCTCGTAGTCGTTAGTCGGCGTTATTGCCAGCTTATTGGCCAGTATGGATAGCTATGAGCTGAAACATCGCGGTACATAAGAAGCTTGTTTTGACATGAAAATGAAAATGAAACTTCGTCGTCGTCTATTTCACTGTTGCCCCGATTGAGCTATACTATTTTCGGCTTCATTATGGCGCTTAAGAAATCTTTTGAGCCGGCCGTCGAGGCTCACCCTAGCGATGAAGAAGCTGCCCCTGTCAATGTCGATGATTCTACCGCCGCGGACTGGACTGAGGCAGAGGAGCTTGCTGTGAAGCGGAAGTAAGATGACATTCTCATTGAAATTCTCATTGGAACCTTGGCTTATAAATTGAGTACATGATTGCAAGTTTCTAACGACTTACAGACTCGACTTCATTCTACTGCCTATCCTGGGTCTTGCATTCTTTGCGCTCCAAATGGACCGAGGAAACATCTCAAACGCCCTAACAAGCACCATTACCCAAGACCTCGGCATCGATACGAATCAGATCAATGTTGGAAGTAGTATTCTGTCAGCAGGCATCGTCTTGTTGGAAATTCCCTCCAACATCCTGTTGCAGCGCATTGGGCCCCGGAAGTGGCTGTCCATTCAGATTGTAGCTTGGGGACTGGTCGCTACCTTCCAGAACTTCATCAAGAACTACGGTGGTTATCTCGCTACGCGTCTGCTGTTAGGCTTAGTACGCACGATGAATATATTACTTTCGCGTATGGTGCTAATGCTGAGTTATAGTGTGAAGCGGGCTTCATCCCTGGTGCGCTATATACAATGTCGACTTGGTACAAGAAATCGGAGACCAGTCTACGAGTCTCGATCTTCTTTCTCGGGAATCTTATCGCTTCGGCCACCACTTCGCTAATCGGCGCGGGTATTCTTAGCATGGGGGATCGATACGGTATAGCGGGTTGGAGATGGCTCTTTATAGTTGAGGGATCCATCACAATAGGAATCGGCATCATCTTCATTCTCTTCCTCCCACCATCAGTTGGCAACGGGTCCCCACTCATTAGCTTCGGTCGGTGGTCGTACTTCAACAGGCGAGAGTCGTACATACTGGTGCGCCGCGTACTACTCGATGATCCAGCTAAGACTACGAACCATCTACGCATCTCGGGTAACGATATATGGACGACGGTTAAGAACCCTAGGATCTTATTTCATATCGTTATCACGACTACTTCTACAATACCTGTGAATGCGATAAACACCTACGGTCCGAGCGTGATTAAGAGCCTGGGCTATGGTACCGTAAGGGCCAACGCGATGGCTAGCGTTGGCTCTTTCATCGCCGCAATCATGACGGTATTTCTAGGTTGGGTGTGCGACACGACTAAGAGAAGAGGACCGGCATTGCTAGTCGGCGCGATTTGGAGCTTAATCGCGTTTTCTTGCTTAAGAGAAGCATGGAAGTGGAGTGCCGGGAGGGAGTACGCAGCTGTCGTATTCTCGATGGCCATGAACTCCACAATTCACATTCTCAATGTCGGTTGGTTATCGGTGAACTGTCAACGGCCACAAGAACGAAGTGTTGCCATGGCGTAAGCTTCTTTCCCAGTAGCTCCCCATTATTTTCGACTTCATTGCTAACCATAATACTTAGAATGATTATAATGGGTGCGAATGCCGGCGGCATCGCGGGAAGTCAGGTATTCCGGACTCAAGACGCCCCTCTTTATCAGAATGCCTTCACTGCCTGTCTGGTACTCTCTGCTGTAGTCACGGTAGAAATCATAGGGCAAAGTGTATGGTACTTCGTCAGCAACAAAAAGTTAGAGCAGCAGGGAGATACTCCTGTCATAACTGGAAAGACGGATGAAACGCCTGATGGACAGAGAGTTGAGTTAGTTAGGAAATGGACGTGGACGTGGTAGGCAGTGCTTTGATGAGGGTCGGGTGTTGAATACACGAAAAGGAATGTTCTTAGCTCTATCCCTATTAGCTACCTACCTATCTAGTTGGTACACGTAGGTAGTTTCAGTAGAAGACTATGTAGCTCATTATATTTTCAACGAATGCTCTTTAACTTTGATACTTCGTACTTAAGCCTACATCGCGGGGTCATCGGTTATTTGGATGTCTCTTGGGGTATTAAGTCAAATAAGTCTAGGAATCTGACTTCTAAACTTCTAAATGGAAAATTCCAGGGCATATACGTAATCTACGAACGAAGAAGTTGCAGAATATTGAAAGATATTGCTCCTATGTCAAGCAACCGGTAACGTCTGTTTGCAATATGAGCTCGGAGGACTAGGGGTTGGATCCGGGGCTTGGCAACTTGGATCCGGAGACAAGACGGGAGTAAATAGCGCTAATCGGCTAATTTAGGGTCAGGACTCAACTGTTTTACACAAACTACATATACAAATTTAGCAAATTCCATCTTCCAACGAATCAGATCTGCACACAGCTTTGAGTAGTTGTATCGGGCTTGTGGTTTAGTGGTATAATACTCCCTTAGCATGGGAGTGGTCCGGGGTTCGATTCCCCGCGAGTCCATCGTTAGGAGGTTAGATTCCTTCTATACCATCTTTTTGCTTTTTGGGTCTTTTTATTCCAAGTTGGCTTTTGAAGCTATTAGCATCACACCTTTCGTTCTTGAAAACAATAACACAGCTTCTGGTAATTACAAAAATTTTCAAATAACTTTTGCAGCTCATCTAATCTGTTAGGTATCCCCCACTCTTCAATTCAATTTCTGAGAATCACATCAGCGGGTGAATAGGACCCGCACGGCACACATAGCAGTTGTTTTTCTTTTTTCTTAAAAAATACCATTACCTAATAGGGGGGGAATATGGGAAATACCGTCCTAGATTATGAAGCAACGAAGGATCTTCCTAAACAGCTATTAAGATTGACAGGCCCGAGTAAAGCTATATCGTTATGATATTGCGTAGAATGTGAATTCGTATTCGGACCCTGCACTGAGCGCAAACTAGTGATAATATCACGATACCTGTTAATTCACATGCTAAATCCGAAATGCTCGGGGCACAAGACCGCCTGGCTGGACGGCCGTTAGATGCACCAGCCACGTCGCATTCCTTTTTATCTGTGGCTTGTCGGGTTCGTATTCGGTTCAAGGAGGTGGGTTGTTTGAAATTGCGGTAGAGCAAAAGTGACCCTTGTCTCCGATTTCTTCTAATGCAGGGTCAGCGCAAAGTTATTGGTCAAAACGTTCATGAATATAGACTTGGTTAGCGCAAACTACAGTAAAACCTACCTAAGATTGGCTAATGAATTGGAGAAAGGGTCCCTTAGCTGTCAAGGTAGGTCCATCTTATCCAGGCTTAATCAATTGTCGATAACGACCCCAGAAAAATAATAAAATGTCGCCCGTCCCCCTTTTTAAGTATACCGCTTCTCGACAATCGTAACATCCTCCAACTACTATTTCCATACGGTTTCTGCTGTTGATACCATTATTCCGCTACGATCTTGTAATAATCCTTTTTTAAACCAATTCATTCTTTCAATTATTCAGCATTACACGTCATTCGACGCCACTCAACATGGCACCATCCAAGATTGAACTCGAGAGGCAGGACAGGGCCCGCGATGCCGCCTTCAACAAGGCGATGCACGGAGAAACTGCCCAGGCCGCAGGTGGTTTCCGCGCCATGATTGGCAAGGGTGGTAAGGGCACCGATGCGCAGAGGGCTGCTGTAGACGAGTACTTCAAGCACTGGGACAACAAGGATGCCAAGGACGAGACTGAGGAGGACCGCGCTAAGCGAACAGCCGAATACGCTACCCTAACAAGACAGTATGTCAGACAATTTCCATGACACCGCATTTATTGATACTAACATGTCTCAGTTACTACAACCTCGCCACCGACTTCTACGAGTATGGCTGGGGCCAATCTTTCCACTTCTGCCGATATTCCCTAGGCGAGAACTTCTACCAAGCCATTGCCCGACATGAACATTACCTCGCGCATCAGATCGGTATTAAAGAGGGAATGAAGGTGCTGGATGTTGGTTGTGGCGTTGGTGGTCCTGCCCGAGAGATCGCCAAGTTCACTGGTTGCCATATCACTGGCTTGAACAACAACGACTACCAAATCCAGCGCGCTACTCACTACGCCGCGAAGGATGGTCTCTCGAAACAGTTAACATTCGTCAAGGGTGATTTTATGGTAAGTCTTACCCCGAATAATTGAGGCCTTGCATAGCCCTTTATCAACATATAGTCTAACAATTTATAGCAAATGGATTTCCCCGATAACAGCTTCGATGCTGTTTATGCCATTGAGGCTACCGTTCACGCGCCTAAGCTCGAAGGTGTCTATAGCGAGATCTTCCGAGTGCTAAAGCCCGGTGGCGTCTTTGGTGTGTACGAATGGCTCATGACGGATGATTACGACAACGATAACCTAGAGCACCGTGAAATTCGCCTTGGTATTGAGCAGGGTGATGGTATTTCAAACATGGTTAAAATCTCAGAAGGTCTCGAAGCTATGAAGATTGCCGGTTTCGATCTATTACACCACGAAGATCTTGCTGACCGCCCCGACCCTATTCCGTGGTACTGGCCACTTGCTGGTGACTGGAAGTACATGCAGTCGGTGTTCGACACTTTCACCATCGCACGGATGACATGGTGGGGTCGTATGCTAGCGCATAACTTTGCGGCCTTCCTGGAGCTGACCCGTTTGGCCCCGGCCGGTACCAAAAAGACAGCGGACAGTCTAGCTCGCGCAGGTGACTGCTTGGTTGCTGGTGGTGCTAAGCATCTCTTCACGCCTATGTACCTGATGGTTGGAAAGAAGCCAGAGCAGAAGTAAGAGTTACATCAAGAAAGGGAGGTAACTATTGGAGTTGAGGGTAAACGAGGTGCTTATAAGCACAGTAATGAATAAAGACGGAACGTCCACGCCTACTAATACTATTAATACGAACTTTCGGGGTCTTGAGAGGTTGACTCTGGAGAAATGACCTTGACTCCTTTGTATATATTACAAAGAGGCATTCTCTCATGAGTAGAGTACATCATTTCGCAGCATATACTAGCGTCTGAAAAAAAGAATAATTAAACAACAATCTTCTGCAGTTCCGATTCAAGTACGGTGAATAATATTCAGATCGGTGCCAATTTTTTGAGCCTATCATAAATTTATCTACAGGGTCTTTAGATACGGAGGGAGATAACGGATTACCCCCAACGGAGGGATTCCCCAATTCACTCCGTTACGGCGTTACTCGGCGAATCCTAGATGCACAACTGGGGAGCTAGGTACCTTTTAACCAAAGCATATTTTAGAGGCATATTGTAATATGTAGGAAAATATGATATGATACATATAATTTGACCTGCTCTAATTTACTATACACACTCTCCAAATACTTGTGCATATTATGGGAATGTAATGGCCGATTAGGTAGAGTTTGGCAGGTACTTCGATATATTTCCAGGTAAGGCTGTTTCGATAAGGGTCCAGGAATTCAAAGCTCCGATAGCTCACAGAAGCAGGTGGGGACTAAACCCGATATGGAATAGCGCGGCGTATCGCCCTCAACAAGCTGTTCCTATTCCATCCGAAAAAAAAGTTGGGAGAACAAACGCGATTTGATTTGATAGCAACTCCAAAAAAGGCTGACGGTAAAAAATCGCTCTTTAATTCTTCCCCATCACTACCGACGTTATCAACGACAACCTTCGCCAGCCACGTCCATCTTCAGTCGGCAGGGACTTCAATCTCAATTGAATTCCATTCTCCTTCTCCTTTCTAATTCCTCCTCATAATGTCGCGATATCTCCGTCCGGCGGCTAGGTTAGCCGCTTCTGCACGTACCGCCGCAGTCCCCCGAACCATTCCCCGGTTTGCTCCCGCTTCTTTCGCCATTTCTCAACGGAGGACATTCGCAGATGTAAAGGGTGCCAAGGAGTACACTGTCCGCGAGGCCCTCAACGAAGCTATGGCTGAGGAGCTCGAGGCCAATGAGAAGGTTTTCGTTATCGGAGAGGAAGTTGCCCAGTACAACGGCGCATACAAGGTTACGAAGGGTCTCTTAGATCGTTTTGGAGAGAAGAGAATTATTGATACCCCGATTACGGAAAGTGGTTTCTGTGGTTTGGCCATTGGTGCTGCGCTGAGCGGTTTGGCTCCTGTCGTGAGTAGAATTATATGCGCCTCGGAGATTTACTAGGAAGGGCGGAAAGAGACTAATTTGTTGCGCAATATCTAGTGCGAGTTCATGACTTTCAACTTCGCTATGCAGGCTATCGACCAGATCGTCAACAGTGCTGGAAAGACGCTCTACATGTCCGGTGGTATTCAGCCCTGTAACATCACGTTCCGTGGCCCCAACGGCTTTGCCGCCGGTGTCGCTGCTCAGCACTCTCAAGACTACAGCGCTTGGTATGGATCTATCCCCGGTCTTAAGGTTGTTTCTCCCTGGTCTGCCGAGGATGCCAAGGGACTTCTAAAGGCTGCTATCCGGGACCCTAACCCGGTCGTCTTCCTTGAGAACGAGCTTATGTACGGTGTCTCTTTCCCCATGTCCGAAGCCGCCCAGAAGGACGACTTCGTTATTCCGTTCGGCAAGGCCAAGATCGAACGCCAGGGCAAGGATCTAACTTTAGTCTCCCTTTCTCGTACCGTTGGCCAGTGCATGGTTGCGGCCGAGGCCCTAAAGAAGAACTACGGTGTGGAAGTGGAAGTTATCAACCTACGATCAGTAAAGCCTCTGGATATCGAGACCATCATCAACTCGGTTAAGAAGACGCACCGCCTGATTTCTGTCGAGTCCGGTTTCCCCTTCGCCGGTATGGGCGCTGAGATTCTCGCCACAACCATGGAGTATGCTTTCGACTACCTAGATGCCCCTGCCCAGCGAATCACCGGTGCTGAAGTCCCCACGCCGTATGCACAAGGTCTGGAACTGATGAGCTTCCCGACGGAAGACCTCATCGAGAAGTTTGCCGCTAAGGTGCTACGTGTATAAAGCATGAGATGAGATAATATGAAACGAGGAAAACCATAGAAGAGGAGTTGGAGGGCATGAGCAATGTACAATATTAATCGATTACTGCCTGGACGAACTGTCACCCGGATTAGGTGTTTCGAAAATGGCGGAGTGATTCCCACGACGAAATGGATACATTGATTTTAAACCATGTCCCAGTCTCTTCGAGATCCTCTTCCGTGGACTAGGTGATTCTTGCACGAATATGCTATTTGAAGCGGTGTGTATATCTAAATGCGTGAGGATGCAGCCATCTAGTCACATAGTCAGCCAAAAGTAAAGTGCTAGGTGTAAAATTATCCAGTAGAAGGCAAGGGTGGCTTGATAAGATGGACCCTGTTGTGTAACACGCATTCAGACAAACTGGAACTAACTGGCTGGTTTGATCCGCCCGGTTGGAACCTACGCGGCGTCCGGGGTCGACCGCGCCTGCACGCCGTCTTGACAGTTCAGAAGCGGGAGTAACCACCTATGAAACATGTTAATATAATATAACTACCTAGACTTACATAATTCAACTCTATATTTCTAAACTTGAACTTTTCATTGTCCATTGAATAAACATTACATCCGACTTGACAAAAGTAACCAACAAAATCCTTTCCGATGTTGGTAGTAATATAAAATGCCCTGGCGCAAGTGCATAAGCTGTATCCACGAAATAGCGCGCTTGGCGGTTTTTACAGCGGGCAAACAGCGCTCCACACTCCCCAGGCGACTTACCAGAGACCTGGTTGATGGAAGAACACGTCTTGCTTGTTGTTGATATCTCCAAGTATTGACCTTCTGCCCAAATCTCTCATATAAAAGAAACAAGGGTTCATCAGCAGGTTGGAGGCGTCGAAATGTCGAAATTACTTACCTTGCAGAGCAATATCTTTATTACCACCAGCCCGGCTAGCCAATTAACATAAACTGCCTTGTGGTTTTTTTTTTGTTTTTTTTTCTCTGACCCCTACACTCTCTTCCCCAATCATGTACGATAATCAAATGTAACGGGGAACCCCAAAAGAGAACAATTGCTGACCGCCTCGAGTCGATCCCATCGTTCCGGGACACTACCTACCTACCTAACTACCGTCGATGGTACATTGGGACTGCTAACGATTTTGGGGAGGGGAGAAAACCTACCACTCTGCTAAGTCCACACGGGACCCATCTACCCATATCAAAACAGGCATTAACAGATGGTACTTGCGATCGTGGGCAAATTTCGCCGCGCGTCGCTGTAGTCCGTGATAGTCCTAGTACACTGGACGCCTACAGAATTGGGCGGGAGGTCATGTACTATTTTCTTACGGGTTTCTAATTGGTCAAGATCCTAGTGAAGATCAGAACTGGTAGTTTCTCTCAAGTTGACCTCAAAGTAAGAGGGGAGATCCTGGGATACATACACTATTTCGAGTTGTTCTCATTCGCATTCGTTGTGCAACGCGAGGATTCCCCATTCGCGAGTCCCGGGGTCTTTTATTTTCATTCTTTTTTTCTTTCCACGGAGCATCCATGAATCCATCGACGACCCTTTTTTCCATTGTGTTGCGTGTTCGCGTTGGATGTTAATGTGTTATGTCAGTGGGATCTTTCTCATTCGTCCCCGTTTCCCACGTGTCGGACAACGACCTTGCTTGGAGCGGAAACGGGAAGCTAATCTAAACCGTAGTGTCGAGACACCATGACGGATAGCTGGAGGCCGACTAGCGCAAGGTCCAGCGGTTCTAGTCCGTTGAAACCGCCTGAACAAGCGGAACTTGTAGCCGAGCCAGATCTAGAAGATGAGGTACGATATATTGGATCTGGGGCAGTGGGGGCTGGCATCACCGGTAGCCGATCCATGAACGGTGATGCTACATAGCATATGTCGGCTTTTCATAACTACTCCCAGATAAAGTTCAAACAGCTTCTGACATTTTAGTTGGAGTCGCAGGAGTATCAATACGATGACGACAGGGATAGAGATTCAGCGCTAGGATCAGATATGTTAGTTTTCCTCCTTTTAGCGACTTATACCCAGGAGACACCAACGAAGATGAGGATAGAAACCGGGTACGGCTTGTTTTTACTACTAACACCCATAAACAGAGCAAGCAGCGCTAATTCCATCGCGTCGAGCATTTTGGAGTACCGGACGATTCAAGGGCGAACATTTCATAGTGACAGACACAACATCAACTACTTCACTCCGAATGACGAGCAGCAAGTCCAGTCTATAGACATCACGTACGTATCTTATGATCCTAAGTTCATTCCGGCATGGTCCAGCGGAGGGATCCCAGTCAACGATCTTCGTGTCTAGTAATTAGATCAGTGTCGCGATCTTGTAATTTTAGGGGTCGTGTCTGACTGATATGCTGCGTTTACTCTCATAGCCACCACTACCTTACCTTGCTGCTGGAAGATAGACTTTTCATCGCACCAATACCAAGCCATGTCCAGGTTTGTCAAGCCCTTCTTACTGTTAGCCACTAATATATTCAATCGTGGACTACCGAAATGCTAATCCCCTCCCCCCAATTAGAGTGTGCTAGACATCGGAACTGGATCAGGTGAGTAGCCAACTCCCGCCTCATTTCATATCGACTGTTCAGTATCTGACCAATATATTTAGGAATATGGTCTATGTACGTACCACGATAGATTAAGTCATCTTCTAACCATCCAAACTTGTCCTATTTCCACTTCCATTCTCAAATTCCAAGCCGTATCTGCGAAATTTGGCCCAATTGCTTACGATATGGCCCGAGCAGTGACTTCGCAGAGCAGTACCCCAACGCACAAGTAATCGGGACGGACCTCTCGCCCATGCAACCCATGTGGGTGCCACCCAACGTCCGGTTTGAACTGGAAGACTGCACGCAGCCGTGGTCATGGGGTGAAAGTTCCTTTGACTTTGTACACCTACGGTACTTATTTGGCGCCATCCCCGACTGGAACGAATTCATACGACAGGCATACCGCGTGACTAGACCTGGAGGCTGGGTCCAAAGTTGCGAGACTGAAGTGATCATCCAGTGTGACGATGGAAGCATCCCTCCTGACAGCGCGTTTGAGACCTTCTGGAATAAGATATATAACGAGATAGGAGAGAAGATAGGCACGTCATTTAAGCCCCATACCCATAACCTCCAAGAGAGTGCCTTTAGAGCAGCTGGGTTCCGGAATATTGAGATTTATGATTACAAGGTAAGTCATAAGCATTAGTCTTTCTAGTATCGATGGGAAAGATGGGGAATAGGCTAGCTAGAGTCTTTGTATAACCTCATCCTGCCCCCCTTTATCTCCCCTCTTACTCCAGTTAGCGACGCGACTCATCTCTCCAATTTCGGTGCCCTGAATTCCCATACGAATATCGTGCCCAGTTTATATGAGGCTGACTTGGACACCAAAATATAGCTCCCCATTGGTGGATGGCCAACTGATCACAGGATGTCAGAAGTTGGCCAATACGTCCAATTAACATTACTTAACGATCTCGAAGGTGAGCCACCAGCCTGTGCCAGTTTTAAATACACCCGCGCAATTCTAACGTAGCTAAAAACCCGTAGGCTACACACTCATGCCTTGGAACACGGTCATGGGCGACGACGCCCCGGGTTATAAAGAGAATCTGTCGCAGATGCGGAGGGAGCTACATAATAGGAGAATACATGGATATATGAGGACTCGTTATGTATATGGCCATAAGCCGGAGTCGTGACATATAAGTTGGAGGGGTGATCACTCGTATTCTTGCGTCGTAAGATGGGAAAAGATGACGTGAATGATAATAGATCATCTACGAGCGGAAAGAGAGGCAGGTTTATGGATGTCTCGTAGGCATGGACACGCCTAGGCGTGTAGAATGAAGGAAATACCCGGAATACCGATAGTTAATTGCGTCGCGGACATTGGGAGAAATCGTCTGGGGGTGGATGGATCTAGTATACGGACTCAAATTGGATTGTCCACTCGATCGATCGGTTTGAATACTCGGCTCGACAATTGAAACTACAATGATGATCTTCTTTCGAACTTCGGGCTGACCAAAATTACCGTCGTAATCGTTCCAGACGTATTTTTATAATTGCATATACTACCACACTGCCTTGATAAGAGCGCCGTAGGAATCGCGATACTTGCTTAAGCGTTGCCTTCGAGCTTATGACGTATGAAACTAAGCTTCGTAAGCGGTTTCGTAATTAATCATTCTTGAATACCTATCTTCAAGATTTGACAGGTGAGGAATCGAATGGTATTAGCTTTGCTGTCAGAACTTTGTTCCCGTCGACTCGGATAGGGGGTTGGGAAGTCCTAGGTTAATGGCGAGTTTCTAACTTAGGTTTACGTTGGCAATAGTGTTTGATGATATATGTACTAATTAATGTATCATATTCCGAGCGCACATGTAAGTATATGAATTCGGAGACATCATCAGGATGTAGACCGGTGGTGTCGAGAATAGTAGGCGCTCTCTACACTACGTGAAGTACGACTTATATAAGAAATCAAGAGTAGATAGATTAGTACGAGTATTGCTGAAGGCCTATTGTATTAGATCAAGATAGCATTGTCTGTAATGCATTGCTATAGGTTCGTATTGGAATATCCTGCAAGAATCGGGCGTCCGGTGGGTGAGATAGAAACTCAATCTGGACAGAAGATAAACGGTAGCAGGGTCAAGCAACTCAAAATAAACAACTATTAAGTATTTACAGCTGCTTAAAGTGGCATCAATTTTAGTTTGACGATCCGGAACTGGGCCGTCCCTCCCGTGTAACTGACATGTGCCTGAGGAACATGTCCGACGATACCGCGTGTTTTTGACATCTTACGTAGTAGGATGATCACATATAACATGGGCTCAGGTTTATTTGCCGTCCAGCTCTCTTGCTGTTGGGCCATATCCGAGCTCAGAACAGTCCTACGATGAATTTACTATGGCCCCATGGGCCAAGTAGCCTCTTTCTATTTCCATATCTTCTCTGGTGTCTAGTCGTTGTGATCCTATCAGTAGTCGTCTGGCGGCTCATATTTCACCCCCTTGCAGATGTCCCTGGGCCCCTGTTGGCGGCTTCGACTGGACTATACGAGGCATATTACCAGTGCGTAAAGGATGGCGGAGGGAGATATTGGGTCGAGATCGAGAAGATGCACCGACGTTACGGTAATGATTCCTTCGCATATCTCGCTTTTCTGATACCTCAATATTAGTAATTCAAGACAGCCTAGCTTACTGAAGTATACTTTGGCACGTAGGTCCCATCGTCCGTATAAACCCACATGAGGTGCATATCGCGGACCCGGACTGGAATGAGGTATATAAGTACTCGGCGAAGGCATCGAAGCCGCGGTGGTTCTACCTCCTGTTCTTCGGCAAATTCCCAAGTACCAATGTCGCCGAGTCGCACGCGCTACATCAGCTTCGTCGAGGCCCGTTGCAGGCATACTTTGCCTCGACTAACATCCAGCAATATATGCCCACGATCCTAGCACAAGTCGATAAGCTCTGCGTTCGCATACACGCTGCCGACGGTTGCGTTCTTAACTTAAGCGATGCTTTCCGCTGCCTCGCCACCGATGTCGCGACCGGCTTCGCGTTCGGCGCCCCATTCGGACATCTCAACGAACCGTCTTTCGACCGTAAGTTCAACCTCTCCGTCAAGATGGTCGTGCGCACTAGCATGTGGAGTCGGCATACCTTTGGGTTGCTGTTGCCTATGCTGCATAGTCTCCCGGAGAGCATCGCGAAGAAGATGAATCCGGCTTTCGGCCGGGTGAAGTGGATGATGGATGTAAGTTGTTGTCACGATGGCCAAGTCCTCTAGTGCGCAGTGACTACCTACGCGTCCCACGAACGTGCCACATAAGGCGCAGTGCGCTCGCTGACTTTGCTTCTGCACAGACTATGACCAGCTGCGTCCGGCGCTCGATGAACAAGCCCGAGCCCGCGCCTGGCACCCCGTACGACATGATACAGACGCTGATGTCCTCGAACCTGCCGCCGGAGGAAAAGACGTTCCCGCGGCTCTTCTCCGAGGCCCGGTCCGTCATCATGGCTGGCACCGAGACGACCGCGACGACCCTCGTCTGTATCACGAGCAATCTTCTCCGCGATCCAACGAAGCTCCAGAAATTACGGGCCGAGTTGGGTGTTGCTGAGGAAGTGAAGGGGGGCGCGCTTGAGTATTCGGACCTGAGAGGACTGCCGTATATCACTGGCGTCGTTAATGAAGGCCTTCGCATGGCTAATCCGACGCCGAGTCGGCTGCCGAGGGTCTGCGAGGACCAGGACCTGATGTATAAGGAGTATTTTCTCCTCAGAGGCGTAAGTTTTGTGATTTGAATTAGCATCGAGTATGCTTTTTCTCTTTTGCCGCCTTCTATCTATCTCTTCTCTCTACCACCAAGAGAAAAAAAAGAAAAAGATGCCTCTAATACATAACTACCACTAACGCAACTCCCGCTGGGAATACAACAACTAGGCATTCATTTCGACAACAGCCCAAGACACGCACAACGATCCCTCCATATTCGCGCAGCCATACAAGTTTATACCCGAGCGGTGGATGGATCCGGAGGAACGACGACGACTGGGGCGGTACTTACAGCCGTGGGGACGCGGCACGCGGCTGTGTCTAGGCATGGAACTTGCAACTACTGATTTATATCTAACCGTATCTCGACTATTCGGGCCCAGCGCCGGTTTCGAAATGTGCCTACACGACACCGTTGACGACGATTGGGTTCCGTACCACGAGTGGTTTGCTGCGTTTCCCAGAGGACGCGGGCTCAGGGTTAGGGTTATCAGGAAGGGAGGCGAGGGAAGGGAGAAGAACATATAAGGAGCTTGGAGAGGGTTCGCCTATTAGAAGATGCCAGTTTTTTTTTTTCGCTTACCTCGTGGAAAAGAGACGGCTAGAGGATAAGCGATGGGCGAAGTCATTATACGAGTAGAAACGAACGTAAGGATCAGGGGAAGATATTACACTAAGGAAGACCCTTTTGTCCTGAATGGTCTTGTACTAACTTTATTGTAAAGCCATTATTGCTCATCTGAAGTTTTACGTGTATTAACGATACATTCACATATAATAGTATAGGCAATTTGAGCACAAGTAATCGATCTTGATTCACTAGTAAATCATATCGTCGAAGCTCTACCTATCTTCAATAGGTTTTTCTTTTAGAGAGGAAACCTTGGAGAAAATTGTAAAATCCAACTACCTGAAGAGTCTGGTTGGAATTCGATATATATAATACCTCATTACCATTTACTGCGTTGTTAAAAAAGTACAGCCGCCACACGGATAGAAAGTCACAACTACTACATCCAGCTAAATAAAGCTACTCTGAAGACCCGTAGGACTGACTGTCCTCTCACGTAAGAAAATAGGTACTTGATTCAATAAAAGCCAATACTCAAATTCCTGCACTTTAATAAGAGCACTTTACGCATTTCTTTCATCAGGCTGTAATCAATCCAGGTGGCAACGTCAACGGACTTACAGTTTCGAGGGAAAAAGACGCCCAAAAAGACGCTCCAGGAAACCGGTGTATTCCAATCCATGCCGAGCAGTGGCGGGAGTAATACCTCTCGAGCAGATATCGAACCAATTGTGCCGCCAGAATTCATTTACCGTGGTTTTTATACGCCAGACGAGCAATTGGGTAGGCACTCAAACACCTTTCCCTCGCTCCGCCGAAATACCTACCTAGGAACCAGCAAGACAACAACAACAATTTGCACAAATTCAACCTCCCTCTTTACCAAAGCAGCATCCTGTGGTTCCACGACTACCACTCGCCGCTTTGTCAACGCAAGCAGAAAAACAACAACAACCATCCATCCACCGCAAACAAAGTCGTTACATCGCCTCTCCTCTTTACGACATTTCTCGCCCTAACTCCCGCGCCCAATCCCTCTCCGCGAGGCTGTCTTATATTAACCCGTGAAGCCCAACGGAGAGGGGAAGAAAGGGAAAGAAAGGGAGCGAAGGGGAGAAAAAACAAGACTGCCATAATAAGAGTCTCCGAGTAGTCTCCGTCTAGAACCTCAATTACTAATCCCTTAATAAACCAATACAATACTCCTAGAGAATATATAATGATGATAGTGATGGTGATGATAATGATGATGCGTGTGGTGCCTTAAGTGCCTCATGCAGGTAAGCCCAACCGCTCAGATTGACACGTTTTCCAAGTGATAAAGTAACCCCCCTCTACCCCGTCGCGGTGAACAAGAGGGGGTAGCAGCAGCATTAACCCCCTCCCCACCGTCGGTTCCAGATGTCGCCCCTCGAGATGGATTGTGAAGCATTGGCGTCTTTATTGGACTTACTTACGGAGAAGCTCGCGGGCCGCCGCGCGACGCTCGTCCCCCTTTCCCAATGGGAGTTCTTGCCGCGGAATTTTAAATCTATTATTTTTTTTTCCCTAGACGCATGAATGGCGGTCACATGACGGAAACGAGGCAGATATCCATGTATGTAGTGGCCCGCCGCAAGAAAGGAAGAAAAAAAAAAAAAAAAGGAGGCTGGGCTGAGTTTGAGGTTCCCGGATCTGATACATCATAACTACCATCAAAGGAAACATGTCGGAAGCATATCCGGTTATCAGTAAGCTCTGGCTAAGAAGAATCTGATATATCAGATCTAAGAAAGATAAACATCCAAATTCTAACATGGGGAAATTCTCTAGATGGTGATAAAAGGATCGTTATATGTACCATTCGAACTGTCAGCAGACTCTGGGGTCGTATCGGATTGTGAAACTCGACATTTGTCCGGCCCCCATTCGATTGATTGATTCTACCTACGCCATCCTCTCAAGGCTCCCTCGTCGTCTTATCGGCAGCGCGTCCTACGAGCTCCAAAGCCTTCACTAGCACATCGCGATCTTTCTGGAACGTCAATATCTTGACGGCTTCGTCGCCCCGGAAGAATTTAGGTTCGAACTGCGCCTCCCCATCTCCCGCAATGCTGTCCAGTTCTGCGATAAACCACCAGACTAACTTGACACCGTTGCCCTTCCCCAAGTCCCGAACATCTAGCATAAAAGCTTCCGTGAGACTGTCGTAGGTGCGTGGGATATCCTTGACATCGGCCGCTTCCAAGTCAGATGGAGCTCGAGTAGTCATCGTTATAGGGCGTAATCGAATTGCACAGCCTGACTCTTCGCGAACTTCTCGTATGGCCGCGTCTTTCCGAGACTCGTTACAGTTACGTCTCCCTTTCGGCAGCAACCATTCGTCCAAGGCGGAATAGTATAGTAAAAGGACTTGCGCCGGCTTCTCAGTATTAAACACGACAGCCCCGCAAGCTTCGACGAATTTCTCCGAGGAATAGAGTGTGCTATTCCAACGTGTTGTTGCCATTGTAATGCTTTGAAAATTGCGATGCTTAGGGATCGAGCCTACAGGAGTGAGGTAGGAAGCCGGCTAATATCTCGGAGAGGTAGAATAACGTAGACTGTGCTAGCCATGTAAAATGCGTTAACTTCGAGATTGGATTTTTGCAAGCCAACTTACCTTGCCGCTGACACTAAATCGGAAGTGAGAGAATCCGAAGATAGCTCAAATTAGCGGATTCACAATATTCATCACTATACAAACTAGAGGCGGAAAAGCAACTACGTTGTCACACCAATAGCTACAGACATAACCAAGGCGGGACTACCGGTATACATACGCGCAATTTCTTTGATCCAGATGTCTCAGTAGTCCCAGGGATAGCCTCTTAGCAATATTTCGTGACAGGATATGGCAATCTGATCCGAGGGAGCACCTTGCAACCTTACCTATGTAGTAGAAGGCTCTTACGCTGCCATGATATTCTGGGTAATAAGATGCGGACCGAGGTGATTAATCTGCATAATGGCAGCGCAGGGCTAGGTGGAGGAAGGGGGTTCTCTCTGCTGACGTTGCTGATAATCCTTAACATCGCAATTGACGTGGGCGGGCAAGACCATAAATGGACACCGGAAGCCCCAGTGTACGACGAGGGTAGACGGGCCTTTACCACCACCAACAGCACCACATTATGGAAAAGCATTCCCTGTCGACTAAAGGTCGACCGAGGGGGGAATCCGAGCCGAGCATATATTTTCAAGTTTATGCGAAATGTTGGCAAATGTTGGCGTTGGGATTAATGGGATGCAAGCAAGCAAGCACTTAGCCGTCATCTTTGGCAGGTGTTAAAGGCGACTTGGCGACTTGGTGACTGGGTGACTTGCCGCCCATGCATGTCGGCGGCACGTAAGGACTCTTCTAGGTATGCTTCGACGATACAGGGCGCACATAGTTGTCCCGAGTGAATGGTCTGCTACTACGGCCCGGTGCGGGGGATTACGTGAGCATGAAGCATACGTAGGTAGGTATATGTTGTATGTTGTATATGCTGTATATATTGAATGGGTAAGTCGTAAATAGATAGTGATGGTCATCTATTGCGAGCTAATTGAAGGAATGGTGGAATGCTGCAATTTTTAATTTGTAATCAATTCTCTTCGTTCATGAGATGTGGATTCGAGATTCTGTTTTGGCATTAACAATCTCCCAATTGAAGTTGGAGAGTGGAAAGCTTCGACTTGTAGATTACCTACAGCCATACCTCCTTTATTACCTGTTGAGGAGAGGGATATTCGATGCTCAACTCAGGGGAACCTGCCTTTTAGGTAGATACCTAGGTACCTAACCTAACCTGTAAAATACATAAATACTTGGGTACTTGGGTACCTCCTGACCAGTGCTGCCAGTGCTGCAACGGGAGTACCCAGCGCCCAGAGCCCAGCCCCCAAGACCTAAAACAATTTTGGTCTATCGATAATGCGCAATTACATGTTTCTCGTACGCTCAGGCGGGGTATTGAGATGATTGCAATTGTGATGAAACGTTGGGAATGGCGGGGTCTTAATTTCTACATACACTTTCTGCAACATGTGAAAGTGGACTTATCACACCATCTGGAAATGGAATAGCGACGGCGCCTGACTGTTATAGATACCCACACGCCATGTCTCGGGTGATGAAGATGCAGTAGGAGGAAAGGTCAAGTGACGAGATCCAAGGTGAGTAGGGTGAGAAGCGTGCGAAGCATGATCACCAAGTTGGTGGTAGGGTGTCTTGGATAGAAACAAGATAGCGATAAGATGGATGGCCATAAATAGTAGTCTCTAATAAATGCGTGGTGTGGTTTATAAGTGTAGCACCTCCTTCCCGTGCGGACCTAAGGCATGTATGTCTCGAATGTACGTATTATGTACGTACATACATGCATTGATACCTACGTACATAATTCCTAGGGGAGGGGGGTATCCAAAAGGTATTTATTATGAGGCATCGTGCGACATATATGTACCTACGCACGAGAGACGGCTAGGGCGAATCTATGTAGGCGAACTAGGTTCTACCCCCAAGGCTCAAGCTGTCTCTTTTCTAGGCGGTCATGTGGACTCGTGGATGTGTAGGTTTGTAGTGCCCGAATACATGACTGCGTATTGTTGTGTATAGATGATACCTTGGGTATTCAATATTGCCTCTTTATAGGTAGGTAGGTAATAAGCGTGAACGCGCCAGCCACGCTGCCATATCTAAGACGGTCAGTATCGACTAATTGGAGTTGTTCTAGTCGTACAACTTTGATTGAGGAGATCGTCAGGCAATTGCTTTTAGGCATCTGCTTTTACGCTCGGCTGGACTTGACATATTATATCGCATTCGGTACTTAAGGGTAGAATCAACTGTCTGCCTGCTTCATCTTGAGCGAGACGATAACTGTGCGACATATACGGCCTCGGTTTGTGTACCGCTATTTTGATAGGTCATTTGCTAAGATCGAGTAATGTGCCTAAGTTATACCGGCAATTGGGTCTCGATTGAAGCTTGTCGTAGCCAATTAAATTGAGCAATGCCCTATGTTTTGCTTTCTCATAAGTGGTAAAGAATTGGTTGGCCCTGGTTGATTCACAAATAGAGCCGCCATTGTAAAGTTCAATTGATATGACGTTAGCTATGTCGGAAGCTTACTTTGCTCATGTTATGAGTCATGAATGCCTGTAATATAAATAATGGTACGAGGCTTGCTTTTTCGTCTTAAGATGCTTGAATAAGAGTGTTGAGAACGGCTACGAGATGTTAAGGATTGTCCTTGATTCAAGTCCCATCCCGGTAGGCGCATTTGTGCAGGATACGCCATGATATTTTGAGGTAAGTAGAATTAATAGGAAGCCTACTTAGTGCCTAGGCATACGACAAACGATGTTGTACAGCAGCTCTAGGACCCCTAGGCTGTAAGCTTCGAGAACGTCTCACACGACTCTCGTAACTCGGGCGCTTTCGGATCTGCAATGAGCAGCTTCCCGCTTTATATCTAGGTATCATATGTTAATGCTAACGATAAGAGATGTGAGGCGGAGCTGAGGCAAGCATAACGTAATGAAATGGAGACCAGACAGTCGAGAATCAGGCGAGGCAAGTTGTCAGGTAGGTCATATTGTCTAGGATACCTGATTCATTAATAAAGGGATTCGACAGCTCGAATTGACGTTGTCCCGGATCCGTCGGGGAAATTCTAGAGTACTCTATCCATGGCGATATAAGGAAGAAACTCGTCGTGGACAATAAGTCCGCCAAAGTCCGAGTAAGACGTCGACATGTTGACAAATTATATGCATTAAATAGGATTAGATAGAAGCTAGTCAGCTTTGGTCGGATCATCGGTATTAGTGCTGCTATTGCCACGAGGGCTGGAGGGTAACGATCCTGTACTCCACGAATCTACATAGGAGACTAGGCAGCAGAGAGCATCGTCAGCATTGCTGCGGTTGTCCTACATTACTCCGCGCCGATAAGCCATGCGTAAAAAGCTACATATGCCTAGAAGGAAAGTTGGGTAGGTACCTAGGTAATCAAGTAGGTATTATCGCCGGTCAACTTTGTGATTGATAAAAGCATGGCCACCTCTAGGCAGCACGTTAATGGCCAATGTTATAGGAGGTAGGTAGGTAGGTAGGCGAAAGGTACCTAGCTATTACAGAATCGACGCATTCGAGATCTGGGGACGCCATCAAGTTGGGGTTTGGGTGTAAAACAGATCTGTAAGTCTGCCCCACGCGGGCGCACCCCGTTAATAAGATACAAAAAATGTATGGTGGGAAGTGGCTTGTGACTTTAGCGTATGACACAACCTAGTTGTGAGTGGTTAATATGACATGTACCGATAGGAGTGGGGAATAGTAGCGGTACTTAAAACTCAAAAAAGGTACATTTTACGATCGGACACCTGAAGAAACTTAGGCTTAAGAATTGAAGGCTTGGCATGAGATGGTTGAATTTGGAATATTAAGTTAGAAGGCTTTTAAAACGAGTTAGGCGCTATTCTTCAAAGAGTAATATAGTTTCACCTCAGGTCGATATTGCCCAATAATACTCTTAGTAGAAGCGACGGTTGGCTCTTTCTAAACAGTTAGATAAGTAATATTTCAATAATATACTTCCCCTCATTAGAAACTTGATAAGCAATGCTATTGTTCTACGTCCCCTTATTTTCCTTTTTTTCTGATTCCTTATACTTCTTCGCCTCACTGTCCTTGCGCTATATGACTCACAGACAAAAAGGTTTCTCGGCATCTTCAGCTCAGTCCAATCCACCCAATTATGGACACTCTTATCTATCAATTGATCTTTTGATTGGTCAATTCGTCTCATCGATTTTCTAGATCGTCCCCTCATTCACTTCGGTCTACATAGCGCTGAGGTGGCATTTTTTCTCTCTCTTCTTGCTGCTGGTCAATTACTTGCTCTAATCGCGTTTGCTTCCGGAGGCGGGTTGTCTGTCTCAGGTACTTCTACGCAGAAGCCCGAATCCCTCCTGGATAGCCGCTATATCCGCTTAGCCCAGCCCGCTTTTTCGAATTCCTCGTTTTCTGTTAATGCGAGCAATGACATCTCGCTTTGGTGGTTTTGGGTTTTTATGCCACACCATACTCGGGATAACGACTGTGTGTCTACGCCATCGAAACGCGGTCGCGTCAGCTCTAATACCTACCCCTCTTGGCAATAAATTTGGGATCCTTCTATCATCCCAAGTCGGCTCGGGGGGACATGAAGGCCGGCAGTTGCCAGAATGGAGTCAAGTAAATTAATGAATTAAGTATCTCCTGTCATCAAGTTTCCTAATCCTTCGTATAAAATTTTTACCTGCACAATCAATTATCCTCAATCAAAAAAGCCCGCATGTCATTGTCTTATGTACCTATTTATCGTAGCTCCAGCCGTCGGATCCTGATATACATGTATCTTCGTTTACCGTCTGTACAGCTCTGGCTTGGCAGCGTTGCTGGCTAACAGGACGATGACATGTCAGATATATAGGTCAGATATGAAGCTTGCAGAACCTCATATTCACCAATGTGCTATGGCCTTGGTTGGTAGTTGGCATCGCCCACCTCATACGCCTAACAATTGGCCAACCGTTTCTTAACACCTGGTTTGCGAATCTTATACAGTGTCCATGGAGAAACAGGAGCCAGACGCTGCGTGACACGATGCAAATTCGCCATGTTCAATCGAACTCCTGGTCCACTTGAAGGTACTATAGTTTGGGCATCAGGATCTCCCCAGGAAAACACAGGTCAATTCGCTGGGAAGGGTCTCTTGTAAACGGGGAAAAGGCGCATTCGTCCAACTTAAGTCAGTTAACTGTTACGGTGCCTAATCTGGCGCAAATCTTGTGCGCCTTGGTTATTCCCGTCGACATCAACTTACCATGCGTGCCAGCGTTGCAGCTTTCAATCTTCCTGTTAAGTTTTTTCTCCTGCGAACCGGGAGACCTGCGCCACTCCAATTCGTCGGTGTTATTGGACCCCGCGTTGCAAAGATCCGTTGGCGTGACAAATTGTTGTGTCCTAGTTGGGCTTCTATCTAGAAGAGAGGGGAAGCACCCTCAATACAAATCAGAACAAACCTGACATTACCTCAGTAGGTATGCACATGCCAGTCCAGTCCATTAAGTGGTAGATTGGCGAGGGACTTGTATTCGTGTGGGAGTGTACGTGGTGTACAGCACCGCACCGCACCGCACACACTTCTCCCACACACACACACACACATACGTACATATACACACACCCCTCTCTGTTCTGTCTGTGTCCTCCGTGAGACCCCCCACTTTCTAACGACGGTTTTCACATTTGCAACTGTTTTCCATTGAAGCCTGATCACGTTGCAAAAGCCATCAAGCTTTCAAGCTTTGTCATTCCAATTGCGCTCCTTACGAAATACAATTGAGCTGGAAAGCTTGTCAATTACGTGACAGGTCTTATTGACATCCATTCTGTCTCTTGCCCCAAACCCTAAAACCCTAAAACCCTAAAATTCGAACAGTTTCGAATCTGATTCACAGCACTAGATCTGTACCTGTGCCCATACTTAACAGAGATGGATGGGGGTATGTCGGCAAAATCCCAAGGTACGGGCACGCCAGTACATGGCATACCTATGAAGGTGAGAAAGGTTCTCTCTAAACCTCAACTACCTACCAGGCTATCCCGTTGGTGGCCGATGAAAACCAAGGTGGAGTGGAGTTACTCGTCCAAGCACCAAAGTACCAATCCAGCTGAGGTACTTAAGGGTACTCGGTCTGGAGGCATGGTCCTCCTGGGCTTCCTGGGTCTCTTCACGCAGGACAGGTCCCAAAAATAAAGCCAACGCCAAATGCTGCACACCCCCTGCGCCCGCCACGCCGCGTCTGCCCTATGACTGACATCGATGACTATTGGAGGATGGGGGTGTGACTCCTTGACGACACCACCACCAAAACGCATCCACGTCTATATCCGACGAGGTACGGACCCCAAACACAGAACAAGACCGTTCTAAAGTCACCAGCCTAATGGGAGGCTGTTTTGTCCTTCTCCCACACCCGTTCTCATACTTAGATACTTCATCTTTCCACCAGGACCATCCTGTCCAGCTTTACGCTTCTTCCTCTTTTCACTTCTCAATCTTGCGCTCTGTCTCCGTCTTGACCTTAGATTTTCATCTTACCAAAGCTCACAAACGCAGTACCTACAATTGTTTGCCACCCGTGGCTATACTATTTGATTCATTATATTTCCTTCAATGCCCATTCTTGGCCTCGGCATTTAGACAGGCCTACACCTAATCGAGCCTTTATAATCGCTACCCCTGATTACCCTGACCAGACCCAGTCCCCGCAAATGGTGGCTCTCTTGTTGGTAGCAGTCCACCACGTTCAACTCAATCGCCGCCGCCACGAGGATAACAATACAAATATAACCTAGCTGCCTATTGTTCGTCATTCCACAGCTCAATCAACTTTCCAATTCTTTGGGACAATACCACACTAGTTACGACGAGGGAATTCTAATTCCACCGCCACCTTATCTCCGAAACCTAACTCTGCCTTCTTCTCTAAGCTTCCAACAATAAATCGACCCTTAGGTACCTAGTACTTATATCTAGGAATCGTCAACACAGCACACCTAGTTAACTCAACTCTTCCCACTTGATTTCCAAAACGCAATTAATTCATCCACTGCGATCGCAACCACAATCACGGTCGCGTTGACGACAAGATACTTTTCCCGAATTCTATTGAATTAATCAATTGCTACGCAATCCAATTTCTGCCTGGTTTGCCACTTCGTGCTCACATCGACCCACACATAGCCTGGCATCAGAGTCCATGGCTGACAAACCAATGTCGACAACCGGTATCAAGTTTCCTTCTTTCGGCCCCAGGTACCAAGTTCATTTACTTTCGACACCAGCTTCCTCGCGCAACATGGATAAGACTACGATGGCTCCAATCGCCTCTTCAACGGAATCGGGATCGGGATCGGGATTTAAGAAGCCTCTTGATATTAGCAGCCTAATGTCACCTCCTGAGCCTCCTCGATTCGATTCGTTTTCGCCTGGACGCGAATCGAACCCCACGGGCCCAAATATTTCCGATGTTCGACGGCTGCATCTCATTTCGCCAATCTCGCCTCCTATCTCGCCTACCACGAAGGCTGATGATAATTCTGTCAATCCTGCGTCATCCACAGGGACTGCTGTGCAGGATCCTATCTTGTACCCACCACAGGACGTTACTCGCTCACCGCAGCAACAACCATTGTTTAGTCAAGATGACTCTATCGACGTTCGCAAAATTGTAGACGAACATATGAATGTACGATCGGCGGACATGTTTGTAAATGCTAACCCACCCAAGCGAGAGGAATACGAATTGGTCCTATCCTTCAAATCCGAGGTACTGAGGGAGTACGCAAAGGATCGGAAGCGGTGGCTTAACCGTGAACGTGGATTTTTGCTGGAGGACCGACGAGCTGGGGCACGCAATAATCAGTTCAAGCACAAGCCGAAGCCACTCCTTCCGGCGAAGCCCCCTCAGGTTCGAAAGGAGACACAGCGTACGAAGACTGCGAAGCCGGCAAAGGTAGTCAAAGCAACACAGTCTAACACCGCGGTTCCGCGGCCAATTCGGTCATATCCAACGACAAATCCGGGTCAATCTTCCAATCGCCCACCAAGCGCAACGCCTGATCCTTCACCACGTCGTGCAGTTGCCCCAAACCGGGAAGATAAGGATTTTGCCTCACTTGCCAACTTCTGTCCGCCTTTGGATTCGCTCCCGGAACGATCCAACAGCCTCAAGGTGGATTGGAAAGGAACACCAATCGATTTGAGCAATGACCCGCATCGTCATCTTCTGCACCCTGACGAGATTACACTCGCCGCCAATCTTCGACTCGATTGTGCTACCTACCTGACGAGCAAGCGACGGATGTTTATCCGCCGTCGAGAGTGTCTTAAGATGGGAAAGGAGTTCCGCAAGACGGATGCACAGCAGGCCTGTAAAATTGACGTCAACAAAGCCTCCAAGTTGTGGACAGCCTTTGACAAGGTCGGTTGGCTTGAGAAGACGTGGATGGCCGACTTCATGTAATTGATCAACGAATCCCCCTGAGCCATGATCCATTAGACATGGACCGAATCGTCCAGGGGTATCCTAGTCCACGTATACCGTTTTCGGGTCTTTGGGGCTCGGATTTTTAATCGTTTATGCATATTGGTTTCGGTTAGGCTTCAGTTTTCTGGTTATCGGCGGTTGCATCACGACCATCGGATTGGTCTCAGAGATACACATTCCCCCTTCCCCCCCATTTGTTTTTTCGCTCGGTTCTACTTGTTTCGCAGACGTCAACTTACCAACGGTATCAGATCACGGAAGAGAGACTTGGTTTTCATTTCATTGATACACAGCATAACGGGATTGCAATGATACCCGGAGTGAGCAGGTTCATACCCCTATGGTTACCCCCACTCCACACATGTTTCTTTTTTCGGTTTAGGCTAGGTTAGGAGGTCGGTTTGTTCATCGGTCGGTCGGTCGGTCCATTGGCTGGGTTTTGGTCAGATTGGGCTTTTCCCCATTGAGGATACCTTCGCATTACGTGTGGCGTTATTTTGGCCCAACGGGGCGGCACGCAACTTGATTTATTTTCATGGGCAGAATGAGATTCTTGGCGGAGAATTGACGAAGATGCGCACCAATGTCAGAAGCTGCCTGTAATGGCAAGTAGCAGGTAAACCCACAGCAAAGTTTTGAAATGCTAGTTATTTGGGTATTTCTCAAGCATTGGGCAATGTTTCTCTTCTCTGTCGTACTGCTACGGTCTGCTTGCTTCTATGGTTGCCTCCTCGGTCATATTATTATCGGTTTGGTAGTCAGTTCCCAACCGAATATACAGTCTCATCCTACTACTATATCGTTCTAACTAAGCATACCGAAATATTTACGTGATTTAGAATTAACATATAGAACATGATAGTGATCTCTACGAGGTGTGACGATTACCGAGTAACGAAAATATAATTATACGCCAGGACTAAGTCTCGAGGTCATATCTACGTTATCTACGTCCCAGCCCTATGGAACACGCTACGAAGCTGTAATCCCCGCCCCTGTCGACTTGTCTTTAACCTAGCGTCGTTGGCGTGCCGCCTTGCCGTCAACCGGATCAGCGCTGGCGAAGTGGGATTCGGGACGTAGATCTTTTTAGTTTGGGAAAGGTTTTTTTTTTTTTTTTTTTTTTTTTTTTTTTTTTTTAGTGATGTCACATTGTTACTTGGACACCTTAGGTAGGTATATACCATGTCGAATATTAATATTATAACTCATATACGCGCATAATATCTAGATCGCTAACTACGGTGAAGTATGGTATGCAGTACTATGTATAACTATGTAAAATATCATATTATTCCTGGATATTCCAAATCTCGGTTCGTATCGTACGCCATCTAATTCTCACTCCGGTTTCCGCTGCAGTGTGAGGTCAGCCTACAGCTACCTAGGTACCGTGGGCTGGGTTACAGTTGCTTTAGGTACGTATCGCGCCTAGTTCCGTGGAGTCTGTACGGGTAGGCAGGTACCATACCAAGATCCGCTGGTTGCTCTTAACCGTTTTATAATTGTAAACCGTCTTTTTACAGTTATACTTTTATAAATATTTAAGATGGTAAATGTTAGTAAATATTAACGTTTGACACGCTTTTAATAACAATTCGAATCTAAACGTTTAAAAGGGCTTGAAATATTCGAATATATTAATATCTTATATATTTTAACTATTTCAAAAAGTCAAACGTTTAAGCGTTTATCTCTTTCCCGCTACCCCTGTCGATCTACCCAAGTAGCAAGAAGCCTGGCAAGAGGCCTGGCTGATTAAGTCTTCGGAATGAGGCCGTCTATATAAAGGCCTCTCCCCCCTTCGAAAGCGATTCTTCTTTCTTTCCTTCTAAGTCTTCAAACCTCAGCCAGCCAGGCCAAGCCAAGCCATTATAGCCAGGACCTAGGACCCAAGACCCAGGACCCAGGAGTCATCGTAGCCCCGTAGCCTCGTAGCCTCATCACGTAGCCTCATCACGTAGCCTTATCACGTAGCATCGTAGCATCGTAGCATCGTAGAATTGTAAAATCTTCAATAGCCTAGGTAATCCCACTGCTTCTAATTGCGTTTGTACGCTCGTTTGTACGCTCGTTTGTACGTATACGTACCTTCCCGTTAGCTCCCGTGGCTCCCGTGGCTCTCCCGTTTCCTTTTAAACGTTTAAAAGATCAAATACCTTATTAAATTTCAATAATTTAAAAATATAAATACCCGAAGTGCTTTCAAATGGTTTAAATATTTCCAAACGCTTGCTAAAGTTATTCAACGTTCAAGAAGTTGGAATTTCATTAATGAAAAAAAATTTAAACGGTGAAAACACGGTGAATTAACGGTTTACTAGAACCAGCGGAGCTTGGTACGGTAGGCAGGCAGGCAGATAGGCAGGTAGGGTATGTAAGGTTTTGGGTGACGCAGCGCAAATAAGGGTTAGGTACCTCATACGTGGATCTCTTTCGACGGACGGGGCCCCGCAATGGGCTGCCGCGTCACATCGTGGCCGGACATGGTTTATCCTATTACATACTACCAGATAAGCTATTATTGCTAGGTTTATGGTTTAAAGACGGAGGTTATTTAAAGATTAGGTTTGGATTAAGTACCTAAGGTTTAATTATTATTGATACTACTGCACTTTATGCCTTTTTTACGTACGAATGCATAACTTTAACTTTGCATATTTAAATACAACAATAATAAGTAAAAGCTTGATTATTACGAAGAATAAAGGGGGGGATGAATTATGGCTCAACGATATAGCCCCCTGTTCGTGCCAGACGGGCAACGATAGGACGGAAACAAAGAGTATGTAAAAAAAAAAAAAAAAAAAAAAAAAAATTAGAATGGATCGCGCCGTCCGTCAAAACTATCCGGTATCGAACGATTATAGGCCGCATGCGTGCGGTGCGCCCCGTCGAACTCCCCCGGGAGCGATTCCAAAGCGGAACAATCGTATGTATGGTGACATGACATGGCATGGCATGGCATCAGTACATAGGTCGTGGCTATGTATGTATGTATAATCTACGCCTCGCTATTGCGTCGCAGCAGCGGCAGATCGGATCTGCGAGCGCAATGTAGCCAAGGACGCGGGTTTAGATAAGCTCGATGCGACGGCACCGCACTTGCATGGTACGTACGGCTTGGCTTGGCGGGGATGGGCGTAATTGTGTGTGTATGCATATAGGTACATACATGGTATGTAAGATAGTTGAACTATATATTGGGACGGATCGTTTTGAGTTGGTGTTTTGCGGTTTCGACTACGGTTTGGAGTACGAAGACATAGATTTTTGAATTGTTTCAACTGTTTGAACTATATATAATAGGTATACTATAGGTGTTGCTCTAACTAGGTGTTTGTATGTATATGCATGTATTAGTTCAAACGGCCGATTTAATTGGTTCGTTTCGTATCTTCGTTATACCAGCAAATACAATACTTTATAACTTCGCATGAACGCCATTACCTTGCTAAAATTACCCTTCTTTTTAACCTTCCTTTTGCTACGAATCTCTCATTTTATTCTCCAGCCGCCAATGTATACCCGCCGTCCACCGCAACGGTCTGGCCGTTCAAATACTGGTTAGCGGCAAAGAATAGCACCGCCTGCGCCATGTCATCGTCCTTCCCGGGACGACCAGCCGGCACCTTGCTCTCATACTTTTCCTTCCCGATGTGACTCTTCTGATCTTCATTGCTGGCTTCGGTAGTCACTGCGGCATTTAGTTAGTTCCCGTATCGGATAGTAATGCCTAAGATTGAGACAAGACACAAAAATCAAGAAAAATGACAATGGGGACAGTCACTTACTCTCGCTAGGAAAGACACCCGGGGCAATCGAATTAATACGAATCTCCAGCTTATTAGCCGCCACCTCAGACGCCAACATCCTAGTTAAACGGGCCGCAGCGCCCTTGGACGCATTATACGCAAAGTGGTGCTGCGCGGTCTTAACGAGCCCGCTGATCGACGAGATATTAATCACGGTGCCCGACCAGCCGGGGAAGCGCTCGGACGACTTCTCCAGCAGCGGCAGGAACGCCGTCGTCGCGAAGAAGACCTGCGCGACGTTGGCGCGGTACACGTCCGTCCAGTCCTCCACCGTCGACGTCTCGCTGTCGAACAGGTTCTGCTTCATCTCCCCGGCCGAGCCGGCCTCGGTCTGCATCGTCGCCCCGCTGACGCCCGCGTTGTTGACCAGGATGCACAGGCACGCCTCGCGCGACGATATCTCCTTGGCTAGGTTTGCGATTTGGCTCTTGTCCGTGATGTCGCATGTGATGGGCACGATGGAGTCTTGGCCCTGCGAGTACAGCTCCGCGACGCGGTCGAGCTTCTCCTTGGTCCGCCCCGTGATGTACACTCTGGCGCCGTTGGCGACGAGCGCTTGCGTCGCCATTAACCCGATGCCCGAGCCGCCTCCCGTCACGAGCGCTACGTGCCCCTTTAGGTCGAAGAGCTTGTCGCGGGTGAAGGGCTCGTTGCGGCTGTTGGATGCCATTCTGACTGTCTGAAGTGGATATACTGGTCTAGAGAATTGCAGTTGCGGTGATTGTAAGCAGAATGATGGTGTTGCCCGAAGCGCTGATGAATGATTGAGTAAAGCACCGGCTCGAAGAACGATGCCAGCCAGCGGCTTCTTATGGTGGGAGATGCCTCGGACGACTGGTGAAGTCATGACGTCTCGACGTTTTCATCAAAACCCAAGAGTGCATTTTGGCTGGAGCGAATGGGGATATCCGGTTCTTGTATCGACGGATTGCTACCTTGTTGAATAGCAAACAGAGCTCAAGGTAAGCGAGTCATGACGAAATTCAATGCCTCTTCGTTTTGACTGTTTACATCATTGTGCAGAGCTCCCGGGAGCTTCTCGCGGGGTAATTTCATTGGCTGCCTGGTGGCTATATACCGACAATTTCTACGTCTAGCTTTCATTGTCATTTAATCCTACGCAGATATTATCGATGTCATAACGGTAATTAAATTACTTTCAAAAATAACTACTTGGAAGGATAGCTTCTCCAAGTCAATCAGCAGTTCTTTTCGAAGAGGCCTGTTTCTCAAGTGGTTTCTTTCGAGTCGTTGTGTCAGGGGTAATTTCGTGTAAGAATTACCTAGAAAGCTACCTGACGTACGTATATCTGGCTTAATCGAAGGATATATAGAAACATTCGACTCATCTTAAACCTCGTAGTGCTTACCAAAGTGCATGGAATTTTCAATATTGGTATTTTTTCTTCGATGTCTCTATCACCTATCACCATCCATGATCCGTGTTGTCTAGAGATCGCTATAAAGTATTACGGTCTAAGTCCCCATTACTATTGTTGAATAAATCCGAATACCAGGATAGGAAGCAAGTAGCTTTATCTACAGTTGGGGTGTATAGGGGGCATTGAATTCTGTTGGTTTATAGTGCTTTACCGCGGGATTGAGGTAGGTAATAGATCTTCTGTGTTTAAGGGGGACTAATAGTAATTGATATCAGTTATTTTAACCGTCGCCCCATGGTCATCGTCACCGTTCTCGTCATCGCTTTCTTTCTGGTTCTCTAGGTATCTCCTCGCCCCCCTCATTCGTCTCATCGACAACTTCCGCTTCGATACCTTTTGTTTCGTCGTCGTCCCGTACCTAGCTAAGATCATGTCGAACCTTTGACGATATTAGATCAACCACCAAATGGGCGGAAAGACTGCTATTCGTCTCAACACTTAGTACTGTATCATACTTACGTAGTTGCCTCAAGGCAAATGTGTAGGCGCCCCGGCTCTGCATCTGCTTTATATGCCGTAAGAGGCGGTGGAGAAGCTTGAGTGTCGTTTGAATTTCTGTCTGCTCTGCCCAAATATCGAGTCTCGACTTCTGCGCAGGTTTCTCCTTAGAGTGCCCCGTGAGTTACGACACCTTTTCTCCAAATGGCTCCCAATCGGGCTACTAATGGTTCAACGAAGGTGAAGCCGCTAGCAGAGGCTCTACCCCGGTTCCAACTCAACGCCGAGGACGTCGTGGCGCGTTGGCACAAGAAAACGGCGATCAACAACAGAACCAGAACCAGCGTGCGGTTCTTGTATTAGCCACACAAGTCCAAGGGCTTTGATTGCATGGAATATTCCTTTGGGCGTCATTTCTGGTCTGTGGTTGGCGGATCCGACGATAAGTAGTGCTCGATCAACACCGGGTCGACATGGTCAGGCGCAAGGATATTCTGGATCTGGTACGACCGGAACTCCGTGCTGCGCCAGCCCGAGTTGCTCCTCGGTCACGCCTTAGAAATCGTCTGTGAGCCAATGCGCGAACTCGCCGTGTGTTATAACGACGATATACGCATCGTCTTTCCCAGCCTCGATAGCCTCTCTCGCTAGCGTTAGTAGGTGTCGACGTGCTGATCGCGCCCGTGCCTCGACTTTGGGCACCTGCGGCGCGTAAGGACTATTGTGACCTTTGAGATGCCACTTCTCGTTGAGCCCGTTCAAAGGCTTCGGGTCGTGGGATTTGCTGGCTGCCAATCTCGAGCAGTTCGAGGAGTTCGAGCTGTATATGCCCATTAGGTGATTGCGTACCCATATCGTTACCTGGGTGGTATGTTTGTCCCGGGGCTTGGAGCATCGCGCTGTCTAGATGTACCGAGTCGGCATCGAATCCGCTCACGATTTGCTGTACATCTGAGCGGACAGCCCCATGATTTCCAATTGAGGATTGTAGGTCAATCGAGTCGTTCGGTATGAAGTCTTGCTCTGACGACACCATCGCAGCCCCACCAGCATTTGTTTGACAATTCCTCTGGTGGCCCCGTGGTCTGTCAACACCACGATCGCTTTCTCGCAGGATTGTAGTTGTACCCGGTGTTGTCGGCATGTCCAAACTAAACACACTACTTCCAATTCGGGGTCCTCCAGGTACGGCACAGTGGATGTTTTGCTTGCAAAGACTATCATTCCTCCGTGGCTGACGGTCGCTTTTTGATGATAAACATCGTATGGTGGTCCATTTTTGACAGGATCTTCGTTAGGATGGGCAGTTTCCTAATTCTAATCGTCCTGAACTTTCAGATCCTGCTTAGATATCCCCCCACAGCTATGGGGAGTCGTGAGTGTTTGATATGAATCCTCAATCACCATAGTTAAACCACTAAATTCGTAGGTCATGATACGCTTGAAAGTGTTGAGTTCATTCGGTTTGTTACTTTTAACATCAACACGTGGACTCCAACACCATTGGCGACCATTTTTGTTTAGATGGCGCGTTGCAGCCTCGTAGTAGTTATTGCCGTCGATATGATGGCTGTTGGCTATCTTCATGAATATGGTACCGTCTACTACGTGAATTGTTAGGCATATTCCTTTAGCTTGTTTCTGTTTGCGGTTGAGGTTACTATAAGAGGTACCTACACCTTTCAAAGTGGAAAAGAGACCCCACATCGTATCGACGTCGGTAACGAAGGCTGCTGATTTGATGGGTTTTAATTTTTCAGTTTCCAGAGCTGCTCGGAATAGCCAATCAAATGCAAGGTATAGTCGGTCCATATTATAGTAATCGGGGTTTCCTGGAGGCGAACCCGCTTACTCGACGGCGACCTCGTGGAAGTCTTCCTTATCCTAGGCTTCGGTTTCACGGTGGTTTGGAGGCAACTTTGTACTCTTAGGCAGATGGCCTATATGTGCTATTAGTTGTAGTGTTTTTTTTTTTCTTTTCTTTTTTTTTATAAGAAAGAATGGTGGGGGGGTAAATACTGATAAATTACCTACCAGGAAGAATGAGAATATTTGAACCTGGGACATGGGTTAATATGGTAGGTACTTCGGGTTTGAGAAGAACTTCGTGGGGCATTCCGTAACGGTAAAGAAGCTTTGTTGTGCGTGGAAGTTAACGAGGAAGCATCCTTAATAGTAGGGGAAGGAAGATGACTAGTCGAAGTGAAGGTACACTGGGTCGGCTGGGTCCAAACTCTAGATTCAGTTTCCGCTTCGGTGTCAGTTCGTTCGATACGCTTTCCTCCTAAATGAGTTTGCGATTCGGTGTCCTCTTGCCTTATACGATTCCCAAATTCTGGATGATTTTCGTTCGGGTCAGACGGCTATATCTCATAGCTGGCAAAAGTAAAAGACTCTTGGGATCCGGATTTTGTAATGGTGTTTTGGTTCAAGGGGAAAGCATCTTCCTTGGTCTCTATCAAGGAGATCTGAGGCGCTTTTCTCTTTCTGCTTGGTACGGCCATATTGAAAGTTGATTTGTTAAAGTATCTAGATAGGTATATTTAGTAATGTTGCCTAGACAGGCTGTAGTTTAGGCAGGCTGTAGTTTAGGTAGGTTGTGTTTAGGTAGGTTGTAATGTAGGTAGGTACCTAAGGTAAGTTGTTTTTTGAGTAGGTCCTTGTTTAGATAGGTAAGAATCTTTAAACTATAATTTAAGTCGTTTATTGTTACTACCTCAGGTCAAATTAAGTTTCAGGAAACCACTTTCCAACTATCCGTACCTAAGTATCTTAGATTAGATGTAGGCAGGTACGTACGTAGGGAAAGAGCACTGCATGCAAGCTCAATTACATAATCATAAGAAAAAACGGGATGAAGGGGTTGACCGGTTGCTAGGTCAGTGAGTGACTGGAGTGACAAGTTGTCATGACAGTATCATTTTGCCATGTCCCACCTAGGCTACCTAGGTACCTACCTAAAGTACCTTAGGTATAGTATATACTACAATAAAAAGTATAAAAAATTTTGGTCATCCCACCGCCCTGATGATGGGAGGATGTTCTTCAGATTCCCAAATTGTATTCACACATGGAAGCGATAAGGGCCGTACCTTATACCCTTCAAGTTCTCGCAGGAAAGTGTCGAAAAGTGTGAATACAACCTGAAAACCATCAGAAACTTCTTCCATCATGGGGATTCGAACCCCTCTTCTTTTCAAGCATGTATGGTGGTCCATACGTACTGACTGTTGGTCCTGACCATTGAGCCAACTCCTCTTTGATATCTGTAGCACTGATTTTTTGACTTATGTACTTACTATCTTTTCCGGAATACTGCTGGTTCGAATCCAGCCCCCCGCAATTCTTTTTGGACTGAATTTTGATATATTTGTTTTAATCCCCCCCCCTCCTTTTCTTTTTTCTCGTTTCCCTCTTCGCGCCAACTGAATAAAAAGTCGTCCCCCATCCATTTATCACATGCACACGAGGCTAAAATCAAAAGACATCGTCAATCAATGATGGGTGCTTTTAGGAACCCAGAATGTCAAGTCCCTTTAGCATGTTGTAATGTTTATTCTAGCTCGAGGCCTGGGTCATAAAGTTAGTCGGTGAGCCAAATAACATTTTAACTCCTACTGAGACCTTGACATTTGAATACCCAAAGGTTTAGCAAAAGACCGTGGGTATACTACGATATTTCCTTTTAATGTAACAATCTTTACGTCCCTTATTATGGTAGATCTGCTCCTGAAACTACCCTTAACCTATTATACCTGCCCCTGACACCCATAAACTGCAAATAACAGTGTCATATTAAATGAGTGAGAAATCTATTATAAGTCTTCGAGGCACTAGTAACACTTATAATAGAAATATAGCCAGTAATGTAAGCTGCTAGATATCCAAGTTCGAGATCTACTACGCACGATTAAGAGATCGCCTTACATGGAGGTTCAGCTGATTACGTAATACAGTGAGTGAGCTAAGTTTATGAGGCTAACTAGACCAACCAACCATGACTGTTATGTAAGAAAATAATGCGCTACTATAAAACAAATATTTAAATTCTCATAATTCATGAGCTATTCTCTGACAGTGGTAATAAATTCCTGCGTCTATAGGTTCCTGATAACATTTCCTTCATAACAGCAAGCTGATAAAATATAGAACCCCGAAAAGGATTTGGCTTAATCCTCCTATGAACCATCCACATCGTCTATATTCGTACAATTTACACAGCCATCCGAACCATCGTATCTAAAACACGGTAGGTACAACTTCAAACATCCCCTTTAGTATGTCTCTGTCCCGAGCCGACCGGCATGACGCCTCGCTTCGCGCCTAACCGCTCGTCTTCTTCTTGCATCTTAGTCATGCCTTTCTCTTCCATCCCCTTGTTCCTTAGAAGTGAGCCTGTGGCAGCTTGCATGCTTCCGATGCTTCCGTTGACGGCGCCGCTTGCGTCGCCTTTGAGCTTCTGGCCGACACTTGCGGACGGGTTGGTGGTAGGATCGGAGGAGGTGACTACAGAGCCGTCGGTGGTAATGGTGCTCTTTCCAGCTCCTGATGACTGGATTTGCGCCTCTCTCTGGAGGTCGTTGGTTGGGTTTCCGTTGGAAGCCATTGTGCTAATAGTATTAAACTGTTTATCCTTTAGGCAATATATTTGTAGATGTAATAATAGCTTCGAAGGATCAGCCTTATCTTTCTAGTAGAGATGTCCGTAGCGTGGAAGTAGTTAAATTGTGCTCATGCTCTGATCCATGCTTTATTTATTGTATTTTATTCTCGATACATTTCCACACGTTGACGTCATGTTGCTGCATGAATCCGAGTGACGTCACATCTTGGTTTGTCGAAGCCGCTGACCTCAACCGCCTAATATACTGGCCCATTGCCTTGGGTACCTAATATTTGAAAGACGGTCTTGTTTGGTTCAGGCTGTTGAATTATCTTTTAAATATTATTACTTCTGTCAACATTTTTTACTGCATCAAATGGTTAGTAGAGGCAGACACTCTTGTTGCGATTGATACGCGAAAGATCAATTAGGTACATAGGTACGTGTATGTACCAAACCATTATCGGTATTATGTACGCAATCGTAGTGAGCCACAATCTTCAGGATTGAACGAGCAGAGGCGAAAGAAACCATGGTTGAACAAATTCTTATAAAGATTACTGGTAGGTTACTCAATTACTTCTCAGGATTATTGAAACCCATCACGGAGGTAAATTTCGAAAGCCTACGTGGTTGAGTACCTAGGTAAGTAGGTAGGAATACTTCGGTGGCTGTCTCACTTATCGTGTAAGAGGTAAGCTGATCCGTGTTTCGTACCACAAATATGACAATCTTACTCCTAAGACGTGTTATAAAACGGACAGACATCCAGCTTGTCCAGCAGTTTTTACCTAGTAGATATTACATTTCAAATTCTTAATTTAACTCAACCGCGATGAGTAAATTATCAACTGAAGACCTCCGCTTTCGCCTCCAGGTCTCCTCTCGCATAACATATTTCCTTCTCCAAGTTATCCAGTGGTTGATTCTAAATCACTACGTTTTCCCACAGCTGTCGAATTCTGCGCCGTTGCGAGAGGGATTAATATCCGGCGCTGCATCTATAGTATCTTACGTTTTGTATTCCTGGCTTATAGGATTTGAATACGGTGACAAAGAACGGTACTTTACCTTCGTTACGACAATTGCTGTCATGCTCATGATGCGCTTTATTTTCCTTACATAAGCTTCAAGTTACGGCCATTCGCGGGTTATGATTGCTTAGAAAAGGCTTATGAGGCTTATCAACGGAAGGTAGTTGTTAGGTATGACCAGGAAATGGGCAAGTATGTTGCCGTATAAGGACTCTTGGTTCCCGAGTGCTGATTGAATTCTAGATAGCTTTTACTATGGCTTTCAAGACTATGGTTTACTTGATCGAGATGTTAGAAACAAAGGAACTACGTTTGTGTATAGGTACCTACCGATAGTTTAGTTTTGAATTACTAAAACTTGACTACGTTTTAATGAACACTTAGAGAGACATGAGCTAACCCTACGTTGTAAAATCAGTCTGACCAAGTCTGGGCTGGTTTATCCCGTTTAAGATCTTACCTGGTGAATAATAGCACCATCCTGATCTAACTCACGATGTATCCCCGCTCAAAATGTACGTGGAAACAATTTTCCTTATAGTTTCGTCGGATTCGAGCCCATCCCCCTCCCCAGCGGCGCCATAGTGACTTGCGGGCCTGTTAAAGTAGGAGTTGTTAATCAATTCCATCAGCTCATCCAACGTTGGTCTATTGAGAGGGTCAACAGCAACACACCTTTGGACTAGCAACCGAAGGTCTGGATCCAGGCTGGGATGGACGTTGGGGTCCCGGATTAATGCACGAGCTCCGTTAGGGAAAACTTCCCCACGTTGAGCAATTATTTGGCTCATATTCTATCGTTTTGTATAGTTAGTTTCAACGACGCGATTGGTATGAGGGCAGGGAGGGTGACTTACAACTCCTACGTCTAATATGTTCTTGTCTGTGCCCCGATTACGCCTGCTATATCTGTCTAGTCGACTGTAGATTATATTAGTAATGATGATCCACGATGACTACAATCGTTTCATATACTTACTATGCTTCTAAATTCAGTACCCTATCGTGCTGGTTAACATTGTTCTCGTTTAAACGGGATTCATCAGCCCCTGCAGGTAACTCAACCGACTCACCAAAGTCGATTAGTTTCAATACCGGCACGAGGGAATGGTCGCTCGAGTCTAGGTCTCCAAAGACAACTATGAAAAAAAAAATTAGCTATGAGCTTAATAAAACCAAATACAATGAAGGGCAACTCACGGTTTTCGTCATGCATATCGTTATGTGCGAGTGTCGTCGGATCGCCTGATCTAGTTTGCTCTGGCCCTACATCTGGACCGGGTGGAGGCCAGGCCATTCCTATACATGCACGTATTACTATACACCGGTTAGCTTATGCTGACAACAATTCGGGGTCAACCTTACAGCAGAGGAATATAGACCATAGAATACGATTCGGTAAGATTTGGTCTGCTCTTCTTAATCTCTCCTGGAATCGGTTTAAAGTCCCGTGCTCCATATACTCAGAGACGAAAAGGGGAACCCCAAGGTTCATAAGTGGATGGTCTTGGAATGAGATAATACGAGGTATGTGCTCTGCGAGGGCTAGACTCTACGATAAAATTAGTAAAGAGCATTATGCAAGGATTAGTTATTTGAGTTTAATAGACTTACATTTAAGTACCGCGTCTCCTTTCTCACGCTATGATGGGCGCCGGTGATTCCAGCTTTAACAACAAATCTTCGTACTCTTGGTTGTCCTTCCACGGTATACTCTTCCTTGATAATCATCGCTGCGCCGTTATGAATATCTCCGAGTGGTCTTTCGCACGTAAAACGATCATCGTTTTTAAACGCGTCCCTGATTGCGTTAAGAGTTCTTTCGCTCTCTTCTTCTTCCGGACTCTTCTGGGTTTCCCAACTCCCGACTCCTCCCCAGGGAGTACCTCCGCGAGCGTTGCCCCAAGGATACATAGTTATCAGCTGTTCGAATTTGTCAATAAATTAATGAGAACCCTATAACTTGATTAAGCAACGTAAATTCAACTCGCGTCACTTGCAGTTATGAATTATGGACGCCCACAGGTTTATACGGCCTTGTCCTACCTAGTGTCCTACTTATCCTTTACAATACAATAGACTTGTTCTGTAACAAAGCAATCATTATACTTAATTAATAGCATTTACTTCTTGCTAGTACAAAGTCTTTGTTTAATTATCCAAATACTTAGGTAGTATCTACTTTGGCACTGAAGCATGAACCGGAGAATCTTGCCTATTATTTCCTACAATATTTAGTTACCCATGCCGTATCACAGTAAGATTCATAGTATAGAAGAAAGAGCTGTAAAAGAACCGCTTTATCATAGGAAGTGAGCATTTGGTTGTTAAACGTGACTATTAATGTCTTCGTCTTGTTCTACTAGATATAATACCTAATTTTCAATCAAGGTGACTCGAACCTTTGTTTGTCTCTTCAACTTAGAGAGTCGTAGTTTGGATGCAACCAATCCTTCTATTAATAGCAATCATCAATTCTCCTTATAATAAAATCATATCTATTTTCTTAATATCAACCACTATGGTCCTCCCGCCGCTTAGTTAACCATTCACACGCATGCTGCTATCTCCCTAGCTAATGTGGAGATTACCTCATATGATCTAATCCCTGTTATAATCGTAACATTTAACGTGATATTCCCACCAATGGTAGGCTAAATGGAGACGTTTAAGCAAAAAGAAATCCGTCCTCTCGTAGCTTGCTTTCCGGCTATTCGACTAGAAATAACCCGGGCCCCGAGGAATTGGTATCCAAATTCGGCTCTCTACGGATGCTACCTAGACTAGGATTCTTTCAAGGTCCATTTCTTGGGTTCCTCGGCGCCGTAGCTGTTGCGGTCTAGTTTCTCACCGAGAATGGAGTCCCGGTTTCTCTGTGCGGAGCAAGCTCCTACTCTATAACTAAAAGTCGAAGGTAGGTCAATTGGTTTTATCGTCCACGCATATTGCAACATGGCGCCACTTGCGCGAACGATGTACAATGCTTGCGGGTTGCTCCTATCGGGACTCCTGCTGCTAGGATATCCTCCGGCTACCGAAGCAGGTGTCGTTAGGAGACTTCTTAACGAGTATCAACCTGCCTCAGGAGGCCGTGAGCGTGTTAGCGTTAACGATGACTGGCGCTTTTCTCGTTTTGAGTCAAATCCGGATTCACTGTCATATGACACACTGAAGGAATGGATTCTCCCTTCCGGCAACGACTTCATCGTCAACGGTGCCAAGCATGAACGTCCTGAGAAAACCGCTCCGGGCGGCGACGTCAAATATGTGCAAGCGTCATTCGATGATAGCGAGTGGGAGACTGTCAATGTTCCGCACGACTGGGCCATCAAAGGTCCTTTCCATGCCCCGGGAATTCCGAACAGCATGGGTGCTTTGCCTATCAACGGCGTAGGATGGTATCGTCGCAACCTGACAATATCACCAAACGACGCCACCAAGTCTATCTTCCTGGATATCGACGGCGCCATGTCCAATTCCGCAGTGTGGATTAACGGTCAAATTATTGGTGGATGGCCTTACGGGTACAATTCTTTCCGCTTGGACCTCACCCCGTACGTAAGAGCTGGGGAGAACCTGCTGGCGATCCGAATCGATAACCCTTTGAACTTCTCACGCTGGTACCCTGGCGCTGGCCTCTACCGCAATATTTGGCTTGTAAAGGTTGACCAGACGCATATTGGCCAATACGGCACGTATATTACGACACCAGTCGTGACTTCAGAATCGGCCGATGTCGACCTGACTGTTGAGATTGAAAATAAGGGAAATTCCAGTCGCCAGGTAGAGGTGAAGACCGACATCTACGTCCTTGACGCGGAAACAGGGAAAGCTGGAGCAGACGTGATCGCATCCTTCCCACAGTCAACTGCAAACGTAGCAGCTAGCAGCAAAAAGTCCGTGAATGCTTCGGTGACGGTAGACAATCCGCGACTCTGGGGACCTAAGCCGGATCAAGAACCTAACCTATACGTCGCCGTTACGAAGCTTCTTTCTAATGGTACCGTTATCGACACCTACGAGACGCGCTTTGGTATCCGATCTATTACCTATGACGCTAACACGGGAATTCATGTAAACGGCAAGAGGGTTTACATCCAAGGCACCAACAACCACCACGACCACGGCTCGATCGGCGCCGGGTTCCACCTCAGAGCAGCCGAGCGTCAGCTGGATCTACTACAGGAGATGGGCTGCAATGCGCTTCGGATGTCTCACAACCCACCTGCCCCTGAGCTGCTTGACTTGACGGATACGTACGGCTTTTTGGTCCTGGACGAAATCTTCGACGTCTGGAAGCAGGAAAAGATCGAGGATGACTATCACGTATATTTCGAGGAGTGGCACGAGCCGGATATCCGCACCTTCATCCGACGTGACCGCAACCGTAAGTACCGCCTAGAAGCACTTTTCAATCCAAAAGCTTTTATCTTACTTATGTAAAGAGGTCACGACAACTTGGCTGACGATTACCTATTTTATCTTAGACCCCTCCATCATAGCCTGGAGCTTCGGCAACGAAATCGTCGAGCAATCGACCCCTTCCGGCGGCGTAATAGCCCGCGAACTGCACAGCATCATGGAGGAAGAGGACCCGACGCGACAAATCAGCGCCGGCATCAACAACGCCAAGGCTGGCAGCGAGTTCTCCGACGCCGTCGATATCCCCGGCATGAACTACCAGGGCGAGGGCCGCGGCACATCGTTCGACTCGGCGTACCCGAGCTACCACTCTACGTACCCCGGAAAGGCCCTTTGGAGTACCGAGAGCTCGTCGGGCGTCAGCTCGCGCGGGACCTACGTATTCCCGGTGACGAGCGCTAATAGCACGACCGTCGGCAACGGCTCGGGTTCGGACCCTACGACGCTATTTGTTAGCGCGTACGAGCTCTACGCTGTCTCCTGGGGTTCGTCGCCGGACAAGGTGTTTGGGATGCAGGATAGGTTCCCCTATGTTGCGGGCGAGTTCGTGTGGACTGGGTGGGACTATCTGGGCGAGCCATCGCCTTTTGACACTGAGGCCCGTAGTTCTTACTACGGGATTATTGATCTTGCCGGGTTTAAGAAGGACCGTTTCTACCTATATCAAGCCCGTTGGCGCCCTGATTTGGTAAGTACATAATATTTCTGCTTGGCCTTGGTGTTCGTTAGGTATGATTTTTTTCCCTGTGATACATGAACTAATCGATTGGTAGTACGTAAAGCAAGCTCCTCAATATCCCCTAAAAGATTCATGTGTTGCCGCTTATCACAACAAGCTGGCAAACACATAATAAGTCCTCTATGTAATATACCCTCCTTGATCGAGTAGCGACTAACATATAACCAGCCCTATGGCGCACATCCTACCTCACTGGACCTGGCCCAGCCGCGTCGGCGAAGTAACTCCAGTCCACGTTTTCTCAGGCGCCGACTCGGCCGAACTATTCGTCAACGGAAAGTCCGCCGGTAGACTCCAAAGGGAGCCGTCGAACTACCGCTTCCGATGGGATAACGTCACCTATGCGCCGGGCGAGCTCCACGTCGTCGCATATAAAGACGGTGCTAAATGGGCCGATGACACGGTGAAGACGGCTACCGAGCCCGCGAAGCTAAATATCACGGCGGACCGTACGACTATTCGCGGGGATGGCCACGACCTGTCGTTTATCACCGTTGCTGTTGCCGACGAGAGCGGCACGACTGTGCCTGAGGCTAGCAACGCCATCACGTTCTCTATTTCTGGCCCTGCCGAGATCCTGTCAACCGACAATGGTAACCCCGCCGACTTCACCGCGTTCCCGAGCTTGACGCGCGACGCCTTTAGCGGGCTTGCCCTTGCTGTTGTTCGTTCGGAGTCTGGGGGCTCTGGGGATATTACTGTTCGTGCGGAGGCGGAGGGACTTAAGGGGGCGGAGATAGTGTTGGAGGCCGTGTAGGTGGAAAGGGGGTCCATAGGTAGTATCTAAGTATAGGCTGGACTAGTTAACGAAAATAATTCATCTTCTTTGCCATATATTCTCGTCTGGCTTAACGAAACCGTCCCTTTTAACCCTAGGGACATGTTTATGTGGTTGAATATCATATTCTCAGTTACTTAATTAAAATCCTGCTGTAGCTATATCAATCCATGATCAATCCTTCACGAAGCCCTTCGCACAAGCCTTCACACTGTCCTCAAGACTAGTCCATCCATCCTGACCCAAGCCTCGCAGCAATTCCTCAGCCCTCTTATTCGGCACTTCCGTCTGATCCCACCCGTCATCCTCCAAGACCGGGATATCCTTCTGCGGATACAGCTTCTTCAGGATCTGGGCAATCCTAGGCCAGCTATACCGGTCGCTCCACGGATAAAGCCTCTCCCTGTCTACGCCTGGGGTGATCAGGGCCGCTACGTAGAGCAAGCCGGTGTCGCGTGTGTCGGAAACCCATTGGGGCGGGAGCATTTTTAGAACGTCTAGGTTTTTGCCCTCGTAGAGATCCTTCACCATGCCGCATGTGCTTATGATGCCTTGGTGCTCGGGGTCTAGGCATTCGCCGATGACCGTTTGGGGGAGAATCGTGTTGAAGGTGAAAGAGGGGTTCTCTCTTTTGACCCAATCCCAAATCCACTGCTCGAGTAGAGTTTTGAATGCCATGTACGGCCGGATTCCTTTCTCCTCGGGAGTAGCGTCGCTCCTGACTATTCTCACGGCATCATCATTCCAGGTCCATTCCGTCAATTTGATCTTCTTGGTTTGATCCGGGGTCCACGACGCCCACGAACTACTCGTATAGATAAATGCCTTGACTGTAGGTTCATTCTTTGCCGCCTGCAGGAGCGCTTCATTCCACGGTATCTCTTCTTCAAGTGACTTGTCGATATCTGGAACTATTAGGCCTACACCACCAGCCACGGCTACAACGGCAGCGACTCCTTTGACAGCGTCATTCCACGCCCCGGGTGCACCGAAGTCCGAGACCTGCACGATTTCTAATTGACTTGATGGATGGCGTGATGCGAATAACGGTACCATCCACGTGCACTTTGAGGGGTTGCGAACGGTGCCCCGGACATTATAACCCGCTTCTAGGAGTCTATCAACGGCATGAGAAGCAATTAAACCATTGGCGCCGGTAACGAGAACGGTAGAACCCTGAGGGATTGTCGGGTTGGCGAATGTAGGCTTTATCATTTTGGTGTATGGACGGAAAGAAAGTTTATAGTTGAGCAAGACTTATACTGATGTGTGCCATGACGGAGTTTATGTATTGTACGTCTGTTGCGTCTCTCGGAGTCATCCGCCCCTACATCTCTAAGTACATGTTACATCGAGTATTTCTAATCACTCGGGGTCTACCAGCGAACATTATCGTTCCGATAATAATTTCTTGATCATTCAGGTTTGTTTTTAATACATTGTGTACCTAAAGCAAAGAACATTTACGTTATGGGCTTTCTGTAAGTGGAGCTATCCGCGGGATTGGGGGCTTGGACCTTCGGAACTCCGAGACGCCGTAGTATTTATTCGTAACTAAGCACTTCTTGTCTTAGGTATAGCATCCAATCAGGTATGATCTTAATCAAAAAAGTTTAAGGCGCAATATTCTTTCGGAAAGATCCCAACTCCAAATGTTCATGTCTCCGATATTGTTATAGTCGCGAGACCCGCCTATTTCCGTGATAAGTCCTATTACCTCCATATTCTAGTTCCTTCTTCGGCCCGAGTAACAAGAACGGACAGACGGAGCAAGCATCGGGGCCATCTAGCTCCGGCGCGGCGCTTATAAATGCATCCACTCGCCTATTATAACTAACGTGCGCGGTTAATAAGTTGGTCGTCAGAGTACCTAATGTACTTGTGCTGTCTACGCATATACTCGACAACCGCCCCCTTCGGGTGCTGCGCTTTAATTAAGGATTAGCCCTGTAATTGGGGATAGCGTACAAGGATAAGGGCGAATAAGAGGCTATTCCCACCTTCATTAAATCCTGAAAAGGAAACAATATTTTCATAATATCACGAAATATTATGAAAATGGATGGATGTTTGAAAATACTTTTAGAATATATGGGAAGCCCTCCCATTCGGAAGTACTTCGGATCAATCCCGAATTACAGGGCCAATCCTTAATTAAAGCGCAGCACCCTTTAGGGTGCGGTCGTCGAGTTTACGTAGACAGCACAAGTACCTAGAAATTATCATTCGTCACTATGAAGTAAATATATACCTTCTACATATATCATACCTAACCCTTTACATCAAAATTCCGATCTAACCATGTACTCAACTCGCTTCCGTTAAACGCCTAATGCGCTATTGTGTTCTTCGCGAATAAACCTCTAAACAAAAGGGAATGTCAAAGTTAAGTAGCTCGCCAATGAGCTTCACTTTTGAGGAATCCTAATCAGCAGAGACCCTATCCCGCTCCCGGCACCCCATTCTCGATGCGCGCTCTGAATATCCTCCAAGTCCCAAAATTTCCTGATTGGGACCTTGATGGTCCCGTCCCTCACCATGTTCAGCAAGGCCGTGAGATGGGGTTTATACGTGGACGATTGACGGGAGATTCCGTAGAAGGTAGTGCGTTTGCCGTTCAGCGGATTCAGACCGCGCGCGATCATTTTGACGATGTGGCACGTTGGGTTCCTATTATGTCCACCGAGCGTTCTCCCGTTGTTTCCGTAGGCGACAAGTATGCCGTCCGGCGTTAGTATGGAGAAGCTTTCGTCAAAGCTCTCGAAGCCGAGTGGGTCGAAGACGGCGTGCGCGCCCCCAATTTCCTTCATCTTGTCTATCCACTTCTTATCCGTGTATACGAACGGCGTGGCGCCGTGTGCGCGGATTTCATCGTGATTGCGCTGGCTAGCCGTGCCGTATACTTCGGCCCCCTTTAAGGTGCAAAGAGTCATGAGAGCCGTACCAACGGACCCGCTGATGCCGTGGATGAAGACTCTTTGACCCTCCGAAACCTTTGCTGAATCCATAACCATGCCGTACGCCGTATTCCAGTCGCACGGCAGCACCGTTGCTTGCTGATGGTCGACGCCATCTGGTACTTTAACGCAATATTTTTCAGGTTGATTGACAAGCTGGGCTTCGGCGTCGTACTTGGATAAGACCGTTACAACATCGCCGGGCTGGAATGCTGTGCAGCCTTCGCCATTGGCGCGGACGGTCCCGACTAAACTATACCCAGGAGTGAAAGGTGGGCTCTTTTGAAAAGGATATATGCCCTTTCGCATGTTGACATCAGCGCCAGTAAAGGCTGCGTATTCAACCGCTATTTGGACATGGCCTGGTGGTGGGGGTGGGCAAACGTCATCAACCACTTTGACAACGTCCACATCACCAAACTCGGCAATAACAACTTTACGGATGGTTGTCATTATTTCTAACGAGGCCGATAGATTGATAAGTTAATGTGTGGGCGGAAATAAAAAATATATGTACTCGAGTCGAATATATAAAGACTTATAAACGGAAGCTAGGTATATATAATCTGATAATTGACTTATTAGGAGATTTGGTGGTGTATGTTAGCTTGGCTGACATGATGAGTAAAAACCTCGACGAGATCACCGCCATATTTATACAAATAGCACTGCAGAGCAGGTCATATGTTCAAGGACACCTATCATGGTAAATAATGCCTGGAAAATGAATCCTCCAGCCGTTTCATCATGCATACCTGCGCCGCGGCTGAATAGCGGCGAGCAAGCATCAATCCAGCCGGTTCGGCGTAGACCAGCCACAAAAACTCGGTTTTCAATCGGCGGTCCACAAATTCGGACGGCATCTTTGGAATCGGAGGATTGAAATGGGGCTTTGCACTTTACCGTCGGGGCAAAGTCCGTCCATCGGAAGATTGCTGATGCGCGTACGAAACACACCTGTTGAATTGATGTAACCTACCTAAGGTAAATGTACCTTAGGTAGTTAATTGAAACTATTTTTAGACTAGTTAACTATATTCAAGAAGCACCATGACGTTGCTTGATTCCATTCAAAATAGCCTCAATAATTTTCGAGGATGCGGCTGTATCGATGAACTCGACTATTCGTGATATCTTCTTGCCGTCTTCCGTAAAGTCGACATACCAGCAGATCTCCAAGGCGATTGGTTCGCGGCCGACAATTTTGGTCCAGTGCTCGACGTGTGCGCTGCCCTGGCGCTTGACGGGGTCGATAACAATCTCTATGATCTTGACCCTCGACTCCTCCATAGCCGCGATCTCCGGTATCATTCGTGCTTCGTACTCCGCGTTCGTCTCTACTGCCTTGATGAAGGGGTAGGCTTTGACGAAGGTGGTAGGTTTTAGATACCGCAAGCATTCTGGTGATAGCAGCGCGGAGAACAGAGAAGCGTCTTTATTCCGAACCGCGACTGTGGTATTTTCGAGGAATCTCGTCAACGTGGATTCCATGACTGTTCGAAGCTCGTCTGTGGAAGAAGCCATTTTGAAGATTAGATACAGCGCTGCCAATAGATAATTTTCAATATAGTAACTAGAATATATCTTTAATAAGAGAAGAGTTGATTTTAGTTCAATTTTACGTTCTGTTTAGATCTTTAACATCTGCTGCTTACATAGTAAGTACCTAGGTACCTCTTATTTTTAACCCCGCATTAAGCTCGACTTTCAATTCTAGTCCCACTCTTATGTACCTATGTATCTTTTCAATCACTAAGCCCAGCGTCTTCGATAAACGCGACAAACACGACAAACACGTACATTCTCCAACTTCTATGCCTGGGTCATATCTTAACTAACATGCGTCTCGACCCAGTGGACAAGTCGTCTGCTTGCCGCATACCGCCTTATGAAAACAGATATTTAATGGTGAAAAGACTAAGAGCATGTTGCTTGCTTGGGTAACAAGTAAACGCTTTATATTTGAAAATTTCCTAGCATCCATACCGCAATGGCTGTCCTACGCCGGATATGCCGCTGCTACAGCATCATATTCCTTCTGCGTTAACGGCGTTACGGAACCATGTTTCAAGCCTGTAGGAAACCCAGACGTGTTCGACCTTTTCCAGCTTCCCGCAGACTTGATGTCCGAGGTTTCGTACGGAATATATTGGGTGTAGTCATCAAGTAGCAGATGGTAGAGACCTGGCGTCACATTGTCGGCGAACGATGCCGGGCCTTCACGTTGAGAGTCTCCTGTGATATGGTCGCCTACATGGGTCCAAGTGCCGAAAAGGCCATCGGAGGTAATGTCTTGGGAGATCGAACTGGTCGTCTCATTCTTGTAGAATCTGGCGAAGGCTCCTGGCGTTCCAAGGTATTGGAATTCTTGGTCTATCAAGGGGGTATCCGCGGGGGCCAGGTAGTCGCCTGGCTCACTAAAGGTGCTGAAGTCTTTCGTAGTTGCGTACCGGATTTTATCAAGTGTAGCTGTTCCTGTATGATTCGTATCCGAAGAGGAGTAGTGTCGTGAAGCCCAGAATAGGTAGTACTGGGAAGTTTCGTCGTCCCATACTGCCGAGGGCGCCCAAACCATGCCTGCAGTATCCTTTTCAACCCTAAAGTAAACGCGTTATTATAATATTCCTGCCTCTATGTAGAAAGGATAATATATACGTTCGAAGTGACGATTCTGACCAATCAACTAGGTTGGACGACTTCCAAACGACAATCCCACGGCTCCCTTGCCTGGTAGCTTTGTCCCATGAAAACCCCGAAGCTTCAACATCGAGGTCTGCGAATTATGTTAGTAGAATAAATATTAAGACATTAATACCTTGAAAGTCTTACCGGTGGCAAGTAAATAATACTCAGACCTGGCAGAATTTGTGGCGAGGAAAATATCTCGGACAGCTTTCGACCCCACTGTTGAAGCTAGCACAGCATTCCCCTTATTCAAGAACTTGAAGCTTGATGCGCTGTTTCCGTTTGAGAGATGGAATTGGATCTTTGGATTAACATCAGAGAAGGTCGAGATAAGGTAACCGACGTAGTTAGAAGCTTGCCGTGGTACCGCAGGACTCGCAACTACAGCACTGGCCAAGGCCGCTACGAGTACGGTGAAAACAGTACGCATGATAGCGATCGATATGTGCTCGTTTACTACTTCAGGGTTTAGAGTGACCTTCCTGCACAATATAGCCGTAGGAACTAATATATACACGACCTCGCCTATGCGAAGACCCCGGAATTTAGCATTGGTTGTTTAATGGACGGGAAAATTAGAGCAATTACATAAACAACATCTAGCTTGATGTTACGATAAACCTGGTTTGGCGTTGGTGTTCCTGACTCCACCACCTTAAATTCGGTATATAAACACAATGCATGCGGAGAACCTGGTCTTCGACATAGGCGCTCCAATCCGATCATGGGTCATATCCTGATTGGGAAAGAAATTCTCAAAGGACTTGGGGCCCAGGGCGGATAGAGCAGCCCAGGGTAGAGCTCTGGATACAAAGACAAATTTACCACTGGTAAGTAACACTAGGCAATTGTTTGGTTTGTAGATAGAAGGAAACATAAGTCCAATATGTGAATACATATTTGTAAGGGAATTTGAATTGGAATACGTTTGTGTATAAGAAGCTACTGCTACCCCGAATGGACCTCGTCCTTTTCGCCTTCAAGCAAGATCTCGTGGCCAGTTCCTTCGTAGACGAGCATCGCAGATGCGCAGCCTAAAGCCGAGACAAATGCAACAGCCCACCAACTCCAACCTACCATCCCCATTTCTAGACCCGACCCATACCACCATCCGCCTACAATGGGTCCAATTGTCCGGAAGCTCGCTGAAACACTTTGTCCAAGGCCGTGAATGAGACCCAATACGCTTGGATGGGGACTGCAGTTGTTTAGCAGTATGATGCTAGCTGGTAACGTGATTGTACGTGCAGTAACTTGGATGAGTTGGATGAAAGTCATGTATATCCATATTGCAGGACCTGAGGCAGGCTCTGGTGGCTCGGAAGATGACGGTATGATGGCGAGATAGGGTGTGAGAAAGTATGCGATAGGAAATAATGGTAAAAACCACTGGAAGCCGCGTAAGGTGCCCAAGCGTGCGTGGACAGGGGGGTAGAAGAAAATCTGAAGGATCATGCCTAGGATTCCTAGGATAGACGTCGCAACGCCAACTGTCGAAGCGGGCATACCGAGGCCACCTGTGAATATCCATGGTAAGGATTGAGATGCAGTCTCATTTAGCGATGAGCGGGGCGAGGAAAGGAAAAGCGTCCATATGTTAGTGAATGCGCCGAGCTGAAAGTCGTAGAATGCTTCCGTTATCAATGTAAAAATGACATTTCGTGTCCATACGCGACTGAAAGGTAGTGTTCGTCCGTTTCCCCTAGGCTCCTGTTTCTCGTACACGGACGGCTCCTCGCTATCTTCACTATACTCAGCTGGGTTGTCTCGTGGATTCCATGGCTGGAGTTTAAGATAGCCGCTCTCTGCGGGAGACTTGAGGAACAAAATGCTCTTTAGACGGGAACCCATATGTAGGCCAATGTCTCTTTTTCCTTTCCTTTCGCGTGAAGTCTATACCGTCTGTCAACTGAAGTTAACAGTAAGATATACGGAACAACTTACCTCTTCGAGAGCAAAGAATACTATTAAACCTGTGATTGCTAAGGTGGCGGCATTAAGGACGCTTGGTAGAGCATAAGGATACTTCTGAATCCAGCCAAAGCTCCAGATAGCACCCTCTTCAAAAAGGCATGGAAGTGATGTTGCGGGATCCGCTAATAGACCTCCCATCACTAGAAGTAACATTAGAACACGATACATTGATAATACTAAGACTTAAAGTAGTAACTTACGGGGTCCTAATATATTTGCTGCACTAAAGCTAATAGGGAGTAGCAAAAAGGCTCGGGACTGGTATTTTCTCTCAACTGTGATCTCTGCGATCATAGTTCGTCTACATAGTAATCAATTAGTAAATCATTTACTGCTGTTCGATATTTGGGTCCCATTTTACTCACGTTATTCCCACGGTACCATTGATGCCACCGCCAGCGGCGCGCCAAAACACAGCCCAGGAAAAACTAGTTGCAAATCCGTAACCTAGACACGAAATTGCTGTTCCGAAGAGTCCAATGAGGAGAACATTCTTTCGTCCACACCAGCTAGCATCCGCAACTCTACCCCAGAGAAACGCAGTGAAAACCTGTGCTCCAGTGAAAGCACCTTGGAGTATGCCTGACTGATTCGATATCTCGGAGTCGGAGAGGGTATTATCAATGGCTTTGAGTTGAAAGAAGACGTAAGCCTGTAGAGACGCCACTTGTAGGAAATCGACTAGGCGACATAGAAAGAGGATTGCCAGTTGGTCTTTGCGAGGGAGGGACATCCAGGATGTGTCATTCGATTCCGTCTTGGAATATTGTGACTCTATGTTATCCCGAGAATACTTATCATTAACCTTAACTAAGGCAGGCATCTCGTCTGAAGTTCTGTATTTGCCATCACTCTTAGCGAATGCCGATACCATCGATGCCATTGTGGCATGTTGCATCGTGACTTGGAATGATGAAGTTGAACTGAGAATATAAATATGAACGTAGAATGAAGCTGAAGAGGATAAATATAAAAATAATTAAAAGGGAATAGAAGATGGACGTCTATAGGAAACTAGAGAGATATTTAGACGTCTTCATAGTTATTATATTCAACATAAGCGCAAATACTAGAATGTTTTGAACTATCGGTTGAAACGAAATGAAGTGACAAAATAAGCGCCGCTACCAGTTATTTTTACTACTTACGAAGTCGTCTGCATCATCGCCAGATATGTAGTAACTACTCTAAGTCTACGTAACAGTATCTTGTTTAAAATAGCAATCGCGGTTAACCTGTCAGTCCAGGATTACAATACAAACCCTTATGGAGCGTTGGACGTGCCGGGATTCGTAGGGCAAAAAAGGGGGGCGTGGAGCCCGCGCCTAGAGTGGAAATTGATCTTACGGGCCGCGTGTCAACGTAATGCTGGATCGCACAGTGGAGACTACCACTCACGAATACGTATGTAGTATTAGCCAACCCAGCCCGAGGCTCATGTTATTTTTCGTCAGCAGTCTTTCGAAACACAATTTATGACACTTACGAAATATGCTTAGAGCATCCCTTAGAATGTCCTTGAGCGTAGCCGAGCTAGATCTAAGTGGGATCGGCTAGTATACGTACTTGTATGATACGTAGTCTGGGCCGCAGCAGGAGTTGCTATTCGTGATAAGTTTAAGGGATGTATGTTCATTATGTGGGATATTCCCAGGGTATCCGTTACCTTACATACTTCTCACATTCTTTTGATACTATGAATTTGATACCGACGTTGAATACCCGGTAGCTCAACACCATGATGCTGTCATCGTGGACTTCCTTTCTTGCTCTTATTTGCGCTGTCAACGGGATACCATCGAGGCCTTCTGATGGTTCGTATGATTTTGGCTATGAACGCAATGCCTACGGGCCGCATCCGTTAACAGTGTTCAAGTCTGCCACTCAACTAGAAGTACCTAAGCTCGATGTATTACAATCAAGCGAAGCATGCGACTCGTCGCTGTACACTCTTCTAACTCCCCGAGGTGGTGCTACTCGTGAACCTCAAGCGACTATTCTCGACAGCAACGGTGATTTAATATGGACATCTGGGTGGAATGGACAACAGCTGTATAACTTAATGGTGCAAGAATACAAGGGGGAGAAGTATTTGACCTTCTGGGCTGGAAACGATGCAGTCGGCGGACATGGTGCTGGCACTATCATAATGGTATGATACACACTACCTTAATCGAGTTCCTTTATACACCGCCCTTACTGACAGGAACTAGTTGGATAAAACATATTCCTTATTTAGAGAAGTAAGGGCGGCCTATGGGCTCGATGCAGATTTACACGACTTCCGAATCACTGAAGCCGGAACTGCCCTAATTACAGTATACAATGTGGTCCAACGAGATCTTACCGAAGTTGGAAAGGCTCATATCGGACCAGTGTGGGATTGTGTGATTCAAGAAATCGATCTTGAGACAGGGTTGGCCGTATTTCAATGGCAGGCGATAGACCATTGGAACTTGACCGACAGTTACAGAGAGATCGGTGGTGACGGAGAGGGCGACCGCGCGTACGACTTCTTCCATATGAACAGTATCGACAAAGACTCGAGGGGAAATTACCTCACTTCAAGTCGCTACATGCACAGTCTGACATATATCAACGGCACCACCGGCGAAGTAATATGGATTCTTGGTGGCAAGAGGAACATGTTCCAAGACCTTTCGGATGGCGCTGCGACGAACTTCGCTTACCAGCATGACGCGCGATGGTCTAGTGAAGATACAATCACCATCTTCGACAACGGAGTTGACGATGTCCATCGCGACAGAGCAGCAACCCGCGGTCTAAAACTCAAAATTGACGAAAAGGCCATGACTGTGTCTGTTGTTGCGCAATATTTCAACCCACACAAGATCCACGGTATATCTCAGGGGTCTTTCCAATCACTTCCCAACGGAAACGTGCTTCTCGGCTACGGCAATTCTGCAGCATTTACAGAGTTCGCTAGCAACGGCGACGTCCTCTGCGACACGCACTTCGGGCCCGAGAGCAGGTTTGGGACGGCGGAAGTCCAGTCTTACCGGGTGTATAAGTACGAATGGCACGGAATGCCGAAGACAAGTCCCACATCAGCTATTCGAAAGAATAGTGGACGGAATTTGAGCTTCTACGTTAGTTGGAATGGAGCAACTGAAGTCTCTCAATGGATTCTCCAGGGGTCTGAGGACTTTGACACCGATGGAAATTGGAAAGAGTTAAATCGAACGGAGCGTCTGGGATTCGAGACGGAATTCGAAATATTTAAACCGTATCCCCGGTATTTGAGAGCTGCCGCAGTGCATGCTGATGGATATATGCTGGGTGTTAGCGAACCCAGTGATATAGAACAGATGGAAGAGCAGGTAAGATTTCATGCCCCCACACGCACACGTTCAAGCTGCTAACATATCATAGTTAAAACATACTGGTGTATTAAGTTACATAGATGGTGAAAATCTGCCAACTCAGCTTGTATTAATAGCCGGCTGTGCTCTCGTCATAGCTGTTGGTTTGCGGATGGGGATCATGGCTTGGAATAATAGGCCGACAATGTACTGGCGATTGCCAACTGGACCAAATTAGAATTTTTATGTATATAATAACATCTATGTTCTTTCACGAAATTTTACATTATTATTAAGTTCCAATAATGACAACGCACGCATCTAGGATCATGTCATATATGACTATCTGTCCGATATAAATATAAAGCATTATAGAATAAAATCTATTACCAAATAGCCTTTTAGTGGTATAGCGGTTTGTTCGACAGATCATCTCGTGGCAATTTGTAGGACACAGTGCCCATGACGGGGACGAACTTAAACTCCTTGGCAGGAATTCTACTAGCACTTATATCATCTAATACCGAAGATAGACATTTTGATAGATAAAAAGAGACATTCTTAAATATGGAACTATGTAAGTATATCGCGGAACTCCCTAGCCAATCTTCGTCCGTTGGACTCTGCAACCATGATATGTTGAATGAAGAATTAACGCCATAACGCCCCTATCTACATCTTAAATCTGGAGGTTGTATAAGAAGCCAAGTTAAAACATGTTCCACTGAATGCGGAATACCAAATACCACGCCAACCCAATTATCAACAGTATCTCCACAACCTGCGCCGCAACATTAAGCATCTGACATCTATTCCTCCAGCGCGATCGCGACACAAAGTCCTTATTGTCGTTGACATTTGGAAAGGGGCAGTCCCTCGGTATGTCTTCGCCGAGGAATTTGCATAGTGGCTCCCAGCCGTCGGTGACTCTATACTCAAGGAGCTTCTCCTTGGGCACCATAGCCTTGACTTCGGCATAATGACGTGCGAAAATTGCCTTCCCTTTCTCCGGGAAGTTCCCTTCGAAAAACGTATCGAAGAACTTCTTCAGCATCGGATAGTACATGCTAGCGGCCCAGCTGAAGCGAGACAAGATGCGAAGCTCGGGGTCGGTCACTCGCCAGTACACCGTTCGCATTGTCGATGCATGCCACGAGTCGACGTCGCGTCCTGTAAGTATAACCTTCGCCTCGGGGTACGCTTCGATGAGCTCCTTTGCGAACGCACAGGCGGGCCAGTCGCATACTGCTTGTGCGCCACCGAGGAGCTTATCCCAGTCTTTACGGGTGAATGGTTCGCCGACGCCGTCGTATTTAGCCCGTAGCGCGTCCATCCATAGAAGAGCATCAGGCGGGTTTTCGATAGAGCAGTTCATCATGTGGTAGGTGTCGACATATCCAAGTCTTTTCATTGCGGCTTTTATAGCTGTTTTAAAGTCAATAAACTTACTTCTTGAGGGCTCGTTCTAGTATTTGAGAAACACTTACATGTAGTTCCTGTTCTTCCACATCCCAGTATAAGGACCTTCATTGGAACAGTCCGGGTACATTGTCGCCGATCTATATCAGTATCGCGAGTAAAGATGTCTGTGACTGGCTTCGGGGTGTATTTTGACGCGTAGGACATTTTGATAGAGTCAATAACAATCTAATAGATCAAGGAAAGGTCGAAGACTAGCTAAGCGTCAAGTAGAAAGAAATATGCGGTAATAATGGATAAGCAAGACGTTATAAGCGGCAGAAATCCCAATAACAAAGATGGTAATAACAGCGTCTAAATAAGAAATGCAATTTTAGAGTGTCTAAGATTATACTAAATTGAGTCTCGAGCCAGACTTTTTTATACATTAGTATGTACGTCTATTCCCCCTTTTCATAGGGTCAGGATTCTAGATGAGATATTCTAGAACAAAGGACATGTTACTATGTATACGAGCCGTAGTTTCGATAGTTAGATAGATCTCCTCGCGGAACAACGAATTTGTTTCCATGCTGTTTTGTTCCACCTCATGACGTAGAGAAACCCCCTGAAAGAGGGCCATTCCCTGATCTAACATCAGACCTCGGTAGCCTATCACTAGGTAATTCAGCCGCCCATGTAAAGAGAACTACGACTACAGTACAGGATAGACCCAGTTTAGCTGTCTAATGTCTACTCTTAACCCGCACCAAGTAAGTGGCTAGGTAGATGAAAAGCCACGCGTGCATAATGCCCTCGGTTATATCCAGTCGTAGCTAAATCGCAAAGCCTCAATACCTACGACTCTGCTTAACCAGTCTAAGATTCATGTCCATTATTTTTAGCTACAGCCCTATCCACAAGGAATTACAGGTCGACGAGATAGACGATCACGCTAGTATCTGTCGGGTTCGAAACTCCACTTAAAACGCCATTACGCGGCAAGTTCAAGGAATTTCTATCATACGCAGCGATGACGAATTAGTCATTTCCAAGATGAAACAACATTATCGATATATCGAATTTATCAATATTTTAATGAGTTGGTTTATCAAGACTAAAGGACGCGTAATTTCAGTGAACCCGCGTTAATCCCGTGTTTGATCAAGTTAAACTGTTGGCGGAGACTTAAGGACGTTGTTAACTCTAGCGTCATTAGTCTCTACAACTTGACATTGCGATACGCGAAACTCATAATAACAATCCTTTTCGCTCTAGAAACTAAGATCGTAGTATTAGTTAGTTGGTTATGACACTAAGGGGTAAAAGTTGTATTGTAGCGCAAGACTTGTAGTCCAACCAATTTCTGAATTTTTCCATGAGATCCATTAGCTTACGCGTACTCTTTGCAAGCCATATTTTACATGGATCACCATTCGTACAGAGCTCGCAATATTATAATAGTGGTTACAACATCGATAGTAACTATTGCAACATTAGTATGCATGGAGTACGCATATTCGTAAGACACTATGATTAGGTAGTCTCTCGCTGGCAATCGTCCGTCCCAGCCGGCGCAAGGGTACACGGCGGGCTTCCGGCGGCGCTCCACATCCTCAATATCTAGGTACGGATTAAATGGCAAGGATTAACCCCCGGTCTTGGCCGCCCCACGGTCACTACTCCTTGTCTCCTCGGCCGGTATGTAATTGGGAGCGGAACCGCCATGGCCTCCGTCAAGACAGCATCCGAATGGTACGTGTACACTCTATCGAGATAAAAGTACGCACATCGAAGTATTCCACATTCCATGTCCGGAACTTGATCAACTTATCTTATATTTAAACAATGACTATATCCCGCTTAATGCGGACTTACCTAATACTCAGTTCCCCATTCCCATCATCTTCGGTGCTGCATATAGAAGACACTCAATCACGTTACGGATAGTGAACCTACCGCCCATAGCGCAGACATCCCCTATATTATCCATGAGACTTTATATTGTAGTTTGGTTGGCAATGCGAAACTTTGAACGCGATAATTGTGGTAATTCAGCCGCATGTGTATCCTCCCTGATTATAAGGTAGGTAATAACCAAAGGAAAGTCGATCTCTCATTTTACAAAAGCTCTCAGGTATCTCGTATAATTACAATTTATACAGCGATCACGGTCGTCGTTATATCTATAGAGTTGTTAATATGATAGTGTCTAATTGATATAGTTATTTATTATTCATCGAAACATAGGTAATGGCGCATTCCTACTTTCTTATATAGAGGGTTTTATTATTGAATACCGTACTATAGTTTCAATAAAATACCGGACTTCGTCCTGGATTAACGAGTTATGGATTTCTCTTGGGAGAACCGAATCGGGTGGTCCAAGCGTCTTTGACAATCAACCCTTTACCCCTTACCCCTATTTCTATAATTCAAATAACCAAACACAAAAAGCTAGGTGCTACATTGGTGGGCGAGCGACAACTAGAGTAGACACTCTACTACTTTTAAAACTTATAACTATAAATGTAATGGCGGCTTATATCTCCCTCATGTCTATATTCATGATAGCAATCGAACGACACCCTTTTGTTTTTAGGAGATACGAGATTTGGCGATACCGGCCCGTCCTACCCATGCTAACGGGTACGAATGGTTGATTGGGGAAGGTTACAAGGATCACACTCAACCCGCTTCCGGAAGGTAGATTTTTCCACGCATGGCAAAATACCGACCGTATGTGGTGAGCTTTGCGATAGCGAATATATAAACGACAGGTCGTGTTCAATCCGATTGTCAGTGAGCTTTATCTCCCCTCGCCTGCTAGGAACCCCGCAATGAATACCGTCAAGAGCTTCCTCCTCCAAGCCGCGATCACTAGTGTCGCTCTTGGGCAGTTCTGCGAACATCAGTGGGAGGGGAAATTCGCAGACCATGAGGTAGATGGCGTCCCGTATCTACAAGCGAGGCAGAATGTCGCTCCGCCTCCATTAGAGATTCGACCCCTCATCGTGAATGGTCCGTCAAGCAATCGTGTCGATCTCATTTTCTTCGGTGACGGATGTACGTACTTGTATAAAAGATTACCTATATACCTACTAGGTATAGGACTTATAAAGGTCTCCCGAACTGACTTAGTACTGTAATCGGATAGATACCGAAGATGAAAAGGACAAGTTCTTCGCCGATGCTCTGTTTCTCGCAAATAACATTACTGACGGACAGACATTTGTCGATGTGCTTCCCGTATTGAACTTCTGGGCTGGATTTTCACCAAGCAACGAGGTGGGAGGTGTCCCTTCTAATATACTTGATAAAATATTTCGTTTGCCTGACGTTTTAAAAGAGTGGCGTTGGTACTGGTGGAAAGCCCCTGGAGTAAGTACCCCCTTTTTACGCAAAATTCATGCTGACCTTCTTGCTTACCGATGCATTCCAATAGCACCGTCTATGGACTTTACCGCGATGGTACTGAGCTTCGTGGTGTATACTACGATAAACCCGAAGTAGCACGCGCTGCCTGTCAGTCAACAGACGCATGCGATTTGCCCATTCTTCTTGGGAACGACCCATTGTACGGGGGACTAGGGGGCACGTTCACGTGAGCCTTACAATATATCGTATTTGTTCGTCGCTCAAACTTCTAGCGTTACAACCTCCTCGCCTAATAATGGACCTGTAATTATTCGTCACGAGTTAGGCCACTCGATCATTGGCGTAGGCGAAGAGTATGACGGCGGCGAAGTTTACACTGGCGTTAATGCGGCAAAATCCACCAACTCGGTGCCCTGGACGCAGTGGTATACAAATGCGTCTACCGAGCCTAAGATCCAGCGGACAAATATGCCAGTACAGGCATATCCCTGGACACTGCTGAATACGTCGCAGAGCTGGAGCCAGACTTTCACCTCAGCAGGCACATATTCCACTCATCTCCTCCAGGTCAGCGTAAGTGGCGTGACGGCGACTAGTGACTTGCTGGTAGAGATCGATGGGAAGGACGCGGGATGGGAATGGAATCCCGCAGTTGGAGAGGATCGCTACATTTACAATATTAAGATCAACGAGGCACTAACTCCAGGTGAACATGAGATTAAATTCACACTACTAAACGAGGATAGGCAAGGAAGCGCGCAGCTTTGTAGTTTCGAGGTGCTTGAGTATGGGGATGAGGAAGAGTAAGCTACTCGCCGTCTTACCTAAAACTCACTCCTCTCACATATGCTTCCATCTAGGTTCGACTTTGAGCCACGATACCACGGATTATATCCAACGTCAGTAAACGAAGCTTCGCCAAATTTCCTTTACGCGAGCCACCGCCTTTACTGATAGCCAATAACCATCTAGATTTTCCAGCAGAAACGTAACCTCATACAGGCCGACAAACGATCTCTGCCTAATGCGAGACACCTATTCTTCTAATTTCTGCGACGCCTGCATCGAGGGGTTGTGGCTGTCTCTGCTCGGCCGACTCACCCTGATCGACAACATCACGCAGGAAGCTCAGCTAGACGGCTCGACAAACGCCACTCTTAACTTGCTCCCCCTTGCCAATCTCAGGCAAGTGCCAAACCCGCATCAGGAAACCTATTCGATTCTATGGTACGGAGTCGATGGAACCACGGTTCTGAAGGATTGGACTAATAGCACAACTGCGCTTCTTGGACCTAACATCACGGAGTTTGGCGTCGAGGTTAGGTTTTGGACCGAGCAGGTTAGAGTCGACAGTGCCGGAGTGCTGGTGCAAAAGGAGAGATATGCGGTGGAATAGCTGAGCTGTTACTAAGTGTATACATCACCTGAATTGCGTGGCTCTCTAGCAAACTTGGAAGCACAGATTAACGGAATTTCACTGAATTTTAACTACAAACCAGTCCGCAATGATACTGAGGATAAAGTAGATATTAATTTAATCCGGTAACGCCTAGCTTCCATAACATAGATATATATTTCAAGCCCTTAATCGGTCCGTTTAACTTATTAACAGTGATGCTGCTCAGCCCAACAGTCCCCGAAAGAAGTTAAGTCCTATTATTCAATTAACAGACTTGTCCGTACCAGACGCTTAGGCTTGCTTTTCCAGCCACTCTTCATTGATATAACGATAATCCTCCGGCCCATACGGATCATATATCTCCATAAGAGCATTACCTTTCCTAAACGGATTCAGTCCGAGGTCCCGCTGGAGTAGATCAAAATAAGGGACGGCATCGAAGATGAAATTCGGGCCTTTATTCCCCCAGTCGGTGGGATACCGCCACTTTCCAAATCTATTGTGCAGCACGGTCTCGTATTGTAACTTATCTATCTCCCCCTTATCGTCGATGGCCTTCGAAGGATCCCTTGTCAGTTTTCCTAAAAAGTAGGCGCTGATCCAGAGCCCTGTGATGTGAGCAGAGGTGGTGTTACTGAAGTTGGTCTGGCAGCCTATAAATGCTATATCTCGAGGCCGTAGGAAACGAGGGGACGCGGGGACAAGGAAGCGGTATAGCATATATGGCGTCATGGGTGTACGATATCTTTCATCGATGCTAATTCCTTTCTGGTCTATAAGGGGACCGAAATTCCTCTTCCATACTGGCTGTAATTTGAGTCTCGGGAACCGTTCCAGAATTTCCTTATCAGCCCTTCCCAGAAGTGTACGGTTATTTGCCAGGTCTTTTACGGGCGCGTTTTCTGCAACTTCATGAGGAACTCCAAGTTCCCTTTCGATCCCCTCCGGGAGGAACTTAATAGGTGGAACATGGGTCCAGCCCGTATTCGCTAGAAATACCTCGGATTCAAACTCGGTACCATCAGCAAGGCGAACTTTCCCCGGGCTGAGATGGTCGATTTCCCCGATATGGATATTGACCTTGTCACTCCTAACGAGCTCGAAGAAGTCCTGCTCGTAGTTGAGAATGCTATAACTGCATCCCGTGAACATGACATTAAGCCAAGGCTTCAATTTGGCTGTATCCGGGTGAGAGTCGAGTTTATTCAGCGTAATGACATCCTGGCCGAGTATATTCCAAAAGCGATCTACTAGGAAGCGGCCAATCGCGGTCTGATGATATAAATAACGGATACCCCAATAACCGTCAGCGTCACCCCAGATACACGGGCTGAACCAGGTAAGAAAGCGGATGTCTAGGACAGAATATTAGCACGAGTACATAGCTCGAGATAGGGTTTATAATAGATACATGGAGGCCACAATATAGGCATTACTTACTCGCAAGTTTCTCGATCCACTTCTTAAACGGCGTTACATATGGGGGCGCCATCCAGACAGGGCCGTGTCCGCTGGCTTTCCTTTACTCAGCTCATATTGAGAGTGTCTCGGTATAATTGAGTAAAACTTACACCGGATGACCCAATTTACTTTGACGCCAGCAAGGGCATATTGGTATACGGCATCCCATCCAGACTTTCCAGCCCCGAAGACAGTGACGGTCTTTGCTTTCAGCGTATCCAAGTTTTTCGGGAAGTCCTTACTGTGAAATATCTTCCCGTCAAATTTGTCCTGTCCGTTGAATTTCGGCATGAAAGGTTCCGACAAGAATCCAGTAGCAATAACAAGCTTACGGGCAAGAAGTTTGATCGTTTGCTGTTGGTTACGTCGCTTGATCGTTAAGATCCACCCGCCTTCTGCTGTGTCTTGGTGTTCCGCAGTAAGGACCGTGGTTTCAAGTCTGACGAAATCAATGATGCCAAATTCTTCGGCATACGTTTTGAGGTAAGTGTAAACTACTTCCCCAGGAATGTGCTCGCCCGGCTTGACGCCGAATTTATCAGCAGTCATGGGAAAGTCGGGGTATTCGTATGTCCCTAAGAGATTATTACTCTTTATACCTGGGAACAGCCTATTCTTGGCCCATTTCCCGCCCAGGGTAGATTGGCCTTCAAGTATCAACAGGGTACTGTCAGGCTGTGTACAATGTAATTGTTTCGCTACGGCAAGTCCATGGAATCCTATATTCATTTTAGCTGAGCATGTCTACGAAATGTGAAAAAAAAAAAAAAAAAAGGAGAGGGGGGGTTGTCTGGAGGCTCCGTTCTACTAGTAAATGGAAAGATAGAAATACAGATGACTTACCAGCACCTACTATGACATAGTCCCACTCTTCAATCATAGAAGTAGACATTATAGTAAAGATACCTAGGTACCTCTATACTACCTAGTTTAGGCGTATTGAGTATTAAACACCATATATAAGTAAAACACTGCGTTATAGATAGACTTTTCCAAAGTCTGTATTAGTGAGAGAGTTTCTAGAAGGGTAATTAGAACAAGGAAGACCAGGGTTATCAAGTTTCTACAACCCAAGGTTGTAGAATAATTTAAAGACCGAGATAGGGAATCTATTACCGAGTCATCCCTTTGAATACTTACCCCGCTGCTTTCCGTGATTCATAGCTTAGGGTTACACGTACTTCTTGGGATTCTACCATGCTCGAATCATTATAAAGTGTACTATCCGTGCTGCGGTCACCCGCGGTGGATGTCTCAGACATACATCCATTAAGTAGGAGGTAGAATATTGATTTTCTTCACCCGAAGCCAAAAACAAAGTGTGGCAGCCACGATACCTTCCTTTTCATACTTACTAACATATTTTCTTCAGCCAGGATCTCTAAGTAGCTCCAGTCCAGTGGAAATCTGGCTCCTTTCTTATATTATCGTATATTCGTTCCTCGGCCGATGACAGCTTCCTCTAGGGGTTCAGAATTATCCGCCGTTATGAAATAAGTTTCCTACGTATCGTCACGTCCAAACCCTTGCGTGACGATACTAGACTCTATTGCTCAAATTTCGTTTCTAAATATCATATGATCGAGACCTGTCTTCTCCGTTAATGCTGTGGCATATAGTATGGCCATTGACAAGCGGCGAGCATTATCTCTGAGTTCTCGCGAATATAAGTTAAGGGGTACCTACGTTAGTCGGTATCAAGTGATTAGATATCTCTTAAATAAGATTCATCCAGGCTTATTGGTTACAATATCCCGTTTTCCGGGTGGCCGGGTCATTCAATATTGCTTTGGCCCCTTAAGGCTTCACTATTGGTCTTATATATGAGACTAGCGGTCAGACCCCACGTGCTATACCCGCTATTATATAAATAACATAACGTCTTTCAGGCCGGTTTATCCCGAAGGTATCAGTTTCAAATACACGCCGGTTTCTTTTCTGTCGTCTCAAGTTCGCCGCCATCATATTGTTCGGATGTCGACCTGTCCACAAAAGCTAGCAGATATATCCGGGTCCCGGAAGCAAGTGTCTCTTGAGGCCCCTTATATACCTGTCAACTAATAACTCAGACATATTCCAGCCGGCTATCATGTGCCAGCTCACTTGGGTGTATTATTGTATGAACGTGTCTTTCTACCGACTTATATTTGATATCTCTTCAACTCTCCTCTAGCAAGCAAAGTTGGGTTTGTTAACCCTCTTTAATGGCGGCATCTTCGTTATAATATGCGCTGCGTTTACGGTATCAAGTTTTGCCGTAAGTAATTACCTATGAAAAAACCTTGCTATAGAAGTCAACTGTCGACCTAGCGGCGTTTTCGGAAGAAGCTTGATAAGGGTGCACAATTAGCTGGACCTTGGGCCGTGAGATAATCACCTGTAGCAGTTATCATCATTGATACCCCGATTGCTGTACCTTATATCAAGTGTTCACTTGATCTCATCTTTACCACATTTACAGCAAGCTTTACCTAGGGCGGGGTCTGTTAGAAAATTCCAAATCCAAAGCTTCTAGGATAATTAATGGTTGTGGATTCAGAGTTGGCGTGGTCATGACCCTCGTTCGTAGTTCGGCTTACCATATCGCCGGATTTACTTTTGGTGAAAGTGAAGAGCGGATAGTAGAAGAAGCAAAGATGAAAGACCCTTAACACAATACCCCTGCTCCAGTATCCGGGCACAGTAGCGGTGACGGCATCCGAAGAGACGGTGAATTTACTGTCATTTGAGTAGTGAATAGAGGGAACATTGAACCTTTAGGTCCAATCATAGGAACTACGTCTTAGACATACATGCTAAGAGGTGGGAAGCACATAGCAGACAACTATGCTATTAGCAGTGTCCTAAGTAATGGTACCTCCAAGCATACGATACCATGATCATTCAGAATAATGATAATATTTCTCATATTCGCTTCCAATTAATAATGTCCCAAATGGGTACCTAGGTGCCGTACTTTCTATCCTTTTATTATGTAGTCTCGGAGATAAATTTGTTAGACGATTCGCCACGCAGCGGCAGAGCCCGTCCTTCTGCAAGCCCCAATACGCCAGAGCCGAAGGAACACCGTAGATACAGTGTCAGTAGAATCTGCATGAAATAACTTAGCGCCCCGACGTCATAATCTAATAAGATGTCACTCGTATCTTGGCCATCGACTCGACGATAGAGCACTTGTTGACCTTTCCCAAGGCTATATTTACGTAGAGCTCCGTGTATCGACAACAATGTATTGCCATGAGACGTACTTTAACCTTAGCTATGTCTTCACGTCCGACTCGTAGCCTCACGATAGACGTCATACTAAGATGAGGTCTGGATGTTTTGGGCCGGTTTCATCTCTTAGCATCAAAGTCTGAGACATTCCGCTACGATGGCACAGTGTAATAACTCGGCTATATGTATGTCTCACATACGTCTGCCGTCTTTCCGAACATCAAATCGGCTCCCCGTAATATCCAACGCAGTTGTAACCTAGTCCCATGTAGGTAGCAGGCATGACAGATTATTATAGCTAAACAAGAAAAGATATAAGCTGATTATATACCAGACAGCTACCTAAGGATCAAAGAAGTACAGATCCAATTCATGGTCTCTTCGTTATGCTACAAATCAACCCCTCTTGTTTCACAAGCCATACATTCTTAGTCTTCCACTCGCGGTCAGGATACGTCAGGGTCAACTCGAACCGACGTAGCAGCTCCGGTATCATTTTCGACATCTCTATCATGGCGATATGTCGCCCAAGGCACGTGCTGGAGCCTGCACTGAAATTAAAAAAGGACTGTTCCATTCGCTTCAGCTGCTCCTCAGTTGAGTCGAGCCACCGCTCTGGGATGAAGCTTTCCGGGTCGGGGAACACCTCGGGGTCATACTACGTGACCCATGGGTTGATTCCAACGACAGCGTAGCGCTCGAATATGAGACTGGTAGACGGGTGGATTCGTATGTCCTCTTTAATTACCGCATTTAGATATGGGAGATGCGTGTTAGCTTCTTTGAACGAGACCGGTTGGCTAAATTTTACAGCAACCGCCGCGCCGTCAATCTCATCCACCAGTTTCCGCATCTTGTCCCCATTCTTGCCCAGGTAGTAAAAGATAAACCGCAGGACAATGAATATAGTATCAGAACCCCCATAAACATTTGCGCTCAGGTGTGCGACAAGATGCTTAGTGGTCATCCATTGAGAGCCATTTTGATTCAGGGCGTACCACTTGGTTAACATATCGCCTCTACTCTCAATGTCCAAAGCATCCAGCTCCCCTTTCTTCCTTAATGATGTATGCCGACCAGCCGCTTTATTGACAGATTTCAAAGCAAACTCGACCACTTGGTTCATCGCTCCTCCAGGGAGAAGCGGATTCCCCAGGAGAAACTTATGTAATTCAGGGAGTTGACCACAGTGGCTAGCATATGTCTATATAGTGTATAAGCAAAACGAGAACTATGCTGCTATACCTTAGGTGGCTCGCAAGCGCGGGATACTTACTAAAACAATATCAATTGTCTCTATTATCTTATCCACATCGCAACCCTTCTCGAGGAATCCAAACATCCTCGAGAACGATAATTGACCAATAACGTCGAAAGTGCAGTATGACATCCACGCACCTAGATCAACTGGTTTCTTCTCGCTTGCGAGCTTTTCGATCTGATATAATAACAGGTTTATACACTCGTCTACAGCAAGTTCATATGCTAGGAGCGATGTCGGACTGTAAGCGTTGGCGAGGGTCTTCTTCGACTCCCGGTGGACAGTTGGGTCTCGCATGGTAAACACGTGCGGCTCAGCTTTGCCCTCCCAAATAACAGATCATATGGGGTGATATAATTCAGTCTGTAGCACTATTCAGCATCTAAGATATCCATACTCGAGGTTTGGGGGTTATGATATCGATATCTTATACAGCGTCACAATATACCTTAGTGTACTTAGACTTCATCCCATAGATATGGTCAATCTGACGCGTATCAGTGATGGAGACATGGTTTGGGCCAATTCGGACGAGTGGGACGTATTTCTTATGCAATTTAATAGCATTCTTGTGGGCTTGGCCGGTCCGTATATCGAGCAAGCGCCAAAGACCCGTATACGCGGCAACCTTCGGTCCTGGGATGTCACGCAAATCTTTCCTGAATCTATTCCATAGAAGACGGGACACAATACCAACGATAAGTAACGAAGCGATCATCAAAGGAAAGGGCAGCGAAAAGAAGCTATCGATTACGGAAGAGTCGGTTTGGATCCCCATTTTGGCTTGTTATATACTATAGTTCGTATGACTGAGTAGGTAGTCTCCAGAGAGAAATAGTTACCGGAGACCAATCGCCCCTTATATTACTTAACATCCACTTCCCCCTTTATTACACCACTTAGTATCAATATAACTTAATGGGTTACTTCTATGACAAGTTACTTTTTCTCTATAAATCAAACAAGGAATACGAATACTGGTGCATGCTCTATTGCGATGACAGCATACCTCAGGTATCACTACAGAACTATAATGATTGGCTCTCCTTTATACCAAGTGTATAAGTCACCATTCAGAACGAGCAGTACGTCTCCTTTGAAAGCAACCTTACCATAACTCGCCTATTATGTCCGTGACTGAAATTCAGAATCCTCCTGCATGTCGCACCTCATCGATCTCGACTCACTATACCTCTTAATTGGGGATATCGACTAGGATGAGATCGGAGACATTTGAAATCTGCCAATCCGTGAGGTGGAAATATTCATACCCCAGAGTCCGTTTAGATAGTGAGCAAATTAAAGAGTGAGGCTAGCAGATTAAGGGGGGGCCAGCGGGATGAAGCCTTGAAGAACACAGACTTAGCCATTAAGTATCAACCCTACAAGCAGGTAAATACTTCCTAAAGGCGGGGTTATCGGCAACTATGAAGCTATACTATAGGCCTTGTCCGTTACACTAAACTGCAATATTACAGACTAGGATCCTTCGAATGCCGAAATCTATAGCTATATCCACGCTTAGTAACTATGTTTTACGGCCAATCAGCATTGGATATACTTACCTGATCAAGTAATTCTCGGAATAGGTAAATCCTTATCGCCGAGATGAACGGATGGTGCCAGGCCCCTATTCTAATGGTAATCCCTTTCCTAGAATACGAATGGACCTTTACGTCCACGATATGACTAAGTGCAAGTTTCTTGACACATCCTACATCCCCTCAAGACGAAACAACTTCCTAAGCTCTGCAAGCCATTCTTAATAAGCTCCTATCCATTGATTAGTCCATCGGCGATCGTTTTAACTAGGAGTACTAAGCCACTTAATAGGAGTCAAATTGCTGACCATACTTCCAGCCGGTTAATTCCGGGCGTAGACGCCGGGATCGATCGTATTGAGCCTGGATCTAACCGTTTCTTAAAGACCATAAATCCAGCTTGTAGTCTAGTTGTGAGTTTTGGAGAACCACTGAAACTCTTTCAAAAGACTTGACATATTACTAGGTAAGGTAGTTAATGCCCACTCCTATGTATTTCCCACGCTGGCAATTCAGGTAGTTCATATTTGTGTATATACCTAACGATGAGATTCCCCTTGGCACTCTATTCCCGTCTTTCAGGGTTGGGAGTGGTCGCCCACCCCCCTATTTATAAGAGTGGATACTACCTAGATTCTTTATTCCCTCCTAGCCAACCATTATTCAATCGAGAAGTGTATTATGTTCAAGATAAATTCTTTCTAGTAGTGTTCTAACACGACAGTATCAATCTCGTCCACATGATTCCTATGAGATATGAGATCTCTAACAAGCATATGACACGAATAGCTTCAAATCGTACTGAGCAAAAGAATTTCAAAAATCGATATTCTTGATTGGTGCCATACATAGAGTGAATGTCAAGATAGTTGAATTGAACCATCAATGCCTACTTTTCATTCCTCTTTTAAAGGCGCTGTGCGCCGCCTATATACCCAATCTTAGTAGATCTGCCCCTGAATCTACCCCTAACCCACTTATTCCCCGACAAAGAGTCCTATACTCAAGTTCACGAATAACGAGGTTGCTAAATATCTCTAAATCATAAGGTAAAGTCCTTTACACCCAAGTAATCATAATACATGGAACAAGTGTAAAGGGTCAGTCGCAGTAACTAATCACCCCATCCCGCCCTTATTAGAAACAATTAAACATAGATGTAGTAAAAAACTGCATGTCAGTCAACCCATACATTCCATATAATATCATTATAAACCAACGTTCAATGATTATTATATATGTATAAACTTATAAACGCGACGAGTAAATGCTTCAGCTTTAGGTATTGCACTCACTGTTCTTCGTGAAGAAATAGAGATACCGACCTTGGTGGGTTTATATTTCTAAGTATAACTAGCAAGACAATAGAGCAGTCGTTTGCTACATTAATAATAGTCATCATATCAATGTAGTAACTTCTATAACTGAAGTTCTGCAAGTTGCTTGATAATAATCATCAGCTGAAAATCCGTATTGAGATGGAGCTAATGCGCCCGGAATGCCTTGAAGGCCAACCACTTCTATTAATTAGAATATCCCACCTATGATAGGTTTTCCGCAGCTCATATTAAAGCATGGTAGCATAATTGATGCATGCATCCTGCAGCTTGTCCGATAGTGTGCGAGTTTCCCTTCGCGATCGGCAATATTGCATAAGCCACAACGATAGTCGTCTTTGCAAGGTGATTAACTGATACTCTCCACGGTGGCAGGGTGGACAGCAAAAAGAAAATAAAAAAGAAAAGCATATCTAGCTCACATGGTAAGATTGACAATCCCACAGAACTCGAACTTTCCGAATTATATATGAAGTCGCATGAAAAGGAAATGGGGAGAACACTAAGCTCACTCTATTGAAATGGGCTTATCACATTCGTCCTGGAACATATTGATAGTAGCACTGTGAGCCGTTACTCAACATAACCGCTGCGCCATAAGTCGTCGGAAGATGAAAGAAGATACGGTACCGTACAGGACGCCTGTGATGTAAAAGGCGTATATACAGTTGCGGTGTGACCTAAATATTCGTGCGCCATCGGTTCTCGTATTATTAATAGGTTGTATTAGATGGCTCGTTCCCTCGCTCTGTTTTTCCCTCTAGCTAAGCAATAGACATCATGTCGGTTCCTATCCCACAGCCTCCGGGTGTGCCCCTCCTAGGCAACATCTTCGATATCAACCCAAGTAACACGTGGGATTCGCTAAGGGTGCTAGCAGAGAAGTACGGAGAAATATTCCAGATCAAGGTCTTAGGTCATACTATCGTCTTCGTAGCCGGCGCGGCCATTGCGGAGGAGTTGTGCGATGAGAAACGGTTCCGGAAGTACGTCGGCGGTCCCATAGTTGAGATACGGTACGCCGTACACGATTCTCTGTTCACAGCCTTCGAAAATGAGGCGAGTTGGGGTATCGCGCACCGCATCATCGCTCCGAAGCTCAGCCCGCAATCACTCGCAGAACATTTCATTGAGATGCGAGACACTACCACTGAGCTTATCACAAAGTGGAAAGGGCTCGGAACCGACAACAAGGTGTCCGCTATCGACGAATTGAACAGATTGAACCTCGAAGCGACGACGTTGACTCTCTTTGGGAAGAAGTTGAACTGTCTCTCCGGGCCTGAGCATCCAATGATAAAAGGGATGGAGGACTCAACGTCAGAAGCGATGAAGCGACCTAACCGTCCCAAGTTGATGAACTGGCTACTCTACGGCAGCAAGTTCACTAAGGGCACGAATACGATGCGAACATACGCGCAGGAACTGGTGAACTACCGAAAGGCAAATCCGACAAATCGACAGGACCTCTTAGCGATACTAATGAGCGCCAAGGATCCGGAGACCGGCATATCCCTAACAGACTCGCAAATCATCGACGAGATAGTCTCCATGCCAATCGGCAGCAGTACAGCGCCAGGACTGATTAGCGCTGCAATATACTTCCTCCTGAAGAACCCGCAAGTTGTGACCGATGCACGCCAGGAACTAGATTCCGTCATCGGTGACGGCGAGTTTCAATTCGAGCACTTGGCACAGCTCAAATATATCGAGGGAATCATGCGTGAATCCCTTCGACTCTCATTCGCAGCGCCGGGATTCAATATTGAACCTATACCCAGTGATAGCAAGGCCCCCGTGCAGCTAGCCGGCGGCAAGTACCAAGTCGCACACGATCAGCCCATGATTATCGTCTTGGCAGGAGTCAACAGGGACCCGACTGTATTTGATAAACCTCTTGCCTTCAAGCCTGAGCGGATGACAGGTAAAGCATTTGATGACCTCCCCTCTGGAGTTAAGAAGTGGTTTGGAAACGGGAAGAGAGAGTGCATAGGGAAGCATTGGGCTTGGCAATTTAGTATGGTTGTGCTGGCGAAGCTCATCAAGGAGATTGATTTTGAGAGCGTTGATCCGAGTTACGTGTTAGAACAAGATGGTTGGTTTAACCTGAGACCTGTGGGCTTCCAGGTCGGAGTCAAGCCGAGGGTTAACTGAAGTTATAGAGTGTTTATTGAAAAGTACTGCATGTAACTTCTGTCATAATTTAGGATAAAGGGTAGCAAAGTGACTCGATGTATGTAATGTGTGCTAGAAAAGGGGGGATGTATGTACTGGTGATAACATGTTATGCTTTATGCACATTAGGTACTTAGGTACCTAGGTATTTACGCAAATATCACGTGCTAAATCATCCAAGGTAGCTTCACAGTATTAATTACCGTATGCAACTCGGCAAATCGTTCAATTCGCACCGTAGACATTTTTCGGCAGCATCATCATCAGAGAACCCAGGAATTATTTCGTGCAAGTAGCAGAAAAGGCAGATCCAAAGCAACACCTACCAGCCCAGCCCACTAACGAAGCCGACAACCATGGGCTCGAGCTCGTCTAAGCCGGAGGCGAGCCAATCCTCACATGTCTGGAAGGCGTAAGTTTATAAATCATTATCTAAACCATTACGAATATTCCGAATAACTACATCATTGCCCTTGCATCGCTCGACTAACTTGGCATTCTCGGCTGCTCTTAGATCCTCGCCCATAGGCATCTCGCACGATGTTGTCGAATCCCTCCAGTCGAGTAGCGAAGTGAGCTCCCGCTTCCCCTTCCACTTCTCCCTCGGCTTCCGTCCCCCCTCCACCAAGACCCAACATCCCAACCCCCATATATATAAGTACTAACCACTCGCTCAAACCCACCAGACCGACACCACACGCGCGCAGACCCTCGAGCTAGCCGTCCAAGAACGCGTAGCCTCCGAACTCAAGAAGCTCGAGGAGCAGGGGACAGCAGCGCTCAAGGCGGCGCAGGACAAGATCGCGGAGCTCGCGGACGGCGGGGCCGGCGAGGACGACGACAAGCAGCTCAGCCGGCCGGCCGTGTCGAAAGAAGTCGAGGCGCTACGAGCGCGCCTGCAAAAGCGCAAGCAGCTGCGCCCGCTGCCGGACACCGTCGAGCAGGCCCGCGGCAACGTCGTGCGCTGCCTGATCGAGAACGACCGCCGCCCGCTGGACTGCTGGCGCGAAGTCGAGGCTTTCAAGGAGGAGGTCCGGAGGCTGGAGAAGGAGTGGGTGGATAAGGTCGTTTCGTAAATAGGGGAGGGGGTGGGCTCTCTGCGGCTTACGAAGTAAGACGAAGAAGAACAAGAAGAAGAAAAAAGAGAAGAGAGAAGAGAGATAAATAAATATATATCACCTCTTCGGACGATGTCCAATCGCCACACCCCATACCTACGATACGATAGATACTCTGTTGTAACAATATTCGACACTTATAGCATAGCATTTTAGGAAGCGCTCAAGGAAAAACAGAGCTGCATAGAAAGATGGGATGACGATTAGTTTCTTGCAATTCCGTACTGTATGTTGAGTGCTATTATTTATTTATGTGAACTCTGTATTTAAGGAGGCTTCTAAAGTCGAGTCTTCTACAGCTGCAGTATCACTATTCTGCTTCTGTTTCTCTCTGCGCAGCTCTTCTCTCCTCTTCAGACCCTCGGCTTTCTTTCTCTCCCGCCGGACCTGCGCGTCTTCCCACCCGCTCCCGCTCCCACTCACCGGCTTCGTTGTCGCCTCCGCAAGCGCGGCCCGGAACCTATCGATCCTCTTCGTATTCTCGACGAACCGCTCGTTGGCTATGCGGAGCAGCGTCCGTAGATAAGCCGGCGGCACGGCGCAGTGTAGCCCCCCGCCGTTATTACCCCCGGATTGATGATATCCGATCAAGGACTCGAACGTGAGACCCATAGACCGGATCGCAACTATAGGAGTGGCGTGCTGCTCTCCGGCAGCCGGGGTCAGACTCACGGCACCGCTCTCCCTGAACCCGGCCTGCAGGCCGCACCGGAGGAGTAGCTGCGCGTGCTCCGGCGAAGCGGTCAAGACGTGGAGAATCTAAAAATGATCAGTTCAGGTTACTATGTTCCACTGCCCCAGTAATGAATGCATATCCGCATATGTACATACAGACCGCCATAGCAGCGGTGTACGCAGTGGATCCTTGGGTTGGAAGGAAGATTGGGAATAGGTAGGTTAAGGTATACTTACCATAGGCTCGAACTTGAAGTGGACAAGTCTCGCAGCAGCGACATCCCGAACAGAATCATCCACCCGTATTTCCCCAGCCTCGTCTCCCTCCTCAGGACTTCTCCTCAACCCCAGCATCTCCTCCACATCATCATCATTCCCTTCGCCCTGTCTCAACGGAACCGGATCATGCGAGACAAATAACCACGCACCCCCACCGCCCTTCCCACCTACACCCGCAAGTTTCCTAACCTCGGTTTTCCCAGAATCATCGTCGTCGTCATCATCGACTCCATCTCCTTCTTCCCCGTACTCCTCACCAGCTGTAACAACAGCCTTCTTGCTTCCCTCCAGAAACACGCTCACCCTCCCCGCACAACTACTCGTCGTAACAAATCCATCCAACCCATTAACTTCACCAATCAATTCGCGAATCCCCGCGTCCACGGACCCTTTGGGCGAAGCATCCGTGTATTCGTCATCCGGGCGGGCTAACTGCTCCAGGATCCGGGTTTTTCTCTTAGTGAAAGTAGGGGGCGGCGTTGGGAGGAGCAGGTCCCCCTTCATTTTCATTGGTGTTTCCTGGCTTTCTCTTAAACAAACAAATAGTTAACTCTAAGATGTTGGAATAGAGGTTGTGTAAGTCACGAGTCACGAGGTTGACTAGCGAAGAATTCGGACACGCTTGAGCACCTAAGATAAAATTTAAGAAAGATTTGGACTGTTTGATCCGTAGGAATCCACTAAAATTAACAACGTGGTAACTATCTTTATAGGAATAAGTACTCGCGCCTTATAAAAAATGGATTCAAGAAATGTGGCAAATCGTCCGAGTTCATATTATATATATTATATAAATCTCGCATACTTCTGAACCAAATCAATCACTTTGGGATGTAATACCTAAATAGGAGATAAGATGAAAGCCAACGAGCCCGGCTGGCGGTTTCGCGATTTAGGGATTTAACATAGACATGTCACATTGGATATTATGAGCAGTGTATTCTGGAGATAGTTCTGATTAATAGATAATAGCATTATTGCAGAACCGGGAACGAGAGTGTCCTGTAAGTCCAGGCCATCCGCAATACCACTCCTCCATTAAAGCATCGAATAATACGTTCCTCGGGCTGGCCTCAGCCTAGCCCTAGCAATACCAAAAGCCAGAAGCCTCTTAGAAGTCAACAAGGGGTATCGTGACCTAACCATTCCGCAAACGCCTCGACCAATAGTGCAGCCCTCGGCACGGTTAACGGATAGCCATCAAGGCCACCGCATAACGGCCAAGGATTCTGACCCGAATAAGGCTGACCATCTAATTGCGTAGCTCGCGATCGATAGTTGGGCGTTACGGAAGGTTGGCGGACATGACCGGCTTAGAAACCGTGGACCTTGATGGTCTTAGGATCAAGCTCTAGGCCCTCTTTCTTGTCGACGAGGAACTCCTGTACATCCTTGCGCTGGTCGCCCTGCAACTGGATGACCTCGCCCATCTCAGTATCGTTCACGATGGTGCCATTGCAAGCTAACGCGAAAGCGCAGTCAGTATGATGAACAAACATATATTAAAGGGGCTACACGAAAAAGCGGGGCATCACCATAACATACCGAATTTCTTCTTGATGACCTTCAGGATTTTCTTCTGGTCGAATTTCTTCGGCAGACCTTGCACAGTGGTCAAGGTTTTACGTCCATTCCGCTCTGTAAGATACTAGTTAGTATAACAAAATTTACGTCGCATATTCTAGGATGGAGACGAGGGATAGAGCGATGCGACGCGGGTTGACTACCACACGTGAGGTACATCGGAGGTATGGCATGTACACGTACGTTGAATGCGGATATGGATATAGTTCTGTGACTGCTTGGATTCACCTGTATCCTCATCGGCTTCGGCGAAGGGGTCTGTTTGAATATTGATTAGCCTATGACGTGAAAAGGAGATGTGTCAACAAAATAATCGATGGGTTTAAGCAGCAAGGGCGACAAAAATAGCAGCAACATCGATGCTTATGGAAAACATCAATAGAGCTCTCTATCGCCCTGGCATCATCCCACGATAAAAGAAAAACTGCACGCACCATAGGTCTTGAGGTTTTCGATTGACATAAACTCGAGTTTACGGGGGTGACTTGGGGAAAAGGGTTCGTGGAGATGAACTCGGTGAAGCGACAGACGACTGTAGTAGTAGCCTCGCTAAACTGTAGGGATCCTAAGAGGTAGTATTCTGTATGTAGTTGGCGGAGACCAAACGGTGCAATTCTTGATTACGTTGGTGAGATTAAGAGATGGTGTAAATGTTGACGTTGTTGTTTTGTTCTTGATGGGTGGCTAAGGATCAATTTGTAGAAGAAGAGGGAGGACGAGAAAGGCCGCAACTAGCAAGTGGCAGTGAATGGAGGGGCAACATCGACTTAGCGGGCCACTAGCGAATCGGCAAGGGGCGAGTGGGTCTTTCCCCTGCACCTGAAAGGCTGGTAGCCACGGCTGGGGGCGGTAGGGGGGGGGTCGAACCTCCTGTCCTTTGCGTAAGGGCAAGAAGAATCGTGCCACCCATGGAATACATAGCGGCCTTACTGCCTTATCAGACTCAGACAGCCTTGGAACTTGGCAATTATGGGGGAAGTATGTACCCGGCAAAAGCTCTAAAATTCGCGGAGTGAGCGAAAGTATGTACCCAAGTACCTTGTGTTGATAATTTCCAACATTTGCGGTCACCGGGAAGTTGCAATTGCCGGAAGAATGCAGCAAGCAGCAAGCACATGCCACACAGCTGCCACACAATCGATACCACTAATATCGGACATGTGCCACAACAAGAATCCAGGCTAAGACACAATTGTCCATCAAGATTTCAGTTCCATTAGAAAATCATGAATATTGGCGATGTGACGAGTGGCGGATATCTAATGACTCTATGCACATTACTCAGGACCTACCTATTCACTATATCCACTATCTGCATCGCCTGAACCATTTTATCCCTAATCTTCATACTCATATGCAAACCTACCTCCTACATACCCACGAGGATACCTACCCTTCTTAGCAGCTGACCCCCTTGCGCATCTGCATGTGGCCTCCTTTCAAGGCTGACATCTAGAACATCAGTAAATATCAGTCTCATCGTTGGCCAATTCGAGTGGGCAACATCTACTTATGTCATCCTGTGTCCCCTCGATCGACCTATCATGCCCCGATTCCAAAGACCCTGCAGGTAACATAACACATATTCAAAAAGGCCTTCCATCGTTTCAATTTCAATTTCGCAATGGGCTTCGAGGCGCAAGAGTTTCCCGATGGTTCTCCGAGTCTGATTAAAGATTCGTCTGGTTCAAGATGGACTCCCTTGTTTCGGAAGAGCTGTGAGTTCGAGTCCCAAATCTTTTTCAAAGTCATGATGAACTTGATTCGCAATCCGAATATCAATTCCAGTTGGTTATTCCGGGCCGATATCTTAGTCGAGAGGGATCTAAGTCAACAAGATGTGACTACTGCTACTGACCCCGCGGTCACACAGCCGACCATCCTCTCCTTCGAAGACATGCACCTTGATAAAGCTCTAGTGCGGAAGCTGATTCCAAGAAATACTCTAAGAGATCAACCTCTGGATCAAACATGCCTAATTTACCATGGTAGTGGGCCGGGGAATGTAGAAAGGTCTCTGGTTATTTACAAACCCCACGTCTCATCTCCTGATGACATGCCATTCTATCATCCTAAAGTGCAAGGCATAGCATTTCTCCACGAATGGAGCGCTGATGACGAGGGCTCTGTGTCTATTCATTACCATTTCTTTGACGATGAAGACCGTTCACCAAAGCTGGTAGGAACGGCTCTTAACTTGTTGTCAGTGCTCCATAAGCATGGCGAAGGAACCAAAAAGGGGTATACCAAGCGAGTTCATCACGACACTATCATTCCCCAGATTTCTGTTCAGGATACGTATACTAGGCTGAAACAAAAGTATGCCCGCCAACTTATTCAAACCTGGGTCGAGGTCACAGACCCATCCAAGCACGTGTTTGAAGACCTGAGCATTGCGGCGTTTCTCATCGAGCTGTGGGCTCAGATGTATAAAGATTCCCCGTTCCCCGGATTTGTTGATATCGGCTGCGGCAATGGTCTTCTCGTACACATCCTGAGAAAGGAAGGATACTCGGGATGGGGATTTGATGCTCGAAAACGCAAGTCATGGGAACAGTATTCTGATACAATTAGTGACGGGCCTGAGCATCAAGAGAGCCTCCGGCAGCATGTCCTGCTTCCCTCTGTGATTGACCATGATCTAAGTACGAAGTACGAGAATGGTGAGGCCATCTACAATGTAGATAGTACTAATCTTATACACGACGGTTTATTTCCTGAAGGAACTTTTATCATATCCAATCACGCGGATGAGTTGACACCTTGGACACCGATACTTGCTACTATATCAAATTGTCCGTTCATCATGATACCATGTTGCAGCCATGATCTTACTGGCGCAAGATTTCGGGCTCCCGCGCCGAAAGCGCAAAACAAATCACCGTCGGCATATTCGTCACTCGTTGAATGGATAAAAAATATAGAGAAAGACTGTGGGTGGGAGGTAGAAACTGAGATGCTGAGGATACCAAGCACAAGAAATACCGGTTTGATCGGTAGAAAAAGGAGCTCGTCCTCGGCGGTAGATATCCAACAAGTTATAGCTAAATATGGCGGTACAGAAGGATACGCAGATAACGTGATGAAGCTGATAGAGAGCAAGCCGAGAGGACACTAAAAATGTTGGATACCTGAATAAAGAACCAGACTCAACAGTAAATAAAAGTTGAATAGAATTGATTGCGATACCTCTTTACAACGTACATAAATGTACCTAGGTACCTACGAACCTCTAAGAGTAATTCAGAGGTACGTACCCAAGATGTGGCTTGGCCATGTAGATAAGCACGGATCACGTGGCTTGACTAGAGACTAGAGCAGTTGCAACGTCGCTCCTTTCTAAGGCTTAACCTTAAGGGAAATGTGCTGGCCCGAATTTATGTGTGAATTAAGCACTAACTACACCAAAGACCGCGATTATCTTCAACTTTCACCTTTAATACAGCCGTCTCACCACCCACCATGAGCTACGGCAAGAAAGATGAAGATGCCGACCTCGGCCTGGTCAAGGTCGATCGCACCCAAGTTTTCCAAGAAGGTAAGTCTATTTCAATTCAACATTTCAACATCTAAGTTCCCTTAGTTGTTGTCTATTCCGCTATATGGTACGGAATACACAGCTAAATAATACCAAGCTCGATTATTCAATAGTTCACCAATTCAACCACGAAGATGTCGCATTCTCCTAACCAAGATTGCCCTCCTCCTATATACCGGCGAGAAATTCCCGACAAACGAAGCCACTACTCTGTTCTTCGGTATCTCGAAGCTATTCCAGAACAAGGATGCCAGCTTGCGACAAATGGTTCATCTGGTCATCAAGGAGATTGCCAACTCGGCAGAAGATATTATTATGGTTACGAGTACCATAATGAAGGATACGGGTGGTAGCACAGACGCAATCTACAGACCGAATGCCATACGAGCCCTATGTCGCATTATCGACGTGAGCCCAATGCAGAATATTAGCTTCCTAATTCCCCCTTGCTGATGCCTTGTAGGCGACAACTGTCCAATCGATCGAGCGTGTAATGAAGACCGCGATAGTCGACAAGAACCCTTCAGTATCCTCCGCCGCCCTTGTATCTTCCTACCATCTCCTCCCGATCGCCAAGGACGTCGTTCGACGATGGCAGTCCGAAACTCAGGAGGCCGCCGCCTCGACCAAGTCCTCGGGTGGCTTCTCTCTTGGCTTTTCATCTTCCTCCGCTTCGCTCCCGGTCAACAACTCAACTATGACCCAATACCACGCCATTGGCCTCCTATATCAGATACGATCTCATGATAGGATGGCTCTGGTTAAGATGGTGCAGCAGTTTGGTGCCGCTGGTGCTGTCAAGAGCCCTGCCGCTATAGTAATGCTGGTCAGGTTGGCTGCGCAATTGGCCGAGGAGGATCAATCTCTCAGGAAGCCCATGATGCAGCTACTAGACGGATGGTTAAGGCATAAGAGTGAAATGGTCAACTTCGAGGCAGCCAAGGCAATCTGTGATATAAGAGATGTTACGGACGCCGAAGTCACCCAAGCTGTTCATGTGCTGCAGCTATTCCTGTCTTCGCCTCGTGCCGTAACCAAGTTCGCCGCCCTCCGAATTCTACATAACTTTGCTTCCTTCAAACCGCAAGCCGTCAACGTCTGCAACCCAGATATCGAGGCGCTCATCTCTAACAGCAACCGATCAATTGCTACGTTCGCTATTACTACGCTCCTGAAGACCGGAAATGAAGCAAGTGTAGATAGGTTGATGAAGCAAATCTCCGGATTCATGTCCGAAATTACGGACGAATTCAAGATTACTATCGTTGAGGCCATCCGAACCTTATGCCTCAAGTTCCCGAGCAAACAAGCTGGTATGCTTTCTTTCTTGAGCGGCATCCTGCGCGACGAAGGCGGTTACGAGTTCAAGCGGGCCGTGGTAGAAAGCATGTTCGATCTCATCAAGTTCGTGCCGGATTCCAAGGAAGATGCTCTCGCTCACCTCTGCGAATTTATCGAAGACTGCGAGTTTACAAAATTGGCTGTTCGTATCCTCCACTTACTAGGTTTGGAAGGTCCCAAGACTTCTCAGCCTACCAAGTACATCCGGTACATCTACAACCGTGTCGTGCTAGAGAACGCCATTGTGAGAGCGGCAGCCGTAACCGCTCTAGCCAAGTTCGGTGTGGGTCAGAAGGACCCTGAAGTCAAGCGTAGCGTCGACGTTCTGTTGACTAGGTGCTTGGATGACGTGGATGATGAAGTCCGTGACCGTGCTGCGCTCAACCTGAGATTAATGCACGAGGAGGACGATTTGGGTGAACGCTTCATCAAGAACGGTAAGTGCATTGCTATACCAAACAAACAATATAAAAGACTAATGAAGAGTACAGAGAATATGTTCTCACTACCTTACTTCGAGCATCAGCTTGTCATGTATGTAACATCCGACGATAAGTCAGCTTTCGAAACTCCGTTCGATATCAGCCAGATCCCGGTCGTCACCCGGGAACAAGCGGACGCCGAGGACCGCACGAAGAAGCTTACGGCCACTACCCCATCTCTAAAGCCGCAAAAGACAGGACCCACAAAGGCGGTGCCGACTGGCGCGGAGGCGCAAGCTTCGGCGGCCGCTGCAGCGCAGAAGTACGCCCAAGAACTCCTGTCTATCCCAGAGATGAAAGAGTTCGGCAGTGTCCTCAAGTCGTCTCCTGTGGTTGAGTTGACCGAGGCCGAAACTGAGTACGTCGTATCAGTCGTCAAGCACATCTTCAAGGAACACATTGTGCTCCAGTACGAGGTTAAGAACACGCTTCCAGCTACTGTCCTCGAAAACGTGTCAGTGGTGGCAACGCCATCGGACGAAGAAGAACTGGAGGAAGTATTCATTATCCAGGCTGAGAAGCTCCCTACGGATGAGCCCGGAAAGATCTACGTGGCATTCAAGAAAGCGAACGGCGAAGGATCACTGCCAACTGCCACCTTCTCCAACATACTCAAGTTCACGAGCAAGGAGATCGATCCTACTACCAACGAGCCTGAAGAGACTGGCTACGACGATGAGTACGAGGTATCAGACTTCGATCTTGCCGGTAGCGATTACGTGATACCCACGTTCGCAGGTAACTTCAATCACGTGTGGGAACAGGTGGGCGCGGCTGGCGAGGAGGCTGAAGAGACGATGCAGCTGTCTGGCGTGAACAGCATCGCAGGTAAGTGCTTATATTCTTATATCATTGCTCTCTTAAGGCGCCACGACTAACGTTAAATACCAGATGCTACGGAGCAACTTACCAAGGCGCTCTCCCTACAACCACTGGAAGGTACAGATGTACCGGTAAACCAGACCACACATCAACTCAAGCTCCTGGGCAGGACAGTCAACGGCGGAAGGGTAGTGGCAAACGTCAGGATGGCGTACTCGTCGAAATCGGGAGTAACAACCAAGATTATAGTACGCAGCGAGGAGGAGAATGTTGCTGCCATGGTGGTGGCATCCGTCGCGTAATAATGATGGTTTCTGGAAAGGCGTTTCTGCAAAAAATGACGAGCGATGTCCTTTCGGTTTTGAGGGTACCTTATGCATATTACTAGAGAATGGAGAAAGGGGTGAGCAGCAGGACTTGTGCGATCCTATGCGAAATAAGGACCGAGTCATCCGTGTTTATAGGAAGTGTCAAGATGAATTTATGGTAACTTCTTGAGTGCCAGAACGAACCCAAGAGGTTGAAGCCGAGTAGGTATGATGAATTGATCAGTATAATAAGTTCTAATAACCTAGGTTACTTTTTACTCTGGCTGGTGCGTATAGACAAGCAACTTATAGATATATGTAGGTAAGTTGCATGAATTCCACGTGGGTAGATCACTTATACGTTTAGTAGGTACATATATACAAGTACCTGTGTACCTGAACATATGTACGTACCTGAATGTACATGTCATTTAGACGTTGCACATGGGACGCGACCACCCGTCAGTTCCTCTGTCAGTTCCCCTGTCAGTTCGCGTTAATTGAATTTACTTGGAGCTACCCTGTAAATGTATGTAAATTTCTAGCTTGGAAAATGGGTCGTCGATATTGGATGCACACAATGACGTTTTCTCCATCTTTTTTTTTTTTTTTTTTTACCTTGCCCTAGCTACATACCTTAGGTACATACAGCCAACTCATCTTTTTTTTTTGTTTTCATCTTTTTCCTCTTTACTGGTATATACTAATTCACAGAAACTACCTAACCTAATATACGCCGCTAGACGATTAGTTCCTCTTTGATCGTCTTTAAATAAAGGAAGGGGACGTCCGTCCCGTCCCGTCTGCTTCGAAGCGTTTTGATACCTTTTGTATCTTTTGTACCTGGCATCCGAAGTGGCAGCAGTTACCTAGTCCACCACTACAGAAAAGAGAATTAATTGATTTGAGTTTCTTCGACTTAACATCGAATCGAATAACGGCATTGTCGATCAGGTCAAGATGGTGTACGTGCGCCAGGAATTCCTGCCGAATCTAAAGGCGTACAAGTACTCGGGCGTGGACCACTCGTTGACGTCCAAGTACGTCTTGAAGCCGTTCTACACCAATGTCGTCATCAAGTGCTTCCCCATGTCCATGGCCCCCAACCTCATCACCTTGACGGGTTTCATGTTCATCGTCGCCAACTTCTTTACGCTGCTATGGTATAACCCGACGCTCGACCAGGACTGTCCGTCTTGGGTCTACTACTCGTGGGCTGTTGGCCTGTTCTTATATCAGACTTTCGATGCGGTGGATGGGTCGCAAGCGTATGTCTTATAGGTATAGGCAGAGGCAGAGGCAGAGGCAGAGGTAGCTAATTGGCATCTTATCTTTCAGACGACGAACGAGACAAAGCGGTCCCCTCGGCGAGCTATTCGACCACGGCGTCGACGCCCTGAATACCTGTCTCGAATGCATTATCTTCGCCGCCTCGCAAAACATGGGGCAGAGCTGGTACACTGTCGCCACTCTCTTTGCTTGTAAGTAGACTCAGACTCGTAAAGCAATTCTTTGTTCTCTGCATTACAAGAGCATCAGTTACAAGATAGTAGTAGCTAATAAGTAAACCCCCTCCCAACCCAACAGCTCTCCAGACCTTCTACGTCCAGACCTGGGAGGAATACCACACCGGCACTCTCACGCTCGGCATCGTCAACGGCCCCGTCGAAGGCATCCTGATCCTCGTGTTCGTGTACGCGCTGACGGGGTACATGGGCGGCGCCTCGTTTTGGCAGCAGCCTATGCTCGAGACCCTGCATATCCCAAAGTCCCTCGGCATCCCCGAGTACTTGTACAACCTGTCCTTCACGCAGTGGTACATGGTGCAAGGCACCGTCGTCATGGTCTTCAACACGATCGAGAGCGCACGCAACGTCATCCGCGCCCGTCGTGCCCGCGGCGACCGTAGCCGCTGGGCTCTGCTTGGCTTACTGCCCTTCGGCAGTATCTGGGCCCTCGTCGTTGCATACTTGTACTTGCAGCCCTTAATCCGCACCCAGCATCTGGTCCCCTTCGCCCTGTTCGTCGGCTTGGTGAACGCGTATAGCGTCGGCCAGGTCATCACCGCACACCTTGTTAAGCTCCCGTTCCCCTACTGGAACGTGCTAGCGTTACCCCTAGCCTACGGCGTCATCGACTCCCTCGGCCCCATCCTCCAGTCCCACTTCGGCTGGGCCTCGGGCTGGCCTAGCGCTCTTGGAAGCGACGTGTACCAGGTCGCTTATATGTTCTGTATGCTGGGCATCGCGATTGGTGTGTACGGGTCTTTTGTCGTCGATGTGATTGTTACGATTTGCGATTACTTGGATATCTGGTGTCTTACGATTAAGCACCCGTATGTGGAGGTTGAGGAACATACCAACGGGAAGAAGGTAAACTAGGGCGGGCGAGTGGAAGTAACCAAGCGTATATTATTCTGGGAGGCGGCGTGAGATGTCCCGACAATGAAGCACATCTTTCCGGGATTAAGAGACTGGCAGATATTCTATTTATGCATTCTGCAGCGTGGAATGTCTCCGGTAGGGCGTTGGCAATATACTGACTGGTTTTGCTTGGCTGGGGGGGTAATGAGGATTTAATGAGCTGGGTGGAAGGGGGACGGACGGCTTATCAGGGGAATGAATATACGCTCGAGAATAATGATAGAATAATGATGAATGATGACCAAGTGCTGGGCGTCTACACTCCGCTCTGTTATAATATGTTACGTTTTGTTATGCTATGTTCTTGTAATGAGCGCTTATGTACCTACCTAATGTATGTATTTGCAGGATTCGATACCTGTTATACCCATATGAAAGATAGAAATGAGGGGAGTTGTACCTAGTAATAGGGGCTAAGGGGCTTACAGTTTATTAGTTCGGTTCCAGGTCTTATTAGTGAATGATACGTCCCTCGCTATTATGTTAATTCGAAGAAGTGGATGTGTGTGTACGCGGCGAGCGTGTTTGGGTTGAAAGGTAAGGCTCGTTAGTCTCCCCTGGGCTTCGTTCCTAAATCCGTTTTTAGGCAGGTTCAGAACACACAGGCTTGTATAGCAAGGCATATGTATATATATGTCCTGCGGGTAATGTTCTTATTGATCGTAGTTAGGTACTTCGGTTTTTATAGAGAGCAGTATATATATCAAGTTACCCATTCATTCATTCCATCTGTCTAGTTCAACATACCATGTACCTACCTATCTGGCCAGAAAAAGCAGATAGATAAAAAATGTCAACGGCGTCGCATGCAGTACGTGCAAGTTAAGACGAATAGATGAGAGGGGGGGAGGGAGGGAGAACAAGGCGAGGATTTATAAGGATATATCTTTCTGATTCAACCGCAGCTAAATACAACAGCCCCCCCATCCCCTCGTCCCCATAACCGGCCCCTAAGAGAGTACAGAATAAAACCAAAGAGATGAGAAAACAGAAACCATAATATATATCCCGTCTCGAACGCAGCAATAGCTATATAATATAATATAATATAATATAATAATATAATATAATATAATAATATAATATATCAATGGTCATAGGTATAGGTATATATAAACCCAGCCAGCCAGCCAGCCAACCAACCAGCCGCCCACTGTTGGACACCAGAGATGAATAAATGAGAAACGGCCATAGAGAGAAAATATTTCGAACAGGTTAGAATCGTAAATGTCTTGTCTTAAATCCTTTCTTCTTATTGACTTCGTGGTTTTTTTTTTTTTAAAAAAAAAAAAAAAAACAAAGCAGCCACCTTTAACCTTGCAATAATAGATATAACCTTCCAGCCAGAAACTCCCCAACCATGTTTGAGTTTGGTGTCGTCCTCTATGTCGTTCCCCTTCACACCCCTATCCTTCCCCGCGTGGTACTTTGCCGGTGCTTGTTATTCGGTCCCCCTTCCGAGAATTGACGATTGGGGGAACCAGTAAGGACCTCCTCCCACTGCTATGAAGCACACCCAAGCGCTTTCGGTCGTAACATACTCGAGTGTTCATCCATCGATGCTCGATACGTTGCCCCCCGTCCGCCAATAACAGAACCGAGATCGTTTTCCTGTGATCCTATACGCCATCGTGGTCTCATCGTGGTCTCATCTCCGCCCCCCCTCCTCTCTCTGCTGATTTGAAAACAGCGATTCTTCCCCGGTACGACAAATCTTATCATCATGCTTTAGTTACGTCGCTCATAACAGCTCATCGCTACCACTCGCGACGCTTTCCACGATGGCCTGTAGAATGACACGTTCCTCGAAGACAGGACCCTGTCCGTCGCACTTGGCTTGAGATTTTAGCCGCAGGCTCACATCGCCGACATCGACCCTGCCTTGTTTAAATAACTCATGGTTAATGATATAATCCCACGTAGCACCCGCAGCTAAGAGACGCTCTCCGCCAGACTCCACTATGCGGTGGCTCGGGGTCTTGTTGGTGTGGTTCTGGAGGAGGTCCGAGTAGAAGTCCGTGGGGTTGTACTGCATTGGGCCTGTGGTCGTCGGGGCGGGGGGCGACAGGGAACCGTTCTGGGCGTGGACGTTGGACGTGGCGCGCAGAATCTCGTTCTCAGTGCTCATCTTCTGCAGGTCGCGTTTCAGCTTTTCGTTCTCGCTGGCCGTCTGATGCTGCTGTGCTTCCAAGCTAGCTAGCTTTGCTTCGAGGTCTTTAACATGTCGTTCTTTGCGTTCTCGGAATGCGCGTTGACTAGAGATCGACGCAACGTTAGTCAAACACTGATGGACCTTGCGATATTCATTTATCACATGTTGGACCGTCCCTCCCAATCCAAGACCCCGGGGGTAACTCACGCGGCCCGATTTTGCGCCTTCCGGCGAGATTGGGCAGGCGTCAGATCGTCGTCATCCGAATTGGATGCCGTCTGTCTATTTGCGTCGGGATCCGGCTTGGCCATAGGTAGTATATCGGCCGGGTTACTCTTCACACTCGAGGCACCGTTCAGCTGAGATTGGTTCTGGCTGCTCTGACCGTGGATCGGATGCGTCGGCGGTGTCGGCGGGCCGGGAGGGCCGGGAAAGGCCTGAGTTTGTTGATTGAATTGGGCATACGGCTCAAAGTTCTGTTGAAAGTGTTCACTATTCTGGAAGCCATCGTAAACATCCTGAATGACGTAGGGAGATCAGCGCTCCATTTTCTAGGCAAGGTGATATAACCCTACACTAAAAACTGAAACAAAGCAAAGGCACGGAATACACTAACATGTGGAGAGTGGTTGTTGAACTCGTCGGATGCGGCTGAGTTGGAATGAGACGGGGTCAAGGGAGGAATCCCGATAAAGTGATAGGGATGAGCTCCACCGTAGAACGGATGTGAAAAGTCCATTTTCTGACAAGAGAAGACTCGATCGTAGGATATCTACTATACGGTATACGAGATGAGAGTGCGTAGACGTTGCGAGCAAGTGTAGAGGAAGCAGAAAGAAAGCCTGCACGGCGAGACCGGCGGTTCGATGGTGTTATTACTCGGGTCTCTCAGTAATACGTCCAAGGTCCAAGGAAGCAAGCAGGAAAGCTGCTGATGGATGGTTCAAGTAACGGGGGGGTTAATACAAGGTCCAGGGGTGTCTCTCTTTGGTTTGGCCGTTCCCGAACACAGGGGAGGCTTGCTAATCTACCAGATCTGCGTAGCGTGCTTGGGATTGACACAAGTTGGCAGCACAGCAGATCAGAAGGTCAGATAATTCTTGATATCAGGCAAGGTTAAGTACGTAGGCGAGAACAGAAGTCTCATCATCGCTTTGTGTGTCCCTGCTTCGGCCTCCGGTGGAAATGCAGTCGAGGGATATTGGAAGAGCACGGGGAATATGTATCCTTAAGCCTTTTGCGTCTTTTGGGGCCACAGAAATAAGAGGAGACCATCTTACTAATTTTGGCAATATGCCATGTTCCTTCGGTTGAGGTGGCAAATAAGAGTTACCCGTTCCATCTCCACAGACGGGAAGGGTGGATTGTCCCGTACCCAACTGGTCTAGAGGGGATGTCGAAAGACGCTGTCGACTTTAAAATATACCCACCTGCATATCCCACGCCACCCGCCGTTCCTAGAACATTCGGTGGTGATTCGACAACCCCAAACTACAACGAAAGGGGTCACAAACGAGTGTTCGTCTCGAGCAAAAAAAGAAAGCCTTAGATTAATGGCCATACCTTTCTTTCAGACCCTTCTTGCATTTAGTTAAATGTTTCAATTCCTATTGGGTAGAAACATACCTAAACAGTCAGGCAAGCCAGAATAACTATATCATACGGCTCAATCTTCGGTCATGACGAGACTTGGGGGGCACTAACCTAATAAAAGATAATCATGGTTGAAAGAGACCATAATGAAGTTCCTCCCCGCAAATTTTTCGACATTTGCACGTTTTCGAATCCTTCCTACCTAACTCTTTTGACTTACACACGCTTCTTACACCCCTCCGAGACCCAGAGAGAGGACCAGTGTTTGAGGTACTTCGGTCGTCAGCTGCACTTCCGCCGGGTTGCGTAGGCCGTTCAACAACAGGCATAGTTGACATGCGGGATCGTACCGCCATCGCATTTTTCTCGTAGCCAATCATTGCCGTAGGATCAACTTCTCCGCTAGAAACAGATAACCTCTGCTTCGATAGTAGCACATTACACGCACTGACGTTAGACAATGTTTCCACCAGATACCCCCTCAAACTGCTGACAGTGTCTGCAGCTGAGGCGGTATAGGACGAGGATTGGAAGGTCTCGATCCTTCACAGCCACCTTTTCTCACCCCGACAGTTGACCATCAGTGAAGGCCGTATCTTGGTTTTTTTTTTCGAGTACCATGCAATTACAAGCATCCCCAAAAATAGCAGGTGTAGACGTAGAGCGCCCACGAACTCTTATCCAAACACCTCAGGGTGTTCAACTTTTTCGATGGTGACCAGGGAATTAAACAGCCAGGTTTTCTGCTATTCATCAGCTCTCCTGAAAATGATAAGCTTAACGCGTATTGCAAGACGTAATGTGCAATAATAATTGACTCCGTACGTAGTAGACAATACCCAACATATCTAAAGTCTGATGACACCGCAAATGTACTGTATCCCATCTGGGTTACGTTCGGCCTTGTTCTTATAGGTCGTGTTGCATCGAGGCGACCTCCGTAATGTGACTAGGGAGTCGGTAGCACGTCTACATCATATTAGCCAGTGCAGTAGTTGATTGCCGTTCAACAGTATATTAATTCACTTAGGGAGCCGTATGTAAGTCATCACGTGCTTTGCTGATACTGGGTTATTCCACCTCGTATTTTCGAGGAAGCCTCCGGTGAGAAAGTCTTGCAACCCGATTCACACACTGCGGCGTCTAAAAGTAGTTGGAGTCAATATTGGAATCTTAGGGTCGCTACCCAAGACTTTCGAGGCGAATATCGCGATGGCGGGTTTTGGGGTAACACTACTCCCCTACAAAGGGGTGCAAGGAATGGGGCGATGATTCTCAGGCCTGCCGCCGAGTGAGAGGTATGGACGGCATTCCAGAGCTTGTGGGGTCTACTCCGGTTCGCTACTGAAGCGCATGATCATACGTCGATTAGTAAACCCAGTCTATCTTTGGCAGTATCAGGGAGCTCACCCTTGACCCTTGTGTCGAAATTTGGCTTCTCGGGGGCAGTAGGAGTTTGACGAATTTTTATGTTGAAACCATCGGTCCAGATAAGTTTTCAATGCCCCGAGCGAAACTTAAGATAACATGAATTTTCCCGAGCAGGAAATCTCCCTTCTTTCTCGGTTACCCAGGTATAGACGGGCGAGAAGTTTGTCTTGTATTATGAATATTTCAGGGGCACCATAGTACGAAAATCAACGAGCTGTCAGACCCAGGAGCCGAACCGTATTAGGTCTAACGATATAACAATGTTATGTTAGCTTTAATCGTCAATTTAAATGGATAGATGAGCGACAAACATCCTTTCCAGTATGTTTACCTTCACCGAGGATGTAGATTTGTTACAAACCCAAATATTAGGTAAAAGTATAGCGAGAACATCAAGGGCCGACCCTTATAAGATCTGGACATACATCGAATTCATATTCGTCCGATATCCCGTATAGTCCTAACAATACTAATAATAGTGCTACTGATCAAGCTTTTGAGTAGAGTATGGTTGTGTTGGGTATCCGCTCGGGGTCGGATGCGTCTCAGGGCTTTCTCGTAGCAATATGAGATAAGAATAAAGCAAACTTGGGAAAGTTGGAATAGCTTGAACCTTACCAGGCGTAAGCGTAATCGTTTGTATCATGGCCGCTTTGACCTCGCGTCACTTTTTAAGTCAAACATTCTGACGATGAGTCGCCTCCAACGCGGCCTATTAGTTTGACCTAACTACACTCTGAGGGGAAATAGAGATGTTATAGATACGGATAAGATACGAAAGTAGACTAAAACCAACAGTCCTCAATAAATGGGGTTTAATACAAATAGGACAGGTAGAGAGGCGTACGTCAGGTAGTGCAGAGTATCTAAAGGATGTCAGAATAGGCTGTTTCGTCCGAAGTTATTAGGTTACTTACTACTGACCTAGTTCACGAAGTTGAATAAAATAAAACAAAACAAAACAACAAAACGGACGCCTTTAGTTGTTTGCACCTGGAACAATTTGTGCTTGAGATAATGGTCCGGTCTTCCTCCTCTAAAGTTGTAAAAGGCATAAAAAAGGTTTAAGGCCCAGCGCTCAGCAGGTGAGCAAGTTGAGTCACAAACAACTTTCCCCCACCCCTGACTTTGACTGTTCTTTCCTGTTTAGGCACTCGGGAGAACTTCGTTTTGTCCCTGTAGTATCCTGACTCCTTACGAGGTACAGAGGAAGGAAACAATCTGTCTCCGCTCTAATTTCCTACAGTTACCATATGTAGTTCCTACCTCCGCAGGTGCAGTTCCTGCCTACAATCAATTAAGTGATAAATCTAACACCACTAGCACCAAAATAAGTACAACATCTAAGTGCCATTTCGGAAACTACAGTCGAGTGGACCAGAAAGTTAGGTTAGGTACCTGCCTACCTGTCAATACCTTCCAGTCTAATAAATACTGAGAGGCCGAGAAAAGTAGGCGCTACCTCTTCTTCTACTTTATCCTCTTCTCCATCATCATTTCCACCACCGGCAACAACAATAACAAAAACAACATCATCATCATCATCTCGCGTTTCTTTCCTCCTATTTTACTCTACCCTACTCTCTTTCTCGACGAATCCTGGAAAGTCATCGTCAACAACTCTTCTTGTCTATCGGTCAGTCACAATGGAGACGCACTTGTCTCAGCAACCAGATCAGCCAAGCTCATCGCAGCGACAATACACGACTGTTGGTTCGGTCTGGAACCCACAATCAATGCCGCTACAGCCTCCCGCACGTCGCGGTCGAGCTCTTCGATCCGCTATGCCTATGTCTCTGCTCGAACCTTACCCGGAAGACCCCTTCATTACCTCGGGTGCTGCACAGTCGTATTCTCTCTCGCAATATTATACACCTTTGCAGCAGAATTTCGATCGCGCTGTCAGTCCCGTCCAGACTAATCGTATACTAACTCACGATATACCTGTGCATCCTCTTCTCAAGCGACTCTCCGAGTTCAAGGGGCAGGATTCCTCTACTCCTTCCGTCGACATGTCTCAGAAGATTGTCCCAGCTATTCCACTCCTATCTGGCACTGCTGCTGCTACCCCCCACAAACAGGGCGAAGCAAACAACCACCATGGCAATGAGGGCAATAATTACGAGCACGAAGACGTAGAGAAAGAAGAGGACATGAATGTAACCCTCAATAATATGTCAACTAAGACACTCACTAACTTGGCATCCTACCCCAACCCCATGCAAAAGGCTGCACAGAAAGTTCTCACCAAAGCTAGGCAGGCTCCTCCAGTATCACATCATCAAGTCTCGGATTCCATCTCGCAGAACGGCGGGGTTTTGGGTTTTCCACCCGGTTTTGCCCCTAGGAGTATCCGATCTGATGTCCGATCTGACCCAGTCGACGTCGATATTCTCCTTCAGTCCGATAGATTCGACGGACGTAACCATAATCAACATCCCGTTCCTCTTCGTCTGAGCATTACTACAACTACCCGAGACCATGTTCCTTACCCGGCCGTCTTATCCAAGGGACCAGGCGCTCCGCAGCCCCTGACTGCGGGCCCTCCTGGACAACGTCACTTCCAGCCCTCGGCCTTCGACGGAGCCCCAAGTTCGCTGCGGAAAGGGTTTGAGAAGCCTCATGAATTCGACCCTTTCGGTGACGGTCTTCCTCACCATCAGCCTTTCTCATCCTTTCAGTCCCAGCAACCTATGCAGTCTACACCTCGACAGCCCACCCCTTCATACAAGAGTGAGAATTTCTCCTCTATTCACCCTCCTGCACTATTTATGAGCAAAGAGAGCAACACTGGCGCTAGTATAGTTGACACGCTCACCTATGAGAAAGCCAAGACGTTCTTCCCGAAGGGGTTCCCCCCAGACTTTAACTTTCACACCCAGCCAGTGGCCGATGATTGGGCAGAAAAGCATATTAAGGAGGAAGAAGATAAGAAGAAGCGTGAAAAGAACAAACTATTATGGCAGCAGACACCCGAGTTCCAAGTAGCCTACAAAGATAAGATCGATCGAGACTTCTACAATGGGAACTACATGATCAACAAGAACTTGAGAGTAGCGATCCATGAGAAGTACACCCGTGATATAACACGTTCCCTCGGTTCTAAGTCTCAGGAATCCCAAGATGTCCCGAAGCTTAAGTTTGAGGACAATGCGGAGGGCCGTAATATCTCGGTTGAGGATGCCAACTCTATCCCCACGCATGAGCACGCTGAGCCGCTCCTCAGCGTGTTGTACCAGTCTCTTGAGAGAAACCAGGAACTCCTCTCACAGCAGAAACTCCCAAACAATAGTGGACTGCGCTAGATCTCTCCCGAGGAGCATTCACAACCGCTGAAGATGACTGGGGTATCCATAGATATCCAAGTCGTAGACTTGTCAACTTCGTGAACAAGAGATGCAGATGGAATCGTTGTTACAAGGACTGGACCATACAATTTAAGTAGTTGAAGGGACGTACATGAGGCAAAGTCTGGAAAAAGAAAGAAGAATTGTGGAAGAAAAGAGTGCACAAGACACTTTATTGATGACGATGCAGATGCATTAGGAGTTTTTCGAGGATAATAAGCAGCTTGTATTCTTCAAGGATCTCGGAAGCATACGAACACCGCATCGCGACGGAGTTTTGGATTAGAAGGTCGCGCTCGCGCGTGTGCATCGCGTCTACAGGACAGTAATGGGCGTTGGCCGGTTGTATCAGGATGGAATCTTCTTCTCTAATGGAACGAGGGCACTGAGCTTTGTATGTACGAAATTGCTTTGGCATTCGTTGATCGATGATTTTCTCTCGGCGGTTTATCTCCTAATTCAGCCGCGACTTTTGATCCATGGAGATCGTGCATCTTACGTAGGGAAACGTGTACCTCTTACATGGCCTTACGGGAGTACATGGACTTCTGGGTATCACGTCTTGTGCGTTAATTTGCTGCGTCTACTCGTTAGGTGAACGTTACTTCTCCGTCTATTCGTACCTTCGAGGGTTTCGTGGATTTCGATAGTGGAATTTTTGTAGTTAATAGTAATTAGTAATTATCTTATACTTCAATGCGCGCGTGGGCACACGCGTATACCCATTGGCTTTCTAATTACTTACCCCTTTCTATCCTTGCGTTGTCCACGTTAACCTATACCAGCTCCTCATATCCTCCCTATCTACTTCCGTTTCCATCATATCTAGGTGTCTCTGTGCTTAGCGAGGTCTACCCCAGATTCCTCCCTCCTCCCTCCTCTTAAGCCTGATTACGATATAAAGGAAATAAATATAAACGAACTTGGGTAGTTAGATAGGTTCCTTCGAAGGGAACTACATAAGTGCTCAGTCACACTCGAGCACCGATTTGAGATATCATACTTTGACTCGCTGGATAACGAACTACCTACACCCATCATATACCTAGGTACCTACCTAAACAAACGATTTACACCAGACAAAATTCATTCTCACCATTCATTACACTATCACTCTCTCACATCACAAATACACTTAATCCGAGCCGAGTCAAGCCAAGCCAAGCCAAGCTACGAAAGCAACATCACCTAAGTAACCTAGAAAAACGTGAATAAAATTTCCGACGACTAAAATACGTCTCTCACCCCCCTTCCCCTTCCCTTCTCTCTCGCGGCCACATGGCTTTTACCGAATAAGTTGGCATACATAATCTAACTTAAACCTTAGGTAGGTATTCAACGGCGTAACCTCCACGACGCAGCCGTACGTAATAAAGGCCAGCCAGCCCCTTATCTTCTTTCCTCCTCCACTCTCGATGAAAATATACGCGCTCGCTCGCTTGCTTGCCTGCCTGCTTATTGGGTCCTATTACCCCCTTGTTACTCGTCTGACTTCGTCACCTCAGAAGCCCTTCGCCTCTCGTCGTACCTAATATTTCTGCTCGACAGCCAAAGCAAAAAACACTAAAACCACCTCAAGCAGGCAGCCAACTAACACAGGCAGCCTCCAGCCCAGCCCCTTGCGCTCCTAAAACGGGGGGTCCCCCTATTGCGCGTAGGATATCCGGAAAGTACCTAGTTTCGAAGTTCGAAATAAAAAAAGGGGGCACTAAGTAACAAAAAAACACAAGAGAAGAATTTCCTAACATTTGCATGCCTATGTAGGTAGGTACCTAGGCAAGTAAGCGAAACACGCATTAATGGTCAAGAAATATGTGATGAGTTCCAAGAAAATAAGAGGCGCGGCGTAATAACATAACATAAAGTTGGTTTTTTCTCCATTGCGTGCCAGCAATCGCCTGATGAGAGTAGTAACTGAGCCTAGTAGAATACCTAGTTGCGTGAAGAAACATTCGTACAAAGGAATTGAAATCGGTGGACGTGGCACCGTGATGTGATGATGAAAAATGTGGTGGTTGGGAGCCAAGGCCCCTGAGTTGTCGATCGAGCCTGAAAGAAAAAGATTTTCTAGTAGCCCGAGCCCAGAATCAACGCCCGCGGAGCCCTTTTCCTGCGTCACTCCGGCTGGCCGGAGAAGACAGTATCGTGGTATAAGAAAGAAAGAAAGAAAAATATCTGAAGGGGGTATGCTATGACGACACCAAGACATAAAAGGTCAAAGACCCGCTAACCATGTAGAAAAAACGTCTTATCTACCAAAGACATCCGCCATCCTCTCTCATCGACGTCGACTCGTAGGTTGCCTCTGCTTGAGACGACTGGTTCTCCATCCCTCGTACCATTGCTCTCTGCTGGCCTCGCGTAGTTCACCACGCCACTCGCCGAATACAGCATCCTTCAGTTTGGTGAAGTCACAGTGCTCCTCGTTGTAAGGGTCCGCAAAACCCCAGGGAAACTTGCGACCAACAACGCCAGGCTCGTAGATATCGGGGCTGATTATGGACATTGGCAGGAAAGGAAGTTCTTCAGTTGTCTCTCCCTCAGATGACTTAGGTCGGCGAGTGGAGGTATTCGAGCGGCGTTTTGAAGCCGGCGAAACTCTGCCTTGAATGGGGAGCTCTCCATCCTCTGCTCCAGCACTATCGTCTTCTATGATTGCGGGTTCCTCCTCGTCTTGCTTATCGTCTCCTGACTCTACTGACTCTGCTGCCTTGCCTTCCTCTTGATCCTCCTCCTCGGCCTCGTCGATTCTGCTAGAATCTGGCGTGCTATCATCTTCGTCATCGAGACCCAATGCCTCGAGGGGATCGAAGTTTGCTTTCTTGAGGCTAGCCCAGACAGTCTTCTTGAGGACAGCCATGTGAGCGGTGGTTATCGTGTCGGCTTTCGAGACAACCGGTATCACTGTTGTCTTGCCCTGGAGGGTTCGCATTACCTGTAGATCAAGATCTTCGTCTAGACCGCCTATGACGCGGCCGATATCTTGTTCGTACTTTCCGCTATAGCCGTTAGCCGAGACAGCTTTCGCGGCAGCTATATTCCGGTCCAGACGAGCAGGGTCCAAGACGAGGAAAACTGCGTGGATATGCGTATCCTGAACGCCGGGTGATCGGATCACCTTCATCTCCTCAGCAAAGGTTTCCTCAAACTTGCTCTCCAAGAACGTCGACATTTCTCTCAATTGTAAATCTACCACATTCTTCTCGAGACCCTCCGAGTCCCACAAGGTCAAGCCGATACGCTCGCCGTCGATTTCGCTCTCGAGGTAGTGCGGTATGAAGTTACCCGAGGGAGTTGCATTGGAAGTAACCTCTTGTTCAATCTCAGTCGACCGCTGAGATCGTTTCTTCTCTGGCAGGGCCAAGGCGGTCTTGAGAAATTCAAGGAACGAGGTCTTTCCGGAGCCACGGGCGCCCACAATTAGAATACTGCGAGTTTATTGTAAGCTTCGGCTCCGAAGAAACGAGGGAGGGCAAACATACTTAAAAGGAGTAGGGTCCTTCCTCCTACGGACCCTTCTAGGACTATTGATAGTGCTCATGGCACTACTCGCATAGCTGTATCGGCCACGGTGCGTCATACTTTCGGTACGAGCGTAGGGATCAACGTAAACTCCGCTAGGAACGGGAGGTACGGGAGGACTGGAGACGGAGGACATCGATGGACGACCGGGATCGATAGACGGTCTAGGTGGGAAGTGGTGAAACGAATGGTCGACTTTTCCAGAAACGATGGCGATAGAATCCGGGCGGGTATCGCCTCCAAAGCTCTGAAGTGGTTCAGGAGGTTGAGCACCATTGTAGAGATCGGGCAGACGAGGGGGGGACTTAGGAACGCTTTCCCGTTGCGACACCTCCTTATGGTGCTTCCTACCACCCTTGCCCAGGTCGCCCGATTTACTGCGTCGAAGCAACATCCCGAGACTAGATCGATGAGGCGGCTGGCTCATAGTTCTATCCTTGCTAGCACCAACTCAACGCTATCCGCGCTTAGATGGCAAGAGCTATCTAAGGTGTAAATAACGACGGAACGGCGACTAGTACTTGGAAACGTCTACCTGTGATAGGTACTTTTGAAGGGAAAATCGTAGGTGCCAGTACTTTGCTGGACAATTTATAGTTCAAGAGTAGGTTTTGGCTGCAAGATCAAGATCTCCTTCTGTTCAAGCTCTAAGTGGTCGACTTCCCTGGTGAGGGGTTGCGCAGAGGTGTACTCGTAATTATGCAGGCGAGCGACTAAAAAGACGTTGCGACTTGGGACAAGGGTATCTTCCTATCTCGTGTTCGATCTTACTGCTGTGGAGAGGTCCTTTCTTGTACTAAAGGCAGGTGAATCCGAGACGAATGAAAGTGTAAGGATGCGCGCGTGTAAATTGGGCGTCCTGTCTCGTCTATTTTCCAACGAATTGGAATATTTCAAGAAACGTATTTCAAAAGAGTTGATTTAGATGTAGTTATCTCAACTCAAACGACTTATACTGCCGGGTATAGTCGTAAAAGATAAATGGGCAAACCCAAGAGGCGAACGCTGAACGCAGAGTAAATCGAAAAGACCTGAAGAAAAGATATCAAAGGGGTCAGCTAGCTGTCGAAGTTGTAGGTAATGCGACGAAATTAATTCAATCCAGGTCCTTGTAAATGTAAACAAGTGGGTCGCAATTCAATGGCATTGAACTGGTGGAAATAACATTATATCGGGTATGCAGCTGCTCGTACTATTTATTGACGGAGAGTCTGGCGTAATAAAAAGATGAGCGCCTTCAAGAATGAAGATGCTCGAGGGGTTTAAGAAAGGGAACCCAAGGGAGCTGCAACGGTATCGAGATTGTTGTTCTGTGATCTACCGACCTGCGGGAGGAGGGCGCAATGGGTTTTCGAAGTTATATGTATGCAATGCAAGCTTAAAGCTATGCGAACCATCTATAGCTAACCCGTGAAGTTGAATCGAAACACCGTAGGATAAACGCGACGCGGTAGAAACAGTCACCAGTAACCAGTCACCAAAGAAAGAAAATAAATTCACTAACCTGAACGAATGTAAACGAGTGTCGAATCGCACGATGTGGTGGTCAGTTCGCGATGGCGCGCCGGAACAAAGATCTTGGGTAGAAGAATGGGGAGGGTGTTTAACAGCTGCAAAATCGGGGCTGTTGGTCGATGCAGATTAGAAAAAAAAAGGGTCTGCTTCTTGTTTGGATTATGGTCTGTGGTCTGTGTGCATAATTTAATGGGGTACTGTTCAAGATCAACCGACCTTAGGATTCCGGGGGAATATTGCACATGTAAAAAGCGTTGACGCATAAAAAAACAATGTTCGATATTCGATGGTTAATGTTTAGAGAAGCCTGAAGGAATGGAACAGTCAGAACTTCACGCACAACACTAAATTATTGGATAAGTGGTATGCGTCGCACACCATTGTCCAAGGGGAAAAAAAAATAAAAAAAAGGAACGACGCGAAATTCAGAAGACGACGTTGTCAAGCATCACGACAGCAGATGAGATGAGCTGCTAACCCCAAATTGTTTCTATTGCCCCAATCTGGGATGAAAAGGGGAAGCGCCCCATAAGCTTTATCCACGCTGCTGCTGCCACGCTAGGTTACGCTGTTTCAAGTCAAAGTTTATTCTTGATTGGCCCAGTCGGCGCAACCCAAAGCAAGGCTAGCCACGATTTGGTATTGCTACCATTGGAACTGACACAGTAAATATCCCGACGGCCTAGCTGCACGATGGCGGGCCATTGGGGTACATAGGTATTGTACCTACTATAATAAGTTAGCGTTTCGGAATTGAATTTAACATCCACGTATGGGATAACGCGTACGAATCGTGCTTTCCTCTTGGATTCAGCATACCTAAAGTACTTGACTACCTCGTCGGTAATAACTCTTCCTTAATACAACCTAACTAGCCTATTACCATCGCAATTATATTGATATTGGCGATAGCTTCATGTCAGCAAGCGAATCCCAACTACTCCCCCCACGCAAACACCCCTCCGACGGCTACCCACCTAAGCTACTAAAAACATGACCAACAGGCTACAGCCAGCTCCAGTGTCCGCGTCGATCTCCACGTGCTGTGTTCAACTAACGAATGCCTTGCAGCTTTTATTGTGCACAGTAGCCAGCTTGTCTCGGCTAGGTGCATCTAATCCAATATATCTCCGACAAAACTAGTCGTGGATTTAGGTAATGCGAGTATATGCTGTGTCCCGCCCAGAACATAACTTAACTTAGGCAAAGCCATAATAAGCTGCCAACCGTCTTAAGCAACGCCCGATCTGATATGCACAGTGAAATAGAATAGATGTAGGCATGAAACTTATAGAGTAGACTTCGGTATGATACTGTCTCTCACTATATAATTCACAATTCACTATAGTTATACCATCTCCAAATGTCAACCAGGTGTACAGCATCAAATACATAAATCGCTTGCTTCGTATCTTACACAACGTCTATAGACCGCTCCAAAAAAAAAAAAAGCCAAGAGGTGTAAGTAGGTTTTTCAAGGGAGGTTATGTCATCTCCACCTATAGTACAAGTCGGCCTGATGCTGCTCTATGCATATGCCAGCCGTTTAACCCCATCTATGTTTTATGGTTCTACATAGTCTTTTTTTTCTTTCTTTCCGAGGTAATCCTCAACTCTAGATCCAAACTTAGACCTTCAACCATTGAAGACCTCACTAGTGTGTCAAAACACATTGCGTTAGCTTCCGAGTCTTACCTTTCTAGAGAATACAACTCGATTCCACGTTGAATGGTTGTCAGAGAATATTTCGGAGAGAAAATCCCACTTACTGCTAAAAGGGTTAGCTGTTGTAGATGAGAGGACTTCAAAGTATACCAAGCTTGTCCTATTATTCAACGTACCTGCTGCAGCTCGACGCCGTAATCTTTGGCCATCTCCCTCATCTTGGCCTCCACTTCGTCTTCCATACCGCCTCCCAACCCTAACCATTGCCGGACTTTGAAAGTGTAGAATGCTATATCTGTCGCGAACAAGATAGTCTTGAACAAAAGATGCCGCCATGCGTTGAACATGCGATCCCTCAAAGGTAGATTCGGGTCTTGAAACAAGCTTCGGCTCGCCCAGTTACCCATTATCTTAATACGGTTGACAGGAGATCCCATAAATTGGTTGTTGCCCTAATATGAAATAAGCGGGATGAGCCAATGGGATTAACCGTAATGACTATGGACAGGAGAGTAATATAAAATGAAAAGCCTACCTGAACAATACGCATATTTCGACCGATAAAGACAAGTTCCTGAGGCCACTTCTCCTCGTCCGATAGTACGTCGCGAATGCCTTGCTTCATCATTCGCTGGGCCTCGTAGTGCCGCTCCGATGGCGTCTTGCCCTCAAGTTGCTTCATGATCTTACTCCGAGTGGATTGGTTGCCTCCTTCGTAAGGGCGCAAAAGCGTCGCGCTCGCAAATAGCTCGGGTGCCTTGATACCCCACTGCGCTGTGACATCGGCTATTGTCTTATTATCGAAAGTTAAAAGCGATTTCCAGAGAAGTGCGTATTGGTGTCGGAATTTAGGAGTCATGTAAACGTAAAGCCCGTGGTCGATAAGAACTAGTTCGGCCTTTCCTGATGGTAGTCGTCTTATGAAAATGTTACCGGGATGCGGATCGCAGTGTACAACGCCCCATTTGAATATCTCTGGACCATGTTAGTCTCGTGTACTATTTCTCAAGTCCTACTCTTGTAGCTTTGTTCAGATGAACGTGGAGCCGTTCCCGTCCGTTTACAACCGGATGACATAAATAGTTGAAGAACATAATATAGGGATGGCGAAAATACTCACTACCGTCCAGTTAGTATATATGTATAGAATTGAAGAGGTAGCGGCAGATATGAACCACGAGAGGGCCTAGGGCGATATCTTTTATACATACCGAGCCGAAAAAAGATCTACCATAGTAGTCATAACCTCCTTACTTGATAAGCCGAGTCCGCCCTTACCTGACCGTCCTTTCCAGGTCTCTCGGTCGGGCTTCAGCTTTTCTTTCATTGGATTTACTCGCAGTTCTTGCCGAGCAGCCGCCATGTCCGACGGGCCAAAATGCAACTTCGCACCATGGACGCCAGGGGACCCAACACCAGAGCCTCCCAACCATCGACCACGCGTCGCATCTTTATCCCAAAGACGGACGCCTTCGATCCACTCGGTAACTAGGACTCTCCTTGTCGTGAATTCTGAGTAGACTTGAGGGATGTATACCCTGCCTTTGAGACTGGGCTCCGAGTTGACAAGACTTCGCATCGTCTCCGAATTCTTGGCTTCTTCTTCAAAATCCGTCTCAAGCATTAGCCGCTCGGTGATATACGGAACTAAATTGTAGAGAGGGAGGTCAAACCACCATGTGTAAATCCGCGTCACGACTCTATCATAGCGATTAGCTCACTTACGGTATAGTTTACGGTATAGTGACCCTAATTACGCATTATACGACTTACTTAAAGGCCCAGAGATCCCATCCCACTTGCTTGGCAATCTCGGGCTTCTGCAGCTTAATCGCAACCTCCCTTCCATCTGGAAGTCTGGCCCAGTGTACCTGTGCTACGCTGGCACTAGCTCTCGCCCTACGCTCCATCAGTCCTTTACCCTCTTCGCCGGTGAAACTGACACCGAAAACCTCTTCGACACTCTTCCCGCCAAAGTCCTTCCGAATAACCTTCTCAACATCTTTCCACTCGTCCTGCGGGGCATCGTCGAACATCCTCGAAAACATCTTTTGGAATTCGGGCGGCATAATAGCGCTCTGCATGGCGATAGCCTGGCCGATTTTGAGGTAAAGTCCGCCATTGGAGCGCAGCAAGTTGAACAGCCTCTCGGCACTACGCAAGTGTAGATCCTCGATCGTGCCGCCGGTGAGCGGCTCGGCGCGGAAGTTGATCTTGTAGTCGAGAGCGACCCAGAGACCCGTGCCGAAAGTGAGCAGGGACCGTCTGATGCCCGCGGCGAACACCTGGTTATCGATAACATAGATGGTACCGGTTATAGCGGAGAATATCAGCAACCGCCGGCCCCATTTTCGAGTCCGTTTAAAGTCTCGCGCCGCTTGCGGCTTGCCTAACGACGAGGGTGAGGGAGGACGTAAGGGCTCGAAGGAGGAGTGCGTTTGTATCGAGCGAGCCTGATGTAAGCTCCGCGCACGGTTCGGAAGACGTCGACTGACTTGAGTTCGGGCCGCATGAGCTACATTGCAAGCCTCAATTCTCTGTTTCGGGATGACTTGGCGAGTATAGAGCTTCGCTACTCCGTTGCGGAACATGTTAGCTACGGCACGTAGCAAAGTTCAGAGGCGGAAGACAAGCTTCCAACCTCTTGCAGTACATGTAGTTAAAATCAGTACATGAGGTAGTTACAATACCCTAAGATAGTTGTTTTGCTACGGGTAAGAAAAAAAAAAGTAGTTACCGACTCTAGGCTGCGCGGATTCCGTAAGCCAAGATCAATGACGATAGATATATTATCCTTATCTCCAAAATCTTATCTCCGCCGGCACCGAACCGGCCGATGTCCAGTCCGGTCCCGTCTGTACATAGGATTTAATAAGCAATTTCAGAAGGAAGTTATGATAGATTTTAGAACAGTCTTATATCATTTATTTACCACCTATTCTATTCACATATACTTATGTATTGTACAATACCTCACTTGCATATCCGGATCTTACGGCCGTCGAGTCCGATCCTTTAAAGATGAATCCTCAATTAGAGTCTAGAGCATCGAAATAATATTCTTATATTAATTGAAGAACCATAATGTGTTCATTGGCGAAAAAGGTCGGTACAGACGGTGTTCTCTTTCTTCCTTTTCTTGATTTAATGATTTACGTAAAGCTTTACGAATATGATTGAGTCGTGCGCAATATTTCTAGTAATTGACTACACATAAGAAACCAAGTTTGAACGAGAAGACTGCTTAGGACTACGTATATGTATATAAATAGTCAAGCAGCAAGGATCTCTTAAAAATAAAAGATGAAAATCTGGTTTCACCTTAACTCCCAACCCGCCTGAAGACTATCCCTGTAATCTGAGGCTCTGCATCAGAAGCCTACACTACGCGTAGATCATGCGTTTGGTCTAGGATCCGGGGAGTTTGAGACTGTGAGAAAAGCTGACGCGTGATGAAACACATGCTATGAGTGCATATGCATTTCTCTAGGCTAGGTTAGGTTAGTGTAGTAGTCTAAGAGAAAATCACCTGAATCGTATTTATCTAAGCCTATGTATTCTGCACTAGCTGACTAGAAGTTGATGATGGTTGGCTGATTTGTACGAGAAAGAGTAATTTCACTTAAGGTGCTGATGTAACAGATATATACATGTGGATTGTGGCTTGTGATCGGCAAAGTGATAAACTTGAATTCTTGATTCGCAACGATCTACCGGAGTATGATGAAATGATGTAGATCGTTCTAACTCGCTTCTAAAAAACGATAAGCCGTGTTTCCAACGTTGGTTGGGCTCGTAACTTTTTAAAATGTTTGCTTTTTTTATACGAATGAGATAGGAGACATGAAATACACATTACCTACTACCTACGTATAAATCAGGTATCTGTAGATTCAATCTAACCGGATCCTATCATTCATTGGTGGACTACCAGACAAGGGATAGGCAGTTCAAGTACATACTGACCGACCTTCTCTTTTAAGCCATGTTTGCATCTTGATTACCGAGATGACGGTCTTACATAACCTATCTACATACTTAACAAATGGCCCCTAAATTCTTGAATCCTTAAAGAAGCATTTCACCCCACGATACGCTTCTGTCGAGTCTACTATGCGATATATGTAAGCGAGTAAAAAAGGCCGTAACTCAAGTCTTGGTATAAGTGATAGTACATATGCATCGAATGTGATGTGATTACCAAGACAAGATAATCCCACGGCAAGTCCCGCAACACCATGTTTAGCCTATCTGGAAATCTGCAGCAGTTCTGCTTTCTAAGTTGCGGATAAGCTGACAGCTTATCGCAGTCCCATCAATCAAACTTGCAGAAAAGGGAGCCTCTTGGATAACTAGCCTTATTCCGACGTACTATGCGCGGGAGGTCTCGGCCTGGGCTATCTTTGTCGCTCGTTACAATAGTAAGGCGGACTCGACTTCCGGTCCCACGATCCACAGCATCGCGCATCGTAAAGTATTAGAAATATGCTTAACTAGTGCGGCTTGGACGTTCCGTTCAGGCTTGGAAATCGGTATTGGCGCAAAAAGGCCACATGGTTAAGCAAAGCTTGTTATGACACACAGCTTTCAACTAATTGTAACATTATGTCTCATTGTATGGCTTATTGTATGGCTCATTGTATGGCTCATTGTATGGCTCATTGTATGGGGATATTTCGGGCTGCCTTTGTTGGCATTAACATCACAGTGATAAGGCGATGTTTGCAGTGGAGCTGAGTCGCTCCGGGATGTTACGCCGAGTTACTACATGTATGTAGGTGTATGCAGTACGGCCTACGCTACTGTAGAATTCGGTGATGCATCAGTGCATGCGTGGGCAGGTGGGCTGTTATGTAGTAGTGACGAGTTTTCTGGTATGTAGGTAGTTCCAGGTCCAATACGATCTATTCAACCCAGGTATGCCCGGAACGATGCTCTAGAACAAGTTAAAAGGTATTTATTTCGATCTCGAGGAAGATATAAGACTGCATTAAGGTTAACTAGTGTTTATTGGGTAGATCGTGTAATCCGCAATTAAGACTCTTTTAAGATTTTAAGGCCTGATCGACCCCATTAGGACTTGGTCCCGACTAACTGACTAGCTCTAGCGCTAGATCCTTACGATACTGCTAGGCAGGTACGTTACCCCACTGTCCAGACGCTTAACGTAAGGAAGTCAGGGGAGCAAGCGGACAAAAAAGCATCAGAACATTAAAGCAAGCTAAGCCACTCTCTTAATCGCGCCGTGCAGGGGGCCCACTAATATAGACTAGACCATGACCTGCAGTTGGCAGACTCCAGACAGTCCAGAGTTAGGCTTGGTCCACCAAATTGCGCCAAAGTCCCCTTTGTTCAACCAACCCGCAAGTCAAGAAGGTACGCTAGATTCAGTCACGCTCCCGTGCCGCCCGCCCAAACTGCCAAACAAATCCCATCAGGCGCTTTCCTTCCAATCAACTCCAATCAAACTCCATTTCTTCTAAGTTCGACTTTCCGATCTTCGACACCGTCACCATTTGGCACTGCCACCACGTCTGCGTAACACATCCGCGCCACTCGGTTTTGATTGATTTTATCCCAATCGCCCTCAGTCACTCGTTTCTGGAAAGCGTGGTAGGTTGACAAATTCAATAACGAGAGGAGATCAAAGGAAGGGATTCGAGAATCCGTCGTAGAAAGAGGTCGCAAATCGGTTATTCGAATTTCGGGACGGTCTCTGGGGATTATGCGCAGCGAATAGAATCGGTATAACGGAACGAGGAACAACAAAACGCAGTCAGATTTGAAGAAGACCCATCGATCTACATGTCGCCGCCATCGATAGCGATATACTTGAATTGCTCACCTTCGTATACCTCACAATCGCATTGTTACCTTTAAGACCTAAGTTGACTCGAACCCGGACTCGATTTCGATTGAACGCAAGCAATTACTTAGGCGTCGCGGCTCCTTTGAGTCGGCGCGCTACTAAGCCGCCATCATGTTGCGACCAGCTACACCCTTGACGGTGTTGCTCTTTGCAGCCTTCGCTATGCTGCTACTCGCCGTCCTATCGACCCCTATTATCAAAGCGATTCCTCTCGGTACTTACAAAGGCGTCAACTTTGGTGTATTTGGGTATTGTGAAGCGGACGGTCGGTGTAGCCCAATAGAGATTGGATATGATACATGTATGTCTACTCCCCTCAAACTCATTCTTATGAAGAACCAATTTGACTTATGTCTAACATATTTCCAGCGTCAATTTATTCTCCAACGGACTCAGCTACCTTCGATTTACCTTCTACAACGCGGACAACTCTTTCCGCTATCCTCGTGGTTCATCCCGTTGCCTGTCTCCTTACCTTGGTGATGCTGGTACTTGCCATTGTCGCCCACCTTCATGCTCCTTCTCATTCGTCACGTTACTTATTACTACTTTTTATCTTCGGCATCATTACGTTTCTAGTATGCCTCCTTGCCTTTTTAATCGACGTGTTACTTTTCGTTCCTCATATGGCCTGGGGCTCTTATATCGTTCTAGCTGCTACGGTTCTTGTATTCATGAGTTTTATTATTTCGTGCGCTATGCGACGCACTCTAGTCAATAGAAAGGCAAGAAAGAGGCGGATCGCAGAGAACGCCGAGATGAGTGGAGAGAATTACTATAACCGCCAAGCTCAACAAGAGGTGGTATCTCCCACCCCTGTTTCACGACAGCCTACGGTTCCCGTTGTTAGTGGAGCGAACGGGCCAAGTGATGGATTTGCCTCATTCGAGAAGAAGGATGATCGCAGCAGTGACGAACGTATACCTCTAACCGCTAGGACTCCTTCTGACAGGTCCCCGAATCATGCTCCTGCTGATACGAGCATGTCGGGCTCCACATATAATATGCCCCAACGGACAGGCTCTAGCAACTCAATGCCAAGAGACCAATACGGTAATCCGATTGAGCAGCCCCAGGATGCCTACAAAATGCGACGAGGTCCGTCTTTCGAGCGTATGAATGCGAGGGGCCGTGGTGGTCCTCCAGCTGGTTATAGAGGGCGAGGAGGCTATGGAAGAGGGGGCTACGGTGCTCCCTATGGCCCACCGGGCGGAAGGGGTGGATACGGCCCACCGCCGAACGGAAGAGGCGGTTATGGTCCCGGCCGCGGTGGTTACGGGCCGCCACCCAATGGGCGAGGAGGCTACGGTCCCCGTAGAGGCTATGGCCCGGGTGAGATGAGAGGTGGGAGAACACCGCCGCCGACTTACCCCGGGGGTGGACCATATGATCGAAGACCATCTCCGGCTGCCGCCTATGGTGATTATGGCCCGGGGCGGCAAGGGTCACCGGCGGCACCAATCAACCCTTACGAAGCTGAGCCGCCCGTGCCGAGTATCCCAGTTGGTATGGCTGAAGGAGCTAATTACCAAGCATACAACCCGGATCGTGCTAGTGACCTGCCCCGAGCAGAGTCCCCTCCTCCTATGCCTGGTATTGATGATGCGCATGAAAGGCCAGTAGGCCAAGCCGTGGAGATGGATGCTTCAACGGGAAGCCCCGCTCATCCACCTCAAGGCTTTGGCCAGTTCAACAACCAACTTAGGGATAGCGATGCGGACGTAGCCGGCATGTTAGCCCTGCAGCAAGCAAGGACATCCTCCCCACACCGTCCCGACACTTTTATGAGCGAAGGAAGCAGATATAGCCAAGAAGGGTTTGTTGAATCGTCGATAAAATAGTTCCGCCGCTAACATTATAAACAGCCAATACGTTCCTCCTCGTCAGGGGTGGCGGGGACCCGAGCGGCCCTCCCAGGTACCTGCTCCTCTTCAAGTTCCAACCCGCCCTCAAGAACTTAGCAGCGAGACGCCTCCTCCGCTACCACAGCCTCAACCAGCAACCGCCGGCACGGGCAATTATTATGAAGACGTAGATCCTCGTTTCGAAGAGCCGGCTTCTAAACCGCAACAACTGCAACAACCGCCGCTGCCACCACAAGATGGGCTAAATTATGACGACGTACCGGCTCAACCTATGAGTCCAGCGATATCCGAACAGTCGGGATTTACTTCTATTTCTCAAAGAGGCATAAATCCTCGTTGGAACCCGCCTCCCGGTCAAGGATATAACCAGCAAGTGCCACCACGAAAGCCCATTGGTCGAAATGAAGTGAATGTTCTTAATAGTAACCCTGACTTCCAGCTGCCAATGGCACGCGGGGGGGCACGCGGGGGACCAAGCGGGAGAGGAGGTATGATCCCTGGAAGCGCGTATCCAGGTTTATAAGAAATCGCTTTCAATTCTTTCTTGTTCGTTGAGTCATGGAGCTACTCAGGTGGCTTTAAAACGCACTCCAGTGCGTAGGGAATCCCTTGCGGATTCTTAATCAAACCACATGCTATTCAAGCACTCACAATCCGACTTTACAGTCGATGTCTTCTTTTCCTATCCTCTATCCTGATATACCCACACGCACAGGAAACTTTCTATTCGACATGAGACTTATTCAATTCACATTTTAACTATCGTCGGCGTCATAAACGCGGATGTTCTTGAACAACATATTACGAATGATAGGCGGAAACCATCCGTCATCATTCGCGGACCTCTAATTTAGTCGCGTATCTTCGCGGGCCGGATAGATCAAAAGAGGTTATAGGTGGTGCTTTTCTAAAGCCTCGAGGCAACGTCCGAAGACCAGTCTCTACCGCCATTGATTGGATGGGAGTTTGGAGACGCGACGGTATAGGGTGTGGCAATGGCAGGAAGGCCAGCCCTTTAAAATTCTCTGGATGTATCAGGAGTTATGTCTGATAATGGACTTCGTTTGCGGGCTAGTCTATGATGTATGGGTAGTAGCTACATGCAATCAGAAGCAAGCAAGCATTTTTTGCCTTCTGCGCGAATACGCAAGCAATACTAGTGAAAACGAAGAAAATAACGTTTGAAATATGAGCGCCTTCGTGCCTGTTACCCGTATAACCTGTCTTCTGATGTGTGTGTGTATACTTCGTTTGCTGTTGCTATGCGTATAAATAGCAAGTAGTAGGTAGCATTAGGGAGAAGTTTGTTGGTTTTCTAACCCTTTGTAGTAGGAAATAGACTCCTGATTATTGAATTCAGTTTATTGCCTAGCATAGAAGTCAGGAGAGAAGCGGCCTCAATATTCGGTAAGACCGCTCACATATTCATATATTTGTCATCCTATATATTCTCTCAACCTTGACCAAATACGGGGATAATACGTAGTGAATTATCGTTAGTTTTACTGTGAGTATACCTTCGGCTTGGGAATAGGGTCTTTTCGACTGGGGGACCTGGAAAACTCTCATATGGCGATCAAGGTTGGAAGGGCTTGGATGATCATGTATATCTCTTAAGGTAGGTAGGTATGTAAGATACTGGAATCGCTAGCCTTACGGGCCGTATACCCCTAGGGAGGGCCGGCCGCGGCGTTGAATACACACACAACCTTGACCAAGATGTCACCCGCTGGGTAATGATTACGATATGCTACAAAATTGCAATTATGCCAAGGTCGGGAAAGGTCTGATACTTGACGTGCGTTCTTTGTATGAAACGTGATAGTATTGTATAATGTGATAATATCGTATAAGTTGAGTGAGGGCCCGTTCCCTTCAACCAGTCGTTTTGAAACTAAGGATTCAAGAGTCTTATCCTTTGCTCGTCCTCGGCGTTACTATTAAATAACCAATTAATATATGTCCTAGTTTATATGGGGTGTGGCCTTACCTGTAGTTATTAGTAGGAGGTTGAACTGAATAATAAGGGCATCTTTCGCCAAGTCAATATTCCTTACGGGGCAAAACCTTCCGCCTTATAGGTAATGTTATCTTTATAGTAGATCTAGGACTTCGGAATATCACAAGTCTAGATTTCATCCGTCATTCCGCGATAGAATGACAAATCGGACAACTCGCGTAGCAACAGCCATCTCTTCCGTAGATAGATAGGATGATGCCCAAACATACGCTCCTCTCATGTAAGCTGAGACAAGTAATAAGATATAAGATGGGAGAAGCTAGTCGTGTGTGTATGTGTATATGTGCTAGGTACTCTTGCAAGCTTCAAGTGATGCAATTTGAGGTAGTCGCGTGGCTGAGCCGACTTCGATGCAACATGACGCCCCCTTTTACGAAACGTCGGGACGGCCCCCATCCTCGAGTGAACGAATAGAAGTATTGTCGAATGCGAAAAAACGACGCCGTAATCGCTGACGAGCAATTACGCTTTATACTGTGCGACACCCCCCCCCCCCCCCCCAGGTGATCACGGTATAGGTAATAGGGGTCACCTGAATCGCAGCACTCTAACGTCTCTAAAGCTCTCTATAGCACTGGCTCATTCTAGCCCTCAGCTCTCTAGAGTTTAGTATCGTAGATAGCTGTTAGATGTCAGCTGTCAGCTAAGCGTACCCCTACCTGTAATGCGATGGCCTTGGCTGCTCCTAGTCTTCGGAGCTACAGCCCAAGAGCACTAATCTAACGCGGCATTATATTGCTTTCAGTTCGATTCGAACCCTCGCCTCACTGTCAGTACTAATCTGGCTCTGGGACTCAAATACGGGTTCAGCGTAATCAATCGCTGGATGCAGGGAATTGTAGGCTTTTCCACCTCACGAACCGGGCTCATAACTGTCGAAGCTGAAAAACGACGCCGTAATCGCTAGCGAGCAATTACGCCTTATATTGTGCGGCAAATATCTATATAAATAGACTAGGTCTGGGGATAAGGATCCGATATTAACATGCGGCTATCAATTTCGCCTTTGGGATAGTTACACCAAGTCGAAATGCTGTACGACAAGGCCTAACGAATTATGAGAACCAATACCGTACGCGACTGCTACGGCTCCCTCTATCAGAATATCTCGTGACTCGGCAAATGGCTACGACACGAGCGAGTTAGTTTGCTGGACAAAGTCCTACTTACGATGTAGCATCACATATCACGCCCATCTCTATACCTAGGCTCCTTGGCCGAACACCCGCCCAATTAAGTGCTCGTCTGGATTAGCCTGCGGGTTAGGGGGCGAACCATTCCGAATATTGCAGAGCCGGTTAGGTAACGGCGGTGTGTAAGATGCCTTGAGGGTATAGTGATGATCGACATGAGCAGGGCCTTATTTACTTGGGTGCTCGTATCGATAATGTGCGGTGAGGGGAGGGAGGGAGAGCATCGTGAGATGAGAGGTTAGATAAATAGGTTAGTCTTTTCCTAGACGATTTTAGTTGTGATTCCTCTTTGAAGGGGTTATGCCGTCGTGAGAAGCTGGGAGTAGTAGATATATTTACTTAGAGACGATTAAGCTCAACTCCGAAACTCGTTGTGATTCTATATTACCGAAAAAGGGGGATAGAGGAGACCTAACCGAGCCCCATTAGCCTTACGACCGCAAATCTCTTTGAACTCCAAAAAAAAAAAGGCTGACGCGATATCGTCGAAGGGACGTTTACATAGCGGCCAAGAGCTCCATCACAATGTGCCGCAACACTCACCACGCAAACCGAGCCAGACACCCACCACTCCAAGTCATCTTTGTCCTAACGGCGGCCCCGGGAGAACTACACAGCTTAAACCAGGGCGGCCTTTTCCTCACCGTAGCCGAAGACACCAACGACAGCACTACAACCGGCGGACGCTGCAATTGTCCCGGGAATCGCAAACGGAAGAGCCTAGTCGCAAGCCTAACGGAGCTTCTCAGCCGGCCCTGGGCCGTTCGGGAGTGCCGAGTCGTGACGAACGAGTGGGACTTGTTTAATATTATGACTCCGGGAGTACAGTTGAACCTACCACACCCGACGGTATGCCAGCATGGAAACGCGGCGCCGTTTACTACTACGTCTCGGAGATATAGCAGAGAGGGGGAGGTCGTCGAGTTGGAGGGGAATCATACTTATGAACGTAATTGACGTTAATATAATATACCTAACCTATGGCTATGAGGACTATTGGTAGTGAGTGCTGGAACGGCGGGATGAGTAGCTAATTATGTATTAGGCGGAAAGAGGCGGAAATGGGATGGATATAGGATAATAGGAGCACACGTATATTTCAGGAGACGATGAATTAGCATGTATTTAACTTGAGATTTAAGCCTGGAGCTGACGTCTGGTGTTGGAAATCGGAGGGACCCCTATTTGGAAGCTTAATGGGTGCGATGATGAGGTTATGAGGACATTACCTCCGTCTGGTATATTATTAACAAGGGCTTGAAATACTCACTAAAACATCATTATTGAGAATGAGTTTAACACTCTGAAGCTTGTTGTCTCGATACGTAGATGATAGTGAGGAATTAAAGTAGGAATATGGTAGCACTCAGTCACGAACTTGGAAACAATTCTTGGCATTTGGTATATTTTTGTCATTCCTAGGCATTGCCTATGTCCATCCATGCCTTGCCATGCACAGAAGATCGAGATTCCAGGCCGCGAAAAACCCCTAATGCGATGAGAAAAGAGCAACCGGCAGAGAACCCAGAAACACCATCACCACCACCCCACGCACCACCATCTGATTTACCCTTTTTAGATGGTCGTCTCGTACGGGATGGGAGTCACCGTCTCGGGTCGGTTGTCCTTCATGGACACTGTTCGGGCGTCGCGGGGAAGAGCAGCTTGTCGCTTAACGGTGACGGTGGTACCGTTGGCCTTGGCCTGCTTCTTGAGCTCGGCGTTCTGCTTGACGCGCTTGAGGAAATCCTCTCTTGATCGCGATCGGGTGATGTGCTCGATGCGGACGTTGATTCGCTTCTCGATGTACCGGTGCCTCACCTTCTTGTAGATGATGACGCCGACGGCCGTCTTGGTGACGTTGAAGATGACACCGGTCTTGCCGTGGTAGACCTTGTGAGGCATACTATTTTTCCCGCCAAGTTAGCCCCGGTTCGCAAAGTGATTCGTATCCTTGCCAAGTTCGCAGCTTTCGCTCCTGGATTCGGTCGGATCGCATTTTCTTTTCGAGGAATTTGTGTGTGCCTTACCCCTTCTGAACAGCACCATTGGCCTTGATGTCAACGATATCGCCGACCCTGCCCGATTGTTAATAATTTGTTCCAATCATAAATTCGAGATACTGCAGATCGATGCGTACTTGTACTGTTGTAGGTAGGTGGAGAGGCGGATCGAACCCTTCTCTCGGAAGTTTCGAGAGAAGGCGTACTATCGTGTTTGTTAGTTACGAATTTCTCTTCTAAAAATTAATTATCTTGGTAGAATTGATTAAACGTACTCGAGTACCAGCGCGGAGACCTGCGGCGTGACCCATCTTGCCGGTGTTGTCGTGTGGTGAGGAGAAATGTTAGAGTGTGATGGAGGTTGATTGAATTTCTCTCTCTTGATGTCGGCTCTCGAGAAATTCGCTTAGGGAATTTTTTTTGGGGCTTGTGAGCGGTTGTGGACTTTGGAAGGCAGGGAGGCTAGGTGCTATCCAACTAAGAATTGGGAAGTTACCGTAGATTAAGCGAGGTGTACGTAACTTGTACCCAATCGGCCAATCAAGCTTAGCCCCACTCTTGCCCTACTCCATTCCACAAACCCACTTCTTTTCTAACTAACCCATCCTTTTTTTTCCCATTCGTTTTCTAAACTTCGCGCATCCTACGACAACCTCGTTCCTTTCCCCCTCCCAACCACCAAATCATCAAGGCAATTGAGTCGCAACCATGGCGCCTCGATCTTACTCCAAGACCGCAAAGGTCCCCCGTCGCCCTTTCGAGGCCGCCCGTCTGTCAGTAATCACCGGCCACTGAGTTAGAGCTTGTCTCGGCTTAAGTCGATTGTGAACGAGAAAACTGACATGGTCGCCTTCATAGTGATTCCGAGTTGAAGCTCGTTGGAGAGTACGGTCTACGAAACAAGCGTGAGGTGTGGCGTGTCCTGCTCACCCTTTCCAAGATTCGTCGTGCTGCCCGGTAAGTTTTTACTTGAATTCATCTTTGCATGTTTAAACGTATCTTTATCTTAGATTGCGAAAACTAATCCAATTCAATTATTATAGTCAGCTTCTTACCCTCGACGAGAAGGACCCCAAGCGTCTCTTCGAAGGCAATGCCCTCATTCGCCGTCTCGTTCGTGTCGGTGTGCTCGACGAGTCCCGCATGAAGCTCGATTACGTGCTTGCCCTGAAGGTCGAAGATTTCTTGGAGCGCCGCCTGCAGACCTGCGTCTACAAGCTCGGTCTTGCCAAGTCCATCCACCACGCCCGTTGTCTCATCCGCCAGCGCCACATCCGCGTTGGCAAGCAGATCGTCAACGTCCCCTCTTTCATCGTCCGTCTCGACTCCCAGAAGCACATCGACTTCGCTCTGACCTCGCCGTTCGGTGGCGGGCGTCCCGGCCGTGTCCGAAGAAAGAAGGCTAAGCTCGCCGAGAAGAAGGATGAGGGCGAGGAGGAGGAAGAGGAAGAGTAAATACATCACTCTCCATGAATTTACGTGGATACCTGTTTGCCGGTGGGGAAAACGGATTACATTATGGGCGTATGAAACTACTTTAAAGGTCATACCTCAAGGCGTTAGGCCAGGGGAAACGGAATGCATGAAAGAACTTTCACGACCGTTTGATAAATCAATGCTCTATGTGATCCACTGCTTTGACTCCTTTCCATGTATTATAATATTGCTTAGTGATATGCCAATACTACCGAACTAATTCATCATTCCCTAAAAACTTGGCCATGGGATCGTCTGCCGCTGTGCGCTTCCTGCGATACTCGTCTAGTTCGGCTTCTGAAATCCCACCCATCATCTCTTCTACCGTACGCTTCTTGCTTGGTTGTTGTGTAGGTTCGGTTTCATCTGTCTTTTCCTCTGCCTCATCATCCTCCCGAGCGGGTGCTTCTTCGATTAGATCAATACCCGTCCTCTGTTTCTCAGCCGCCTCCCAGGCGCCCTTACCCTCCTCGCCCGTACAGTAGCTGTTTTTAATAAAAGAATGACAGCACGCGTAGCCCCATTTAAAATTGGACCACCAGCTGCCCCATACCGAGGTGTGGTTGTTCACGTAGACGTCCTCGGCGTACTTGGATTTGGCCGACGTCCTGGGCGCGCCTTTGATCAGGCCCGACTCGTCGTACTCGACGAACTGCTCCGACTCGGTCACGGCCGCATCGCGCAGGGCGGCCGGCATCACGTGCTGGTCGCCGCCGTATTTGTCCTGGAGCGCCTTGATCTTCTCGGCGCGCTTCCGCTCGGCTTCTTCCCGCTCCTTCTTGCGGTAGAACTCGCCCGCGGTGGGGTTCGCCTGCAAGTGCTGGCTCGTGTCGCCGCTGCTCTCTTGTTTTTCCCACGCGTACTTCTGCGCCTTTTCGAACTCGGCGGCGTCGCCCGAGGCGCGGAGGTACCCTTCTTCGGCGAAGAGCTGCGCGGCCTTGTCGACTGTGGCGCCGGCGTCGACCATGGTCCGCGTCTTGGGGTCGTATTTGGCGGATTCTAGGTCTAGGTTTAGTAGGTATTTGGCCGTGTCTTCTCGTATTCGTAGCTGTCGCGTAGCGGTGCTCTGGTGTCGTCCCATGTCTGATTCCTCGGCGTACTTCTCGCCCGAGTCCTTGTTATCCTCCTCGCCGTCGCCGTCGCCATCATCCTTCTCCTTGTCCCCGGATAGCTGGGCACGAATTTCATCCATATGATTGTACCGCTCCACGACGCGGCGATACTCTTTGGGGTCGTAGCCATTCCATCGGTCTCGCTTGGCATCCCAGCCGAGCTCGACGTCCTGGATGACCTCGTCGGCCTGTATATCCTTCCCGGTCCACTTGGCGCCCTTCGCCCGCGGGCGGTTGAGGCAGTCTTTCGCCTTGTGCGTTATGGCACCGCAGTTTTCGCATGCGCCTTTGCGGTACTTGGTGGCGGCGGGACCGAGTTTCTTGCCGCGGTCGTACCATTTTGACTGGTCGTCCTTGGTTTTGTGCAATCGCTGATGCTCGAGGTAGTCGGTTGCGTCGCCTTCCTCGCCCGCGTAGAAGGGCCGCTTGCTGATGAAGGACGGGATGTAGATGTTTTCCTCCTTGGAGGCGGCTGATGCCTTGGAGTCGTTCCGCCGCGACGGCGGTGGTGGCGGCGGTGGCATGCTGACTGCGTCTTATGTGTATATGTTATGTTAGGAGGGGCGGTGACTTGAAAGAGCGGATGTCTCGAGGACGGATTAGGGATTTGATGCTAAAACCTGGGGGGAAAGGAATAAATTTAGATATGGGAAGTCTGATTAAGCATGAACCCTTGGCAATATGATCTTTGAGGTATCTTAAGGTTGTACTAATCGAAGTTGTGGCTAGAACAAAGATTTAAAGATGTGGCTGGATTGCGGCTCGAGTAGGTAAAGATAGACCCACTTTCGTACCATATGTAAATATTATCTAATTTTAGGCTCATACAACCCACTAGGATGTTCAATGTTATTTAGTGGGTCTCAGGCATCAAGGCATCAACATCTCCCAACATAGTTAGCAAGTATCCCCTCATACAAATTACTACTGTAAAATACATAACTTGAGAATAGCCTTATTTAGTATAATCTGATTTTTCAATTGTTTACCCCTAGAGTTACGGCATTTTAAGACCTTATTATACATTGTTAAATATAACATTTTAAAGAAGAGGATAGCCTTTTAAGCGGCCTCAATAGCCTATTTTAATTCCCGTAACGTCAACGACTATAAATCGTAATTACTATCTAGTCAGTCTTTCACCTAAGCCCACACGTTTTCAATAGGATTTAAATCAGGGCTGTCCGGGAGCCATTCAATCGTCAAGGCATTTCAGGGTCCTTTTGGCTGTGTGGGAGAGGGCGTTATCGTGTTGAAATACTATACGTACGAGGAGGCTATTCAAGAATCGCTTAACGAGAGGGAAAAGGGGCTTTCGGCAGAGTCGTTGTTTTTGTACCTCCTCATAGTAATTTGTATGTGGAAATACATACTAACCGTATTCAAAAGATGTTGATGCCTGGCGGCTTGGCGCTCCACTAAATAACATTGAACATCCTAGTGGGTTGTATGCACTTATCGAGTACCTAATCTGCTAATGTTAGTTCTAAGGTGCCTGACACTAAGACACTTAGCACCTGACAGCGCGTTGCGGTATGAAACTAACTGATTCACTTAACGCGTCTGCCCTCGATGGGGCCCGCGCCATTGAGTATTGAAACAAAGCACCAAATTCATATCAAACAACTTTTCTAGTATATAATCAATAAGCTCTAGCTAGGTTTATACCAGGTGCTTTGGATTCTCCAAGTATCCTTAAATTGCATCGACGCTATGACGTACAGCATAAATCGCCATGGATGTCTTCCGCGTGCGGCTGAACTGCATAGACCATTATCAAGCTATCCCTACGATATATGACCCTCGACTTCGCAATGATGTTCATCCATCCCAATTAAATAAGGAACCAAGAGTTCCGGTTATCAGAGTTTTTGGGTCGACGGAAACAGGCCAGAAAGTGTGTGCGCATATCCATGGCGCTTTTCCGTACTTATACATCGAGTATAATGGAAGTTTGCTCTCCGATGATGGTAAGGTGTATGAGAGTCCTGTGAAGTCGCGGTTCTAATTCGGTATCTTAGTGGGTGCTTATATATATCGCCTTCACCTCTCTATTGATCACGCCTTGGCTGTGAGTTACCGTCGTAATACTCATGATGGAAAGAGCAAATATGTGGCGCGGATAACCCTCGTCAAGGGAATCCCCTTCTACGGCTTCCACGTCGGTTATCGATTCTATCTCAAAATCTATATGCTTAACCCCCAGGTTATGACCCGACTTATCGAGCTGCTTCAACAGGGAGTTATTATGAAGCGGAAGTTTCAGCCTTTTGAAGCACACTTGCAATATCTATTGCAATTCATGACTGACTATAACCTCTATGGGTGCGGATACATAGAATCTCAGAAGGTCTGTTTTAGGGCTCCGGTGCCCGAGTATGAAAATGACTTAGAATTACCTCATCTATGGCATAGCCAGTCAGTCCCGAGGAAATTCATCACCGAGCATCCGGATCTTCCTCGTGCTAGCCATTGCTCGATCGAAGTCGACATATGTGTTCAGGATATCCTCAACCGGCACGAAATCAAGGAGAGGCAGCTTCATCACGATTTTGTCGAGAGGAAGTACCCCCTGTCTCCTGATCTGAAACTTGTCCACAGCATGGCGGGACTATGGAAGGATGAGACGAAGCGTCGTAAAAGAAAAATGCTCGGCCGAACACCGGGAAGCAGCCCGTTCCCTCCGGAGGCTTTGGTTTCTATGTCCGCAGACCCGCGCAATTCACAGCCCTCCGGGTGGGTTCATGAGGAAGAATTCAGGGACCAGATCCAGGAGTTAATACAGCAAGAGCACGAGCAGAGCAATGGTGGAGAGGTCACTTTCGATACCTTCGTAAAAGACATACCTCTAGGGTCTACTGTCAAAACTTTACTGCAATCTGTCGAGGATCTTTATCCCGATAACCTCGGATCTATGCTTGGTATAACAAGCCAACAGTTTGAGAATGATAAGAATCCTACCAGCAGTATCATCGTGGATGACAAGCGTATACTTGATTTTAGACTGAATGAGGACGGCGTCTTCCCAGATGACTCGGAAGAGGAAATGTCCTATGGTCTAAACCCACTAAAGGACAAATACCCTAATGCTAAGAAATTAAGCGACAAGAATTCAGCAGGAGCAAGCAGATTGCCACATAAGGATACCGATAAAAATGGTTCGTATGCCCGATCTGACGCATTCGAGTCGATAAGCTCGAGTATCGACTCAGAAAAGGAGAATCGTCCTGAGCTACTTATCAATGGAGTGTACGTCAGTTGTTTGCGTACCAAGAATCGACGACATATCCCAGTCCCGGAGGTTCTGCTGGATGTCGCAAAGGAGCAAGGAATGGTGAGCAAAGCTCCTCATGATATGCAACATGCTCTGCCCAAAAGGGCTGCAAAACGTGCACACTCGCCGTTCCAGGGAGAAAAGGAAGCAAAGCACCGTCGCGTAGGTTTTGCTTCCACTCTAGTTGTGGATAAAACAAGCATTATAGAGAAACCAACAGCGAATCAAAGAGAGCCAAACGGACAGGAGGCTCAGGTAACATCTATGCGGGTCCCGCAATCGAGGTCAAAGAAAAATTCAAAAGCCTCCGGAAACCATACGCTCGGTTTCCCAGTCGTCAAGAACCCCAACGATCCAAGCACCAGATTGCGACTTAGCCAACAAACGAGCTCTCAGAAAAGTGATAATGGCGAACTCGAGAAGCACGTCAGATTCAGTTCATGGACCCCGACGGACGATGCTGCTCAAAACTCGATTTTACACATGGACAAACCGGAGTCTGATAGTTCCGTGCCAGAGAGTACGAAGGGAAGGGATTCCGGAGATCTTATCGATGTTGGGTGTATTCCTCGGCCTGAAGCACAATTCTTCATCTACGGTCAACCCCCACCCTCGCCGGAGGAGATTTTGTCTACCATGGATTCTCTAGGTCGTCCTAGCGTCATATATCAAGATGCATTTTACAGTAACGAGAAAGATGTCCCGCAAAGAATTCGGGAATATGCTGGCCAGGAATTCCGTCTCGAAGGCAATACCTTGCCGTATCTTCCAGATTTTGACCCAACAGGAGAATCTCTAGCCAATTTTGGCATGAAATCGGAGGTGCCTAACGATACCGAGAAGGATACCCAGGTTTATAAGAAACTACGTCAGGAATGTTCACTAAGAAGCTGGGAAATCGCGGAACCACCACCTAGCTTTGACGAAGTACGGAGTTGGTGGACGAAAACCCAGGAGGTGGCAAGCAATTCCCAAGAACCTGTAATAAAGCTTCGCGATCCTGAGCTGAAGCCATATCTATCACAGATTGACGGGCCCACCCCCAGGAATAAGCATAACTTTAAGTATTCCCAGAAAAAGAAGTCTACGAGTGTCCAGCACGAAGCTCAATACATGAGTACTATGAGCTTGGAGGTACACGTCAACACCAGGGGCAAGCTTTTTCCAAATCCGGAAGAGGACGAGGTTCAATGTATTTTCTGGTGTTCTAAGTCGGATGAGAACTTGGCCAGTGGTGACGATGCATCACAGTCGATACAATCTGGCATTATTGTTCTCTCCGAGGACGGGTCTCTGGCACGAAGAATGCAGAAGCAAAGTCCAATTCTGACCGAGATCATTGAAGAATCATCGGAACTCGACTTAATGGTGAGGATGGCCGAGATCGTTAGGACGCACGACCCTGATATCCTTACTGGTTACGAAGTTCACGGCAGCTCGTGGGGATATTTAATCGAGAGAGCAAGGTTCAAATACGACTATAATCTATGTGACGAATTCTCGCGGATGAAGAATCAGTCGTTCGGGCGATTTGGAAAGGAAGCAGATCGATGGGGCTTCAACACTACTTCGACTATTCGAGTTACGGGTAGACATATGGTCAACATCTGGCGTGCTATGAGATCAGAACTCAATCTCCTTCAGTACACAATGGAGAATGTTGTATGGCACTTGCTACATCGACGAATTCCGCATTATCCCTGGCAAACCTTAACGGAATGGTATGTCGGAGGGAGGCATCATGGCCTAAGCAAGCTCCTTCGATATTACCTGAGCCGAACGAAGCTCGACATAGAGATCCTCGAAGCGAACGAACTCATACCACGTACAAGTGAACAAGCACGGCTTCTAGGCGTAGACTTCTTTTCTGTTTTCTCTCGCGGATCCCAGTTCAAAGTAGAGTCGATCATGTTCAGAATTGCGAAACCAGAAAACTTCATATTAGTTTCACCCGATAGAAAACAGGTTGGAAGCCAGAATGCGCTCGAGTGTCTTCCTCTTGTAATGGAACCTCAAAGTGCCTTCTACAACAGCCCATTAATCGTCCTCGACTTTCAGAGTCTGTACCCTAGTGTCATGATCGCATACAATTACTGCTACTCGACTTTTCTCGGTCGTATTGTCAACTGGCGCGGTACGAACAAGATGGGGTTTACGGATTATCAGCGGCAACAGAGGCTCTTGGAATTGCTTAAAGATCACATCAACATATCGCCCAACGGCATGATGTACTGCAAGGCAGAAGTCAGAAAGTCATTATTGGCAAAGATGTTGACAGAAATTCTGGAAACACGAGTGATGGTGAAGAGTGGTATGAAGCAGGATAAAGACGACAAGACCCTGCAGAAGCTCCTCAACAATAGGCAACTTGCTCTGAAGCTACTTGCAAACGTCACATATGGATATACGTCAGCCTCGTTCTCAGGTCGCATGCCGTGCTCCGAAATCGCAGATAGCATCGTGCAGACTGGACGTGAGACTCTCGAGAGAGCAATAGCTCTAATACATTCGGTGGAAAAGTGGAAAGCAGAAGTCGTCTACGGCGATACTGATAGCTTATTCATCTATCTACCGGGTAGGACTAAAGACGAAGCGTTCGATATCGGCAACGAGATTTCTAAAGCAGTTACTGATATGAATCCCCGGCCGATCAAGCTTAAGTTCGAGAAAGTCTACCACCCATGTGTTCTACTTGCGAAGAAGCGCTATGTCGGCTACAAGTACGAGAGCAAAGACCAGGTCAAGCCCGACTTTGACGCGAAGGGTATCGAGACGGTTAGGAGAGATGGGACACCTGCCGAACAGATGATAGAGGAAAAGGCGCTCAAGATCCTCTTCGAGACAGCTGACCTCAGTCAAGTTAAATCCTATTTCCAAAAACAATGCGAAAAGATCATGCGCGGAGCTGTGTCGATGCAAGACTTCTGCTTTGCGAGGGAGGTTAAGCTGGGAACTTATAGCGACAAGGGAGCACCCCCACCAGGCGCCCTGATCAGCACGAGAAAGATGCTTGAAGATGCGAGAGCGGAGCCTCAGTACGGCGAGCGGGTTCCTTATGTTGTCGTCTCGGGAGCCCCCGGAGCACGTCTCATCGACCGCTGCGTGGCACCTGAGGATCTACTTACTAGCCCGCATCTTCAACTAGACTCGGAATACTACATCTCCAAGAACTTGATCCCGCCGCTCGAGCGCATCTTCAACCTCGTCGGGGCCAACGTGCGGCAGTGGTACGACGAAATGCCCAAAGTACAACGGATCCGGCGCGTCGATCCGACTACGTACGGCACCGGGAAGAACCCGTTCGCGAAGAAGACGCTAGAATCATACATGAAGGCGGCAGCCTGTCTGGTCTGCGGCTCCAAGGTTAAAACCGAGGGCTACTCGGTGTGCGCGAGGTGCCGACGCAACGCGCCGGCCTCGCTGCTCAGGTTGCAGGCGCAGCTTAATCGCGAAGAGACCAAGTTGGCGGAGGTGACCAAGATATGCCAGAGCTGCGCGGGGTTCGCGCCGCTGGACAGCGTGCCTTGCGATAGTAAAGACTGTCCCGTGTTTTATACGCGGATGAAGCAGGTCGCGCGGTATAGGGCGGAGAAGAGCGTTATAGAGCCGGCTGTGAAGCAGCTTCTGGAGGGCGAGGTTGGGATGGAGGAGTTGGATTGGTAGAGGTGGGAGGATTCTTTAGATGAGATGGTTCTAGGTTTATACCTACCTCACCTTTATAGGATACCAAGCATTGTATGGCGTTTTAGCGCAAGGGGGTACGATGAGAGTCCTCGAGGTGGCACGTTGACTTTATAGAACACAGAACATGATGGTGTCTTTATTGATATCTACCTGGTTTTCGAATGCGAGATGAATTTATGCGGTATTAATAATAATATTTTATCAAGCATACTGTTTTATTATTTATGATCAGGTATAATGCTCTATTTGGATGCCTCATGTTGATCTATATATAGTAGGTAGAGTTTAAATATCAGCTGTGCCTTGTCGTGATTAGAGCAACTATGTATCAGGCGCTATCTGAAGTCTGCCCCGCCAGCCCGCGAACCTACAGAAGCCCCACGTGCGCTGAAAGTCGGCCTGTGACGTCCCAGTCCCGTTATTAACCTTTCCAAGGTTTCCACTTGCATGCAATAGCTCCAGCTGGCGCGAGCATCAGCTCTTAAGGTGGCCTTATCGTAAACTTAACTTTTAATAAATACATACTATTTAACTAATATCAGCCTATACTAGATACAACCATTAAACATACATACTTCACTTTTACTTTGGACATGCTTTGCTTTAAGAAAAGAAAAGAAAAATAAAACAGAACAAAACAAAACAAAACACACAGACAATCAATCAGTCATCCATGGTCCACGAAATTCGGCCGCCGCAAAGGTTAGCAGATCCGCACTTTGCTGGCTGTTGTTGCTGTTGCTGTTGTTGTCGTTGTTGTTATAAGCCGGAGATATGGGTATGAGCTGGACCGGTTTCTTATTGACCTACCTATTTGGTGGTGTCACTTTCATTCCTTTAGTTTTAGCCATCATACTACTTCACGCGCATCTTACATTTCCGACTCACGATGAAACGGTAAAAGAAGACGACGGCAATGACTCCAACAGCATCGTTCAGCCTGATGACGATACGACAGCCCTTCGCGAGGCTCAGAAGGAAGAGTCGAAACTGCGCCTCCTAGCCGAATCCGACACAGCGGCGGGATACTTCGCAGTATGTCGTGAATACACTCCGATGGGCATCAATGCCAAACCGATAGAGCGTTCTACTCCCGTAGGATCGACCACCGTCGCTCCGCCTAGCCAGAGCGTATACCAGTCTATGTACAGAAGTATATTCGACAGGAAGCAGACTCCCAATCCGTTGGACGACAAAGGTGTTAGTCAACGACCTAAGAAGGCAGGAAATGTGTTCTACGTCGTACTGAGGTACGCTATTAGCCGTCTTTGACGCAGGTCTTAGGAACTGAGTAACTAAACTGAGTAACTAACGTCTCATCGATAACAGACACGGCCACTTAATGCTGTTCGACGACGACGAGCAGCTCGAGGTCCGCCACGTTATCTCCTTAGCCCACCACGACATCAGCATATACTCTGGAGGAGACCCTACCCCCGAAGGCGAGTTGTTTATTAAGCGAAATGCATTGCGCTTGAGCAGGAGGACGGATGGGAAAGACTTGACCCGAGACGCTCAAGTGTCAAAACCATTCTACCTCTTCTCCGAGAACTGTTCTGCCAAGGAAGATTTCTACTTTGCTCTGCTCAGGAATCAAGAACAGAATTTTACTGGTTTGAATCTAGCCCCGAAACCCCAGCGATTCGAAGTTAAAAATATCATATCATTGGTTCAGAAGTTACATTCTTCTGAAGATCACCTGCAGACAAGATGGCTTAATGCCTTGATCGGGAGGATATTCCTCGGCGTCTACAAGACTAAGGACATCGAACATTTAATTAGGGAGAAGATTACGAAGAAAATCTCCCGTGTCAATCGACCATCTTTTCTTACCAGCATCACGATACAGAATATCGACACGGGAGATTCCGCGCCGTTATTTATGAATCCCCGGCTCAAAGACTTTAGTGTGGAAGGGGAATGTGGAATGGAGGCCGATGTTAAGTACAACGGCAAATTCAGATTGGAGGTTGCTGCCACAGCGCGTATCGACCTAGGTCCCCGGTTCAAGGTGAGAGAAGTCAACCTCGTACTGGCTGTGGTCTTAAAGAAGTTGGAGGGGCATGCTTTCTTCAAGATAAAACCGCCCCCCAGCAATCGTATATGGTTCTCATTCCAGACCATGCCCAAGATGGAGATGACGATTGAGCCTATCGTAAGTTCGAGGCAGATTACATACACAGTGATTCTACGACAGATCGAGAACAGAATCAAGGAGGTGGTAGCCGAGACATTAGTAGCACCATTTTGGGACGACATTCCGTTCTTCAATACCGAACATAAGCAATGGCGCGGAGGAATATTCGAAGGCGATGACGCAGTTGAGACTTCTCCAAATATTGAAGACGTGGTCGCTCAGCAGGGGGATGTAAACGAGGTCAGCCATATCGAAGAAACAAGCACGGATACGCCCCCCGAACAGCCTTCGTTAGAGAAGAGTCATACTGTGCCCGTCATGGAGACCTCCCAAACGGCGCAACCACAGGGATTCTGGGGTAGAAGGCTCAACTCCAAAAAGAGTTTACAAAGTGATGGTATTCAGAGTCCGTCCGCATCAACAACATCTTTCGAAGCAAAGAGCCCACGAAGCTCTGCGACGGAGGTGCTACACCCCTCGCGGTCAGGATCTATCTCGACGTCGAGCCCTATCGTCGGCACTGACCCCGTACACGCCGAGACTTTCAGACCTTCGACCAGTCCACCAGATCGTGATGACGCGATTAGTGCAATGGCGCATCTCTCTGCTAGGTCCAAGAACACATCGCCGGCTCATACCCCCGTCGGGTCACCTGGTAAACCATCTTCTACCTCACAAGCGATCAATGGTTCCGCGAATTCATCTTCCGAGGCTATCCCCGAAGTACGCGAGAGCGAGAGCGAGAACACCCCTACAGCGCCAGGCAGACGTCACACTGCCTCCTCTACAGGAAGTGCTGAGAGCGATAATGCGTCTCCAAGTTCACCTGCACCATCCAGCAGCAGAAATTCGATCAAGAGTAATGCTGGGTCAATAAGCAAGGGTTTCTTCACACGAAGAGAAAACACGTCTTCACCGGCCAGCTCTATGAATGGGACGCCGGAGGGCAAGCGGAATACCCTAGCCGCCGTGTCTAATGCCGCCGCGACGGCGAAACGATGGGGCCTGAACGCAATACAGAGGCAGACGGACAGGAACGGCAGTGCTAACGGACGCAAGCTTTCTGATCCTCCGCTGGATCTGAATCAGCCTATGGGGCGTGGTCAGCCATTACCGCCTCCCGGCACGCCGCTACCTGGGCCCGGAAAGAAGTCATCGCCGATGGCCATCATGCCAAAGCGGAAACCTATTGCTCCCCCACCGTCGCTCTCACGACAGAGTACCAGTAATTTACATGACGCAAAAGCAGAACGACGGCCCTTGCCGCCACCTCCGCTACCATCGAGGCGCAGACGTATCTCTCAGATTCATATTGCCGGTAACGACGGTAGTAACGAAGATAATGTCCTCGTTGTTGCGGCGCCAGCAGATTCTGAACCAAATAGCCCGTCATTCCAGATTAGCGATCACGATGATTCCATGTCTTCACCTGCGTACGTCCAGCCTTGGGTTGAGGATGCGGAAGAGCTGAATGGCGATACGCACGAAGACGCAGAAGGCGAGAGCGAGGACTTAATTCAGATGATAGCAGACGATGAGGACAGGGCGTCCGTGAAAACGCATACTCCGCCTCCTAATCTACCTCCGAGGGGGCGAGTGGAAGAGCGGAGGGGAGAGTATCAGGAGATGGGAGAAGAGAACGAGGACGAAGATGGGTACACGAATTGGGTGGAGGGTCCCGAGCCCGATTTTACCGAATCAGCTCCCCCTGACTCTGGCATCGTCAATGCCCACGTCACTGCCAATGGCACCGCCGTGAAATAAAGACCGGGGGTATAACGATAAAAACTCATCACACACAAGACCCGTAGCGTCTAGCAACTTTAACAGCCGGATTTTACCCCCCACACGCAACACGTCGCCTAATCGGCACACGCTGCGCACTCGCGGGTGTTATTACGGTGCTTACATATTATATTATTCTACTAGACCGTACATTAGAGACAGTCAAATCAAGTCAAATCGAGTCGAGTCGAGTCAAGTCTGTACACTTAAAGGGGTTCAGGGGTCCTGGTATTGATCCTTAGAGGGTATATAGGTAAGCAGTTAGGGAAGAAATGGATTGGTTGGTTGGTTGGTTGGTTGGTTAGGCGTCGGAGTCTTGGAACTTGTTTGCTTGTTTGTTTAACCTACCTAAGATACCTATGTGCCCTAGTTTGGTTTGCGTAGTAAATACCTACTTTTTTTTTATACATATATATTTACAATAACTAGCTTATAGTTCTTGTTTTCTTCGAATGAATTAGTAGCTTTAAAGTGAGGATAATTAGGTCCGTATCAGTGTTGGGATAATAAGTAATAATATGTAGGTAGGTATATATGCTTGTCAAGGCAAGGCAAGATGATTGATTGATCTGCTTTTGGATTGACAAAAGGAACGGCATATCTACAGCGTCGAAGATACACAAACAGCCAGCCTGTCTCTCGTCTTGCTCGTCGAGGGCGACTTGTTTTCTATGACTGATTCCCGCATGCGCTTCCCTCCACTCCTACGCTTCCCATAGTTAGGTAGTTAGTTCATCGTCGGCAATTCCATGCTATAGTCGGCAATTCCATGCTATAGGCTTCGACTACGGCCGGGCGCTTAGGTGGTCTTGTCCTTGTTGTGGTAGTTGACATTGTCGTTCCAGCTGTTTTTTTTTAAAAAAAAAAAATCTTCAAGTTAGCAATTTGTCTTCTTTTTCTTTTTCTCTTTCTCTTTCTCCTTCTCCTTTCTTTTTACTCTCTCTTCAAAGCTTCAAAAGGGGCAGGCAGACTGGAAAAATAAATACGTACAACAGGGTCTTGTCGCCGTCGCCCCAGGGGAAGTTCTTGGTGCGGATGTTCTGGTAGGGGTACTCGACGCGCTCCTCTAGGGGGGGCAGGTGCGACCAGTGCTCCCAGTGCTCCTGGTATAGGTTGTAGGCGTTGACGCCGGCGAGGAGTAGGGCGGGGATGACGACGCTGAGGTATTTTGTTAGCCTTTTGTTTTTTTTTTTCTTTTCAATTTGACCCGTATGGCTGGCTAGATCTCCCGAGAGAAATAAGGCTCGTGCTGCTGCTCGTCGATATATATGTACGCAGAAGTACCGAAGGTATGCGTATCGCCCGAGGTAGACGAAATAGACGGAGGGATGGATGGATGGGTGGGTTCTTACTAGATGGAAATCTTGCGCCAGAGCTCTGCGAGGGGTAGGTCAGCGATCCAATTCCTAGTATCGTCCATGCACTCCTAGATAATATCGCGGAGCATGCATCTGGATGGATTAACTTACCAGTTGTGGCGGCAGCGTGCTCCTTGACAGCCTGTCGCTCCTTGATGAAGGCGTTCTCGGTCGAGGCCAAGCGGCGCTGCAGAGCGGAGCGGAAGACGGGTGCGGTATTGGCGGCACGCAGCTGGGAGGCCAGGCGCGGCGTCGCGCGGAGGAGTTGTCGCTGGGGGAGCATATTGAGCGTACTGCTAGTCGATTTCGTTATTTAGAGAGGAGAGTGAGAGTGTCGTATGTATGTATGTAGACGTCGACTCGTCAGGATTCCAGGTGGTGGTCTGATTTCGATTGTCGAATGAGGTCAGCTTTGATTGGATGACATCTTTAGAAGCCGGTAGAGCAGAGCTAAAGAGCTTCTTCGCCTCGGTAAATCCGCGGGGATACGGCGGATCCGTTTTTTTGTGGCTTTTGTATAACAGGGGTTCTGGTCATGACGCATGTCACGGGACTTCGGGTCGTTTTGGTGTGGCGCGTGTAATGCACCTCGACTACCGTATTCCGTAACATAGAATGTCGCGACTTCTAGCGAGCGGTACCTTGCACGGCCAATTGATGTTTGTGCAACTACACGTAATAAAAAGTTTACAGACGGGTTTACGGGTTTATTACCTAAAGTAAAACAGTGACAATAAGGAAGGGACGCTTGATTCTATTTACTCTTAAAATATTTAGAAAGAGATGCACCATCATTCGTACTAGAACTTCCTTCCAGCCATTCCGCGGTGAATCAATCCACTTACCAAAACCCACCGTATATTAGAACAAATCCGACGATGGTGGTAGATGAAAAGGGTGAAGTAGAAGAGGAATGATTGGGGATGCACCTTTAAAAAAAAGAAAATATCGGAAACTTTGTAAATTCGTGAATGCATCTCCGACACGATGGGGGTGCGCATCACTTCGTGGAATGGTCCGTATTGTATTCGTATCCTACTGCATTTTTACTGCATTTCCATCACATCTAATCTTACTAACACCGCCTATAGTAAACGGCATTCGGTATGGAACCACGTACAATACTATACGCAGCATCTCACTTCTAACTATGTAACTCAAACAGGAATCCGTTTGGATACCAGCCATGGAGGGAAAAGAGGACTTTTGAGGCTATGTTCGATATACTCGAAGCCGATATCGTCGTAATGCAGGAGACCAAAATCCAGCGCAAGGACCTTCAGGATGATATGGTCCTGGTACCTGGCTGGGATGTTTCCTTCAGCTTGCCCAAGCACAAGAAGGGTGCGTAAAATCACAGCCCATCCAGCCATCTATCCTAACACAGAGGCAGGTTATGCCGGTGTAGCAATCTATACCCGGAACTCGGTATGTATGCCCATCCGGGCAGAAGAAGGAATCACTGGCGTCTTATGCCCACCAAATTCTTCAACCAAATTTCGAGACCTCCCCCCAGATCAACAAATAGGGGGTTACCCAAAGCCTGGCCAGCTTGTGGGTCTAATAGACGATGTGACTCTCGACTGCGAAGGGCGCTGCGTCATCCTTGAGTTTCCTGCTTTTGTTCTGATTGGAACCTACAGCCCAGCTAACAGCGATGGGACCCGAGACGATTTCAGGCTAGGCTACCTCGACGCATTAGACGTTCGAATCCGTAACCTCGTAGCCATGGGCAAGAGGGTCGTTCTAACAGGCGATCTCAACGTTATCCGAACATCTATGGATACAGCCAACCTTTTCGAGCGACTAAGAAAAGAAGGCGTTACGGTTGAAGACTTCTTCTCCACTCCTTCCCGTCGCCTCTTCAATCAGCTTATATTCGAGGGAGACGTGTTAGGTAACAGAGATGAGAATAGGGAGGAGCCAGTGCTATGGGACCTTGGCCGGCTCTTCCATCCTACCCGCGAGGGCATGTTTACTTGCTGGGACACTAAGAAGAATACTCGACCTGCCAATGTCGGCAGTCGAATCGATTATGTCCTTTGTAGTGACAATATGAAGGACTGGTTTATCGACTCTAATATACAGGAAGGCCTGATGGGGTCCGATCACTGTCCAGTCTTTGCAACCCTCAAGGATGTTGTTACTATTGACGGAAAAGAGGTACATCTCAGGGACATTATGAATCCTCCGGGAGTTTTTAAGGACGGAGTTCGGCTTAGGGACTGGACGGCAAAAGACCTTTTACCATTATCAGCGAAACTCATTCCCGAATTCGATCGCCGGCGGAGCATCAAGGACATGTTTTCCAAGAAACCGGTGCCTTCGAAGTCGGCTCTAGCGCCAATCAACGAGCCGTCAGAAAGTCCCAGCAGCAGTTTCGCTAAAATTGAGCTATCGAAAGACGAGGCCGCCGAAACACCCGCTTCGCAACCTGAATCGGTAACTTCAGCGTCTTCTCCAGCTAAACCACGGACCGATACCCTTAAGCGCACGTCCTCAAGCACGGCATCGGCCAGCAGGCCACAAAAGAAAACAAAAGCCACTCTGGCCAAAGAGCCCTCGTCCAAAGGGCAAAGCAGCCTCAGGGGCTTTTTCAAACCTAAAACCACCACCCCAACTGCGAGTACAATCCCAGGAACAAACGAAGATCCTAAACCACTTAATAGTCAAGTTGATAATACTTTCGAGGCCGAAGTACCGAAAGAATCCAACAACAACACAGAAGAAGAAGCAAAAGACGCTGCCGGACCGTCTACGTCTACTCCGGGTAGAGTCTTCGATCCCATCGAGTCCAAGGAATCCTGGTCCAAGCTGCTAACAGGTAAAAGAGTCCTGCCCAAATGCGAGCACGGAGAGGACTGCGTTAGCATAGTCACCAAGAAACCCGGCGTCAATCGAGGTAAGCCGCTTCATACATACATACATACCTACGTATATATATATTATTCTCCCATCGTAATATTAACCCAACCCGCTTTCCCAGGGAGGTCATTCTTCGTCTGTGCCCGGCCCATCGGGCCGTCGGGCGAAAAGGAGAAAGGGACGCAGTGGCGTTGTCCGACGTTTATATGGAGTAGCGACTGGAACGCATCGCAAAACGGATGAGATGAGATGTGATGCGATGCTAGATTATTTATATGGAGCTTCTACTTCTACTTCTACTTTACTTGAACTAGCGGTCATGTTACTTGTGTCGTTCTCTTCGTTGCGGGTGCGTAGGTATGTCTGCATAGGTATAATCTCCATGCGTATAGTCGCTTAGCTTAAGTAGGTAAGAGACTTATAGGAGAGCTGATTAGTATAAATTAATTATTGCTAGGTATCTATCTATCTATCTAGGTACGTATAGAGCCGTATTAACTTCCTACATATCTCACTAATAAGTCCACCTTGATTATCTATGTATATTATACTGGAACTTCGCGTCGATGGCCTTGGCTTTAGCTTGACGCTGGGGTCGACGGCTGGGCTCGAAACCAGATTTTTGTTAGCCCATTCCTTGGGCATTTTTGTTTCGGTTCAGGTAATTCTTTTTTATTAGAATCTAGGGGTGCCCTCTGGCACGTATGTAAGAGCAAGCCGCAGCTTAAGAGTGCTGCGCCAAAGCTGATACTTAGCAAAGCCGGCTGCTCAGCTACCAATTGTAAGACTTGTGAGTAAGAAGTTGTAGAATTCATGTTCAGAGGAGAGAACTCCATTCTCTCACTAAGCTATCTTATCGTAAGTAATCATTGTAATCCCTATCAATTACCCTCCCGATGAAAAAAAAAAAATGATGTCCTCATCATTGCTTTTACTAATCTCCTCCAAATCTTCGCACAAACATCAATGACGTTGGTTCATCGCTTCCTCTAATCTCCTCCCGGTGTTCGCATAAACATCAATAACTTTGGTTGCTTCTTGGGGGAATGGGCAGTGTTGAAGTGAGTGGTCAAGGGACTACTTTCAGGTACAGGTTCCCGGAACTATGATTAATTTCATTACAGTGGAAAACTGTTGGACTAGATGGATTAGATGATCCTTATCGGATTAGAGGATAATCCGTCCCGCACGAGTATACAGATGATGTTGAGATCAATGTCGCAGGTGTTCATTGCCAATAGCAAGGCACTGAGTGGCTTAGAAGACGCGTTAGGTGAGCTAGACAATAGCTGCGGCGCGACCTATGAACCTCTATCGAGATTTGATCGCGTTGCACCAAGCGCAATGCAATCCGGTTACATGTTGGAGAATAGCCAGACGTGGGGCTATAATGGCGGAGTAGCCACCATGAACGGCCCCATGAATGGCAACGGTCGGTTAGCGGTGAGAGCTGTAAATCGCTACATGGTATCTTGGCATGGAATATATATATAAGAAGGACCTCCCTCCTCACTCATACAGTTGGTAAACCAAGTCAATGGACAACTACAGCTCATATACCGTATCTTTCAGCAGGCAGGAGTCGCTAGTGCGGCGTCGATCATGTCATCGTCTTTGTTTTCTTCGATAGTAGCTGCGTAAGTTTGCATTTTCTTGGCTACAGGTTTATAGGACTTTTTCAATGGGTTAGTCGATTGGTTGGTTGTCGCGGGGTTTCTTTTGGAATTATCGAGTATTTAAAATATTTCTTTCACCTGGCTTTGTTTCTGGACTTTATTCGTTGTAAATATTTGCCTCATCTGACAGATCTGAACCGAATGTTTCGAGAAACAGGTCCCAGAAATTCCCTCTTTTGTAGAAATTAATGTCCCCATCGAACTTGTCACGGTCGTCTGGACTCGTGATTTTGCTGGGGCTTGTATATTTCATAAAGCTCCAGCCTCGCGATTGATGGCCATGTTAGCTCCGACTTTAGTGTTGGTTAGAGGAAGTTGAGTTGTAGGTTAAACGTGTTATATGTAATGGAACATAATGCTAGGGACTCAGATGTTTTTTTGTGTTGAAACGTTAGGATACTTTGGTGCTCTTGTGGTAGACCTTGACGGGCATGTGCCGGAACTTTGGAACCACCACCTCGTGCTGTGGAACCAGGCCTGATGTGGAACCAGTACGCAACAATGTGAGGATTCTCACGATTGCTACGGTGAGATATCTTGATCTTATCCTCGTTCGAGGCGGCAAGCCACCCCTCGAAACGAGGTAGATGTTTTTTGAAGATCCCACCAGTGGTAATCCGCGGCGGAAAAAGTTAGGAACAACGACGGGCAGCCCAACGCCTGGCAGAACGATTCGAGGTTCACCCGCCTACCCGCCTAGAAAGGCCGGGTGCCCCTCAAAGTTCCGGTATACCGGACTATGGAATTAAGCATGCCCTGCGCCTCCGGAGAGTCGACCTTCAGAGCGGTATGTAGGTGGCTCTCTAGTTGATTGTCTTTTAGGGTGTTGTTTTAATTGAAAATAATATTATCAGAGGCAGCCCCAAGTGTGGATGATACCCTGGTTCGGAATTGTGTATAAGCGGAATCTTCAATGCGACGCCGAGATTGAAATCTATGCGTGGGGACGTTTTGGTTCCAGATATTCGGTGCGAGCGATATGAGAAACCCATGCGGAGGGGCCTTTAGTTGACGGGTCGTCTGTTGGGATGATTTGTACGTTGGTAGTGGGAAAGAAAAGGAGTCGGGATTGTTAATTTAGTTTAATGTAAGTATGAGAGTTTTGATTTAAACACCAATCGCTAGGAATGGGTGGTTGTGTACCTAGTAACGTCTAGTCCGGATCCCGCAAAACCTTGCGATACCTTCTCGACGGTAGCTTTAGTTAGATGTTTGTATTTTTTATGAGTTAAGGAAAGAAATAATTTTTCTTCTTGTGCGAAACGAAATTCTTATGTAGTAGCAATGTGGTTGCTTAGTTGCAGTCGCAGCTGCTCATTATTATGGCAGCTGCTACTGCCGTTAGTATGGTTAGCAGCAGGGCAACCGAAAGTTTCTTTTTATTTAGGCAAGTACCTCCCTAAGGTAGTCTAATAAGAACTAGAAGGTGTTACCGCGTAGGTATTTTGAGATGTATGGTCCATGCTTCAGATAGGGAAGGTGCTATACATATTCTATTCCAGAAGAAAGTATCATGTACCTAAAGTATGATAATAAACCTTGGTGTTGACTTAAAGACTCGAGGGTTTAAGTGATGTCGCAAAGGTTAGAAACCATTGAAGTCTTGCGCATAGTTAGTTACTATAACTTAAAACGATACCGTGCGAGCTCTTCTACTCGCACATACCTTTATGAGCATTAAATACGCAAGACTTTCTGCCATAACCTTTATACTCGCTGAGAATAAATAATTGTTAAAGTTGTTTCTTATAAACTGATCGACACTTTTAATATAACTATTATCATTATTATTATCATGATTACATTTGTCTGCAGTTCAATTCATAAATACATACCATTCCAAACCTCTCGATTATTAATTCGCAATATAAAAGTCGAAACACCAAAACCCCGCATTTCCCAACCAACTCTATCCAAAGAGGCGCCTCTTACCTCTCCACATACATAGCTACCTCGACTAAATAACTATAAATGGCCAACCGAACATCCTACTTCTTCTACGCGCCTACATGGGACTACCCACCCAACGGGCCCATAAAGTTAGGCAATGTGCTCACATCACTTAAGAAGCCCGAACGACCGCTATATACCGCAGCCCCTTTGGTAGATGCCGACGTCTTCTCCTCGGAGAAGAGCCAGGTCGAATTCTCGCGCGAAAAGCTGAATTCGGGTCAATTTTCTATAGTAACGAAATTTTTAAGTTTTCTTGGAGTTGGAGTAGATGTTGGTGTAGGCTGGGACGCTAGGTAAGGTTAGGTGATTCACTATGTTGTATTCATTTACTCAAGATGGGTCGGTATAATTTATAAGTACCATGGTAGATGTTTTAAGCTGTAGATGTTATAGATGTAGACTGCTACTGCTATTCTGATGATCAAAGTTCTGGCGCTAGATGCCCCTTAATTTAGGGCTTATACTTCATTATTTCAAGATACTCAATTTCCTACTCCTCATACAATAGTTCATACGTCATAAGCGAAGCTGACCATCTTGGTAGTGAGGGAGAGGCATTTAGCTTCGACCGGATTGAGACAACTCAATTCTTCCCGAGCAAAGATTATCTCCAACGATGTATTGAAGCTGAGCCCGTTCGTCGGTACCTGGATAAATCTCGCTATAGAAAGCCAGTATATATAATCACAGGCATCAAGACCGTCACGGGCGCTAAAGCCAAGTCTTTCAAGTCCCGAGGCATAGGTGGAAGCCTAGGCACCGAAGTTGATGGCACGGTGTGGAGCGGAGGAACGGTTCCCATCAGCAGCGGGCCGACGATAGATGTGAATCATGGGAGGAACACGGATATGTCCTGGGAAGGCAGCAGTGACTTCGTCTTTGCTTTTCGAGTCCGAAAGGTTCTCGTAGAAAAGAAAACGGGAGTTGTAGGTAAGGATGAGGATTATAGGCGTGGCGCTATGCTGGAAAGGGGGCGTAACACATTGGAGGTTCCAGTCCTTTCTATCCTAGAAAGTGAGGACCCAGACTTGGAACAAGAAGACTTCATCAGGGAAGAGTTGGTGGAAGGTGATGTGTCCGTCATCTGTGCTGTTCCATATCCACGGATAGGTGGAGAGGATGAAGAGTAGACAAGCTGTAGAAGCAGGGGAGCTACCGTTTAAACGTATCATCACGCAGGAGATACGGATTGAGTAGAAGACCCGGGCGATCTTATACTCGGTTGGTGGATATGTAACTGTCTTCTCAGGACTATATCCTCCTTCAACTGATCAAAAGATCTCCAATCGTAAGGTCAATAAACCTCTTATCCTTACCAAACAGGCTGTCAGCGTACAAGCTGATATCAATAAAATGGTACCCATCTCGAGCCTTGTAAGATGGACCTTTCTCTGCAACGCGTCGAAGCACGGCTTTCATCCGTTTCTGTCGTTTCTGCATTTCTGCTTTCTCTGGTAAATGCAACCGTGCGTATTGTAAGAGAAATGCGGCGATACCAGCGGCTATCGGTGTCGAGTATGATGTCCCGGACTTATACTTAATGCAAGAGGGGTTTGAAACATCATCACAGAGATGAACCGGCCATGCCGACTCTACTGCTTCCCCCACTGTCGCTAAGTTGATGTCGTCGGGGACGGCAGTAGGACTAAACCCGGACCTGTTACCGTTTGCGTCTGTAGAATTAATGCAGATCACGTTTTGTTCTCGCGCGGGACTGCGATAGTTAGTGTCAAATGACTACAGAGTAACGGGATGCTCGGGTTTCTTAAGCTTCATGGAATTCGTTATGCTCTTTGGAAGGCACTTACTACGCTCTGCCTCGTTGACCGCCGCTGTTAGAAGCAGCAGCAAAAAGAAGTACATGTTTCGAGTAAGCATTCATAATAGCTAGCTCGAGTTCATCATAGCCGTCGATTTCGCAGGTAGGGAATCCGAAAGACATGGAGATGACATCCACTCCCCATTTGTCGACGGCAAGGGTAATAGCCTAGGCGTATCAGTAATTTATATAGCGAATAATTGTTACTAATATTTACCTACCTTTGCGATAACTCTAGGGTTAGGCGGCTTATCCTCCGCAATCTTTGCTACGTACAACTGAGCATCAGGCGCATAATCAAGAAGTAGACCGAAACAAAATGTGCCATGTCCATTCCGATCATGGACTCTATTGTTGAACTTCTCATTAAGCCAGTTATACTTGCCTTTGATGTTATCACTGCGAGCTTCTACGTCCGGGTGAGTAGGATCAATGCCCGTATCGAGAATCGCAATTTTAACGGGCGGAGATGTCGATGATGAAGCGAAGGGCGTAATGAATTTTTCGTAAACTGCTTGGTACCTGGACTTCCAGTTCAAGTAGTTTGAGCATCTAGATAGGAGCATAGTTAGTCCGTGTACTAGATATGGGAGAGAAGTATCTCGTGAGTGGTTGACATACGCTTCGGGAGAGTGCGCCTCCGAAACGGTCTCATCATCAAAGAACCTCGATTCCTTGTCGTAGACATCCTGATCTGTCAAAGAGGACAGAGATAGACTCTGTGTGAAGTGGGAGTAAGGCCCAAGTTTATGAGCCCATAGCAATGCATTTTGATGCTGGAAATTTGCAAGAGGATTGAGATAGTGAGAGTAGTGTTGCAGTGATGGTTCCGGCGACGGGCTAAACGAATGGAGGCTATCTACAGTCTCGCTTGGGCTCAATGCGCGAGTTGGTTGGGTTTGCTCGTTCAGATCCGAGATTGTCTGATCCCAGCTTCCAAAATCCAATGTTTGCGCAAACCGATCAAGGTCATCAATTGAGATTGAGCTGTAGGCCTGTATCAATTCATTTTCGAGTGGTCGTACTACCTCCTGATATATCCTGGTTCTTAAAGCCTTATCGTCTAATTTGTTTCCCTCTTCGTCTTCCCACGTTGTTGGATCTAGACATCTCTCCACGGCAGAATGAAACTGGAAATTATCAGGGATTTCGTCTCTACAAGCGCGAAACACCATATCTACGTCTAAAAACGTTGTGCGGCTCGATGATGCATCCTCTAACTCAACGCCGTACTTTTTAGCTAGCATCTCGAATGGGGTCACGAAATAAACCTCCATGAGCATTGCCGCCAATGTGACGAGACTTGGACACTGATGTCGTACCAGATCGTCTGGGTCGATATCATCTGGGTCTACATCACTACACTCACAATCTCCCTGTTCGTATTCCCTATTGCCATTGACGTAATGGTCGAAGAGGCTCGAATTTGTTTCTAGATCTGAGAGGCGGGTTTGGATAAAAGGTCTTAAAGGGATTGCGGTAGTAGCAGTACGAAAGAAGACGATGTCTGAGGAATTCCATGTTGGTTTTAGCCATGGCGTGTCATGAAGATGAAGAACTGCATAACTGAGAAGTACGGCAAGGATTCGTCTTGTCCTCTCGGTAAATGAGTGCGACCCGCCCCTGAGGAATTGTTCGAGGGTCACGGCGTCTTTCGTCTTGTCGGCTAAGAATTTGCTCCTCTGCGATTGTAACTTATACAAATGGCCTCGCGTAACTTTGAATTCTAGTCGATGTGCCGTCATCGTCTTGATCTTCCCGATCGGGTCGCATAACCGTTTTACCTTCATCGCTGGGGTCTGTGGTTTTTTCCGCTTGGTTTGGGGGTTATGTGCCTCGTCATCAATCGCCCATTGGACGACTGTTTCTTTCATAGTATGGACCCGGGCTTCTTGCCAATCCTTCTTCATAGACAGAAACATGTCGAAATCGACATCTCCCTCAGTATCGTCTTCTGAAACAGGCTTTCGATAAGTACCTAATGAAAGCCTAGCTCCGAAATCATGCGCAGATGGGCACGAACAGTTCTTACATGCCACAAGTGCCGAAAAAATTGATTTGGCAGCACTCCAGACGGCATAGGATGGTTCGCTGATATTTCTCTGGGGTGCGAAGTCCTCAGCCGTCCATTGTGACGGGTCATCGGGGTATTGTCTTCGGAAGTCTTCTTCCCACAAGGATAGCGCTTCAATAAACTCATTGCGCTCATTCGTAGAGATACCGAAACTGAGAGAATTCTTAATGAATTGGAGTTTCGTACCATCGTTAGTTTTCCGTATTTGCTCCCAGTTCTGATTGAATGTGAGCAGTTTTGTATAAAATGAGGTTCCGCAAGTAGATTGTTTTAGCAATTTATGAGATGACAAGGTTGAGCCGAGATGAGCTAAGATTCTATCCAGGTACTTATCGGCAATTCTAATGCCAGCTCTGTGAATGCGGTTTGCGTGATCACGTATCATGGCACAGTATGCCGTCAAATCGGCATAAAAGACCTTGAGGTCCCCATCGTTTTCACGGAGCCGCAGGATTTTCGCAATCTCCTGGATCGTCTTGGAAGTGGTTACTAGCAGATTGGTGGTATTGATATCCCCGGTAGTGATAGAAATCGTTGACACCATCTTGCTTTGAACTGGGATGGAACCAGATACAGACTTCCAACGCCTAATAGTTAAAATATCACCGGTTATTGGTGAGTTTAGACATCTCTGGCGAATATGTATCGAAAGTGATTTTAGAGATCCGGCTTCATACCTAGCTTCGTATGCCTCCGTACTTGTTTATCCATAGGTACGGCGCTCAGGGTGTATTCCGGATGGTTTCACTAACGGCGAGGAGCGTTGTTCAGGTCAGCGCTGCGTCTTTGGGTGTAAGATGAGGGACAGATGCTACCACGTGATGATGTTACTGCAAGGATACATAACAAGTTCAGCTTATTCACCATCCATTTATAGCATTTATACCTGCCTACCTGAAGTACCTCAGTACCTCCTAGACCTACATACATGGTAGGAGGTAGGTACCTAAGGCACAGCATCGCTTAGTGCTTCGTACCTTCTACCATATTTTCACGAGGGATAAGCACAATTCTGTTTAAGTTATACACTAGTTAATACCTATTGGTGGTTATACACCCGGAGAGCTTTACAACGCCCCGCTTCGTCATGTCTATTTCGTAACTCTTCCACCACCAACTGATTGAGGTTACCGATGGATAAAATGCTATTACGCAGTCTATTCTGCACAACCGTTAACTAGAATGGAGGCGACGGCTACTGATGCTGATATTGATCAGCAATCCCATCCTACAGTAGCTGAAAGCGCCGCATCATGTCTACACTCTTTCCAGCAATGTGTTCAAAGAGCAGCATCCATCCACCCACGAGAACTTTCACTTGTGGAAGACCAACTAGCAAGGTTTTCTGTTTGGACGACTAATATCAGAGTATTTGCACCAGGTCGAGCGGCGCTAGACCATCGCCTACGCGAGGCTCCTGATGTTCAGGATGCCGTTATCGGTCTTCTTGATGCGCTGGCTTTCCGCGTCCAGAGCTGTAAGCCGGAATAATTATACACACTATAAGAGATTAAAAAACTAAGTACGTATAGGTTGGAATAGTCTTGAGCCTCTTAGTTCTAAAGTAGCTCAAGAGTCTAGTCAGCTCTTAGTAGAGGTCGACCCTAAGTTCCGGCAATCAATCCAAGGAATCGCCAATGAAATAAGTTTACTCCATAGATTTTCAAACACTATTCGTAGAGCAAGCAAAGAAGCCCAGAACCTCAAAGCGGCAGACTCATTTCGAATCCGCGATGACGAAGGGAACGATGCCGAGGTCTTTATAACGAAGTTGTTCGCTAACCACGTCCGAGACAAATTTCCAGGGGTTAGCGACAGTATTTGTCAACGCCTCGCCGAAACTATGGTACTGCGACGGAAACGGATTCTTTATAGGAGATCTCGTTACGGAAATGCTCCCATCAGACCCCAAGAGACTCCCTCTCAACCTCGGGTCACTGTACCCAAAGTCCAACTCAAGATCCGTGCGGCGGAGCATCCACAGGTATCTGAGGGACCCCAAGCCGCCGGGGATGCATCCAAAAGCGCTATACAATCCGTAGCGCAGAGTGCCACCACATTGGCCCCTAGTAACTTTCAAAAGGCCTCAGCTCCGTCTGTGGTCTCTGTGTCGAAGACTGTAGCGTTAAGCAATCACGAAGAGCTTCCATTCCCTCCAGCTCCGCTCGGCAGTCTAAAACGGAAATACAATGAAATTAGAAGACAACGAGAAGAAATTGACAAACATAATCTCGACTCCCCAAATAGCGGGGATAAACTCAAGTCTCTCAATTCAGTATGGAAAGAGAAAGCTAAGGAAATAGAAGAAATTATAAAGGCTGTAGGGGAGGTAACCTGTCCGTTCTGCTTTTATGCCCTTCCGGCAGAGGATGTGATGGATGATAACAAATGGAGGTCAGTTGTCATTATTATGAAGTGAACTCTACCTTATTAAAGGTTACTACGGTACGACCTACCTTGGGTAGGTAAGGTAGGTTAGGTGCGTTTGCCTACAACAGACGCTGACATACACTCCGCAGGCTCCACGTCAAAAATGACCTCGACGCATACGTATGTCTATTCGAGGACTGCAGCTTACCTCATGAGTTATACGTGCACAGTAGCGCCTGGCTTAATCATATGCGCGAGCATGCCATGCGCTGGCGTTGCACATCAAAGTCTCACGGGCAGTTTGTATGCGATTCTAGAGACGATTATCTCATCCACATGAAGACCGCGCATAAAGGTAAATTCTCCGACGCACAACTTCAGGCTTTAGCCGATAGAAACGGTCGGGTCATTGGTCCTCTATTTAGATCTTGTCCGTTATGCGGGAAGGAAGAGGTCGACAGCACCATGGATAATCATATCGTTGGTCATCTACGGTTTCTTGCTCTGAAGTCTCTGCCTACATATGAAGAGGAAGGGCTAGAAGGCGAAGAAAGCCAAAAAGGCTGCTCGAGTGCTTCAAGAGCACAAACTAGGAGCACAGTCGAGAACGAACTAAGGGGACACAAATTGGAAATGCTTGGGGGTGGTAGCGAGGCTAGCGACGAACACTTAGACACCATATCGGACGGCCGCCCAGAATGGCAGAGCGAAGACATTTCATATCTAGATGATCTAGATGACACACCCAATAACCCATTAACGAAAAAGGATTCAGAGCTACTGGAATTACAGTGGGGTTTTGTTCTTAACCAACATGAAGTGTTCAGGAGCCTCGAAGATGACCCTATTCTTCAAAAGTTCCTTGTCAAGCATGATCATGAAACGATTGGCAAATCTTCCTTAATTTTACCGATTATCCCTTCGTATGCGCCAAACAAAACCAAGGGGCTCCCGACCAGCACTTTCAACGGCTTTACGTTTCCACCTACGTATACTAGACCTCCCCAACCTCGTCGTTCTAGTAATTCTCCATCATATTCTTTACCCCGCGGAGAGGACTTTTTAGCCGTTCCAGAAAGCTTCGTTGGTAATGACGATGATCCATGGTTTCCCTCGCCTTCTTCATCCACCGAACTAGACTTTTTGAGCAGTCCAAACTTCGTTAGTAATGACGATGATCCATGGTTTCCCTTATTCCCCCAAGATGATACTGTCACCCACCAGGGTAATGCCACCAATCGTGACCACGGGAATCCTCGGAACGTGAATTACGCCAAGTCATTTAATCCTGAAGATATCATTTTTAAAGACAACGTTACGGAACGGGAACGGCTTGTATCGTACCCTGAATCCGACACGGTTATCCGCCAAGATAACATTACTCCTAAACTGGCAGTTCGTGATATATTGACGGCTGACGACGATCCAGGTGGTCTGGACCAGTGGCCACTACCACCACTACCTTCCCCTCCATCTAATTTCAGCCAGGTGAGCTACGCAGCTCGAGCACCGCTAGAATTAATAGACGGAGATCCTGAGAACGATATAATAAAGAAGAAACTGGCAGAGATGAGTGCCGAACGGAAGAACACGGAAGCCAGCGACAAGCATGAGGAATTTGAAGCTCGAATTGAAGACCAGAGCTTAAACGCGATTTTAGACAAAGCGATGCAAGATATAAATGATGTAAAAAGAAAAAGGGAAACTAGAGATATACCTACGACACAACCTCAAACCATGGAGCAGCTCCTCTCGCCGATTCCTATGACTAATGCGCAGGACGAGGGGGCCAAAATTCGTGAAATGCCCTTAGAGACCGAGGATCCCAGCCGGGATCCAGTACGGCAGAGTCAACCAATCTCCGAACGGCCCAAAGATTGTCTTGAAGTGCGGCAGCAAACGCCAAAGACTCAGGATATCCTTCCTAGCAGCCATAGTAGCTATTACGATAATACTCAGCCAGGCAGCTCCAAAAGTGTCTCAAATTCAGATCATACGGCGCAATCCAAAAACAGGCCACAGACTACGAGCAACGAAAACGAGTCGGATACCATCAATAACGAGATCATTCAGATCAGCAACCGACTATCAAACGTCACGTGGGACATGATTGATATGGAAAATCTAAGATTAGATGTTACGATATCCAGGTCTCTGAGAGTTGACGACCAGTACATTCCCATGCAAGTTACAATCCACATTCCGCGAGGATATCCAAAGACCGGTTCACCACAGTTCAAAATAAAAAATACTCCGGGAGTGGATGATAGTCTCTGTGAAGTTGTGAGCGCAGGGATCCACGATCGAGATAATAGCTTAGACGCAGTGCTTACGTACTTGTCTGGCGGGATTGAATTAATGACGCATATGAGAGATAATAATAGGATTACTATAGCGAAGCCAATAGGAGGTGGTAGGTATACTGTAACGACGAATATGAGGGGAAATAGCAATGAAGACCAACAGGAGGAAGCGCTGGGAAGTTTCTACGACAAGTCGGGGAATACAGGAGGAACGTACACACAGCAGCACAAACCTCGCAAATCTTTTATAAGATTAGATCCAGATTGTGCAATTTGTCATGCACCTGCAAACCTCAGATGCGATTGCGAGGCTAAGGCCTTTGAAATAGCCGTTAAGCAAGCTGAATCTAAGATAGTGTCTCCGATATACAGGGACGCACGGGTGTGGGTTCGTAGTCACGCTCAAGATTTCGTACGAGAACGCTTCTCGAGAGATATGCAGGAACATCAAGAAACCGCTGCGAAGGATTCCAGTGAACAAGGAAATCGGAGAGAGGTGATAGAAGGACACACGCCGCCAATAAAGGAGCAAGTCAACGCTAGTTGGAGGTCGGCCGTCCAGTCGTTTCCCGAGACACTCGAGTACTTTTATAGCCTCGTCGAAGTGACGCTTCCCAGTGACGATGATCCCGCCGTAAAGGATCCGCCACTCAGCACGCTATCGGGTTCGAAAAAGCATTCTCGACAAAACCATCTGCAGTCTCCGTTTGAACCTACTAAAGCTGAAACTTCGAAGCAAGGGGAGGCTGCAGGAAGCGAAGGCTAGCCTGCTCAACGCGAGGTTCACGAGATAGGCGTAACTATAGGTTAGGGACGTAATACAGAGTGTCGTCCGACGGCTCTGGAGCTGGAGACCTAAATACGAGTGAACCCGTAATTCGGCTACAGAATATAATAATCTAACGAGGTATTATACCTGAAAGTATGATATATAAAAGCCTAAAACTAACACGTGTAAATAAACATATCAGGGGCTTGCTATCAATATACAACCATCCGGCATTCAAATATACCTACCTTGAGGTAAGTATCAAGTATCTAAAGCGCACTTGTAATGTACATCTCAGGGTCCTATAGTATAGTATAGGTACCTACCTACCCTTCGATGATATTATTATACTCATCAACTTCCCTCACTCCTCTACCCCAACATCACCCCCTATCCCATCCTTCAGCCCCCCACATTAACAACAACAACAGCATACACACCACCATTAATCACTTACTTACTTAATCACACAACCCCCCTCGCACCAACCAAGTCTTCAAAAGCTCAAAGTTAAAGAATTCAAACCGCCAGTGATCAATCAAATTACCTTAGTTATGTACCTAGGTTAAGCTACCTACCTACCTACCTAATTAACTAGATCGCAGCCCACTAGCTAGCCTGCCTTGCCTTGCCTGCCTTGCCTTAAGGGTGAGCAATTTTGTACAAAGTCCACGGAATCAATCGGCCATATTTCTTTCGAACATGCTGCTTCCGAGAAGGAGAAGGAGAAGAAGAAGAAGAAGAAATCACTCGTCAAACACAGCAAAGATAATCTGACCAACGACCAACGACTAACGACTAACTAACAGGGGTATAGCCTCTCCTCCCCTCCTCCCTCCAGTCTGCTTCTTCTCTCGTGCCTGCTCTATCTAGTCTTCCTGGTACGAGATCTTGCGCATCTCGCCTAGCCGGTGTCGCGCCGAGGCCAGCGCGTTCTCGAGCTGTAGAATCTCGACCTATATTTGCGTCTGCGATTAGCCGCTGCACGCCAAATCCACATATTACTAGTAGTAGGGTTATTATTAGGACTCACCTGTTGCTCCATCTCCCGGACCTTGAACTCGTGCGGGTTGAGCTTGGCGTAATCGACTCCCTCGTCCTCTTGGTTCCGGTCTTTGATCATGGCCTGCACCTGTCGCACAAGCGCTCTGCAGGCCGCGCCTACAGCCTTGCTAGCCTGCTCGAGGCTCTCTTGGCTCTTGCTCATGAAGCCGGCCTTGACACGGCTGGCGGCCACAAGCTGAGCTGTCGAGGCGGCCACGTCGTTCGAAGCGACGATAAGCTGCTCGGGGCTGTTGCGACCTGATAGCACACCGTCTGCTGTCTCGATGAGTGTGTTGGTCGACGTGGCCACAGCCTTCGCGGCTGAGATGAGACCCTCCGTCCATCGGTTGTTCTTCTTGTAGAACGCTGTCCTCGAGGAACTTCCCCGACCTGCCTGGACGATCTCTTGCTGTGTAACGGTAGCGGCCTTGATCAACTGAGCGATGGCATTGGTGACCGCTGTCGCAGCATCGAGTATCGAGTCGTGAACCTTGAGCTCGTAGGTCGAGTATCCGTCGCGGGGTTTGTTTTTGAGTTTAGCAAGGCGGGCGGCCGCTGCGGCAATGGCATCAGCCGCCTTGCTTAGTTCCGAGTCGACAAGGTCGCCTAGATCGCCCTTGTTGTTCGCTAGTCGACCGGAAGGAGCAAAAGTCTCAACTAGGGTAGTCAACCTCTGCAGATTGAGACGAACATCGCTGCTACCGTTCACGAGAACGTCAGTCTTTTGTAGAGGGTCCATGCCTTCTAGCCTGAAGCTTTGAAGGCTACGGAAATGCTTAACGGTAGACTGGGCGGCAGCGCGAGCGCCGTTGAGAAGCTGATCGGACTTCTTCTCGTCGGAAGCAAGACGGTTCAGACCCTTCGTATTGCTGCATACATCTGCTATAGCCCCTGCAAAGACGTTCGTTGCCTTGATTAATTCCGCATGGCTAGCATTAGGACCATCGGCGATGAAGTTGCTGAAAGCGGTAGCAAATTCTGAAGCGCTCGACACGGCCTTTTCGACCTGGGATAGCACGTATGTTGGCGAAGCGTTCTGGTTACCAGCCTGCATCGTCGAGTCTAATTCGTAGAGCGCGTCGTCTACTCGGACCACGCCTGATTGTAGTACCGAGTCGATAATGTCGTTGATCTTGTCAAGGTTCGCCATTATTAGAGCATCGATCTGGCTGTCCAGGACAGTGTCTGTATCGCCCTGGTTGAGCTTAAGTTCGTTCAACTCAATCAGAGTCTGGTCCATGCCAGCTTTGTAGACCTCGAGCTCTTCCTCCTTTTCACGGAGCAATTGCTCGAGGTCTGAGCTACCGTCTTGTAGCTTAGCCTGTGCCTCTTCCAGGGCGCGCGACTTAGTTCGCAGAGCTTCTTCCAAGTCTGCCATCTCCCTGTTATACTTGGAAAGCATTGTAGACAGCTCGTTACCTTTGCTTCGCTCCAGGTTGTCGGCCCTGTCAATTGCCATACGAAGTTCTCGCTTCAGTTTTTCGACCTCATCCTTGTTACTGCCGCTCAACCTATCTTTCTCGTGAAGTGCTCGGTCTCGCTCCCGAATCATATCTGCCAATTCGAGGTTCTTCGTCTTGATTTCACGCTCTAGCTTTTCGCGCTTCTCGATAGCTTCTTGCGCAGACGCCGCTTTCAGTTGGACTGTCTTGAATTTCTGAAGGAGGTCGAGATGCTCGTGGCGTAGTTGCGAGTACAGCTTCGCTAAGGCCTCGTACTTGGTTCGCCATGTGTTGACCTGCTCTTGTAGGGCGCGAATTTGGTCATCCTTGCTGTTAACTTGCTGACCAAAGTTGTTCTGGATTTGAGCTAGCTCTCCTTCAAGTGCCTTCACTCGTTGGTCATATTGTTGCAGCATTAGTTGATCACGCTCATATTGCGCCCTCGCATTTAGGTTTTCTTGCTCAAGTTCGGCCAGCCGCCCTTGTGTCTGCCATTGGGCTTGTTGAGCTATTAGTGCTTCTTGTTCCCTACGTTGCTGCTCTGCTAGAAGCCTTTGCTGCTCCTCAAAGTCTCGCTGAGCCTGCATTTGCGCTTCTTGCTGAGCACGAAGAGCTGCTGCCTGGCGCTCTTGTAATACCCTTTGCTGCTCCTCGTACTCCTTGTTTTGCCGATCAATCTCACCCTGCCAGAACTCGGCAATCTCATCGGGTTCCTCGGTCTTCGGCTGACGTGCAGGGGTCGGTTGGCGCTCAATCTCTTGCTTCGGTCGGGCTGGTAATGCAGGGGCATTTTCGTCTTCTGCTAGCAAGTTGGGCGGGTCTTGCGGTAGCTTCGGGATCGTAATTAAACTGGTCAAGTAACGCAAGTTGGAGCATTCGTAATAGAACTTGACTAATCGGTAGTGTTGCGCGTCGTAACGCTGCCTCAGGGGTTCCAATGCGTCGTTATCGCCCGTTGCTACGTAAGGTTAGTTAAGAATACCACTAGTATTTTTGTAGTTTTGTAGTTGCCATACTTGAATGCATAGCTCTTAGCATGCTTGTGATGAATTTGTAAATGCCATAACTTTCTTGTACCAGAGGGACAATGGCGGAAATTCTACACTCGTTGTTGCCAACATTCCGGAAATGTGAAAAGATCAGCTTCTGAAATTGCTCAATCTTGTCCTGGAGCGACATCAGGTCGGTAATAGTCTCGTAGCCCTCATTGGGATCATTAATCGCCTTCAAGCTGACGTATTCTTCATACTCGAACGTGCCGTTGAACTCGGGGTGCTGTTGGTGGAAGGATAGTTTCGCTAGGAGGAAGTAGACGTATTCTCGAATTAGGGGTCCGTACCCTCGGACACCCTCGCCGGCTAGACCTCTATTAAGACTGTCGATCCAAGGTCGATTTGCCATAGCCTCCCTCAGCGTCTGAGGGTGGCCTTCCTGCAAGACTCTGTGGATAGTGATCAGGGCCTTGAACGTTTGCACTTCGTCGGCAAGAATAGGCTGCCTAGATATACCCCTGGTCAGCTCCTACTTGTATACGCTGGTCTCCAGCCACGTACACTTTCATACCAGCCCAGAAGGACTGGGAGGACTTGTGGTCCCACGTATAAACGATGGCGCTTCGTACATGCTTTCGTTTCGGCGCTGTCTCTTCCGGGCTTGTAGCTTTTCTAATGTTGATGGCAAGCTCTGCTTCGGATCTATACTCTAGGTGGTTAGCAGCTACGCAACAACCGACGGTGAAGTCCATGGTCATGATTAAGATAAGTGCGAACAGTTGATCCACATGCGCCTCGCGAAAAGGGAGGTTCGAAAGGGGGGGAAAGGGGGAAGTACGCACTTCGCATGATCAAGACTACGGATTGTAGCCATGGTGGATGAGTCACTGTGTTTGCTGTTCTGTTTGCCGTTCGTTCTCTGCTATTCACCGATGAATGCTTTGTTCTCACGGCCGTAGACTCAAGTGACAGCTACTCTCAAGTACAGCGCATCTCACCCACCCGGTCTTCAGGAGGTACAGTATAGTATAGAGTAGTATAGAGAACGATTGTCGCGTATGCGGTTGAATTAGGGTCCTAGTATATTCAATATACCAAATGTTTAAAAATTCGATGCCTGACTCGTATAACGTCGGCGTCCTCGCAATCGCAACTCCCACAAGCAGCAAATTCAGTGGAGTTAAAGCCAAAGGATCAATTTGAGGCTGACGCAACTTAGGCTCTTGGAAGCTGTAGAAGCTGTCTTGGGAACCATTCGATAAGCATTAAAAGGGACATGGGTATTAAACTCTCCACTCCGTCACTCCCTGCAACTCCCTGCACTCCCTATCGTCTAACCTCCGTGGTTTATCCGATAATGTACTAAGGTTCCAATGTGGGGTATTAACCGTTGATCGCCACATAACGCGCGGCGAGTGCGGCTGGGCAATTTGACAGGCAGCACTTAAAATCTTACGGTTTAGTTGAATATCAAACTCTCTTAGATCCGAATACTCGTTATAGCAACCCCCCGCTAATCAATGCATCTAGGAGCTTTTCAGTGACGAAAGCTTCAACTTCTTACTAACCCAAAGTACTTCCTAGCAAAGCTCCCACCTCGATGGCTTCGTTCTAGACATACATACAGACTCTACAATCCCCGCTGCTGATGTCAAAGCTGATGTTCGAGCCTTTTGGCTCATATTATTCCTCTAATTAATTATAAAAATTTACTTTGCGCACCTCATATCAAAATGCGCGCCACAACGGCTTGTCTGAGCAAGGGTTTCCTCAGCCGCAGTCTCGACGAATTCAAGCGCCTCTCAAATATAGGTATGTCGATACATACCAACGGCACTTACATATATATATCGCCTAGTTATATTAACAATTTCCAGCTCTCAAGCTCGAAGGCATAAAAGGACCCTCGGGTCCGCTTCCCCTCCATGACTTCCACAAGCCCGATTCCCTCGAGGAGTGCAAGCTGATGTCCGACGTCGACATCGGCGGTTTCTCTAAGGCCGCGCTAGATTGGGTACCCCCTTCTCCCGAGGACAACGCCCACGGCTACGCGCGCTTCCACGGCAGCATATCGACTGCCCTTCCCCCCCACAGACCCGAAGTCCAGCGATCCGGCTACGCCGCGTGGCGCACCCTCGACAGGCCCCCGACTATCTTCGGTCGCGCGCTCTGGAACATTGACATGTACACGTATCTGGGCATGCGCATCAAGTCCGACGGGCGGAGCTACTTCGTCAACGTGCAGACGGAATCACTTGTCCCTACAGACTTGCACCAGCACCGGTTATTTGCCAAGCGGCCTGGGGAGTGGGAGACGGTTCTAATCAAGTGGAACGACTTTGTGCGGACGAACCACGGGTTCGTAGTTGAGCCGCAGACGGAGATTCTACGGCAGAAAGTCAAGTCGATAGGGGTTGGCTTGACGGACCGAGTACCGGGACCGTTTGAGCTATGCATCGAGAGGATGTGGGCTACCAACGATATGAGCGAGGGAGACGAGCACGTAGAGCCGTCCATTAACAGAGAAGGACAACTTAAGGATAAGCAGGGGCGGCATATTAGCTGGGTCGATAAATGATCTGGGAATGCGTTGGATATCTGGAACGTCGGATGAGAATGGCTATATGTTAGCTATGCGTTGCAAATAGCAGCATATTCATCTACAGTACTGGACACGACGGTACTATCGCCGTTATGTATAAAGTTAAAACTAACGAATGCGAATATCGTTGAATATAGAAGGATCACGTTCGAAGACGTATGTCTTGCAACTGGCACCAAAAGGGGGGCGAAGAGAGGGGGTTAGCCCAGCCGTACGCACATGTACGAACCTAATAAAAAGAACCTTCTTACCATACTATCATCCGAAGCTCAGTAGTGACAATGGATTTGATATTCGGAAAGTAGCTATACGGTTCTTGCCTACCCGTCGATCAAAGGCCAACAGAAATCTCTACCTTGAACGAGGAAGCTGTGTGGCAGCGGTGTTCGAATAGTAGAACGACTTGATAATAGTTTCAAAGAGCGAACAGCAAGATCCTGCTTGTCAAGGGATAGGGGGTATCCGGTTATATCTATTCCCTCTAAACCATCTTCTCCTGTCATGGACAACCTCGTAGTAGGTACATTCTCTAACACGAGCAAAGGATAGGTACTAAGCCAGGTCGGACGAATCTACGCAAATGTATCATTGGGGTAAGAATAAGACGTCGTGATTCACATAACCACCTGATCTACTCATTCCACTTCCTCCCTCCATCCCTCCATCCATCCTAACTTCAAGACGCCACAGAACGCAGAGCTACACCTCCTAACCCATCAGCTCCTTTCCACCAAGCAAAAACCGCCGAAAAAAAAAGTATAAAACCCCCTACCTCACCCCTTACCCCTCTTGCAAGTTGCAATCCCCACGGCATCCTCCTCCTCCTCCTCCTCCTCATCAGGTCCATCAAAACCAAACCCCCATATCGCCTAACTAGGTTAGGTACCTAGTTAACCCAAAATCATCACCCATCAACCCGTCTCCCCCCACGCCCAACATGTGCAAGCGAGTCTGGACAATAGCATGGTGCGTCCACGGGAACCACGAAGTCGGCCACGGCCAACGAAAACCCCTCTTGTGCGAGGAAGCCAGAGAAAAGGGGCTTAGAGCAGGGTACTGTAAGCGCGGCATCCGAACCTCGGACGATACGGTAAGGACGCCTGAGATCCCGATATGTTCCAGGTGTTGGAACACGAGAAACGCCATGACTCCCCGGCGTTGAACACACATGAACAAAAAATACGGTTGGACGAGATTGCTGGTTGTGATTACGTCTAGGGGTAAGTCATCCAGGATTGGTATTTCCTGGCTTCTCCCCCCTATTTCTTAGGCAGTTTAACATAGTGAAAAGCCGCTAGTTAACATAAAAGCCATATAAATCGTTAATATGTAATCATTATAAAGTAACTAGCCTATGCATTCCTTCATATCGCCATCCGCTCTGCGTCTCTGCGTATCGCCAAGTATGCTGCCGCGTAATCGTTCGCAAGCACGTTATCCCCAGAGACCTTCATAATCGTAGCTTTCTTAGCCATCATCTCGCACTGTTTGTCTATATCTTCAACGCTCGAGTAATGATTAAACGCTTTTTCGATCGCCTCCAATGCCTTTGTCATGAATTCTCTTCTCTTGATAGACTTTGGCGGCATCTTGCCTGCCATACCCATATTAGCATCGCCAAGATACGAGTAGAGCTTTGCAGTCATCGTCGCATTCTCGCACTCGAAAATGCGCGGTAGGATTGCATTTAGGAGTTGGATGGCCGGCTCGAATTCTCCAAGCGATGTCAATATGTTCGCAATAGCCCCGATCGCTGGCCATAGATAGGGGATGAGACGGGATCGCCAGGCCACGTTTGCTGCCCGTACAGCAATGGTGAAGCCCTTCTGCGGCCGGCCACACTTATCAAGAAGCTCAGCTTTGATAAGGAGTAATCGAACCCGCAGTGCGATATCTTTATTCTCGTCTCGAAGCTCCGTAATCATTTTCTCTACTTTTGAAAAAGCTTGGTCGAGATTGCCTCTACGAACAAGGCATTCGATATGAAGGCTGTCAATTACAAAGGCAAGGTCGGGTTCTAGATCATCATCCTTAGACTGAAGAAGCTGGGAGAGTAACAGTTCCGCCCCGTCGAGATTATTTCGATGAAGATCTCTTCTCAACTTTATTATACCACGGAACTTGTGCCAGTATTGACTCGGCTTCCAAGCTCGCAGCGAATTTGCATCCATACCTTCTAATAATCCGAGCGCCTCGTCGTACTTCCCCCTAAGGGTAAGTATCGAAGCCTGGCGGCTCATCACCTTTAGCTCGTCGTCAAATATCGAATTACGAGCATGACAGCGAATAAATATTTCGCAGGCAGTTACTGACAGATAGGCGATTCCTAATCTGTCCCATAATGCTATATTGATCGATAGTTGAGAACCGACCATGTTCTTCATATTGCGTTCGACTAGAATTTGGGAGCTTCTGACGAGATGCTCAATGGCCGTAGCTACGCTTTCGCCATTCGAAAGACTCATCTTTGCCTCACTCATAAGTGTAGAACTCCACAACGTCCACATGCCTGTCTCTTTTGCTCTGCTTCTAAGAAAAGCTAGGGAATCCTTGCCAGTGCCAAGCATGCTATTCGACTCTAACTCCTTTGTTATTCCGGGATGTGCTCTGCCAAAGTGAAAAAGCCAGTTAAGGGCGAAATTCAGACAGGTCATATCTCGGTTCTCCCTAGCAGTAGAAACAGTTTCTAGCATCGCTGAAATTGCCTCCTTGTAGCACCCAAAGTCGGCTTGGAGTACTGCTAGATTCATCAGCGCGTATTGATAGAAGGACCTGTCCCTGTTCTGCATCGTGTAGTCAAAATACTGATGCAAATAATCAAACGAGGTAGAGTAGTCCCCCGCTCTCCACGCATCTAAATAGCTTAGGTAGTGAGATAGGCTTGGTATCATAAAGCTATCGTTTAATAGGTCGTGAAACTGGTGTTGTATTTCTAAGGGTACTCTGTTGCCGTATTTTTGCATCTGCTCGATCTGGAACTCCAAGAGTTTCTCGATGTCGTCAGTGCTGACAGGTAAGGTCGAATTTGGATCATCTCTAAGCATATCCCCGTAAGTCACAGAGGCAATAGCCTCGACCCCCGAGCCCCAGTCGCTCTCCCCGGTTAAGAGGACATTATCGAAACTGAGCCTCTGGAAAGATGGCGTCTTTTTCCTGTAATATGTTGCCGTAACCTGGCGATATTTCACAAAGTCCTTCCACAGCTCGAATGCGTCATGGAAACGTAATCTTGTGAATTCGAGCTGAGATCTGCGTACGAATGCACCGAACGGCGAGTTACGGGTGAGTAAGATGGCTTCGGGAGCTGGCGCTGGAATGCCCAACTCAGCATCACGACGCAGCTCATCCCTGGTTTTTGCCAACAGAGCCGAACAGTGGTCAAAAAATTCATGTAACGAATCGAGCGAGTCGATCTTCCAAAGCCTGTCTAGGAAGACGTACCATAGACTCCGGCCTGGCATGCCAGAGGCAGCGGTATGTGGTGCCAATACTTTTTCGAAGTCTGCAATAGAGATGACTAGGCTGACAGTAGTTTCAGCTCGTTTCCACCGACCCTTAGGAGTGGAAAACGAAGTTTGAGCATCGCTGTCGATCAAGTGAGAAGTTATGAAGGACAGTACATCCACGATCGAATCCGTAGGGACTGTCTTTTTTGTGTACAATTCGATCAACGCAAGGAGGCCAATTTTGGCCGGGTTGAGGAAGCGAGACATGGTGACGCTGTGTGATATAGATTTGTTTGCAGCGAAAATAGAACGTCCAAATATCTGTTATCTCGGGTTTGTCGTTATAAGCTTGGTTGTTGTAGCTATTCTCCGTCTACAAACGGCCATTACTTGCAGGACTGATCTCATGAAGTGCTAGTTTTTTGTAAGCTCGATAATTTGGAGAAAGTGAACCGTCGCTAAGTTAGTATAGTTCTATAGCAGATCAACTTAGGTAAGATTAAGACTTGAGTATGTGCCTTCCATTATTTTGAGTTTATCTCATGTAAAGACCGTAAGGCCGTTTCCCATGAACAGGGCGCGTTGACCCGTGCCGAGCCGCCCCACCTCTTTTTGTGGATATACATTTAATGTATGTATGCATTTATCAAATATGAGAAGTTCATCGTCTTGCACCTCATAAATATTTTATTCATTAACACGAACAGTTCGAAGCTCCATATGGTCAATATAAACACCTACGACAGAGCAGTCAATGCCAAGGACACGTGTAATTCTCACTATAGGTACCTATATAGAAGGATATATATAGGGGCCTCGCTACCGTCTTGCTGGTAATTATACGAAGCGCGCGGTTTACTACCCTGACAAACGATTACATAGCAAATACGCGTACACGTAGTATTCGGCTCCGCAGCCACGAGGATATGTAAGGTAACTAACAAGTTCAGCCCCTTTACAGCCTCAGCCTCACTGTTGCTATTCAATCTACTGTTAACATACCCACAAATGAGCTTCTTCTATATCCACGGATTGTCTCTAGATACTACGGCCCATAGTGTATGCCATGCACTCCGTAAGATACACAAGATCACTACACTAAGCCACTAGGTATGTATATTGAAAACCGCGTTCATCCGTCGGCAGATAATAGGCAGGAAAATTTCGGGTTCGAGCATTGCGCCATCACTCACACGACATACTTTAGGTACCAAATAGTATCACATAGATGGAAGCCACCAACGCGTACGCGGCATGTATTAGCTACGCTTTGCATATTTAGTAGGTCGTACGACAGTCTCCCTATTGCCTATGAACAGGTAGGGTACATTGATATTGTAGGTGGAAGTCATTCACTGTTCTACGACTCGGAATACTCTATAGGTAGATATTAGTGGCTTGCTATGAATTTTTAGATGCCATTCAGAGCTAATTTAGAAGCAATATATGATAGGTTCGCAGAAAATTGAATCCAGAAGGTGGTACGATCATCATCTAATTACCTCAAAAAGGAGAATGATGCCCCGAGTCACGGACAAGGACATATGGACGTATAGGAACCGGAGAAATAATCTGTTTAAGTGCAGACCGAGGACAAACGGAAGGAACGTCGTTTCACTTTATTACAACACGTTCTCTTAAGGACGGAGGCAACTTTAAATTCGCAATAGATACGAGGTTGCTGCCCATGTAGCCATGTCATGTATAATCTGGGTAAATCACTAAAAAAGGCACTAATATCGTCTCCCATTGGTGAATTGATCAAGCCAAGTTCAGCCTAACCTTGCTGGAATTAGCGTTGGTGAGGGGCCCATAGGGAGATTTCCAGCCCCTCTCGCCCCTGAAGTCGTGCTTTTTCAGCAGGTAAGGGCCCTCTTGGGCCCCTCTTGGGCCTCCTGAAGCAAACATTCCACCAATCAAACAATTTGTTTCGTAGACTGCTAGGTTACACTGGGACCTTCCGTTATACCCTGGCAAGCCACGACTCAAAACCCCTGGACCTATCAGATCCGGTTAGGACCCCTGCACCTCAAATTTTTCGGGTAAGTGGAGAGAAGGGCGGAGCGTCAAGCGCTTGTGAGCGAATCATTGAGTTCGTATCACGGCAACTAGGAACCGCGAATATAGTCACTTAATCAGTTCGCCAACCGGCCTTTGAAATATCATAGAATTCGACACCAGCATTCGACGGGCTGGATACATGAATAAGGTAATTGCTAAGTTTCCACGATTCTGGATTGATAGTTGTATGATTCTAGTGTGATTTAAGGCTTTTAGCCAGTTGTGATGGCAAAGAGCTATAGCGCAAATTGTGAAATCAGTCCAGTCAGGGGCAAAATCGGGGAGGGCCGGTGATGACGGATCTTGCATAAACTTGAGGATCTTCCCTCGGTGATCTTCGTGTGTTCCCCGTACTTTTGTTCTATTATTGATAAGTCTGTAAGTCCGGCCTTAGCAGTTTCCTTTTGGGTGATATATCGGTGGCTGTATGAGCTAATCGTTTATCGTTTATCGTTTAGTTATCGTTTATTGTTTCTCGCAATAAACCAAGCTTCTAAGGTAGGTACCTCCCAACCTAATCTTTACAACTTCACTTTTACAACTACACATTCTTTTTTTCTATCACAGTCTTTCCAATCTTTCAGAATTACTTCTAAAAGGAGGCGGTGCATGCCTAATTTTGACTTCTAATTTCCCACCTGACCCTGCTTCACTTTCATTAATACTAGTGCACTCACTCACTCTTTCCCCCAGGCATTTTTACCGGAAACCAAACCCACATTGCTAAACGCACCACCAAATTACTTCATCTACCCAATAATCACCATCTCTCTAACTGGGTAGGCAATATATCACGAAGACCATATTGCCAACTATACCCCCACACCTTCCCTACTTGGAATATATCAACTTTTCGGCTAACGGCCTGAAATTCCGCTTGCCAAGATTAGCCTCACGGCGAACAAAGGGAACAAGACTGCCGCCATACGCCATACCTGCTCGTTCTTCCAACCATAGCTTTGTTTATATCTACCTTCTAGCAAAATTGGTGACAAGCGCGCTCTTGCCGCACCGAGGACAAAGGATAAAGGATAAAACATCGTCCTACAAAGAATTACTACGACATTCTCTCATTAACGCCTCGGTTGTTCCGCAGGACAATGCATTCATAAAATATTGCATATCAATACTGGTCTTTGCCCTCGAGGCTTCTGGATTACGGGGCGAATCTCCTTTATCTATAGACTTTCTTGTCTTTCCTCGGACCCGCCTGTTTCATTCTGCTACTTCTCGAATAATATCAATACTCAATACTCAATATTTCGCAACGCAGATCGCGAATACACATACCGTAAAGTCGGTACTCAAAACATCATGCCGCTAATAAGCCGCGGGCGGGTCACCGCCTTCGGATCACTTACACCAACTACAATACTCGCACTCCGGGATTCAGATACGGCTACCGGAACAGATGCAACGTCGCCGGAATCGACCATAGCCCCTTTCTCCACGGCATTAAATGGTGTGGATCAGCCTCATAACATGCTATTCAAGGAAATGCTGTGGTGGACGCTGGGTATCATAGCGCTCATCGTACTTGCCACCCGTCTCATGGAGATAGCATGGACCAAGATACGCCACGTCTCAGCCATGTCGACCCCGGCAGACAAGCAAACTTACTGGAAAAGGTCGCAGTGGGGTTGGATGCCGTGGTTGAAGAGAAATATCATCTATGCCCCTCTATGGAGGAAGCGACACAACCGAGAGATCAAATTATCTGCTGCTATTAGCATAGGTACCCTGCCCTCTCGACTTCACTCCATTATCCTAGGCATCTACTTGATAAGCAACCTCGTTTACATGTGCTACGAGAACTGGTTCCAAGAAAATCGGTACGCTCTGGCTGCTGAGATTCGAGGGCGTTCTGGCACGTTAGCCCTCGTCAATATGGTCCCTCTCATCATCATGGCAGGTCGTAATAACCCTCTTATCGGATTGTTAAGGGTTAGTTTTGACACCTACAATCTTCTTCATCGATGGATGGGTCGGATGGTCGTGATAGAGGCTGTTATACATACGATTGCGTGGGCTGTTGTCGCCGCGGCGGCCCACGGATACGATGGTATGAATTACCGGTTGATTCATGACACTTTTCTTGCTTCTGGCTTTGCTGGGACGATAGCTCTCGTTATCCTCTTTTTCCTCTCCCTCTCGCCAGTTCGACACGCTTTCTATGAAACATTCCTCTCATTCCACATCATTTTAGCCTTTATAATTTTCGCCATGACTTGGGTTCACTGTGCGACGGCGACTCTTCCCGGTGGTCTTCCCCAGCTTTCGTGGATGTGGACAATTTTCATACTATGGGGAGTGGAACGGCTAGCTCGCATGTTCCGCCTCGCCTACAACAACTGGTCGAAACGGAACGGCTTTACCGAAGCCGTTGTAGAACCCCTACCTGGTGACACAACTCGAGTTACGATGCATTTACCTCGTCATGTTGACATCCCACCGGGAACACACGCATATATCCGCTTCATGGGAATTCGTCCGTGGGAGAACCACCCCTTCTCTATCGCCTGGATCGAACACCATCCCGAGGCCGACACGACAGCTCTCGAAGATAAAGATGATAACGAGTCCCAAAGAAGAGGCACCACCTCTGTGTCTTTCCTCATTGGTGCTCACACAGGTTTCACCCGGCGACTTTATGAAAAAGCACTCAAGGAGGGATCCCCTTCCATTCGGATCAGGGCGGCCATGGAAGGCCCCTACGCAGGCCATCACTCACTTGACTCGTATGGTCATGCTGTACTATTTGCCGGCTCGACTGGTATCACCCATCAGCTTTCGTACCTCAAGCCGTTAATCGTGGGCTTTGACGAGGGGACAATTGCGACAAGGCGGATAACACTAGTATGGATAATGCGTGACACCGAGTCGCTGACGTGGGTGCGACCCTGGATGGACGAGATACTACGGATGCCAAGGAGAAGAGATATTCTTAACATCCGGTTGTTCGTTACGCGACCGAAGAACACGAAGGAGATTATTTCGGCTTCCAGCACGGTCCAGATGTTTCCGGGACGACCCAACATCCCTACCCTGCTCAGGAAGGAGGTCGAGGAGCAGGTCGGAGCGATGTGCGTCACGGTATGTGGCCCTGGTGCCCTAGCAGATGACGTGCGACAGGCGGTCCGCGACGTTCAGGACGAATGCTCCGTAGTCGATTTCGTAGAAGAGAGCTTCACATGGTAAATAGCCATCAGAGCTACTCGGGCCTTTTCGGCGCAGACGATATTCTGGACTATCAAACTATCGTGAACGAGGCCGTCATCGGACGAAATCCTTCGGCTGCCAGGTTTATAGCCCCTGAAATGCACTGCATCACGAGGATTGCGACCCCTGGTAGGCTAGAAACAATATACAAATGTGCAAGTGGGGAGGGTATCTGTTTTTGCATTTAATCCATAGCAAAGGCGTTAGCGGGCTGAAACTAAGACGGATTTCCGTGTTGTCATATACTAAGGGGCTCTTGAGCTTATTGGCTATATTATGATTGCCCCAAGTTACGATGTGCTTGAGATTAGGCCATCCTGTACCTACATTCGCGAGCTGCAATTTAAGCCAGCGTTGTTTATAAAAGACAAGTGATGAAAACACCATTCCTGTCTTGTGTTCGAATTAAACTGCGCCGATTTGTAACTGTCATACCGATAAGGGCTATACCCGAGCCTGC